CATTTTCGCCGACATCCTTGCCATTGAAGTGCCAATGGCCTAAAATACCTCGGGAGTTCACGGTGTCCGTGTGTGGCTGCGAATTATTGGAGGGGGTTGGGAACGGTTTCACGATCTTGAATCGGAACACAACTTACCCCAAGGAATCCTGTCGGACAATTGCGACGTATATCTACTGTACTCCGTGTGTGTTGTACATTGATTTACGGAGGTACACAATTTAATCTAAACGCCCGTGGCGAATCGCCTATCTCTCCTCGGTCGGACATGTGTTCGCTACACGTGGAGGACAAACCACAGGGGGATAAAGAGACCATCTAAAGTTCGTTAAGGCGATCACGCCGCTGATGTCGTTTGGGATAGTTGAATCCCTTGATCTGGGGAATGCACACATCAACGTTCAGCTGGACTTCGTACGGTCTGTTCCGATCGGATGTCTCTCTTCGCCGTCATGCAACAAAATGCCTCAAACCCCCATTATCGTGCCCCGAAGATTGATTGCCACGTCGGGACGGGTCATTCACAGGGCCATTGAGGCTCCATTGCCACCTGGTCCAGGACGGTCAGCACGGTGCAGGTCATCCTAGTCGATATCAGAAGTGCTGTGTGCAGAGTAAACCAGAGTCCAAGAGAGGATTCGGTGCCGAGTCGGCGTTTCTCTCCAAATGAGAAAAAAATTCTCAGAGTGGACCCAGTGCCCAGAGTGCGTGTCTTTACGGATTAAAGGTGTTCTGGTCGTCTTCTAGAAGCTTTCCCTCGACGCGACCGTCCCATGGACGCGGTGCAGCTTACTGCATGGTAGCAATTTCTTTTCTTTTTTATCTCGCGTCCTGAACGGAAGTCGGCATCAATTGCGAAGTGAAATGATATGATAAGAATAAGAGTATCACGTCATGACTTCTATCAGGCCGCTTTCGCTATGCCCTTGTTGGACTAACCCTTGATTACTCCCGTCACGGTCATTACGCACGGTAACTGCAAACGCAAAAACGCGACAGAATGTCTCATTCGGGTCAAGTCCGAACCGCGAGATTACCTTTCCCCCACCAATCAGCGCCTCCAGAACCTCCCGAGTCAGAGCTTTTCCTCGTCCCTGTCCTGGTAAATTACACCAAACCGAACGATTTTACCCGTTGCGTCACCGTGGACATGGCCGCCTTTTATAACCCTAAACACGAAAAAATACCAAAAAAAAAAAAAAAAAAAAAACTCTGCAAGGGCCAGTGTCTAATGTCACCGATGATGAGCACACCCAACTTAATCTGTCTCTCCAATTTCCCGTTGTATAGATGCCCAGATCCTGAACCCACATTCATTCCATTGGCATTACCTTTATCACCGGTCACTGGCTAGGTGTCGCACAGCAATCATCCTCCGGGCTTGGCCTGCGCTTCGCAGCCGTGTACCTACAGTAGTGCGCGTAGTGCGATGGGGACAGGCCTGCCTCCAGCAATCAGATTACCCCAAACCCGCTTAAAAGAGCCCCTCATCGAAATCAACCCCTCACTGGTGGGCCAGAGGAGCATCGTGAGGGGGTCCACTGGATGATCGCCCTGCCAAAATCGTTGCTTGATTACCTTACCACCGTACGGAGTCGCCGTACGGAGTCCAGAGTAGGTAGGTACGAAGGTAAACAATAGTACCAAGACGCGTAGCTTGTACGGTCGGAGGCGTGTCCGAGGACTTTTGCCGATCTCAGATCGTGAGGCATTTTTCCCTCTTTCCTAGCTCATTTCAGGGTTCACGATACCTTCGATTACTTGACTAAACGGCTAGTCCGCGGAGGTCGGGGACGGCGCCAATCCCCTTTTTCTTTTCCTTTTTTTTGGGGCTATACTCATGGTACCATGTCGAACCAGCTTCGTATCCGACTCACAGCTTGGTAGATTTACACGCCCATCGAAAGCCCCAAGGACCGTAACTGCGAAGAGCCAACGCGCGGTTCGCCAAGCCATCCCAGCGTCCCCAGACTTCGCTGCCCATGGAGAAATCAGGAGATGTGAAATGAAAGCAAATTGCGGGTTGGATATAGCGTCTCTTTTCATCTCCGTGCACGGGTTACGCTCACCTCGCGGCCCGATTAGGAAAGGTGCCATGTGGTGCCTGCAGGAGAGCTTTTAAAGCTTTTGAAACGAGAGATTTGATTTCCCGTGTCTAAATATACAAAACCGACGTGGCCTGGAGCAAATCTCGAAATTATCCCCTTTATATTGCAATCTCCAGACTCTCTTCGCGGAGAATAATGACGCTGTCCCGGGAGAGGGGCTCCCCCTGGTCATAGCTCTTTTGGTTATCTTTTGCCCGTGCCCTATTGTGCCCTAGTCCTGGCCATTGCCCTATGCCCATTGCTCCATTCGAAGCCCATGGAATCACACAATGCCTCCCCGACCTCGGATATCCGCTTCTGCGTCTGTGCTTCCCTGACTGCCCGTGTCGCTACCATACCTAGATAGGCAAGCCGAATATGGGAGGTTTTCTCATGCAAGACACACCATTGGGCCCGCGACTTGGGATTATGTCGGACCCCTCTCGGTCTTGGCTATACTGCTTCGGCGAAGCAAACTCGGCCAGTATCGGGGTTCCCGTGTTGGAAGAGCTCTCGGGAAACTCGGCACGACATTTTCAGGTTTCGTTGTGCACACCAGCATCGCGGATTTTTATTTTTTATTTTTTTCTTATTTGCTCTACACACTGATGCTGAGCTGGACTGGAGCTAACTGACCACCCGGTTTAATTTGCTATCGTTTTTGCCCTGTTTTTGCCGACGGTGCACCGGGTAAATTGTCCTTTCTTCTGACTCTGGTGATTGCCACCCGCGTTTAACTGGACGCCACGAAATGATAGTCGCAAAATAGTCGCCCTTATCAGCCCTAATCGAAACCCTCGGCTTAACTGTGCCTAAAGAGCTACCTTATACGAAGTATAAGTGTATAGCAGAATTGGAGCTTCAGAGCGTAGCACTCCCGACGGAGTCTAACGTACGATGTCCATATCCAGATTACTCTTGTCGCTTGGCTGCATACGATGTGCAAAAACCCCTGTGCCGATCAGCTCGATTCGCCCTAATTCGCAAAGCGCGACAAAAAAACGTGTAGTCTTTAGCTACTACCTAGATAGTCTCGGGGTTTAACGTTTTCGGTCGACCAGCAACACCCTCCGAGCTCCTTGCAGCTTCGGAGCTTGACCGCGCGAAGCTCCGAAGCCCAAAAAATAATAAAACATACGATACCACATTAGCTCGCGTGACTAAATAGCTTCCCAGCAATGATGACATACTCCAGAAGAATAAACACACAACGTGACTCAACTGAATCCACCGACACACCCATATGCTTAGTCTTCCCCTTTTTGGGGGGTGATCGACAGGAGAAACACTCTCTCCACACTTCGACGCGAACCCTCGCCATTGGCAAGTCAAGGACCTTTTTCCTTTCCGCCCTCGTCACTGGTCCCCGTACAGCACGGTTGCACCTCATGATTTCCATTGACGCGGAATCCGGTCTCGGGGCGTTCGTATCTACGGAGATATGAAGTCCGGAGTAAACGCATCAGTTGTGTTCCCCCTTTTTCGACGCAAAGCGACATCCTCCGTCGTATCCCGAATCAGTGGCCTGAGTGTATAGCAGGGTATGGCTCCAAGTCGAATGACAGAGAGAAATGGAGATACCCTTTGTGCTTTCTGTGACCTGTGCGAGATACCTCCTTCCCGACCTATCGACTCCGTATGCTGTCCGGAGTACTCCATACCCCGTGCGCGAAAAGCCGTTGAGTCGAACATCCAATGCCCACGCCCGTCCGCTCTAGGCAACGGATGAGGTATGTATTACTTTTTCCCTTGGCTGTCTTATATCGGGTACAAGGGTAAAACAAAACGTAAAACCAGGGATTACAATTGTCCAGGAGCAGATGGTACTCCGTACGAGTTTGATTCTGTCTCGGGCTGGCCGCTGTCACTGCCTCGGGCACCACTGATCGGCGCTGTTCACGATCCCCGCTTGATCCTGGTCTCTTTTTTTCCCCTTCTCTCCCATTGTGACGCGCCACGAATCCGAGCCTTGATCCTGCTTCGTTCTTTCTATACTTGGAACAAGGAGATATGAGACTGCCTGCTAGGCTACGAGATATCGATTGCAGGATGCGTCTTCAGCCAGTGTATCGGCAGAGCTGCATAGCCACCGTTTAAGTCCCCGATCTACGATTCCCGGCCACGTCTGTTATTGCCGATGGGAATAGTCCGGAGGGTCGACAGGATTCGATTTGTCTTCTCCGTTCTTACAGGTACTGTATACGAAGGACTCCGTACAGTGCATACAGCGAGGTTCTAGGATACCTTGTCCGGGTATGCCAAGATAAAGACAGGGATAGATTCGCGGGGGATGCTGGGTGATCGCCCGTGCTGGTTGCTATCTATGAATAGCCAGTGCTCTCTGCGTGGATGGAAATGCCGTAGTGCTGTCCCATTGCGAAATGAGAACCTGATCGACGAGCAGACGGTCCTCCGTACGGAGTCATGGCAATAATGCTCCAAGTTTGAATCCTTTGTTTTCTTTTTCCCACTAGAGTTTCTTGGCCAGGCAATAAACACCTCCGGGATAATGAGTATGTGAGGTCAGAAAGAGGGGTATGATCGACTCTGTGTTCTCTGGCAACTGTCAATAGTCGGTCTCTATGACCTGCATCAATATCCGATTTACCCCATCGGCAAGAGTATAGATCACACCCGGGTACAGAGTCCAGAGCACAGAGCCCTCTGTATTGATAAGACGGACATCTTCCGTACCAAGCACTTCGGAGGGTCCTCAAGTTCTCCCCAGCAAGTCTCAAAAATCAATGCGCGCAAATCATCCCGATCATCACTGCATTGCATCCCTGCCTCCAGTAAACCCCCATCTTGGCACGGGATGTTTTCCTGCCCACGACGCTATTCAAAGTCTCTTGGCGAATCGTGCGATAAAGTCATTCAATGATGTAAACCATCTTCCCACCGTGTCTCTACCCAATTATGCTCCTCCCTTGATCTGCCGATCGCCCTGATGCGGTACCTGTCCACCACCGCCAAGGCCCACGCCGTGCATCCCTTCCGCATTATCGTCTTGGCATTTGGCCTCAAACCAACCCCCTTTTTTTCGCTCGGTCGTGAGATCACCCGTGCAGTTTGGTCGTGGTCGTGGGGCGGAGTGGAGAGGAGAGAGAGGGAAGACGGGCGCAAGGGTTGGTACTGGCAATGCTTGTGCTGGTTGCGTCTTGGCGAGGGTGGCAGTGTGCATGCTTTTGCCCACGTCTTCTTATCGGAGGTGTCTCCTGTGAGGGAGCGTGCCGCTGTCAGGGGTGGTTTGGGGGACATTTGGATGCCGATATGCCAATGCTTGGGGCTTGTTTGGGCCGAGGGATTTTTTTTTCACTCCGGCTTAGACGACGGTCTGGCTTATTGGGAATTGGGGGGTTGAGGATTCGGTAGATATCTAATACCAAGAGATCTTGGCTGTAGCACGATGCACGGAGAGTCTTGGGGGAATTGTCCAGCTGACTGGAGACGGATACGTCCTCGGGGAGTTGGGGGTAGTTGCTGCTCGGGTGGTGACACTGTATCTTGGTATACGGAAGATGGTGAAGTGCTAGTTGAGATATCTAGTGATCGGTGGAGAGTTGAGTATGTACAGATATGATGGTTGAACGTTGGTTCTTATGGTTCGAACAATACTTCCAGGTCGTAGTCAAGTAGGCGTTGCACCGTCGTTATGTGGAACACAACCCATGGAGGTTGCTGCTTGTTCAACGGGTACAAGTGTACGTTATTTCGCTTGACATTAGCTGTTTTGGTTATCGAACTACCGAAAGAGGAAGGAGATGCCCATCGGATAGGATTGAGTATCTGACGCAAATATATATATCGTATGCAGTTTGACTGGACGCATCACCTAGTTGTGCAAGATATATTTGGCCTACTTTCTCTGAGGATCTACTCTACTTGCTCTGAGCCTCACTCATGCTTACCCGAGATATATATCGCTGAACCATGCCACATAGCCTGGCACTACAATCAGCCTGACACACTCCGCCGTCTACCTAGTCACCTAGTAGATACCTGCCTTGTACGCCGCTTGACCGAATATATTCCGTAATTATTATTAGCACCGTTGTCATCATTACCACGACAAGCCTACAATCTAGACCGATACATCGTATAGACCTACATTGTAGCGATCCATATCATTCCCGCAATCTCCCGATCACAAGAAGAATGCAGTAAGGAGATCTGAGTGATGTCAGGCATCGGAATCCGAAAACAGTCTAAAATATGCCGAACGCCAATGACGAGATACCCCTTGATGAGAATTGTTGCTCCCAGCAACCCATGCCGCTTTGACATCAAACTCCTGCACGTGGAGACTTGAGCATGCAAGGAACGGGCTCGGCGAGCATCATGGTTTCAGGTGAAACCGACATGACGGCGATCAGAAGCTGATTCTTGATCCCACGGTACAGGGTACCATTGATCCCGGCATCTGCTTTTCAATGGCAAACTTGGCGCGCCAGCCGGAACAGTGACCTGGCATGAGCACGGCGGGATCGAGTTTTTTGAGATCTGCGACTGTGTCTTCGATTTGATCTGCATCGCTCGTGGCTAGATGAAACCCGCCGACCACGGCATGGAGAGGGATCGTGCCACCCGTGAGTTGGAGGGCGTGCTTGGTGGTGTTGACCACGCCGGCATGGCTACATCCAGTGAAAACGACAAGGCCTTTTCCTGCAGAAGATGTTAGTTTCATTAGCTTACGGGCGTCGATCGGTCTGCATTTACCTTTGAGATTGCAGATCAGAGAACGCTCGTCAACAATGGCTTCATCGGAGAACCAGTCATTTTCATCAGGATCATATCGCACTGAGTTCTTCAGACCTGTCTCGTACGGTGTCACTCGCGGGATCTCCCCAGAGACGAGAAAAAAGTCATCAAGCACGGTATGGGGCTCGCTCTGCTTGTCGACTACGGCACCCGCACCTTCTATCTCCTCAAAGGTAGGATCTGCCTCGAGGGAAATGATATGATCGTGCAGAGCAATGCCTCGATAGACCGGTCGATCTGGGTGCAAATCCACGACGAGGTCATCAGAGCATCCTTCGGCCCGTTTGGCATCGTTGATCATGCGAATTGCCCGAAGAAGCCCGCCTGCATGAGTGTCAGGAGAAAGGAATATAAAATAGACCAATGCGTTCGTGTTGCAATTGGAATGACGGACCTGAGTGATCACGATGCCAGTGCGATAGATGGACCACTTCCACAGAGGAGAGATTCGGGCGCAGCCGTTTGACATTTCTCTCCCATGCCTCTTCTTCAGGACCAGCATCGAAGAGAATAGCGTGCTTTCTGTCGCCTTTCGTGGCAGTCTACATATTATCTGCTCAATACAAACCTGCATTCAACCAAGCAACAGTAGGATAGGATATCATCTTACCACAAGAATTGACAAGCCATGCGCTGCGCAGCACACATCTCCGAGCCTGAGCTCTTTGCAGGCTTCTCCACGGTCGGTTAATGTGTGCTCTGAGCCCATGGCAATAGACCCCAGGTTTCCTGAAACCTTGACCGTGTCCGGGGCTGGGGGTGATAGCGGATCCAGCTCATTGTCGATGATAACAATGGCCTCGAGAGAGTCCACCTCTTCCAGGCTGATGGGGGAGATCTCTCCAGAGTCATCACTAGAGCGACAAAAATTCCGGTCAGCATTTGGTCATATACCATCACTGCCAGCTTGGAAGGACTCTCGCCCCGATTTTGCTTTTGCCCGAATAAGAGCCACGACCACGGCTCTCGCCGAGGATATGGCGATACCTGAAAGGATCATGGCGAGCCAGATTAAATGGATCCATTTCTTCGTGAGCCAACTACGCCGTTGCTAGACAATAGCAGAGGACATGTGAAGGAGACAAGTTCTCCACAAAGGCGGGGGAAATCACATTATCAGTGACCCCTGACCAGCAAAAGTTGGATCATCTCTACGTCGCTCGTCTCTTCCCCATTTCTACAGAGCGACCATGTATCTCTTCTTCGATCGCCTTCTGCTCCTCGTGCTGCTATGTTCCCCCGTCGCGGCGATCGGCATGTCATGCTTCAAAGTGGTCTCCGCGCTGGTCGGCCGACCGAGTCACATCTTCGATAAATTCCAGAGTGAAATCTGCGATGCTGGATGCCAGCCAACAATCCCTCACTGGGATCTCTGGACGCGCAACAATACCTTCGTCCCCGCCGTGCGCAGCCTGATGCTGCAGATGAACGTGCCCCACAAGGAAGAGGCTCTGTTGAAGATGGGCGACGACGTCGCAATCACCATCAAAGAACGCTGTGGGCCATTGCTCGGGGGTGGAACACATATCTGCTCGGATGCGGACACTCTGGCCGGCTTTGGCAACTGCTTCAAGACCAATTTCCTCAAGGCCTCGATCAAACATCTCCCGATTTTGGTCCCAATGGCTTCGGAAGAATCATGCAAGAAGCAACTGACCTTCTTGGAGGGCGATGAGCTGTGGGATATCACCATTCCCCAGAATATGCGCGACTATGCGAAAGTCTGCGACACATTGGGATCTAATGACCATGATGAATTGTGATCTATGCTCGGAACCAATTGTAAATAGTGCTATAGATGTAATTGATGCCAGATACCCGATCCAATCATTAATTTCCTTTTGATGGCCCAGTGGACTCGTAGATGCTTCCGGGGTATATCCATCGCAGGCTGAACTCGGCCCTCACTCCGAGACCGAGGAGGTCCGCGGACTTGAGAATAAGAGGAGGTCCGCGGACTTGCGCATCAGAGGAGGTTCCAGTGGTCAGATTGGCGAATGAGGTATTGATTAGGAGTGAATAGCTAGAGGACTACCTATCCTGTCCGCGGGTGCATAGAGGCCAGGAGGAATCTCACCTGATCTCACAACCTTGGAAGCTTCGATGACGACAGGCCGAACTTCCCCTTGACACTCGACACACACTCGACATCTGCCTTCTGAATTTGATCTCAAACATCATGCAGTGAACTGGCATCTGCCTCTACAATTCCTAATGGCGCACGCGACGCTCCTCCGCTCTACGCGGACGATCGTCCGTCCCCCCATCTGGCGCCCGCACCGATATGCTCACTCAAGCCAATTTCAACCCTTCGTGCCGCCATCCCCAATCTCACTAGGCAAACCCACAGAAGCAAAGACATATAAACGGACTCTCAAATGGCTGCGCCGAATTGTCTACGTCTCGCTAGCAACGGGCGTCGTCTACGGCATTGACAGCCAGTTCTACGCATCATCGCTGACCCGAACTGCCCGCACCTTCTCTCTCGGTCTGTTCGTGGCCCTGGACTACAAAATCAATTTCCGCCCACAACCGCCACTGGCTAGCTCTATTGCCGCTGTGCACGCTCGTAATGCGGAGCGATTGTCGGACCTGCTCAGACACAATGGCGGACTTTATCTGAAGATGGGACAGGCGATTGCGATGCAATCTGCCATTCTACCAGCTGAGTTTCAGCAAATGTTTTCGCGTATGTTTGATGATGCACCGCAGAATAGCTGGAAGGATATTGAGAAGGTCATTCGTGAGGACTTTGGGAAGTCGCCCGAGGAGGTATTCGGTGTCTCGTTTACGGGCGACCCCGAGAAGGGTGTGATGGAACGTAGAGCCCGAGCCAGTGCTAGTGTTGCTCAGGTTCACTGGGCTCGTTTGCCGGATGGCAGAGAGCTCGCGATCAAGATTCAAAAGCGGGAGATTGCCCAGCAATTGGCTTGGGATCTCTGGGCCTTCAAGTGCGCTCCCTATGATTGACCTGGAAGAGGATATGATGCTGACTTTGAAATCCACAGAGTTGTGACCTATATCTACAGCAAGATATTCGACATTCCTTTCTACAGTCTTGTTCCCTATATCAGTGAAAGACTATCGCTCGAAACAGACTTTATCAATGAAGCAGACAACTCGGAAAACATGGCCAACCTAGTGGCTGGTGAACCTCGTCTGCGAAATCGTGTATATATCCCCCGGGTATACCGCGAATTGAGCTCGAAGCGCGTCATGACTGCCGAATGGGTCGAGGGCGTACGGCTCTGGGACAAGGATTCCATCACGCGACCCTGGCGCGGCGGCTACGGCCAGGGAAGCCCAGGCTGCCATGGGACACCACTTGATCAGCCCAATGGACCACCCACAAGCCGAAACCCGCGCGCGTCAAAGATCAAGTCAGAGCGTGACTATTGGCGAGGCTACAAAAACCGCGGCGGACTAGGCTTGTCCCTCAAGGATGTGATGACGACTATGGTAGACTTGTTCTCTGCACAGATGTTCCTGTGGGGATATGTCCACTGCGATCCTCACCCAGGAAACATCTTCATCCGTCGCAAGCCATCCGGGGAGCCGGAACTGGTTCTGATCGATCACGGTTTGTACATCCACATGGAACCCGGATTTCGACACCAATACGCATGCTTCTGGAAAGCTCTCCTCACCTTCGACAATCGCACGCTGGGCGAGATTGTTAACAGCTGGGGCGTCAACAATCCAGACATCTTCGCATCAGCGACGCTGATGCGCCCGTACAGTGGCGGTGACATGTCTACCCAGCGCGGGATCGAAGGATTGAGCAAGTCCGAGCGTGCAGAGAGACACTATGAGATGCAACAGGCAGCGCGCAAAGCAATCCGCGATATCCTCGGCGATGAAACCAAATGGCCTCAGGAGTTGATCTTCATCGGCCGCAATTTGCGCATCGTTCAAGCAAACAACCAATTCCTGGGCTCACCGGTGAACCGAGTTAAGATCACCGGCATCTGGGCCTCGCGTGCTCTCATCGAATCCCCGGATCTGCCGCTGGCCGAGAAGATCCGTAATATAGGTCGCCACTTTGTCTTCCGCATGGTGCTATTTACTACCGATATCTGGTTCTACTTCACCAAAGTGCGTCAGTTCTTACATCTGGGCGGTGGCATGGAGGATGATCTCGAGGCCCAGATGCAGAGCATGGCGAAGGACATGGGAGTTGAGCTTAACCAGAACGTCTTCGAGGGATAGATGGGGATAGACAAGCCCATGCTCCTGAATAGACAGTATAAAAAACATGTGCATTATACCGGCACTCTGACCAGAGCAATCTTCTAGATAATGACACTCTCCTTATGATCCATACAACACATATCTCCCTATATCCTCCTACCCGGTCCCTTTCTCCTCCTCTTCCGTATCAAAAGCCACATAAACCCCGCCTCTATTCCCAGACCCTAACAACTCCCCCAACTTCCCCATTCTAGCAAGATACGCCGCGCCTGTATCCGCCCAAACATGATACTCGCAAACCGCCAACCCCCCTTCTTCACCGGATCCTCGCTACTGTCAACAGCAAGCTTAATACGATACACAAACGTCTCATCCCACGCCTGCCGCGTCTCCTTCCACACAAACGTCGCCGTCCCGCGTAGCGAAACAGCCATGCAGCTCTCGTCGACTACCCAGCTCTCCTCGGGCTCGAAGAGCATATTCCTGACCGAGAGGAGGGAGGAGAGGAGGTCGAAGTAGGCTGCTATTCCATCTTGGCCGGTGAATGGGCGGCCGAGGAAGGGTGCTAGCTGAGGGAGGCCGTGTTCGTGGACTACGGGAGTTGGGATGGTTGTGAATGTTGACAAGAGGTGGTTGGGGTTCGTTGGGTCTGGGTTTGTGAGGGCTTCTAGGAGGGCTTGAGTTGGTTTGAGGAGTATCTCGCGGGAGGTCATTATGAGGGAGCTGTGCACGGTATCTTCTGGTGGTAGGTATAGATGCGAGAGTTGTATACATGAACATGTAAAGATCGAAACCATGGATGGGAGGTGCAGATTGATAATGACATAGGTATGACGTTTTCGTTTATTGGTGTTCTACGGCGGTACTACTCTGTAGTTGGCGAGAGTTGGAATGAATTGGATATCTGAATTTTTGGAAGAAATGTGGATGGCAGCTGCATCCATTGGGGGCGGCTAAGTTTCACCCCGAAGAGGAAACCGATGTAGAAAGGAGAAACCTCGAAAGCCCGCAAAAGAACTCCACTGTCGTCTTTCATAACCTGAGCTTGACAGAAAGCAGGAAGTCGTAATTGAGAAGGAAATAGGAAGATGGAGAAAAGAAAAGGAAAAAGAAAAAACACCGAGTCCCAAAGATAATACAGATCCCGTCTCTCGCACCTCCCGGACGGTTCGAGCTCACTGGCGCCAGGACTTGCCGCAAGCCAAACATGTGCAGAACAGGGTCATCGGCTCATCAGCAGCGCGGGTCTGGGCTTCGGTGTAGGTAACCTGGCGTTGGCCACATTTGCCACACTGCAAACTCTTACTGATACTGCGTTCTTGCTGCGCGACCATGGCCTTGTCCATATTCTCCTTGCGGATTTTGGCATCTGCCTCACGCTGCTCAATAGATCGCAGTTCGTCGGAAGACATGCGCACAAGTTGCTCGCCGGTAATCTCTCCCTCGATGACGCGCACGCTGAGCTTCGGGTTGGACTTGTTCTTCAGATTCATGAAAAGACTGCGGATTTTATCCCGGTACTCTGCTTTCGTCTCCGGTCCCACGAGTTTGTAGGCAGCAATCTCCACTGCAATGGCGCGAGGGAGGATGACCTTCGGGTCCTCGGTCGACTTGGCGCAAAGTCCGTTGTATATCAGTCCCATGGATTTGTTCCGGTTGCCATTATCGGTATGATTGATATCTACTCCGTCTGTAGTCCAGGTTCGATCTTTCACGGGCCCAGTAGGCTTGGGAGGAGCCTTGTCTGAGGGTGTAGCAGCGGCTGGAGTAGACGCGCTTGTATCCTTCTTTACTGGTCGCGGAGAGCCGCTCAACGCCCGACTGGCCGCCGACGTAGCACCGTGCTTGGGCTTCTGCACATCATCGCGCCACTTCTTGACAATGGCACTGGCAAGTCTTCCGACGTCTTCAGACGTGCTGATTTTGAGCTTGTTGACGATGATACCGATGCGCGTCTGCCGTAACAGATCCTCTGTTGCCCGGATGCCTTGTTGAATTTCCTTGAGGACGCCCTGGACCATATTCGCCTCGTCGGCAGGCATCTTTTCATATTTCAGCTCCGGCACAGGCAGCCCTGCCTCCTTAGCTGCCTTAGCTGCAGGCTCAGCCTTGGCCTTAGCCGCTTCCCTAGCAGCAATTCTAGGTGCATCCCTGGCCACGACCTTCGCCAGGATCTTGCCCTTCTCTTGAATCTCTTTGGTATCCATCGCCATGTTGTGCGGGGGGTATGGAGGAGTAACGCGATCAAAGACGACGGCGGAGGAACCGGAGTACTAGCTGGAGAGTCTTCTGGCGACCTAGAAGCCACAGTTGTCAGTATATCATCGTCAAAGCTTGGAGCGCAGGGTCTTTGTAAACACCGGATACCGGCGCATTCTGCAGAACCACAGCTACTATATTGATCCTTTTGGGTTCACGGTCGCGGAGCATACATGCATTCATTTCATGTCACACAAAACATAGCTCTCAAGGTACCCATTATATAGGCGCATGGGGGAGAACAGTGGTACGCTGCCAGTTTCCACGTGTCCACCTTCCCACCTCAGTTGCCCTCGGGGACTCGACGAAATCACACCTAGGAGCTCAGAGATAATAATATAGAGGCTGTGATCCGCAATGCGCCAGGTATCAAAACAGGTAATTGTGGGAAAGCAAGGTATGATGAGGGGTGGTATGCTTGCGCACTCACTTGGTAGATCTCACGGTCACGTTAGCGGTGTATCAGAGAGGAATGGTACCCGCAAAGTAAACAAAGAGCGGAAAGAGAGCAGCAATATAAGCGCCGAAAGTGACAGGGAGGGAAGAAAAGATAGGTCAAAGCGACAAGGTAATGGGAATTTTATGAGATGCGATATCTGAGGTTTGTGCCAAGACTTACCTTCCCTTTTGGGAAATTATTTTTCACTTTTATACTTGCGCGTCTATATCTCCTTGTCTGAGTAGATTCCCACATACACCTTAATACGCATGTAGTGTTCAAAGTTCAATGGCCCTGCTCGTCCAGATATGTATTTCATCTATATGGTTTGTGTTCTTTGCAGAAAACATTGTGGTCCACGGCTATGCAAACAGAATATGGATCAAAGCAAAGGAAATTATGTGCGGCTGCGATTTCATCGATGTAGTTTGGGGGTATAACAAATGGGGGTCTTTGGAAGGTAAAGTGTAAGCGTCGCCAGTCAGATCCTCAGACCTGAAGCGCGCGAGTAGCCTTGAAGACGGCAAGGGACCATGAACGCCAGCGAGAACATCCCCATCAAACCAAGGGTAAGGGATTATCTCGGCCATTGGCCATGTCAGAATCAAATTGGATCCATGGACTGTGATGGAAGGCAGGGAATGATGGAAGTGACAATTATTGAACAGCTCCGGAGGTTTAGATGGCAGTCTTGCCCAGCACATCGGCCAGGTCATCGACGTCCTTGTCGTCCCTCTGGGCGACCTTCTCCTCCTCGGCATGGTCGGCATCCCGGAGGGCCTTCTCAGCCTTGGCATCTTCGTCATCTTCATCCTCCTCCTCCTCTTCCTCCTCTTCTTCGTCTTCCGAGTCTTCCTCCTCGAGCTCGTCCAAGTCGTCAAGACCCCAAGTGTCCTCTGGGTCCTCATCGGTACCGTGTTCCTCCTGACGAGCCTCCAAGAGCTCACGCAGATCAGCGATGTTAGGATCCTCCTCAGAGAAGATGTTTCCATTCAGCTCAACACGACGCAGGCTGGGGAGTGCAGTCTTAGCTGCGTGAGTGAAACCCTTGACAGATTCCGCCTTCATCTCGTTGTATTGCAGACGCAGAGTTTGGAGCTTCTGGTTTTTGTTCGCAGCCAAAGCCTGGGCAACCTTCACACCACCACGGGCGGAGAGCAAGCAGTCGCCGACACCAAGCTCACGCAGAGAGGGCCAGCCGGACAAGGCGTTTGCCAGAGCGGTGGAGCCCACGGCAGTGAAAGTGTTATCCTGCAGATCCAGAACTTCAAGGGCATTGGCGTGGTAGAGACCCTGGGTCAACAGGTGGGAGATACCCTCGGCCCGGATGCCGTTCTGTGTCATCTTAACCGACTTCAGGCCCGCTGCATGGGCTTTGTAGGCGCGAGCCCATGCCTCCATGCTGCCGTTCTCCAAGCGGTTACGTCCGCAGACAACGCTCTCCAACAGGGCAACCTCCTCACCACAGTTGCGAGCTTCCTCCTTGCGTTCAGCCAACTTTGACAGAGCGTCGGCGACGTAAGTTCCAGCATTGGGACCAAGTCCATTGTTGTTCAGGATGAGGTGGCGGAGGGGCACGTGGCGCGAGAGGAATTCGACAAGCGGGGCCTGGGTGTTGAGACCGAAAGCATTGTCATTGAGGTTCACGGTGTGGACAGTCGGGAGCTTGAGAATGGCGCTCAGGAGGGCAGACAAAGCAGTGGGGATTTCGGAAAGGAGACGACCGGTGAAGATGTCGTCGAGGTAGGCGGCTTCGAGGCTCTTCTGGGTCTTCAGGACTTCGGCCAGGCGTTCACAGGCGCCAATGCCTAGGGTATTTCCACCGAGGCGGATCTCAGTGTAGTCGGTGTTGTCAATCAAGGGCTGGATGTGTGCATTAATGTCCTCTGCGCTGTTGAGCTTGAGAACTTTGCCCTCGAGGGAAAAGACCTTGGGAGGGGCCATGGCGGGGTAGTTGAAGTGGGATGTTGAGATAAGAAGGGAGAAAAAAGAAGGAAAAAGCGTGAGATCAATGGAGGTCTTTTTCCCAGCAACGAAGAGACCCAAGTAGACCCAAGAACAAGAAGAAAAGACAGAGACAGTCAGTGTAGCAGAAAGGGAGGCAAATCTGCGGAGGCGAGTGTTTTGGTGATAACAAAAAAAATAACAGCTACGGTATCCCATAGAGACCAGCCCCGCTGAAAGCGCATTAATAATGTCCAATGGTGTCAAGTCAAGGGTAAGCACTTATGGTTCAACTTACAACTTCCCACTCCATACTGTCTTCTTGTCTTTCATTTGTGATCTTCTCATCAAATTAACCTACATATCAATCACAATGTCCTGGCTCTTTGGCTCCTCAAATGGTACGTCTCAATGCCTCTGTCCATCTACCCAAGTTGAATACTTGCACAATGCGCCCACTCTACATCAAAGGAAAGGACTTGACACTTGCTTACACAATGCTTTGCAGAGAAAAGCGCTGCTGCTCCCGAGCAAGCGCCCGCTCAGCCCGCCCAAACCGAGAAGCCCAAGGTATGATCCGATGCTGCCGAACGAACAAGCGCAACCGACTGATTCGCTCTTCTCTATAGCCCTGCTGCGTCTGCAAACCCGAGAAGACCGCTCGCGATGACTGTATGCTGTTCTCCAAGTCCGAGAATCCCGAGCAGGAGTGCAAGTCCACGATCGAGCAGTACAAGACTTGCATGGCCGGATTTGGCTTCAAGGTCTAGACTCTGATGTCTGACTGATTGTCCTCGTCTGTACCATCAATATACAACACTGTACTATACCATTCATTGGCGGGAGTTTCTTGTTTTCTCTGGATATCGTCTGTTTTTGGAGCATATCTGCTCTTTTGTTAAAATATTGGAATCTAGAGCTTTGCGCTACAGATGATCGGGATTCAGTTTCCCAATACAATATCTCACCTCTTCAAGCGATAATTTCAAAAATATCATTCGTATGAATACATGTTAATACATAGACCAAGCAATCGTACGGCTTCAGATTATTTCGATAAACACACAACATTGGGTATCACTAAGAAGCACACAACCGTCCACCAAGATGAATAATCACTGCTTCTTTTTCTGGCTTTCCTCCTCGGTCGCCTGCCGATTGATTTGGCGACATTGGGTAACCAGCTTCCACATACACCACAAATACGCAATTCCGAATCCACCAGCTCCGATCAGAGCATTCAAGACTACCCAGAGATCGGGTTTGCCGGGCGGTGGAGCCACATATGCTTCAAGGACATGCCAGGCAATCATGACAAAATAGAATGCAAAGTGCAGGAGAGTGGTGAAAATGTTGGGCTCGAAATGGGCATTGGCATCTTCCGCGGATGACCGGCTTCGGTAGGTCTCAAAAGAGGTAGGAGGCAAACCAAGAAGATAAGCCCAAAGCAAAGTCATAACCATGTAAGGAACACGAAGTTCATCGCGCTTGAGAAGGGGGTACATGGTCCAGGAGCCAAGTATATTGGCCCAGCCCACCCAGGAGCGGGTCTCCTTGCTCAGTCCACCGTCGCCAGCAAGCAAAAGGGTCATTGGCAGCAGAGGCAACAGGACACTCTTCTCATGTACCTGGAAGGAGAACAAGAAGAATCCCCAAGACACGGCAGATAGAGCGGGAAGGAGCAGCGAAGCTCGAGGATGGCGGAAGATGATAGCACAAGGGACGATAATCGACGCCAATGTGGCACCAAGAGATGCTCGCTGTAAGAGTGTGGCATCGAAGCGAGTGAGCTTGTAGAACGTGTGAATGGCACACCAAGCGTTGGCAACTTTATCTTCAAAGAGCCCACGCGCGAAGGGGAACACTCGGTGGATAATCTGCATTAGTTGGAATGACAGCCCATACAGAACAGAATCATTGTCCACGGGCATGGGAAGTGCCTGCAACAGGGGTGGCACCGGAGAAGATAAGAATGCCTTCCGAGCATCTGCGTTGGATGCACCAACCATGAAAGGTGCCAACAGCAGAGCAAAAGTGGCTAATGTGACGAGCGCAATGCTGACAAGACGGGGAATATTGATCCGAGGGAAGGTGCAGACGCCGAGAAGATATGCGAACATGACTGGCGCATAATACAACGCCATTTGTTTGAATCCCAGCGCACCAACGAAGAAAATGCAAGCCCAAAGCATACGTCCTGCCAGGATAGCATCCAAGCTTGCAACGACCAAGCCAAGCATCACGGTATTATATTGGAAATGGCCATGATCGATGAGAATGTTCGCTGGCTGAAGAAGGACCGCCACAAGAGCAATCGAGGCGGACCAAGCATGAACGCCCTGGATCCGCGTATAGCGGCGAAGGAAAGTGACCACTGCCGGGATGAACACCAAGTATTCAGATACAACGACAGTGGCGCGCATGTATACTTTCAAATGGGGATCCTCAAAGCCTCGGGAGGCGTCTAGGGCGAACCAGCTCGGATTGAAAGCGGAGCCGCTTAATAGGCCAACAAGTCAACATTGATCCACGGGGAAACCTCAACAGATGAAGGAAACATACATCTTTCCAAGCAGCCAGCTGTGATATGCGGTCAATGGCGGATAATCGAGGCCCCAATATTGAAGATCGTAGGTGTACCACTTCGCCAATGGCAAATGCGTGGTAATTTCCATCCAATGCCGTTGCGCTTCAAAATCACCATGCATTGGGGGAACCTGGAACCCTAGAAGGTGTCAGTCTGTTGTGTCGCCGGTTTATCCTCCCCTGAAGGAAGACAATGCTGCTTACCAGAGTAACCCCACAAGCTCACAGCCCATCGGAAGAGGCCAACGGCCATGAGGACGATAGGGAGGATCAGCCATTGGGACACACCGGCTCGAGCAGCCCACAGGAATGAGACTAGCGGAAATGCTGGAGATTGTTTCCCCTCGCCCAAGTCCAAGATCAGGTTATTGTTGGAGCCGGGAGAGATTGCGACCTTTCTCTTTTTGCGGGGGCGGTGCGAGGAGGGTGTTGGAGGGGCCATCACGATATAGGCCAGGTGGAAACTTATCGTCCCATTGACTCTCTAGTGAAGGCAGGTCGAACAGGGGGTCAATGTTGGAATGGGTAGGGTCAGTAAGCGAATAAGAGTTGATGATTTTATGGTTTATAGGTGGTAGCCATGAAGCCGGAGCAAAAGATACCGCCAAGTGACTTGCGATTGTGAGTCGTCGACAGGCACCAGCAGGTACCCACTCGGTTCTCGCGCTAAGTGCCTGGGCTAGTTCGCCTTAGGCAGGCGGAGTGGTTCTGCCAGCGTCCGATTTTTTTTTTTCCAGAAATTTTTCCTTATCAGGGCTGATGGTCCCCAGTTCTTCACTCTTTTTTTTCTTCTTCTTCCCATCCTCTCTTCTTCTTTCCTCATCTCCTATAAGAAGCAGTCTGTCTCAGGTTGCTTTTCTTGTTTTATTTTACAAAAAACTTTTCCTTCACACTAACTAACGCAGTTGCGTGGGTTCTATTTCGTAAGTTCTTGAACAGATACTCTGAGGGCTTATCATTACTCTGAGGGCTGTGGGCTTGATATACATCTATTCTGTGGGCTCTGTGGGACATCTTCCTCGTGGGTTACATATTCTAGACAGTATTGGCTGTCGGTCGCTTGTGGGCTTGAAAACTTGTCCGTCCGTGGGTTGTGGGTTAACGTCCAGCTGTGATTAGATCACTTCTGGCAGTTCTTCTGAGGGCTGTTGTTCCATTTTACATCCAAATACACGGGTGCTTGAGGGATCGTGGGCTTTGCCGCACATACTACAAGAATTTCACTTGTCATTACAGTATGTGCCACCCTACCCGAGCTACAAGCCAGCCTCCCAGCCCTCTCCATGAGTCCTCCCCACCTCCAAAAGAGCAATTGCTGACATCGCATTTCTTTTCTGCAGTTCAAAATGTCCAAGACTTCTTCCAAGGTTGCCGATAAGGGCAGCAAGGCCAGCAAGGCCTTGAACAAGGTCAAGGATGCCGGTATCACCAAGGCTTCCCAGTCCCCCGCCGCCAAGAGCAAGGCCGTTGCCTCCAAGATCGCCTCCAAGGAGAAGTCCTCCAAGAAGAGCAAGAAGAAGGAGCCTACTCCCAGCAGCTCCTCCGAGTCCGAGTCTGAGTCTGAGTCCGATGAGGAGATGAAGGATGCTTCCTCCAGCTCTGACTCTTCTGACTCTGAGTCCGAGGAGGAGAAGCCCGCCCCCAAGAAGGCCGAGAAGAAGGTCGCCGCCAAGGCTGAGTCTTCTGACTCTTCCGACTCCTCCGACTCTGAGTCCGAGGAGGAGAAGCCTGCTCCCAAGAAGGCCGAGAAGAAGGTCGCCGCCAAGGCTGAGTCTTCTGACTCTTCCGATTCCTCCGACTCTGAGTCCGAGGATGAGAAGCCCGCTCCCAAGAAGGCTGAGAAGAAGGCCGAGTCTTCCGACTCTGACTCTGACTCCTCCGAGTCCGAGTCTGAGGCCAAGAAGGCTGAGTCCTCCGACTCCGAGTCTGGCTCCGACTCTGACAGCTCTGATTCCGACTCCGAGGAGAGCGAGGCCTCTGCCTCCAAGAAGCGCAAGGCCGATGAGGAGCCTGCTGCTGCCGCTAAGAAGTCCAAGACCGAGGATGTCCCCGAGGGTGCTTCCGCCAACCTCTTCATTGGCAACCTGTCCTGGAACGTCGATGAGGAGTGGCTCCAGCGTGAGTTCTCCGAGTTCGGTGAGCTCTCCGGTGTCCGCATCGTCACCGACCGTGAGTCTGGCCGCTCCCGTGGCTTCGGTTACGTCGAGTACAACAGCGCTGCCGATGCTGCCAAGGCCATGGATGCCAAGAAGGGTACCGATCTTGATGGACGTACCATCAACCTTGATTACGCCACTGCCCGCCAGTCCAACCCCCAGCAGGGTGCCGACCGTAGCCAGGCTCGTGCCCGCTCCTACGGCGACCAGACCAGCCCCGAGAGTGACACTCTTTTCGTTGGCAACCTTCCCTTCAGCGCCACTGAGGATGCTCTCCACGAGGTCTTCGGTGCCCAGGGCTCCGTTCTCGGAATCCGTCTCCCCACTGAGCAGGAGACTGGCCGCCCCAAGGGCTTCGGTTACGTTCAGTTCGCTTCCATTGATGAGGCCAAGGCTGCTCACAATGCTCTCCAGGGCCAGGAGCTCGAGGGCCGTGCTATCCGTCTTGACTTCAGCACTCCTCGTCCCCAGGGTGGTGACCGTGGTGGCTTCGGCGGCCGCGGTGGTGGCCGTGGTGGTGGCCGTGGAGGTTTCGGTGGCCGTGGCGGCGGTGGTGGTTTCGGTGGCCGTGGTGGTGGTGGCCGCGGTGGTCGCGGTGGCTTCGGTGCTCCTCGCGGCGGTGCCCTCAACAAGGGCAAGGGCAGCATTCCCGAGTACAAGGGTACCAAGGTTACCTTCTAAACTTGATGTTGTTTCCTGCGTACGTTTGATTTTTGCAACATATCGGTGTCCATGGGTCTCAGGTTTGCTTTGACTGAGGGGAAAAAAAGTTCGTGTTTAATTACGTGTAATATGATCTTAGCTCAGGTATCTCTAATTTGATACATCATTTCAATTTTCATTTTGTCCAACTCAACGTGCTCTTTGTCTTGTATTCTGCGTAACCTTGGAACCGCGACACATATTGCCGCTGGTTGCCGCCTTCCCCGCAATTTCCTTTGTTTTTCTATCTGCCACTCTGATCCATCTGGCTCCCGGTTTATGTCCTTTTCATTGCATTATCAATCAAAGAGACTCTTGTCTTGCAGGTCTCAATTCGCGACATTCCAAAGTATGCCCCACTGCTGCCCCCGTTTTCTCAGACAAAACCCCTCATATCGTCGTCACGGGCTGCAAATCACCTGCTCGGTCTGCTGATCACCTCATCACTCGATCCTTTCCACCTGAATGTTCTTTTCATTTTTCTTCACCTCCTTCATTTCTACTGTGATTGCGAAAATCAATAGTTGCATCCTTCTTAGCCTCTCTTCCTCTATCTCTCTTTCTTTCTCTCTTCCAGGGTTTGTTTCTCCTGGTGGGCAGCACTAGTATATGTTGTACAGTGCTTTGGGCATCAGTGATCGCCGACTCCACACTGATAAGATAACCTCATCCCCCACGTTGACCGCTCCCTTCGATCCAGGGTGGCCTGATCTCCCACTCTCTTTTTCTATTTCTATTCACATATCCCCTCCTCTCATATTTCACAATCTAATCTTTGGCCATGCAACCAAATCACTGCGACTTGCTGGGTCAGGTGCGTGAGCCTAGAGCCGCAAGTCGGATGACGCGCGATGCCCATCAGCCGCTTCGAGATAACGGTCAGCCCCAGTCATCTGGTGCAGCGCCCATGAGATCAGAGGGTATGTAGTCCTTTTTATAATCTGGCTGGTACCTCCATTATTGATCGCCTTTCAATATGCATACATAAACTTCGTTTTAAAACTTTCATAATGTACTCACTACAATACTATATAGACTCTTGGATTGACGTGTCCTCGCAACCGTCCTCTTCCTCCTTCTCATCGGCTGCTACCAATGATGATATAATCACTACCGGGTTACGTGTCGAGCATGGGCAAGCTGGGGCATATAAACGCCGTAATCGACGACGCCGTTTACAACACCTTGCTGCTATCACCACAGCTCAAGTGGACTATTCATCGCGGGATGCCAGCCAAGCCAGTAGTAGTCAGGAGGAATACGAGGAGAGCGAAAGCGAGTCCGACCAGGTTCTCAGCAGCTCCAATGAAGATATGCGCCGCCCAACTCTCCCGGCTTCGTTATCTGCACGCTCTAGTTCCGACGGCGCCTCTAGCGATGATGAAGATGATACCTCCACTGCCCTAGGGATGGGCATCAGCCCATCACCTTTTGTTCCTCAGCCAAACATATTCACACATCCTCCTGCCACGTCGGAACCAGGATGGTCTACACGGCGTCCTCAATCTGGCGTCCCGTCGACCTCCCGGGCTTCAAGAAGAGAATCTTATCCCAGCCCACGATCATCACGGAGACGTCAGTATCAGCACAGCCCCTACAACATGCTTTCACCCTCCCATCATGCGGATCATGATGCCGCCCTTCGTGCGAGTCTATCTACACTTCTTTCATGTGCCGCTGCCGCCAGGTGTCTACCGAAGAATGATAGCCAGCCATCCTCTTCCCGGGCTGCTCCACCGGGACTTGCACAACCTGCTTCATTCCGCCTAGTAGGGGAATCAGTCGCCATAGGCGAAGAAAGCAGCGACGAGGAGGTCCGACCCTCACCCCAGTATCCAGAGCCAATCACGTCTATAAAAGCACCACAGCGACACCCAAGAGAGCCAACAGCGCCATCTGGCTCCCCCATCGCCAAAGTCAAACGCCGATCAAGTTCACCCAAGGACCGTAGTGCTGCATCAAAGAAGAACCGCCGCGCGAGTATGACAGATTCAGTGACGCCTGTCAGCCCTACGATTATGACTTGGGTCCTCAGCGCCGGTGTTGTTGTTTTGTTCTCTGCCATAAGCTTTTCTGCTGGATATATGCTTGGCCGTGAGGTTGGGCGTACTGAGGTCGGCATGATCGGAGATGGTGTTCCTGGCCCCCGCCCCTCTGCAGGGTGTGGCCAGGAAGCGGTCCGCGGCGGACTTCGAAAACTGCGCTGGGGGTCTGCGGCTGCAGGCTCTGCTAGTCTTGCCTCAATGTAATATCTCAACGATTTACTATGTCAACGCAGGAGAACATGGCGCTTGAGCTACATTGGTGTTGTTTCAAACATGGCAGCTCGCGTCTGATTCCATGTCTCTCTACCTGGTTGATATTTCACTTTTGTCTCACTGACTAATTTCTAAGGATTTCGCTTGTTATATGCGGGAGATCTTGCGATCTCCTGTTTATCAAAAATCGGCGCATCTTTATCTTTTCACGGTGGCTTCTTGCAGCGATGGAGTTTTGGTTTATGTCGTCCCACTTAGGGCTCTCATGATGGTTCCTTTTACGATTTTATGCAATTTTCAATCTATACCCTCTTTCTATCACCCTTATCCTACAAAGCCAATGAACCTTTTACAAATCTGAATCCAGTCAACATTTATAGACAAGTATCTTTATCATCGGGGTCGCAGATGGCCACAGATTTGCCGTCGGGTGAGATGTCGGTTCTACCTGATATAGCCATCCGCTTTGTGAATGTGATATAAACTCCGCTTTTTAAGCAAAGTACCTAGCCTTGGAGGTAGGCTATCTGAAGACCAGCGGTCGAGTCTCACGAGCATCAAGCCTTTTGATGATACATGCGCTAGTAGTACCAAGTGATAGACTTGTAGAGTTTCTTGTTTAATAGCTGGACTATGAATTAGTTGAAAATGCTCTGCGTCATGGGCCCTTGGTAGAGGCGTAAGGAACCTCGGAGATTGGAAAGAGCATATTGGCGGACGGTACTATTTATTAGCCAGCGGATGTCATTTCTCTATGATAAAGTGACACATTCTTGCAGCCTAGATAAAGAAACCGTCCAGTAGTCGACATATTGAAGAACTATTCTAAACACATTGGTCGTGCCATCGAAGGCATTTAACCTCGGTAGGACAGATCTATACGCTAGTCCAAATGAGGCTAAGTCATGAGATGAGGTACACTTCAATGCTCACACCCCCTTCAAGTTTTTTACCTGCAAGGCCTTGTCGTGTGGGAACTTTTGTTAATTGCACGCCTCTATCATGCAGGAATAGCCTCTCAAAAAAAGACACAGAAATGACACAGTCATGTCTACACCAAGCCAACGCAAGCATGTGAAGAGCCGCAATGGCTGTATCTAATGCAAGAAGCGTAAGTCAAAATGCGACGGAAATAGCGCAGTTCCTTGTGCCCAATGCGTTAAGAAGCGCCATGCGTACTCATTTGCCCCGCCTCCTCTTCCTGTTGACTCCACCTTCTCAACAAGTGCGCTGTTAGATCTGAAGCTACTGCACAACTTCGTGGCCAGAACAGCACATTCCTTGTCATCGCAAGCAGAGACTCAGGAACTCTTCTCCACAGAATTTGTTGGACTTGCAATGCAAAATTAATATCTGCTGCACTGGATATTGACACTATCGGCTTTCCATCTAGTGAATGAACTGGAGAGTCTGGGCTCCTCGCAGCTCCCAACTTCCAAGTGCAGACCCTTATAGGGATATTTATCTCCAAGCGGCCTATAAGTACCACGAGAGTGCATTGAAAAGCTATCGCCAGATCCTGTCAAATGTGAATAAAGAAAGTTGCCATGGGAGCTTTGCCTGTGCATGCCTTCTGTTCATCACGGCTTTCGCCCGGCCAGCAGAAGTTGGATTCCAGATGGGCTAGTCACGTCTATCTATCAAAGGTGATCTGCTATCAGAGTGGACTATTCTTATAAAAGGTCTCCCGTATTTCATCGCCTATGATGGATTTCTCTCGGCACTTACAGGCGGGTCACTTGCCCTTCTCATGGCCGCAAAGGGGAAGTTTCAAGAAGATTCATGTCTTTCAATAGAGAGAGAAACAATATGCTCTCGGTTTCGGTACCCATCAAAAGGTCTCCGGGCCCACACCTCCGATGATAGAATTCTCCAGGTCTGTCGGTCTTCAATTGCGACACTCCATCAAGTGATAACAGAACTGAATCAGTCAGAGGGTCATGCCCTTGCATTCATTCTTCTGACCGATCAGGGTAGACCCTGCTTACCTTGTTCTTCTTGAAGAAAAAGCACCGGAAGCGCTTTTGGTATTTGCACACTAGTAAACTACTGTGCCCTGATTTACGTTGCAAGCTCCAGGTGGTGGACTAAGGACTGGCCTCGGCTGTCGAAGCTGTCAGAGACACAGTTGAGACTAAATGGAACCAATGGCTCTAGTGGCCCCTGGAGCTGGTCCTTCACAATCCAGAGAGCAAGTGGGTTTACGAAATCAATAATGTACGACCTCTGTAGCAAGTGAATAATGCATTTGCATAACTCCCTTTATTCCCCGCGTGACCATCTCTTCTGCCTAAAGTGAGGTGGTTCAGGTGCCCAGGTGGGATGTTAAGAGGACGTCGGCCAATGAACTGGCGAGCCGAGAATCTCGTATGATACCGTTTATACATGCACCGGACCTGACTACTACCTTATTGCTCTATCCCACCAATAGATCAATTCCACTGGCTTTATATGCATTCATAAACAATTGAGTTAATATATTCCGCTAACGCTACTGTGAAAAAGGCTCCTAGCGTCCGCGACAGGAGTCCTTCCGAGCCAATTTTATTCTCTGCGCCACACTCCCCTGTGATATAAGAACATGGCTTGTTCTCAGTTTCTCGATTATATGTCCCCAGATCACTTATTATAATTTTTCCCATCATGGCTAGCACTACTGAAAAGTCCACCGCGACCAGTCTCAACTCAGAACAAATGCTTACCCATGATACCGAAAGCATAAAATCGATACATGACCCCGATATTGTAGACTGGGAAGGGGAAGATGACCCAGCCAAACCAACGAACTGGTCAGGGAAGAAAAAATGGACAAATGGAGGTCTTCTTGCTCTCATGACACTCATCACGTAAGAACTATCACTCCACCGCGTCGCTGTCCATGAAGTGCCTCTGGATTATGAGCTAACAACTCAACAGTCCCCTAGCTTCTTCCATGTTTGCTCCCGGTGTTCAAGACGTGATGATCGATTTCAAGTCGCAGAGCTCCATACTCGCCTCTTTTGTTGTTTCAGTATATGTCCTCGGATATTGCGTCGGACCCTTGATTGTCGCACCACTTTCAGAGATATACGGCCGTCTCCCGATCTACCATGTCTCGAACGTCCTTTTCGTCATCTTCACCATTGCATGCGCTGTCAGTTCCAGCCTTGACATGTTGATCGTATTCCGATTCTTTGCGGGGCTTGCGGGCTCAACTCCGTTATCGATTGGTGGTGGTACATTTGGTGATATGTTCAAGGTCGAGGAGAGAGGCGCGGCCATTGCCATCTGGTCCATGGGCCCCCTCCTTGGTCCGGTGATTGGACCCGTTGCAGGCGGATTTCTTGCAGATGAAGCAGGGTGGAGATGGGTATTTTGGCTGATCACAATTGCCGTGAGCATTTTCTCGGTTCCCCTTGTTTTCCCCATGAGCCCTCTTACTGACTATATGACAAAGTCAGGATTGATGACCGTGATAATGTTCCTTTTCCTCCGAGAGACATACGAGATTACTCTTCTCAGCCAGAAAACCGAACGTCTTCGCAAGGCAACTAATAACCCCAATCTCAGATCTGCTCAAGACCTCGGTCTGCCGCCAAAGGAGTTGATGAAGCGCGCTGTCATTAGACCTATGAAACTTTTGATTTTCTCGCCGATTGTTTTGGCCCTATCGGTATACATCGCTTTCGTTTACGGTATTCTCTATTTACTGTTCACCACCATCACCTCTGTGTTTGTTGGAACCTACGGCTTCTCTCAAGGTCTATCGGGGCTTTCTTATCTTGGCATTGGCATTGGAATGATGATAGGTCTTGTATTGGTCGGTGGATCATCAGACCTACTTCTCAAGAAACTAGCCGCTGCCAACAACGGAGTCATAAAGCCAGAATACCGATTACCACCAATGATATTTGCAGGCTTGGTTCTGCCAGTAGGACTCTTCCTATACGGATGGACAGCAGAGTACGGCGTGCAATGGATGGTTCCGATCATTGGAACTGCCTTTGTTGGAGTGGGCTTGATTGGAAGTTTTGTAAGTGTCGTGAAATTCTTGGTAAAACAGCGTTCTAATACTCGTGCCAGATTCCCACCTCAACATATCTTATCGATGCCTTCGGCATTCACTCGGCCTCGGCAATAGCTGCAAACACCGTGTTGCGTTCCCTTTTTGGCGCCCTCATTCCCCTAGCAGGGCCCGATATGTACGAGGCGATGGGTCTTGGCTGGGGCAATTCCCTGCTGGGATTCCTCTCACTTGCCATGATTCCCATTCCGGTTCTTTTCTGGAAATACGGCGAGAAGCTGCGGACAAGCCAGAACTTGAAACTTTGAGCCTCTCCTTTTGAATTGGTAGCTTTTAGATATGAACAAAATGTATTTACTGTATACACATCCTTGACTTTTATTATTACTATTAGGGGTGTTTTATGTGTAGCACTGAGGAGATGCCTAAGTTATTCCACCACCTAGATGTCCAGTTGACTCCAGTCGCTCTCTCTTTGAGTTATTTCTTTTTTTCCTCTTCGTTCAATGATCTTTGTTGGGGAGGTAAACACTGAAGAACACATATAATCCATGTAGAGTGGGTCTCGTATGTCCATTGCCAGCCAATAGCAGCCTCTTCACTGGCTTGCGCTATCCCCCTATTAATCATACTAACCCGAACGGGTTAGAGTGCTCATACTCACCACGTTGGGCCAACACAAAGAATCTCTTGTTGTCCTTGAGCTATATATAACAGATGAGATCGACATTTACTATTGTGGAGTGGTCCTGCTTCAAGTCGGAATTTTGGTAATCCGGCGGGGAAAGCCCAGAGCATCTCCGTGCGGGACCCGGTTGTACATGCCTTTAACGAATGCTTGGCTTCTGATAACAAATCCCCCCTACAGATCTGGGTCATTTTTTGCATCTCACATATTGACCTTCCACTTCGATTTCTTCCCAATCCATAGCTCATCTACCACCTGCATTCTCATTGCTATTCGACATGTTCTTCCAAAGCGCCCACGCAGAGACAGACACGGAGGCTTTGCTCCAATTTATCCGCCAAAATCCTCTCGGAGTCTTGATCACTGGCCTAAACTCCTCCCAGCAAGACTTTTTACAGTGCACCCATGCTCCATTCGTACTCGACCTTCCTGGGGAAAATGGCAAGACCGACGCTCATCTCCGCGCCCACATCGCCAAGCAGAATCCACAAGTCAAGGCGATGATGGAGGCGGTGAATGACAACCCGCCGAACGTTCTTGAACTCGATAAGGACGTTCTGGTGCTATTCAATGGCAAGCACGATCACTATGTGACTCCCAAATTCTACACCGAAACAAAACCCACTACCGGGAAAGTCGTGCCCACGTGGAACTACTCTGCTGTCCAGGCATATGGCAAGATGTCGCTGTACTATGATTCCAAAACACCGGAGACCGGCGCATTCCTTGCCAAGCAGTTGCATGATCTTTCGCAACACACGGAGCAGTCAATTATGGGGTATACTGGTGGCGAGAAACCGAAGGCGTGGGAAGTGGCTGATGCGCCGAAGGAGTACACTGATCTCCTGAAGAAGAACATTGTTGGAATTGAGATTCGCATTACCAAGCTTCAAGGGAAGTTCAAGATGAGCCAGGAGATGCGTCCTGGGGATCGTGAGGGCGTGGTGGAGGGTTTCGCGAAGCTAGGAAGTGAGACCGGCACTGCGATTTCGGAATTGGTGAAAGAGCGAGCTGAGTTGCATGAGGCGAAGAAGGCCTCCAAGAAAGAATAGATACCCACGTCTGACATTATTTGTAACCCATTGATTACGATTGTTTATGATAGGACAGTTAGTACATGGAAGGCAGTTTACTATAAGCATACACAAGGTCATGCGGGGAAAGATATTTCTCTCTTCTGGAACATCGGGAACACGGATAAAGCTACACGTATGTTTTTATATTTTCTGCTCAGATCTTCTGAGCTATCAATACTGGGACTGCTTGCTTAACCTGACAGCCACTGCACCCCACGCCCTAGGGTGTTGACACCGACATAGACCATCTAACCCTCGGGGTCTTTTGTTTGGTGATATGATTCAACCGTCCAAAACCAGCGCAGATATGACAACCTTGGAAGATAAACCTTCTCACAGCATCTGAAACTCGCAAAGCCACGATCTGGTTATTTTCAAATATCACAATGCGAGCCTAGTCAGGATCGGTGCTATCAGTGTCTTTCTTCTTTCTTCTCAACCCAGCATTCGACAGCAATTTACACCAAGAGCCAAATTTCGTCAGAAGTTAGCGCATTGAGCTAAATTTGGACCCTGTGTCAAGAGCTCCATGATCATGCGCGGATCACTCGTTTCGACTGCTTGCGGGTCTCTTTGACGACATGTCTTTTGAGACTGATCCCCTTTTAGAATATTCGATGCTCTTTGCTCTTGAATTTCTTATACAAAAGGCCAAGCAATCGCTGAAGAAGACAGAAACAAAGAGCTTGGGAAAATAGACACGGAAACTCGCGCTTACTGGTCAATTTCACATCCTTTGTTTTTTGTCCGAGTATGACATTCAATGAGCGCCAGTCCAGCCATGCCTTGGTAACATTTACATGGTGGTATGTTCCCTCTATATAAGGCTTCGGTGGGCATTATCCAGCAGATGTCTCCAATTACAACATTATATTCTATAAATTTGATAAACACAGCATTTCCACCAAAACAAATCATCACTGTCATCATACACCAACCCTTCTTGCAATATGTCCGAGGCTGCCGCGCACACATTGCGAAAGAGGAAAAGGGAAGAAGGGTTCTACTCACAGAAATCTCAAGAGAAGGCGCAATGGAGTGGATATTCTTCCAGTTCAGCAGCGGGTCCGGCAATATCTTCTAGCACTCGCGTTACCAAGAAGCGTGGTAAAGACAAAGGCAAAGTCAAAGTCAAAGGCAAAAAGAAGGTCAAAGTCCGAAAGTCCCAGGATGTTGCTGCAGCTAAGGATGTTGCCCCAGCTAAGGATGTTGCCCCAGCTAAGGATGATGCTCCGATTGCACCTGAGCCGGAGTTGACCGCTGCAGAGCTTGCGAAGGATGTCCAGGTTTCTTATGTAGATACACTTCCAGCACCGCCAAAACGACCTGCAAAGCAAACATGGGAGCGTCCCAAAGATCCCATTACAGATAGACTGAAGGCGCCTAAAGGATGGACCTCCGACGAGATTGACTTGGATCCTGAGTGAGTTCTGCCCATAGAATCCCACGCTAGTGAAATTAACTCCGTTCCAGAATTGTGCTAACATATGCCACTCAGGGATTTGGACGCTCAAATTCAAAGATGCCGGGAGCGAATGAAAGATGATATCTTGATCGACGTCTACGAGTGGAAACTGGAGGGTTTCTTAAAAAAGAAGGAAAAGCGCGAGTATGGATCCCTTAAAGTCACTTTTCTTGGATGTTGCTAATTGGAAATCGCCACTGTCTAGTGCAATGATGGCCAAAGAGCCCGGCCTCAGTTGGCCTATCGTACAACGGCTCGAGCAACTTGAGTTCATTTTGGACTGGCTTCGGAAAGAAAATGATCCATGCCAACTAGTCAGCAATGTGCAAGCAATCATGACAGCATATCGGTCTGGCCAGTTAACCTGGAACCCGGGCTTGGTTACCTATTGGTCGTACGGAACGAAGTTGTGTCAGCCAAGGCCTTTCCGCTGGCATGAATTCAATATGATCAATGAAGATCGAAAGGGTCATACGGGCTTCTGGGTAGAAGGGGTAAGTCTTTCCATAAGCCCCACTTCAATCACGAATATACTGATGTCGGATTAGCTGCACGGTCCTGAACCTATGAAAACCAATCTCAGTGGTATAACCTTGGATGTTGCGTCTGACTCTCTTTTCCGCGCCGAAGTAAGTAGCATCACCTTACTATTTCCGGCTCCTTCTATTTGCTATCCAATTTCTAATTACCGATGCAGGTAAAAATGTTGCTCCGAATTCGTTCTACAAACCAATTTCTAACATACAGATGCTTTGAATTCCCATTTTGTTTTGATACTGGGGCTGATATAATGTGCATCTACGCTACTGATGTGGAACACCTCCTCAAAATAAACAATCTCCCAGACGCTATCGTCGACCAGCCTGCTCTTCTTGGAGTCGTGACCCGGATACTGGGCGATGGGTCCTTCAGCGCAGCCGTTGTGAGGCAATTTCAAGTCAATTTACTCGATTACAACGGCAGGGAGTTGAGCACCTGGGATGATATCCAGGTTTCTATAAACAAAGGCGATATTGGTCAACATGGTATGAGATTGGACGGGCCTTGGTCTCGTCAGAGACTATACACAACAATAATCCCCAATGGCACAAAGCAGGTGCATCTGGCTGATCACGCAATACAAGTGCCCGTGGCAACACCGGCACAAGTTGCTCAACCTATGACATATATGCCACTGGACGCACCTACTGCTAACATAAATCCAAAGCTCCCAGCTGGTGAATAGAGATAGGTTTCATCTTCCTAACATGAGGGATAGCTTCTGTTCCATTACTCTGCGATTGGGATACATCTTATGATATTGTATTGAGCTTTCAACCGTCTCGCTTGCGAAGAATATATAGTGAATTTTATGGTGATATGGTGAAACCATGCAATCTATCTCTTCGGCTAGATTATTCTTGATGCAGGCGTAATCATCTTGATCTCCTACGTCTTAATAGCAATCTTGGAAAGATCAGCATGCTCGTCGTATAGAAAGAAGGATGGAGAAAAGCATATAGAATTGTCTTGTGATCGATATTGTCTGCGAAAATAATAGAATCGGTCAGGAATCTATGACCTAATGAAGGACACTATCCGCCATGTAGAAAAACTGCTGACAAGTGTGTATCTTCCTTTATAAGCGGAGTCTTGCATCTGCATCTTGCATCTGCGCTCAAGTGCTCGTGACTTCATGGGCAAGACATCCCGAAGACTGAACCTCGCGTACTCCTCAATCTGCGAACTGTCATTGGCCAAAGGGCCCGATCGGCGAAGTACATAGTCGTCAATTTGCTCTAGTTCCGAACAAGGTAGGGGAAGCATAGATAGCGGAATGAGCCTGCCCGGGCATATGTCAGGTTTGGCGACATGGAGCCCAATAAACCCATCGGGGGATTAGCTGGTCGGCTTGTAGCACGCGTTGTAGCACTATGGTGGCGGGTTGGCGGGTCCGATATCTCTTTTCGGAAGACCAACCCGCCTCCTGATGGGTTGCCCTACCAAATTGGAATCCAGCCGTTCATCTGATCGGACTATAGAGATGATTGCCAGTCCGATGTCAAATTATTTGTGAACGTATAAAGAGCCCATGAGGTTAGCAAGAAGACCAGCAAAGATTGAAAGATATTCTCTACCAAACCTGCAAATCGCTCCATCATGGCTTCAATGTTACATTATTTCGGCTTCAACAACCCTGCCCCAAAAGAAGAAGCCAAAGCCTCTCCTGTACGCGCTTTGCCGGCCTCATGGTACACCTCACCGGAGATGTACGAGTTGGAGCGCCGGGCGATCTTTTCAAAGCGATGGCTCTTCATCACCCACAGCATGCGGGTGAAGAACACCGGTGACTGGCTTCGTTATGAGATTGCGGGATTTGACTTCATTATCACTCGCGACCGACAGGGCAATGTCAACGCCTTCCACAACGTGTGCCGACACCGTGCGTACCCAGTGGTCGAGAAAGAGGGCTCTGGAAACTCCAAGATTCTGGCTTGTCGGTACCATGGCTGGTCATATGGACTGAATGGCAAACTCGCCAAAGCAACGGGATACCAAGAGTTGAGCAACTTCGACAAGGAGCAGAACAGTCTATTCAGGATCCATGTCAAGGTCGACGTCAATGGATTTATCTGGGTGAATCTCGATGCAAATGAAGTCCCAGAAGTTCCCTGGGAAGAACATTTCCGGGACGTCGACAAGCAAGACCGATACAAAGCGTACAATTTCGATAACTACGATCTGGATCATTCCTATGCTCTGGAGGGCGACTACAACTGGAAGATCCTAGCGGATAATTTCAACGAATGCTACCACTGTCCTACCACCCACGCTGACATTCCTGAGTTCCTCAACCTTGAATCTTTTGACAGCGACCTCAAAGACGGACACATCCAACACCATTGCGAGTCTACGCCCGAACAAATTGAGAAAGGCCTTTACACTGCCAGTACCTATTACTTCCCCATGTCTGCCATGGTTGTCTCGTGAGTCTCCCCAGCTTATGCCTGACCAAATAAAACCACTGCTAACACACAACACAGACCCCATTTTATCATGATCCAGAAATTCCTTCCTTCAGGCCCCAAGAGCTCCAAAATGGCCTACGAGATTTACCGAAACCGCAACTCCTCCGATGCCGACTTCAAGCTCATCAGTGAGATGTACGCACGCGTTATGGGCGAGGACAAAGTCCTCTGCAACAACGCACAGAAGAACCTCGATCGAAATGTCTTTACCAATGGCGAACTACATCCCAAGTACGAGAAGGCGCCGCTCTTCTTCCAGAGCACTGTTCGCGACGTCATCACGGAGCATTTTGAGCGTGAAAAATCCGCGGGCCATCAGATCTGGCCGGCAAAGCCTAAGGCGGCATGTAATTCAGACGTCAGCGAGAAGGATGAGCAGATTTGTGCGTCTTTGGCCTGTGGAGCTCAGAAAGAGGTATTGGCTTGGTGATCATTTTTGGGTTCTTTTTTGTTTGTATTGCATCAGCTCCTTTGCGGGTTTTATGGTTTTTTTTGTGCGAGATTTTGGCAGTTACTATAATTTTTCAAATTGGATTTAGTTTTGCCATCTGCTGGAACTAGTATCGTGGACATTAGAGAAGAAAGGAGAGTGTAGATAGTCCCGATGTTTGTTGGCCCAAAGAAAGGAAATGGCGCCTGAGAGACCAGGCAGCTCTGCACCACTCCCGAGAGCCTCAATGGGGACCTTCCCGCGCCGTCCAGTGCCTTGTCGGCAATTTTTGCTTAAAATATCAAGTCAAAATTAACGATAGGAAAAGAGATCAAAAAAGGGGCACTAGATTAGATATCACCAATAAGACATATGTGGCAAACTAAGAATGGCCCCTTCTGCCTACGGGTGCCTAAAAAATAGGGCCAAGATCTCGTTGAGTCTAGTTGCTGTCAAATCGTATAAAATGTACTCCACGTACAGCTCGTAGACACTTTTTCTGATGCAAGTCAACACCGTTCAGATAAAAAGAGCCATGGCTTCATTCAATTTCCCCCCGGAGCTACTGGCAGTCATCGCGTCCCAGTCGGACGTAGAAACCCTCAAGGCTCTGAGGCTGACAAACCACGCGCTAAGTTCCTTCGCAACAGAGTGTCTATTCTCCGAGATTTCGTTGTACACCGAAGACGGAAGTTGTCAGGCATTCGAGTCCATTATCACACACCCGCAGTTTAAAGACCAAGTGCGCAAGGTTTACCTCAATACTGTCGAGGAGGACTATGTAAGTGAAGTACCAATCCGAAAAATTAGGGGGCAATATACACCATGGCATCATGCTCAAAGCCTTGTCTGACATGCGATATCTATTAGGGCTCATACGATGGGGGCGAAGAACTTGAGCTTCCTCATAAATGGCAGAAGCTTCTGCTCATGCTTCCAAATCTATCAAATCTTGAGAGTGTTGTGCTGCGCTTTGATCAGAATTGCGCCAAGAATCCAGATTGGAATGAGCCAGCTCAATCAGAAGATTACCGAGAAACTCTCGTTCAATGGTTGGGTGCAGGGTTGGCCTCATTGCAACAACCCCTGAAAGAGCTTGGAATTCGCAATCAGCAAAACGTGACCCCGCTCAGTGATGAATTCAAGCAAGTCTTGCCCACATTGGAGTCCTTGAGATTAAATACTGTGCACGAACTGGTGCCTGCCTGTCCGGAAAATGAAATTGATGTTTGTACATCTATAGCCCATTTTGTGTGCTACGTGCTATGAGCTGACACCGTGATGGATTGAACAGATTCAAGAATTACACGAGTTCTACGGAGGGATACTAGCGTCAGACTGGCTGAAGCCCACGATGGGATCTCTTCGGAGACTCTCTCTTTACTCCAACCTTTACTGGGGCTTTTACCCCAAATTCAGTCTGGAAGGGATCCATTTTCCAAACTTGCAGTCGCTCGCTCTGGGTAACTTTACCTTCTTTGAGGACAAGCAGCTTGACTGGATTCTCTCGCACTCATCGACACTCGAGGAAATTTATCTCGACGATTGTCCGATCATATTCGATGTGCGAATGTTGGATTACCAACTTTCTGAATGTCCGATTCCAGCATCTGAAATGCAATATGTGCTAGAGGAAAACGGGTGCGATGGCTGGCGCTATTATTATCCACGCCGGTGGTCTGACTATTTTGCCTCCTTTGAGGCAGGCCTTCCGCACCTTCGCCATTTCGCAACAGGCCACAGCGAAGCATGGGATTTTGAACCTGGCATGCCTTTTGAGCATGAGAAGGACCTCGTTCCAGTTCTTACAGAGGCCCGGTACATCCAATTTAATGGTGGTCTAGGGCCAAGTCAATTCATAACACCATCGGGATGTTACAACAAGGAGTGGCCAGTATGCGATGATGAAGATCGGGAAGCGTTCAAGTCATTGCTTCGGAAGATCGATCAACAGGTGAACTGTGGAGAGTTCACCATAGGAAATTTGGAGGTAGAGAATCTGGTTGAATTGCACTATTGAAGGCTTGAGATAAGTACAAACCTAGGAAATGAGCAAGAATGAGAATAGAGTCTTGGTGCTTCAAACTTCTTCCCTCTCACGGTAGAACAAGTTTTCTTCTATCCATTCAATATCTACTGATCTGTGAAACTGTCTCTAGAGATTTCGATTATGGACTCTAAAGTACGCATGTAGTCAGGTATATGATGGGTTTCTATGGAGATGGAGAGTGACATACAGTTCCCCATATCCTACTCTTTATATATCAACTAATCAAACACTGCGGAGTAAGGCACGCTGAATGTACCTAGGCAGGATGCTAAGGATATACATCGTGGCCGGCATATCGGCACGTGCGACCCCCGGTTCGGGAAAGGCGCAAGTCAGCAGACCAATCAAAATGCGCTGATAGCCACACTGAGTCAGCAACCGGGGCGGTGCCGGGAAGGCGCAAGAGAGCTGATCCCGGGCCTTACCCGCGGATAAGAGCTACCCCGGCCACCCCGCGCTGATATAATAGGGGACCAGCCGCCACTCGGCTGTTGGGGCTGACCGATGCCAGAATGGAACGATCTGTGATCCACGCGATCGACCCATCCGGCAGGTGGCGACGGTATTTTTTTGGGTTTAGCACCGTTGCAGTTCCCCCACATTGATGACCAGCCGAACGATATGCCGTCGCCGACCGTGTATATAGACCTTCGAGGTCTCTCCAAACTTCTTCACTTCTTCAACTTACAACTCACTCTCATCACACACAATGTCTTCCGGCCGCCAGTTTGACCCCACTTTCACCGACTCTGTCATCAATGGCATGGGTCCCAACACTCCCGAGCGTGCTCGCGTCGTTCTGGGCTCCTTGATCAGACACATCCATGACTTCGCTCGTGAGGTTGAGCTGACCTCCGCTGAGTGGATGCTCGGCGTTGAGTTTATCAACTCCGTTGGACAGATCAGCACTCCTATCCGCAATGAGGGCCACCGTATTTGCGACGTCATTGGCCTTGAGTCGTAAGTCTTACTTCAGCGTCACTTTTTTTTTTTCACAAGGAAAAAAAATTACCAAAACCAAAATCACAAAAGCTAATTGTTTTTATCTCAGCCTCGTCGATGAGATCGCCAACAAGATCATTACCGAGGACGGTGTCTCCCCCACCTCCAACGTCATTCTCGGTCCCTTCTGGTCTCCCAATGCTCCCTTCCGCGCTCTGGGTGACAGCATCATCCAGGACCCGAACCCCAATGGCCGGGTCACCTTCATGCACGGCGTGATCAGGGATATGGAATCCGGCAAGCCAATTGCCGGTGCTGTTCTCGACATCTGGCAAGCCTCGGCCAATGGCCAGTACGATTTCCAGGATCCCAAGCAGACCGATAACAACCTACGCGGCAAGTTCCGAACAAACGAGAAGGGAGAGTTCAACTGGTACTGCTACCACCCTACTCCCTACTCCTTGCCTACCGACGGTCCCGCCGGCGTTCTGCTCAACATCATGGACCGTTCTCCCATGCGCCCCGCCCACATTCACCTGATGATCACCCACCCCGAATACGCCACCGTCATCAACCAGATTTACCCCAGCGACGACCCCCACCTCGCCATTGACTCCGTCTTCGCTGTCAAGGATGACCTGGTTGTAGACTTCAAGCCCAAGACCGGTGATCCCAAGGCCTCTCTCGACTTGGAGTACAACGTCAAGATGGCGCTCAAGAAGCACCACCCCAACCCCAACTCCGCTCCCCCTGTGTCCTCATTCGAGCGTCACGCCAAGGCGGCCAAGGAGGCCCAGGGAAAGCTTTGAGCGGTTCTGAGCTATTTCAAAAGCGCAGCACGGTTGTAACGGCATTTGATATTGGTCGCGCATTTTAGCATTTACTTCAATTTCACGGGATAATCTCACATTCTACATCATTTCGCTCCTTCTCCTTGATTCCCCACTTATCAAGCTTAAGTCAAACGGCCCGTGCAGCGGATTAAGGGTCCCCCTGACACTAAATCCTCCTGTGCGACTAGCACGTAGATCAGCCGTCATGCCGCCGAGATCGCAATACTTAAATGTAAGACGTGCATGAAGGATCCTGGCCCACAAATCCGGGGTTCGCGCGTTTGGACCAGTTAGAGTTAACGTCGGCTTGGCCTAAGCTTTCATCCGCCAAGGTCTCCGGGTCGTGCCATGTTCCATGACACGCCGGTGTTACCATGACCAACACCACCACTAAAAACCCAAAATAACCTCGTATTCACAAAGAATCCCACATTCTGGATATATCATGCTTTAAAATATCATACTGGAAACTTCGAAGGTATAAAGACAAAAAAACCAGATATCAAAGACGCTATTCATTCTGTAGAAGTATCCTAATCACAACCCAACTATATCATATACAACCACCCTAGAAAGTCCTGCGCGGATGACCCGAAGGATCAGGTCTCCAGGAGATATCAGTTTCTTCCTCCGTTGGTTCGTAGTAGCCCGTGGAAGACTGGGGCTTTGCGTGGCGAAGGGCATCGCCAGAGAGGACATTAGACTGGTCGATTGCCTCCTTGTAATCCCGAGCTGGAGGTATTTGTTAGCGTGAAACAGAAGAAGAACGACCAGACGGAAAAGACACACTCATCGTCTCATCGACATCGGAAGAAGCAGGCTGAGGCTGATCTGCCATTTCGGGAGCATTAACTTGCGATCCCATGATGTGACTCTCCTGCTCGGACTTGGGGACTTTTGATTGGGACTTGTTGGGCATTTTGACGGATGGGATCGTTGAATATGTAAAATGGATCGTTGACTGTGCAATACTGTAGAGTGTGGAAATGATGGTTGGAGCGGCCATACTTTTATGCCCTGGGGTGATTGGACGTCATTATGACTATTCATGACATTTCGGTGAATTGCCCACGCTGGATTTGCCTCTCGGGATGAATAAATGGGTACATGTGTATATTATAGATGAGATGGGCGCTTGCAAATAGGTGTAAAACCATGGTCGGTGGTCATGACTGGAGGTTCAGCCCTGGGGAGAGTGGATCATGCGGGCTGAGTACTTTGTATCCAGCACATTGATGTTGGTTCTTTCTGGGCTACTTGAGGGGGGTCTGTAACTAGTTTTACCGTCGCCTCTGAGGACCTCTGTGCTAATGACAAGAGTGGTGCTTTACATCGATCGACATATATATCAACTTGCACACTACGTGGTAAATTGGTTGCTTACCCCGGAGTATGTCCAAGCCCACCTACATAGAAGACGTCTAGCTGTGAACAATAAGCATCAATTATCCACCTGAATCATACTATAGTCGCGCACTCCATATATCTCCGCTTGACCATTTTTCTGTGTCAATAGATGTTGGTCTATTCTCCTGAATAAATGACTGCGCCGATCCCCTTCCTGTTTATTTCCATTGCCTCTATCCTATCTCAATAATGTGTTTTATTGTTCATTCGGAAAGCTAGATATATTTCAAGTCCCCCTGTTGATAATCAGCAATTGGAGGAAGGGAGGGGGAAATAGGGTTTTGTGTACGAATAACCAATTAGTTTAATAGTTTAAGACATCATACACCAATGATTTGCAATCTTTGCAACCACTGGGCTCAGTGGTTTAGTGGTATAATTCATGCTTCGGGAGCAAATCTCAGGTTCAAATACCTAGTATTACCTATTATGCGTGAGGTCCCGGGTTCGATTCCCGGCTGAGCCCCTTTTTTTGCTCGAGCCTACTGTGGCTAGGCAAAAGTTTTAATACCCTCTCTGCCACCGCCTTCCGAACTAGTTATACCGCCCGTCATTTCTAATGTTTAATTGGTGGTGATTTGTTCTGCAGAAAAAGGGGTGTTAACACTTTTGCACACTGACTGTAACGTCATGTATTGCCTCTCGTTTGTAAGATCCTTGTGGTTTTAGGACATTCGGCTCAGTGGTTTAGTGGTATAATTCATGCTTCGGGAGAAATCTCAGGTACCAATACCTAGTATTACCTATTATGCGTGAGGTCCCGGGTTCGATTCCCGGCTGAGCCCCCATTACTTTTTTTTAATATTTTTTACTTCGCACTTGTCGTCTTCTCTTTTGCTCGAAAGAGCAAACTTGAAAGCTATAATAAACTAGAACTCCTTGATGGATCTCTTGATGTCCAGTCCGAATATCGGGCCAAAGATGTAAAATAGCATAAGCATAAGAGTGTACCTCAAATGAACCAACTGTAAATGAGCTGCGGTGTATCTTAAATGAGATAATAACTCCAAGGGTACAAGAGTAATTTTAAATTGTGTCCTGGACCATTCTATGCAATGTCTTCAAATGCTTAGATACGGATCATGCACTCCTGATTGTCAAGAAACGTCCAATCTCATCATAAAGGAGGCCGAGGTCTGCCGATTGATCTATAATCTTCACAACGATCACCACCGTTTCGGCGGATAACAAAGACATGTAAATACCCCGAGTGCAACCCCAATCTCATCTTCTGCTAAATTCCAGTTGATTTCCAGTAGGACTGGAGATTATGAAGAGGAAAAGCGAACCCTAATACAACCATAAGAAGTGCTGATATACGCCTGGTATACTGGCAGACTATCCCAGTCCCAATCCACAATGACGTCCAAATTTGAAAGTCTTATGCAAGCCCTTCCAGACGCAGAGATCTTTGTACCTGGGTATCTCGGGTACGAGGACAGACTGAAACGATGGAGCGCATCATGCATCAAACCCGCTGCCATAATTGTGTGCCCCCGCAATGCCTTCGAAGTAAGCATTGCTCTACGATACGCTGTGGAGCACAGGGTATTTCCTCTTGCGGTTTGCGGAGGGGGTCACAGCACAAGTGGAGATAACTGTTCCAGCGGGGGTATGGTGATAGATTTGCGCAAGATACGATCAACTTCCGTCGATTTGGAGAGACAGACGGTCACGTTTGGTGGCGGGTGCACCTGGGACGATGTCAATTGTGCGTTGTGGAATCATGGCCTTGCGACTGTCGGCGGGACTGTCGGTGATACAGGGGTTGGAGGCCTGATACTCGGTGGGGGCTATGGATATTTGACTGGTCGGCGGGGGTTGGCACTTGATTGTCTTGTTAGTTGTGAAGTGGTGCTGGCGAATGGGGATGTCGTCACGGCTAGCAAGGAAAAGAATGCTGAGTTGTTCTGGGCGTTGCGCGGTGCTGGTGCAAACTTTGGAATCGTGACGCATTTCACCTCTCAGGGATATCCTCAGGGGGATAGCTGGGCTGGCTTCTTGGGCTACCAGCCACAGAAATTGCCCGCTCTGGTGGAGTTTGGGAATCGTTTCAGTAAGCCGGCTTTGATAGATCGGATTTGTTTACCTTGCTCGAAAAAATGCTGATCCTGGAACTAACAGTGGCAGCGATGGATGGCAATTCGATGTTTAGCTTGATCATTGGCAATTTCATTCCGAAAAATGGCTCTGGGATAATGGCGCTTGTCTTCTACAACGGACCCGAAGAGGAAGGGAAGAAATTCTTCAAACCACTTTTTGATCTTGAGCCTCTAGCAGATACCACAAGCATGGTATCATATCCAGATTTAAATATGATGTTCAACAGATACCCCCGAGGGCCCGATGGCCGGCATCTGCTTGGCGGTGCGAATTTCACATTTCCCCTAGATGTGAATGCTGCCCAAGAAATCAGTGACTACTTCTGGGAAACCACAAAGAAGGCTGAGAATGAGAACCTACGCGGTAGTACGATAGCCTTTGAATATTATCCTACCCAACAGATTCGCCAAGTTGCAATAGGAGAGACGGCCTTCGCAAATCGTGGCCAATTTGCACCTATCTGTATCACTGTCAACTGGACAGATGAATCAAAAGATAAAAGTGCGCGGCTACTATTGAGGAACATCTCGCGGTATATTACCGATAGAGTTGCTTGGAAGGGCGATGAAAACAGTGATGGCACTAGCGTATATGGCAACTACTTGAGTGAGCCTTTCGACTTTCTTCTGCGCTTTGGTACATCAAGACTCGTAGCTAAGTCATACTTAGGCAGCATTACCAAGGCAGAAAAAGTCTACGGACCAAATTCACCAAGGTTGAGAAAGCTCAAGAAGAAGTACGATCCCAACCATGTATTCAGGAAGATAGTGAATTTGTCTCCAGTAGGGAAGGGTCAATTGCTAGAGTAACTGATATGAAGCCTGGAAGGAATTGCACTGGAAACCAAGGACCGAACTCAATAGGCGTCTAATCTTTATTGTAAATCGAACACCACAATATCTGAGTAAGAAAGGTCAACACGTGAAACAAAAAAGCAGGAAACTGGGAGCAGTAGAATACCCTCAACAGAAACAAGTTCACTAATTCTCAGCTGTCCTGAGATATATCCAGTGCCTTCTGTCCGATTCGCACGAGATCGGAATCCAGAAGTGTTTCCTTCTCGAACCCATCCATGACTTGATTTAGCACTGCGGCTGCAAGTTCATTTGGATAAATCTCGGGGACCGGCCGCCCGAAAATGTTGATGATGCGACAGATGTTTGCCATTAAACCTGTAGACCAAATTGTTGATTTAACAATAACCCCGGGCTGAGCGATGCAAACCTCCACTCCTTCCTTTTCAGTAGGGAATTTGAGGACCGTAAGCTCTGTGTTGCGCTAGTTTATCCCAAGGCATGGCGTTAGAGTAAGATATGGAGCAGACCATAACGTCTCTATCACTCACACGCATGACCTGATAATCCACCTTCATGACTGGCTTCCATGTTGAGTCTTCAAATTTCTCTGTTCTGACATACATGAAACGGAAGGGATGAACTGGTCCAGCCTCGTACATGGCCTCGAATCCAATTTTGGTGTAATCATGCCACGCACGGCTGACCTCGGAAAATCCAAATCTATCAGTCTGGAGGGGAATAGGGGAAACAGTCCTGTTGATCAAATAAAAATCAGTTGGCGAATCTAGGTTTTATAGTAAAACGCAAGGAAGAAACCGGCTGTGACATACCAGATACAAGCGTCGACACCAGTGAACTCAGCCTTGACATCATCAGGGTACTCACCATAGTCGCGGATGAGGACGCTTTTTAGCTTTGACGAGTCGGCACCTTCATCAAGCTGGATAGGTTTGCAGGACAAAGCAATGACCTGGGTGATATCGGGGATTTGGAGGCTTTGTCTCACAATCTCAGTGCCCAAGAGACCGGTCGCGCCAGCTATAATGAGCTTCATCGTGGACCAGTGATCTGTCTCTGTGTCTCTTTAGAGATAAGATTGGCTGTATTGAGGAAGGCAAGTGAAACAAAGTGGAAAAGATCGGCTTGGAGTTTGTGGAGGTCGATAGTTCCTTCCTCGAAGAATACAGATGCAATATTTGCAGCTTCCCTTTTCGTCCTTTCTCGTTGATGCCCTGGAATATTAGCTGGCCTAGAAGCAGTAAATAAGGGGAAGAAGCAGCCTGAAAAAGTGAAGAAAAAAGTGAAGCAAGTCTAATATCCAACGTAGAAATAACAACGAAAAAAAGAAAGGGTAGGACTTGTAAGCCAGGACAATCACACAGCAACTGGTCGGATCCGTCGTCAGGGAAGGAGTTGTCCTTTTACTTAAGGCAACCAGGGCAAACATGGGCCTCCCAATCGGGAAGGTGGGTCTATGCCCTCTTTGTTTGACGACAAGCCTTTCAAAAGATTCACCTCCCTGGAGTACCCTTACAATGAAACCTGCTCTGCATTTCAAGGCTTCAACGTGAAGCTTTGGGCTGATTGGGTACCTACAACTGACCTACTGACATAGTAGAAGGTACAGCCCAGGCACCCCAATGCCATTTCTTGGGCCCAAATCCCTCGTAGGCCTCTTCAGCTGGACAGCCTGACATCACCCCCAGGGGGATTTAGGTTTGGTTATACGACACGAAGAGTTGATGTCCCGCTTCTCAGGCATGAATGGGCGGATGTTGTGGAACAGTATTTGAAACATCTTGTTCCGAAGAGCTCAGTGGTTGAATACCTTAGGTAGGTATGCCCCATCTGGAACGGACAGTGACACCAATGTGACCGCCCAAATTATAAGATCTTACACATATGGTCGATGGAGAATCGGAGGCCTCGTTGACTCCTTGTTATCACCTTTTCCGCGACTGATCATAACAGTGCTTACCTAGGATCCAGTCTATCATTGAGTCGTAAGTCATTACATGTTGTTCGATTGAAGGCTTCACACTGAGATCTTATTTGCACGGAAAAGTTGATCAACCAGAAAGACCCCCTCCCCCCAAAAGATGTACTCTCTAAGCCCGCTTGTGGTGGTTGGCCTTGGTCTAGCCGTCTCAGCCATGAGCGATATCTTTGATTCCAAAAACTACGCCGAAGCGAACGTAATTGTCTCCGATATTGCTGTCATTGGAGGCGGTTCATCAGGAACATATGCTGCAATCAACCTGCGCAAAATGGGGCAGAATGTAGTGGTCGTGGAGAAAAGGAAACACCTCGGTGGCCATACAAACACGTACACTGATCATGCCACCGGCCTCACTGTGGACTATGGTGTACAAAGATATCTAAACAACTCCGTCACACTCGACTATTTCGCCCACTTCAACATCCCCCTTGTCAACTACACTGAACCCAATCTCATCCATTCGCTGGCAGACTTCAACACGGGTAATCCAGTCGCTTTCAATCCCAGTAAAAATCTGACCGGATGGGCAATCGAGCTTGCTAAGTATCCCTGGCTAGACTCCACCTGGAACGTGCCGCAGCCACTTGCCCCGGATTTGTTGCTGCCTTTCGGAGACTTTATTAACAAATACAACCTTTCTGAAGTTGCATTTAGCGTTTATCTCAATGCCCATGGGCTTTCAAATCCACTACAACAACTGACTGTTAATGTGATGAAGTTGGTGAGCACTGAGTTCCTAAGTCAAATATCAGGTGCTGGCGTTGGGCCCGCACATCATGATAACTCTGAGCTATACAAAAAAGCACTTAGTGAGCTCGGCTCCAACGCTCTGGTATCCTCGGCCGTGACGGCTGCCGCAAGACCCCAATCTGGACGAGGCGTGCCTCTGGTTGTCAAGACACCAACTGGCTCTAAGCTTATTCAAGCATCCAAGCTACTTATCACCATTCCCACAACCTTGGAAAATATGGAACGATTCGACCTCAGCCCAGCGGAGCGTGCTTTGTTTGCACAGTGGGACACCATGGGCTTTTATATTATGCTCGTCAATAACACCGGCCTACCTGATGGGCATCAGTGGATCAATGGGGACTCATCTGCCATGTACAACATCCCTCAGCAGCCTGCAGTGGAGCTTATAACTAGCACCCGCATTCCAGGTATGTTCTATGTCTGGTTCCGCAGCTCCTCACGAATGGCGCGGTTGGCAGTCGAGAAGGCGGCTATTCGGGCTATCCAGAACATACAGAGCGCGCAGAGCTTCACGGTCACAACTCCTCAAATTGTCAAATTCAAATCACACTCGCCTTTTAAATTGGAAGTGTCCGCTCAGGCCATCAAGGATGGCTTTTATAGTGACCTGTACGCCCTGCAGGGACAACGCAATACCTGGTACACGGGGGCTGCGATGATTTCTCACAACGGAGGAGTACTTTGGAGCTTTACCCAAGCACTATTACCCCATATAATTGCCGCTGACTATATATGGTGTTGAAGATCAATGATTGAAGGGTTTCCGTTTCGGAAATAGCCCCATATTCGTCTGCCAGAGCTTAGTTGACCGGATTTGATATGCACTTGGGCTTGAACACCTTTTACTTGCGCAATCCAGAATTTCAAGAGATATGCTTTGCATAAAGCTATATATAGTTCTTAGCGCATCATGAGGCTGCTGTATCAATCATGTACAGTTGAACTGGTTTATTGACACCTTCAATGGATTCACGATGCCGTCATATAAGTGCTTGTCGATCCAAAAGGATGCAAAAGAGCTGGAAGCAATTTCAAGGTAGCCGAGATTGAACCTCGTTATCTATTCACACCTTCATGAACTCAAAAATTGTCTCTTCTCCCAGAATATACGGCAGCGTCATCATCCCCCCACCTCTTGCGACGAGCAAGTGGTTGGCCTGTTGAATTAGATTGATGGCAACTGGTGAGTCGTTTTTATAACGATTTTCTTTGGTTTTGGGGGAACAAGCCGTGTTTATACCACTTCCAACGGCTTCTGGGCTTGGGAGTCATGGGGTATCTCTGTGAACTCGTCAAACGAGAAAACCCTGATTTCCACCAATTGATATGCCATATCCTGTGAAAATACCCCAGGAAGCTTGCCTGAAGCACCCGCTATAGCCGGATTTCGGATCTTCCATCCCGTTGACGTGTTGCAACTCCCGAGGTCCGACCGGACTTCCAAGGTTGGCCATACTCCGGCCCGACCCGGCGCTAACAAAGTAGGAGGATGGATCCTCGGAGGTTATTTCAAACCTTATCGACTCTCTGTCACTACGTGGGTGCTTCCCAAGGCTGGCGGGATTAAACCCGAGATTTGTGCCTGAGGAAGAGTATGTGAAATCTGGATAGCCGTATAAATTGAGGCTGCCCACATCGTGGTGGAGCTTGAGATGACTACTCTCGTTTGTGCACGTTGCCATGTCTATCTGCTACGAGTCATTTTGCTCTCAGTGCTTGTGATATCTAGCACAATCAATGACACGCGGTCTTGGGGTGTGTCATCATCTGAATCTAAGCATCGAGAAGGGATGGGGCAGCCGTAGTCCCGCCCTGCGACACTCCATACCGACAGAGGTCCTGCGGAAACCACATCTGGCCAGTCGAGGTCTTAACCAATTAACACGGGTACATATCTTATCGCTGTCCAGAGGTACAACGGAGAGCCTGAGAAAAGGATGAAGAGCCGCGCCCTGGAGCCTAGCCGAGTATAAGCACTAAAGCCGTTTACCAATTCCAAATACTTACAAGCTTTTTCGGCGACAGGGCAGGGCTGGACCGGTAGCGAGGCCGCCAAGGTACTCATCCTTTGCCGTGGGTATCTGCCGTATACCCAATAATTCCTGCCTAATGGTGCTGGTGGCAGGGACATCATGCATGTCGGGGATGCCGCATGCATAGAAATGTCATTCGTAAGCCTCGACGCTTTATTGCCTTTCGAGCTAACTCAACTGTTGAGTACAAGGTAGACCAGGAGCTAGGCTGATACGAATAATTCATAGTTAATATACAGTATATTATACTTCAATGACTTTACCGTCCTCGTATTTGGGCGGTACTGCTACTGCCACCCGTATATGCGATCCGCGCGAGTCTCGCGTGGCTCTGGCGGGGGAATATCAACCAATTATACGAGACCTTAATGTCCTGTTCCAGGCAAGATAAGTAAATCTGTGTCTTGGTTATATGGCCATTATGTCAGGTTACATCACACCCAAAGTTCCGCTGCCTCCGTTTGCGACTGTTTGCGATTGCAACTGTGTCAAATTGCTGTCCTTCTGTGAAGACAGGGGGAGTATACTCAGTATCATCCGACTCATCACAAGAGGTTTATCACAAGAAGCAGATTACATGGGCCCGAATCATTGTGCCGTGCCGAAGGAAAATGTGTGAGTTGTGCTGATGTTGGGATCGACTTTGTCTGTCGCCCACCCTTTTTGGTACACTCAGACAACCGCGGATCTAATGACCCATACTGCTAAGTGACTGTTAACTTCAGCTTCGTTGTCAGAGTGAGAAACATCCACAAGATTGGTGGGCTCAGGACATCTTTGCTCCCCAGATTGTTTATTCGGAGATTGAAAAAGGAATCTTGAAACGGGGCAATGATCTAATTAATGTCCCGTACATCTTTGGGGGACAATGCACGCCTCGAGATTGACGTTTGTGTCACGCACCCAGCTCTGTCGGGTTGTGAACATACCACTACACGTCCCCTCCTTCATGTGGTATGTGTCGTGACAAATAATGATTCCAAATAACTGTCCATGTGCCCCCATGTGCTCAGATCGCCACCAACAACAGCCAGTCGGCGCAGCGTATCCTCATAGCGACCTGCCACACCATGTACCGTTTAACAACCGGAACTTCAGTCTTGATGAGCAACAAACCAATTCGGTTAATAGAGCAGATGGCCAAATGACAGATCAATCAACTGTCCACCCTCCTGATCAACAAGCCACAGATACGGCTGACCGGCTCTCTTGTTGATACTACATACCCAAGTGGCGTGATCAAAGCAATCGAGGCTGTTGCCAGCGCAGAGACGTAAGTCCATTGGTAATAACCAAGGCCTCTAGCCGTTTACCCGCGATGAAGCACCTTCTTAGCTGATTGGAAGTATTGAAAATGAAACAAAAAATAACATTTTCTACACTAAATTACTGATCACGCCATGCGGAGTGGGATCTTTCGAGACGGAATCGGGGAGACCGAGTAGACTTTCTACAAGTACGACGGGCGAAACAGATGGTAGTAGAAACGGATTCATAGATAGACGATTTAGGAAACAGTCTATCCATAATTGCCGACCTTTGAGCGACTCAGGCTTCAGTGCACTGAATGGTCATACTAAATGCCTATAAATACCAAGTACAGGTGTCTCTCTCACAATGGAATAGGATGAGCTCTATCTTAAGGATGCAGTAGATTCAGCATCAGCACTTTCCTCAAACCTTACCATGTCGGGTTCACGACAGCAACCGGGACTGGTAAGATAATAGTCTCTTAGCTCATAAGAAATCTCTTGGTCCTGACGATATAGGCCTGTGAGGAATGTCGCAAAAAGAAACTTCGATGCGACAGGCGACGGCCTCAATGTGACCAATGCGAGGAATCAGGCACAGCTTGTCTGGTCAATCAGATCCGATCACCACGAGGTCCAAAAAAGGGACATCTTAAGGCTCTACGTAATCGCATTGGTGTGTCATAAATAGATCCTGATATTCCCTCACCACTGATTGAAGCTTTAGCAACCCTTGAAAGCATCATCAACTGCGATCAAGGCAATTCCAGTGCTAGGGATGCATCGGATGGCAATGAAAAATACCAGTCAGACGAGACGGTACAGATACTCAGTCCACCGGAAGAATACATCCCCAATGCCCCAAACTCAGAATCTCGTGATATCCCATACAATGTTGGGACATCACCGCTCAGCACGCCAGTGACCTCAATGACACCGCCCGATGAAGAGACATCCGATATAATCGAGGCAGATCTGTACGCAATCTATTTTATCCTAGCCTATATTTGCGAACAAAGCTGACGATCAGTTCAGTGATCAATTATACTTCGACAGAGTACACCCTGTCGCACCAATGCTTCACCAAGGCCGCTATTTCTCCTGGTCACAGAGATCCGACAAGCCTAGCTCTCACATCTGCCTACAATATGCAATGTGGGCACTTGCAGCAGCTTCATCTGCTCATTTACAACACATGCGAGAGTCGCTCTACACACGAGCACGATCCGGCATTGAAGCTCTTGACCACGACATTGAATCTACCAATGCGGCTTGTCTCCAGGCAGCCCAAGCATGGCTTCTACTGACTCATTATGAGTTTCGCTATATGAGCTATCGCCGCGCATGGCTAACTGCAGGGCGAGCTTTTCGTCTTATTCAATTGGCCAAATTGTACGAGATTGATCGACTCAACGAGATCAACATAAACATGGCACATCCTGAAGCATGGGCTGAGGCTGAGGAGAAGCGACGGACATACTGGCTAGCATATTGTCTCGACCGATTTCTCAACATCTCCGATGAGTGGCCTCTAAGCCTCCACGAGGAAGCGGTAAGTTATACCATGTCTTCTATATAATGATCTACCGAGCCAAGCTGATCTCTGCCTCAGCTCTGCACATATCTCCCTGTCTCGGAGTCAGACTTTCAACACAGCAGGCCAGTAGTAATGGGCTCCTTATACGAGGAAATCGAAAGTTCAGGACAGAGAATGTTACCACCTTTCGCGGAGACAATAGTCCTAATCACACTATGCTGGCATAGCGTTACATTCCAACGAGCTGAGAATAGTGGAAAGGCATCCCCGAGCGAGCCAATGGACATCTGGAAGCGTCATAGCCGACTCTACCAAATGGCCCAGCAACGACTGATGTTAATTTCACTCCCAGCATCCGCACCCGAGCTCCACGATCCAATGCGACTATTCACTAATATGCTAGCCAATGCAGCTGTGATATGGTTTTACAATATGATGGAGATCCTCCAGGTGGAGATGGAAGAAGATATGTTCCTGGTACCTTTGTACTCGGCATACGAGATAGTAGGTTTAGCGAAGCCGCTTACTCGGTCTAGCTTCTTTAAAGTGAGTCTCCTTCCTGAAACGGACGAGTTTGAGTTTGTCTCACATAAGTACACAGGCACATGCATTCTCACCCATGCTGTTGTATCTCTCGGCAAAGTTTCTTAACGCACATGCCAACCAACCGAGCACATGTGCTTCTGCGTCGGACGATAAGCAGCAGAAGTTGGAGGAATTGAAAAGGGCTCTTCGGGTTCTGCAAGGAGGTAACAATTTAGCTGTGAGGTACTTGGGGCTGCTGGAATCCGGCTCGTTTCACAAGTTGTGCAATATGTCCGCTGTTCAAGCGTTTGCTATGTCTGAGGTCACTGATCAGAGCGAGCCGTCCTTCTTTTTGGATATCACACATATCTTTTAGTTTCTTGCCAATTGGTGGGTCGAGGCCGGCCTTCCTTCATGTATGTACCCTATTCAAGTCATCTTTACTAAGGGGTGGATTGGTTGATATGAAACTTCATATGAAACCAAGTGATCCAATGCCTTGGGTTAGATTAGCCGCTCTCTGTATTTACATCGCAATGTTAAGGTTTGACTATTCACTCTTGTTGGCTGGGGTTGGATGTCTCAAACGTCCTGTGAACTATCTAGGTAAAATGTAATACATACATGCACCTAGGCACCTGGGGGATATTACCTTGATTACAAGGATCTATTAGATACGGAATGGATATGTCTCAATTTGAGTTGAACCTGTTAACCTTGGTAAACTATGATGGATCTGTGGGTTCTCACTTTATGGCATGAGATAGTCAAGGCAAAAGGCATGCAAGGTTTCGTCAATCCTTGTGGAAATGATAACATATGTAGAGAGCATCAAGACCTGGAAACCCACATGAAGATCTCAGCGAATTCTCAAAGCGAAACTACAATCTTTTGGGCAGAGACTCCCTGCATGTGGAAATCAAAAGCCTTCTGAATATCGCCCAGACCCTTACCCACAACAAAAGCCCTAGGGGCAGCAATAAAACCCCCATTCTCGAGAGCACCGGGCAGGAATTGGCTGTAGATCGAAGCGCCCACCTCGTTGTGGGCCAAAGAGGTACCGACGATAAGCTTGGTTTTCACGCCACGGAGTTTCGACTTGATAAATATGGTTATTCTCGACCACACCCAAGCACCCATCGCGCGCACGATCCCGAAAGTTGTAGTTGGTATTGTTTCAAAGGACAGAGAACTGGCCTGAGCCACGAACTTTGAGCCATTTGTCTTTGCGAGAATCTCGATGCAAGCCTCGGTCGAGCCCTTCCCAATCGCAATAGCCCCAGCAACCGCTTTGTTCCGCATAATGTTGACTATCTGCTGGATAGTAGCCTTGCTGTGATAATCAAAGACATGGTATGCCCCCAGGCTTGAGACGTAGTCAAAATTCGTCGGGGAACAGGTAGTGACGACTTCGTAGCCCGCTGCGATCGCGAGTTGTATGGCATTGCTGCCCACGCTGGTCGATCCACCCCACACCAAGACCACTTCCGGAGTCGAATCAGAGGGTGCGGCTGAGGCATCCGGCAGTTTGAGAGCGAGGTAGTCCTTTTGGAACAACGCGGACGCGGCAGTCGACAAGCCGAGGGGAACGACACAAGCTTCTTCGTAAGACATCCAATCTGGGATCAAGGCGGCCATATTGTCACGGATGACAGTGTATTTCTGGAAGGCGCCCTCAGATGACTTGTTAACAGCAGGATCCATAGAAAGGGCATGAGCAAGGACACGATCGCCGATTTTGAAGCGACTGACATCGTCGCCGATCTGAACAACCTCACCAGCGCAGTCGTTTCCAAGCACAAAGGGGTATTTCATCCATCTAGACGCCATGTTGCCCATCAGCTGCTTGGTCCATTCAAGTCGATTAACCGCAACAGCTCCATTCTTGACCACGATCTCATTGCCGTGCGGGTTGGTGTATGGTGCTAAGCCAACCTTGAGAGGACGAGCTGACTTGGAGCTAAGCCAAGCAGCTTGGTTTGAGGCCAGCATGGCGATGAGAGATCAAGCTTTAGAATCGAGAGATCTGAGGCTGGTTGCAAGATCAGGTCTCTGAAACAACAATGTAGAGCAAATAGAAGATAAAGTGTCAAAGTTGACAAAACTCAGAGGGTCAAACGCGTCTGGATGAGGGTCACTCATTGGAAACAACGACCCTCAAGGCAGCCTCCAAAGATTGTTCCTCTGAAACTGATTGTGAGTTATATCAACAAGTTGGTGATCCACCCATTCGCCGTGTTGCCTAGGTCTTTCCTAGTTCAATGAATGAAATATCTCTACCTCTTCTTCTCCGTATTTATCCCCCAGACCCAAGCATCTGTCCTCAAACTCAGTGCCCTTTGACTTTGACACCGAACAAAACAGTCGAATCCTCGTGCTGCCGCGAAGAAGCGAAGCTGAGAGCTAGGGAGGAACTTCCTACACTGGTCACCACTCTTACCCGAACAAGAAGCTGGAAGCTTTCAGCGTGCACAGAGACTATTAGATACTTGCTGCAAGAAGAGTGCAGCACCTCGGACCTCCTTGCCCAAGCCCTCGCTGGCGTCAACAAACGAGCTCTCCCAGATATTCAATGGTTTGAGGATCGGCTACCGAACATCGCTGATAACATGCTGTTTCCTCCATTCGAACGGGAGGAAAAAGAAGGTACAGTACTACTCCAGGCCGATGGATGCCAGAACCAGACTCAACATTAGATCAAAATTATATCTTCATAGACGTCGGTGGGAGACCGACCTCAAACTTCTAGCAGCCTATACTGCACTGCATGGGCATATCGACCATCGCACATATACGCGTCGCTCAGCCTTGAAAGAATACAACCGCAAATCATAAAGTGTAGCCTTTGCATTTGCACGAAAGTATGGGAAAACCTAACAGGGCAAAACCTATACCAAGGCTAAACTAACCCCTTGAAAGCCACCATCCCCGAATATACAACCAAGCTGGATTCCAGACTTGCACCTATCAGCAAATATATCCACATCGCATGCTCTTACACCAACTGTCCACTGGTCCACGATGAGAGTTTAGTGGGCTTCCGGTCCTGGCCGTGAGACCTCATCCAGCAAGTACCCTCCGTGTTAGAGGTAGCCCAAGCGAATCTCACGCAACGGGCGGTGCGGGCACACATATCACCACAAGCAGCGAAGTTGGCTACCTTGGGTGTACCGAGATCCCAAGCACCGGGGTCATCCACTGATGTTGAGTTAGTATAAATTTGGGAACGAAACTGGATAATACTGACACTTGGCATAGTAGATTTTGAAGTTCTTGCCGCCAGCAGGCAGAATGCAACCGTCATCGCGTTTTTCTTCATATTGTTAGTACTGGTCATCTTATTGGTTGTGTTGGGTATTCCAAGGATCGCTCACCGGCGTTCACAATTCCGGATCGGCATGAAGAACCGCCCTTGCATTCCTTGTGCAGGGCCAAGTATGTGGAATTAAGGTTGTCGATAGTAGACTGCAAGGTTGTGATGGTGGATTGAAGCTCAGAGATCTCATCCTGATGCTTGATAATATCAAGAGAGAGCTGGTTGTTCTGGTTTTCGCATTGTTGCTTCTCGAGGTTCAGTTGAGCCTTATCCTCATGGCATTGAATGGCTTGTTGGGACTTCTCTTCATGGCATTGACGCTGTTCCTCCCGGCATTGACGCTTCTTCTCGGTGAGCTCGTTCGAGTTGCGAATACACTCGCGCTCTGCGTTCTCAGCGCGGTTCTTGTCGGCCTCGCACTGCAGACTGACCGCCTCGTACACTTCTCTCTCATCCTCGCAACGGCCCTTGTCTTCGAGGCACTGTGCCTTGTCGGCCTCGTACACTTCTCTCTCATCCTCGCAACGGCCCTTGTCTGCGAGGCACTGTGCCTTGTCGGCCTCGCAGTTCTTTTGTTCCTCCAGACACTCCTCCTTTTCCTTGTCACATTCATTGGATTCGTCGTCATCGACGATTTTAGAAATCAACATTTGATCTTTGTTGGCCTGGGAGTCGAAGGTTTGGCTCATAGCGAAGAAACAATTTCCACGCGCGTTTGAGCCGGTAATACGCCACGAGGTAGCATAGCAAGTATCATCCTGTGCGCAAAGCTCGGCACATTCGTAGGCACTTCCCACGCTGTGACCCTTGAACTTGGACGGGGTTGGGACGAATCCACAGGTGAACCGGAAACGAACATCGCCAACAGTTTCTTCTCCTTCAGTTCGCCCACCAGTGCAACAGGCGTTCGCCTCGGGTGAGGCTAGACATGGAGGGTCCGGAACAGGCTCAGGGGCTTTTGCAAGTAACATGAACAATTTGTCTTCCTTTGCCTCAAAGTCCTCACCAATGGCGAAGAAGCAATTTCCACGCGGACTCGAGCCGCTGATCCGCCACGAGGTAGCGAAGCAAGTGTCATCCTGTGCGCACAGCTCAGCACATTCGTAGGCGTTTGCAGCTTTGTGTCCCTTGAATCTAGGAGGGCTAGGGATTGAGCCACAAATATATTGGAAAACAGTCTCACCAACAGTCTCTTCGCCTTCGATTGCTCCGCTGGCGCAGCAGGCCGCTGGATCAGATGAGGATAGGCATGACTCCTGAGCCAAGGCAGAAGCTGCACTCAGCAGAAACAGAGTAGATTTCAGGAGCATGTTCAACTCGTGAAACTAGAGGTTTGAGTCTGGGAATGCGCTCTCATGACACATTCCGGTATTTATACATGGCATGTGGACACAGCGGTACTACCTAATCTCGATGGCACTTTCGTCACTTGGTGGACCACACGGTCAGGACAGTACACGTATACTAGAATCTGGACGCGGTCGGTAAGGAGAGTATAGCAGTTTGTAACTAAACCAGCCGTACGGAGTATTTGCTGCGTCGATCGACTGTATATCCCGTACAGAGTGCTCCGTACCGTGAAGTGTGATGTGACACCCCTAGCTGAGGTTCAGCCAAGCCGCATTCTGAGGTATCAGTTGCTGACGAACGTCACTTTGAGACAAAACGCACTGCATTGCTCAACGTGGGGAATTCTACGGAGTATGCCGCTCTTCATCATTTGTGTTACATGACATGTATACGGAGTAATGAAGATCTAGATGCAATTTGGTGGAGTAGAGTGGAGTAAGGAGTCTGCAGCAGTTGCGGCAATAGTCTCTCAAGAAAAAGCAAGCTGCAGTTATTAGGCCCAAATTACAGAACCCCTCTTCTAATTACACAATACATCAGCATACTGATGCTGAGAATGGCCCGGCATTGGTGTGGTCCGTACGGAGTATGTATACAGCTTTTGCAACCATACAGAGTACATGTACGGAGTAGATCAAGACAGTTCTGCAGATGCATTGAAACGCGAGGTTGATTCCTGCTCTTGCATCTACGATAATTGAACACGTCAAGACTTACGAAGTAGGCTCTCTCAGCTCAATAGGCTTTTGCCAGTGGTCTACTCCGTACTTCGTACTCCGTACATCCTTAGAGGACTGGTTGTTTTCGGTATACACGGTTTAGAAGATGGAAGTCAATGACTCATGAGATCTCACTTGAACACATAGGTAATAGGTTTCAATCTCACAAACCTCCAAAATATGGTATCTTCTTTGACCCGGTGGTGCTTACTAGATTAATTGCTCCAGACTTGAGATCTCGCTTTGATATTTGAGATGAAACAATACTACATATCAATCTGCTACCTACACACCTGGAACTGGTCGAGCCGTCGAGGACAAGCATTAACTTGTCTGTGTGCACCCTACCCCCATGAGACGCGGAATTGATTGGTGGTAGTGATCATTCTTTTTGTTGGGCCCGTCCTTTGTCTTCCTATGAAGCCTCGCTAAAATGTTTTGATGCAAGTATCTAATGCCCCAGCAGCCAAGACACTTGGCAACACGGAGCATTATATACCTGCTTCAAAGAATACATTCAACTTGAAATCCGAAGAGGAAAGAGCTAAAATTGCACAAAGGCTATCCGCAGTCATACTTGCGCCAGTTGATCTCCGAGTACAACAACATTCTTTGTTGACGGTGCTTGATATTGTACATTGCCTTACTCATTTGGGTCATTTGAGATATCTTATACAAAAGGTACTGGTGCTCTCGACTTATGCTGTTACGCCCTCGGGCCTTGCGCGATACTGTAAGCAGCGAACTGATGTTTCATATTATTCCCTATCCGCATTAATGAAAAATGCCTCCGATACGGTGCTCTCAGCAGTAGCATTGATGGTGTAGTGCTTTGAGGACCTCAGATCTATAAAGGCCCGGGTTCGATCTTTCAAGAAGTGTCGTACTAGCAACCAGTCCGTGCAAGATGAGAACTTCTCAATATGGCATCTTTCTTGCCCTCTGCGGTCTCTGCGTGATTCATATGGCAGCTGCACTGTCTCTAAGGCAACCGGAGGTCAGTACCTAAATTTCCAATACTCCAATGCAGGACTCTAACTGATAGCAGTCTGGATCAATTCATAAGCGCTTTGACTCTACCTGTCGCTCTGTTCTCAGTGAAGCCGGTGATACCTGCGACACGCTAGCTGCCAGATGTGGTATCTCGTCAAGTGCTTTCATTTCCTTCAACCCAGACGCTCCTTGCGCCAATATACCCATCAGAAAACCCATGTGCTGTGCGACTGGAGACCCCCTCACGCCACCGGTCAGGGATTCCGGTACGTGCTACACATACACCATTCGCGATGACAATAACTGCACAGAGATTGCCAAGGGATACGATGTCACTGTGGCCAATATCGAGTATTGGAACACCAATACTACTGGCTGGTACGGGTGTAATAAGCTACAGATTGGCGGGCAGATGTGCCTCAGCCCCGGCGAGCCTCCCATGCCAGTTGCCATTGAGAATGCAGTCTGTGGCCCACAGGTGCCTGGGACAGCACGTCCGTTGTTTTGGACTGACATTGCCTCTCTGAATCCGTGCCCTGCAGGCCAGTGTGTACGTTTTGTCAAGATCTCAAGGATATTGTAGCCGAGACTGACCTTACGTATAGTGTTCTACATGGGGTAAATGTGGCACCGGTGCCGACTTCTGTGGCTCCTCGGGGGCAGAGTTGTCAACATCCATCAAGGCCTCTACAACAAGTAAGCCCTCGACAACGAGAAAGCCCTCGACAACAAGCAAGCCCTCGACAACAAGCAAGCCCTTGACAACAAGCAAGCCCTCGACAAGTGCAACAGAAAGCACGCTCCCGCCCATAACAATAACGTCTTACGAAGTGGTAACACCTAGTGCGAGCGAAGTTGCTTCAAAAACAATGAAGTTAAATATATGGCAGACGCTCTTACCAGTACTCCCCCTCGTCTGGGTCAAACCCAGTGCGAGGGACCTTGCTTCGAAAACAAGCAAGTCTAAAGCTTTCTGGCTGCCACTCTTAACAGAAAAACCCCCCAACTATGTCGGGACCTCATCCACAGCAAAGCCCTCTACAATAAGCAGGGTGGTTTATGATGACCTTGGCCCTGCGACTTTCCTTCACCCCTCAGACGTAACACGAATTGCTGCCCAGGTTGCGACTGTTGCCAGTCCTCAAGAGACCATCGAGACGCGAGCGCAGGGGTGGTCATTTGAGATGTACACCGAGGCAAATTGCAAAGGCAATTATGTGGTGATGGAAGGCCACAACAAGAAGCTGAGTGATAGCGACTGTATGAAGTTTGGCAAGGGGAGTAAACTCGGCACTACAGTGAATGAAACGGCAGTTTCGTGCCGATGGTATACCGAGGTGCAAAATGGAATGAAATGGGCTTCTTGTACCAAAACTCCTATGACCAAGCCCAAGTCCTGGCGTATTCGAAACGGTCTTTGTGAAGTCTGTGCTGGTGGTGATTGCGATAACTACCACACCATTTCGTCGACCTATGGCTCACGGCAGAAAGATGCTCCTTGTTGGGAGCGCACAGCTTCAGATCCTGATGTTTTCGGATCGCTCAAGTGTTATATTGGGTAGAAAGAAAGAATCGTGGAATATGGAGTCCGGAGTAGAGCAATGATCAGTTCCAGGTGCAGGGGTCCAGGCTCTAGGCTGCAGTGGCAATACGAAGAGTCTCAGAGCCTCCAAAATCTATTCCCCTCTCTCTCTTTCCGTAGAAGTCGCTTAGTTCTCTCTGAATCTTTTCTCTCTCGTTCATTGTCTTTAATTCCATTTCCCCTTTTTTGCCTCTGAGTACTGGGAGTCATGGGTCGCCTCCCCTCGGCCGATCCCCCGGCGTCATCGTCGCACTCACTTCATTCTATCGACGACGCGCCGCCTCCATACTCTGATGACCCCGAGGTCGTTTTCCCCCTGTGCAGCCTGTCCAACCTCACTTTGTTCAGGTCCAGCCCGTCCAGCCCGTCCAGCCTCCCACTAGTATTTTACCCCTCCGCCTAATCGACTCCGCCTACGTTCTTCCTGGCAGCCCGGGTACCAAACCCCATGACAAGGTCGCTCTCAGTCTCAGCCCAGGGCTCTCGAGCAACTGCGACGAGCTATACAATGTCATCCACAAGCAAATAAAACTGCCCCCGCGGCCGCTGCTCCACATCCGCGGCACGCATACTGAAACCAGCCAGGAAAAGAAAAATGAGAGAAACAGCAACACCGTCACAGACTTCCAGTTCAGACTAGATCTCGCAGAGACCATGTTAACCGGCTGGGAGCCTACACGCATGGAATTGAACTGGATGCAGGTTGAGATCCTCACAGACGAGGATCTCAAGCCAGCGTACCGGGGAGGAATTCTCCGCTCACCCACATACGAGCCTCCCAAGTCGCGTGCTATCAGCCTTGATGAAGACACCGATGCTCTCCTGAATCGCCATGATGGCCAACAGAATAACCTCTCACCTGCAGAAAAAGACCTAAGAATGTGGTGCGAACGGTTCTGTCACGACCCCGCGCCTGTGAAGTCGTACGTTTCCCCTCCCCCTAGGTGAGAAAAATTCCTTTGTGTTAACCTGGACTCAATTTCAGATTCACTCTACACCGCGAAGTCCGCGGCTTTGACTCGAACGCCATGCGCAACGTCCTCTCCTCCCATATCCGCGAACTCAACTACCGCGGCAACATAAGCATCAGTCTCGCGACCGCCCACCACTCCGTCACAATTTACTCCCCACACTGGATCAACCGGCTGCGTGCAAACAGGGCCGTCTGGTGGACTGTTGTCATTCTCCAGCTCTGGATCATCACATGGCCGATTATCTTCTTCATTGAGAAGCGGTACGAAATCGCGCACACACGCTGGAATGCGTCGCTCGTGCCCGAAGAGGCCGCCTCTCCGCTGGCCAAATGCTATGCTTTTGGTCGTAGCGAGTCTGCCCTAGCGGAGTATTGGGCGCCGGCTGTGAAGCAGGCGGCGTGGAGTCGGCGGCAGGATTCTGAGCTTTTAACGAGAATGGATGCAGATCGCTTGCAGGGGTATAGTACTCAGCAGCTACTTGGTCTGCGGGTTCCTGACTCGGATGCGGAGCTTGAGCGGCGTGGGCGTGTTAACAGCGGCGAGGGCGGGTTTGTTGATAATGTCGTAGGTCTGGTGAGGGGGATTGGCGAGGTTAGCCAGGATTGGAGGTTTGCTTCTGGATGGGGTGCTAATTGCTAACTCGTGATTTGAGCTTCAACTGTAATGGTTTGGATTGGGTGTTCATGAAGTCCTTAAGAGTTGTTGCTACACCAATGACGCATATCAGTGAATTTGCTCCAAGTCCTTTACGATAGGTATCAACGATGAATTATTCTAGCGTTACATATCTCTTTCACTTTCAAGCAAATGATCTTCATAGACCTTTTTTTAATCTGCCAAGGACACGTAAACCGAAGTTTCAAGTCCGCCTATCCCAGTCCGGATATCTTGTCTCTCGAAACGACTATACGCAACATTCTTCCCTGACTCTTTGCTCCCATCGTTAGGGTAAGTTTCATGCATAGCGGCCTCAGAAATACAACAAAGAGCAAGAATAGTAAGATGATATTGAACCCTTCCTTGGGGGCATGCTCTAGTCACTCTCTTGTAGACTGATACGCTCATCAAAGGATAAACAAAGGTTCCATATTACTGCCTCATCTCGAGGTCTTTATCATACTCGACTTACGAGGTCGGTTTTGGCTATATTTGGCTTTGCTTTTGCCTTGACCTTGCCTTGTTTGCACAATGCAATTCTCGATGCATTGGTTAGTCAGGATAACAGACTTCCAGGCTTGTCTGCCATGCCATTGTTTGTTGCTTCTATTACAGGCCAGTCTTTGTTCTCCTAACAAGCCAGTCTCACCTGGTTTGTTCCCCTTGGTTTGTTCGATCTCAAGATAGACGAGTTGCAAGAACCGACCCAGTCATTGTCTCTAGAACGAGCCTGATAGCCTGAACTATATAACGGCTGCTTGGTCCGCACTAATACCAGTATCAAACTTCAGACTCCTGAATTCATACAACCTACTAAATCCTTATAGACACAACCTCTTGTTCAATTCTATTCAACATGTCCGAGTCAAACAACGAAACCAGTATTCCTCTTCTTTCTCGTGGCCTGAAACGTGAGAGTGAAGGTTATATCGAAGGAGAATTTAGTCGCCCAGCTCAGAGACGGCGTATTGATGATGATTCTGCTAATCCGCCCCGAGATACTAGTGACTACTATACTACTCGCTGGGTCTTGGGACAGCATGTTAGTGACTATTCTCTTGGTCCGCCCCCAAGCCAGTCTATTAGTGACGATTCTCCTAGTTCGCCCCGGAGACCGCTTGTTAGTGACGATTCTCCTCCCCGGGGCCGGAGACCACTTGTTGGTGACGATTCTCCTCCCCGGGGCCGGAGACCGCGTGCTAGTGACGATTCTCCTCGCCGGGCCCGGAGACCGCGTGCTAGTGACGGTTCTCCGAGTCCACCCCGGAGACCGCGTGCTAGTGACGGTTCTCCGAGTCCGCCCCGGCGACCGCGTGCTAGTGACGGTTCCCCTAGTCCACCCCGGCGACCGCGTGCAAGTGACGGTTCTCCTAGTCCGCCCCGGAGACGGCGTGTTAGCGACGATTCTCCTCGTCGGGCTCGGAGACGGTCTAGTCCGCCCGGGAGACGGCGTGCTAGTGACGATTCTCCTCGCCGGGTCCGGAGACGGCCTTCTAGTGGCGAGCCTCTTCGCCGGTTCGGGAGACGGGGTACTAGTGAAGAATCTCATCGCCTGGGTCGGAGACGGGGTACTAGTGGAAGAGCTCCTCGCCGCCGGGCTCGCAGACAGCGTTCTAGTTCTAGTGAAGACTCAGCACTCGTCTCTCACTTTGTAGAAGATTTTGGGCGCTTAGGCATACAAGTCCCACAAGTCCCAGAAGACCCACAAAGCTTGCCATTACGGCTTCGTGCACCTGAGGACCTAATCAAACTTGGCTTGGGCGGTCCAGACAGACCCAAGAATGTACCTCACCAGCAGGACGTCCCCCAATGGGAAAGAGACGGCCGAATCTTCCAAGACTGGATTGCCAATGCATTTCTGGAAGATTGCAATATCAAGATGTCAAAGCTAACCGTGAAAACTTTGTTCGATGGTCGAGACAAGTTGAAAAGTTTCTGGAAACCCGAGAGAGATGATATGAGATTCCCACCAGAAGCACTCGTCAAGAATCTTGAACAGGCAGGTCTTTCTCTGAAGCAAGAGTACCAATGGTCACGAATTCGGCACGACGAAGTCGGAATTCCTGACGAGACGAGGGAGTATACTCATTTGATCGGAAATGGCGCTATTATTGCCGAGAATCTCGGGGAGGTGAAACTCGATGAGTATAGCTGGCCTGACATTGCCTTAGCTCTATATAAGCACGAGCACCACATCGACACTCTACGACATATTTATTTTGCCCCTACTGCAGATCTGCTGACCCATTTTTTGGCGACCAAACGCCTTTACCCAATGTACGGCCTTCGAACCTCGGCTGTCTTGTGCGAGGAAAGGGGATCATATCTTTGGAAATATGGCACCCAGCACTACCACGAACTTCTAGGAACCCCGCTGGGAAAGGCCGTTGCCAGAGTTGTATTGGGTGCTTGGCCAAGAGGTACCCATCACATCAGCCAGGTCAACACCTGGTTCTATAATGCTGACTTACAGGTACGGTTCGACATTGAGCCACGGTGTGCTCCGGAAACCTTTGCGGGCCCTGCGCCTCCTGCTCGTCCTGTTCCCGCTGATGCTCCTATTCCTCCTATTGCTCCTTCCGTTTCTCCTTCTTATGCTCTTCCTTCTGCTCTTGCTATTGCTCGGGACCAGGCTCGGGCTCAGGCTCAGGCTCGGGCTCAAGCTCATGCTGAGGCTCATGCTGAGGCTCGGGCTCAGGCTCAAGCTGAGGCTTATGCTGAGGCTGAGGCTCGGGCTCGGGATCGGGCTCAAGCTCAGGATCAGGATCGGGCTCGGGCTCGGGCTCAGGCTCAGGCTCGTGGTGCTGCTTCTGATCCTGTTCTTCATACTGCCTCTCTATTTGGCATTGCTAATGCTTATGATTCTGCTCCTGATCTTGCTCATAAGGAGGAACTTTGATTTTTTCCGATGCGCCTTGTAGCCTCCCGAGGTTCTCTAGACCGTAAACAAATATCGCCTTCACGAACATCTTCTAACCCCAGTGACTGCCTATCCGAATGACAGCGTGATCCCGCCACATACACGAGTATATTCAATTGCACTGACTAGCAGCAAAACCAAGTAGTCACTGTTGGGGAGTTGTCTAACAGGTTAACTAGCGATATATAGAATTATATAGAACTAAGAACATCAATGTCAACAAACACCTTCTCAGCATATATTTCGATAGAACATGAAATCTATAAATTAGACAGACTTACCTAGATATTGAAATATCTGTCATCTTATCCGACATACAACTGCCTCGTTTAATACCGCGCTAACCATTATCTAGAGAGGAACCGCAGACTATATGTCAATAGATACAGGCCAAATAATGGACGTCTGGCAGACCAGGGATAATACAGAGTATACCAATTATTTTTGGAAGAATTGTTTACTTGACACAAACTGGTGCTCAAGATAGTTAAGCTGTTGGTCGAAAACCTTGACCTGTACGGAGCAGGTTCTGTGTAGATGGAATCGGGATGATTGGTCTAGTAAGCTACTAATGATGTGCCCGGTCGTTCGGTCTACCACATCTCCACCAATTGGGCCTTTAGTCTGTTTCGCTATCTCGGCAGGAAAGCAAAGAACCTCCCACAGAGTACAGTAGGGTGTTTACTAGAAGTTTAGAATATGAGCAATCCAGCTACGTTTCATTTCAAACTAGATGCGGAAACCAAGGTCTTCTATACACCAACTATCAAGCGTCCCGCCATACAATTTGCTATCCTAATGCGATGGTTCTAACCACAGAGTCAAATATGAAAATCCAGATAAAAGATACATGTTCACTGAGAAGAAGCGAAATAGAACTGAGCAATCCCGTTAAATGACTGCTTTACAGGAGAAGGAAGCTAGCGCCGAAAATGGTGGACACAATGGTCACCAGGCCGACGGTAGCAGGGGCGAAGCTGAACTGCATGGGCTTGAGGTTGGCGGCAGCACCCTCGGAGGTGCTGGCACTATCGGTGCTGGTGCTGGTGGCAGCGGCGACATCACCGGAGCCCTGGGTGGCAGTGCTGGTGGACTTGGTGCCGGCGTCCTGGCTGCCCTTGCCCTTGAAACCCACACCCTTGCCAGCACCCTCGGTCAGGTACTTCTTGGCGGGGGCGGGCATGGCGGGGAGAGCATCGGTGGGGACATCCCAGTTGGGCTTCTGCATCGCAGGGCAGCCGGAGGCACCGCCGGTGGTGTTGTAATTGCCGTCGCCCTTGGGGTTGTCGGTCTTCGCGAAGGCGGCCTTGAGAGCTTTGTAGTCCTTGAGAGTGGTGACCTCGTCGTCCTTGATCTTGACCAGGCCGTACTTGTTGCCACCCTCGGTGTACTCGTAGACCAAACCGCCGGAGTAAACACCGGTCATCCGGGTGGAGTAAAGAGCGCTGACTTCGTTGAACTCACGGTCGTTGGTGTTGCAGCCGTACTCGGAGAGGAAGAGGGGAAGTCCATATCCAGTGAAGTTCTTCACCTTCTGGTCCCAGCCTGAGGTGGTGAAGGAAGAGGGGTCACACCAGGAGTAGTCGTTGAAAGCGAAGAAGTCGCTGCGCTCATCGTCGGTACCGCAGTTCATGTACTCGGCCATCTCGAGACGGTTGGTGTCGACATCGGCGGCGGAGTAACCAACGGGAACCTTACGGAGCTTGCGGGCGCGGAGGTAAGTGCGCATATCACGGGTGACGGCCTTGACGTAAGGGGCGGCATTGGAGGAAGGACCGTCGTTAATGACCTCGTTACCAGAGAAGAAGGCCAGGGTGTTGTCGTACTTGGCGAACTTCTCCATGGTCGCGAAGATGTACTGCAGGTAGACATCGTTGTATGATCTCTCGGGCTCCTTGCGGTTGAGAGAGTACTTGGGGGTGTTGACGTCGAGAACGAGGTAGATACCGGCCTCCGCCAGGGCTTCCATGCACTCGTCGTGGTCGGCGGAGTTGTCAACGGAGTAGACACGGATGGTGTTCAGGCCGAGCTCCTTGAAGTTCTTGATGTCGCGCTTGCAACCCTCAACATCGGCGATGGGATCAGCGAGATCAGAGGAACCGCCAGGCTGGTAGTCGACACCGCGAATATAGAAGCGTTCATCGCCCTTGAAGAAGGCGTTACCCTTGACAGTGATGGGGGTGATGTCGCTGTCGCGGGTCTTGAGGTCGGCACCGAGAACGGTGGAAGCGCCGAGAGTAATGGCCGTGGCCATAGAGGCAACGGTGCCCTTCATGATGTCGTGTTTCTTGGGAGGATGGAAAGAACGGATGGTAAACGAGAGTGTACGCTCTAGGCAAAAGATCAAAAGAGTGAAAGACAAGAAACAAAAGTAAGATCAGGAATGAATGAGGGAAGGGATGAAGGGTTATACGTCAAAGGTTTCAAAATGGCTACACCAAAGACAACGGGGCTGTGCCGCGCCAAGTACATTGGCTCTCAGCTTGGACCTGAGTCGATCAGACTGTAAGGGTCAAACACCGTGGGCTTGCAGTGGACCCTTTTATGGAGAATGACCTGGAATCACCGCCGGGGATAGGCCAGCCCCTATATTATTGATTATTCGGTGTTTTTCGTGGGATTGTCAGGTACCTTTTGGACCGCATCTTGAGACATGGGCCAATCTACGCAGTACGGAGTACTCCGTACGGAGACATCCCCAGCGCAGTTCCATCTTCGGGTCTCAATCCATCTGATACTCGTTGCACTGCATCTCTACTCCGTACACGATCCCTCTCACCTGCCTCCATCGGCATAAAAGCTCTGGGTGGAGTGCCACGGCTTGGCGGTGACGCGCCACTATCTAGGCAGGGCGATCGCACTTCAGGGGTCCAAGGGTCTAGGGGGGCCTGGGATATTGTTGCATGCACACACACAGTGTCTCTAAGACGGAGTATAGGGGAAGAGAAACCTCGAGTTCTGGAATCCAATTCAAGGCGAACGAGATTCGCTTAGTTGACTGAAACACTGGCTACTCTTGGCGTGAAACCCACTTGTAGTGACACTTCCCAGAGTCCTCCTTTGATCGCTATACATAAAGTGAGACCAAACAATGAGGCCAACCCGTACTCCGTACTCCGTACATAAACCGGGCTCTGCAGTGTGATGTGTTATTTCCGAAGAATGCGCAGAGTATCAAGGACAACGCATACTGGGCTTCCAAGGCATGTACCGTGGACTTGGCACGTGAGCTGGAGAAAGTAGCCGATTCCCCAATCCTCAGACGCAACGACCCTGGAGATATAACCCAATGCATTTTCCAAATAGACTTGCCCGTCCAGTTCTTCATACCGTGATGGAGATTCCGTACTCGCTTTCTCATCAATTCCAAAATACACCCCGTCAACGTGCCCCGCCCCCGGACTCTTGCCTGGATCATACTAAGACTTTGATCCCAACCCCCGTGGAAAACAACCGACTATAAATACTCGCCTCTAAAAAGGGCGTGTGTGAAGATGACGCGTCGATAGCAAAAGGCTGCACTTGAAGTCTAGGCATTCACCCATCTTCCCTGGCAAGGCTTACGGAGTATGTCCGGGCGTTGACTCGATCTACGGAGTAACCCACAATGCAATTAGCACGCTGCCCCATGTCTGAGATCGTAAGACAAGCTCCTCCAAGACCACCTCTTCCAAGACCACCATCTCCATTGTCTGAGCGTGGTCAGCCACAGCCTTATATGACTCATCAGGCCACTCGTCCACGGATGAGCGAATGTGCTTCCTGCGAGAGCATAAGCGACGATCGCGATCTTTTATTTTTGTTTTGCTGCAGATCTTTAAGACCAGGAAAGCCAAGAATACAGCGTCAAACTGCCCCACCCCGAACGAAGTTTCATTCCAAGGTTCCCAGGGTATTATTCGAGTCGGTATGTCGTTCTGGCGATATCAATCCTTTCCAACCTATTTTCAAGGTTATGGACAGGGATGTTCCAGATCATCGTGCCATTCTGCACACTGGCAAACTCACCACACCACACCAACGGCAAAACGGTCCGGAGAAATATAATGCCGAGCAGTGCCGAGCCACGACTGTCAGGGCCAACGAGAACCCGACCAAGGGTACCTAGGAACGGGGTACTGACCGGGATTCACAAAGCACTACGGATAAATACCCATAAAAATAGAAAGGGGAGAGGATAAAACAATACTTATGCAAATCTGCATGTACAGGTAACTCTCAGGGGTCCATTTCAATTAAAATCAAATTTCCTGCCTGGATATGCCCAATTTTAAACCGCCACAAAATTAGAACACCTAAATTACGATGATACAGACCTCAGTGGATGCCTATATCAGGTCCTATGATTCAACCTTGGAATATCTCTCTAGAAAGAAAGCAGGCATAAGGAAGCTGTACATACGATCAGCAGCGTTTGTGGCCATGCGACATCTTGGTACGAAGTAGTCTTTCCTGAAGTCCTTTCACGGACATTTTCTGCCCTTCCCGAGAACTATATCGATATATATCGCTAGACGGTAGGTACTGTACTATTTGAAAGCCACTCTTTTTGTATAAATATTTACTCTGTAGGTGCATGATCTAAATGGCCGTAAGAGCTTCAACACCTAGAGATAGAGGAAGGCCGGGATTTGGACGGTAGGAATCGCTTTGGCTGTGGGAATAGCTCTGATCAGGGACTACGGAGTATGATTCACAAGATACAGTAATCTTGGCTAGGGATATTCAGGTAGCAGATTCGATTTTATTCGAAACTCACCCCTAAGCGCTTTACATCTTCGTAATACGCGAGCAATCTGCAATAAATGTCCACAAGTGGGATATTGATCATGTATGCATTCGCGCGCGTTAAGCCTACTTACATACCGGTACTCCGTACTCCGTAGATGCATACATGTAGGCTGTAGGAACCCAAGTAACTAGCTATTACTACTCCATATATAGCAACCGATTACCTTCACTCGGTCCGGCGCTTCGTTAGCTTATCCGTTCCGTGCACCCAGTCCAATAAACCCAGCGTGCCATAGTTCAGATTGAACTTCTCATGATGGAGATCATGCATCTTCGCCTTATTATGGAAAAAATCATACCCACTATGGACTGTCGACATATTGAAAAGCTCATAAGCCAAGAAAACCCAGAAAGAAACAATGTGACTCCGCAACAACTGCGGCGGCAAAGAGACGGGCAATGCATTAGCGACGATCTGCTCGATTGGATGCGCGAACTGAGCAGCCAGCGCAATGGGCGCCGTGAAGCGGTGGTGTTTCTTATGAATCCGGGCGTAGAGAGAAGGGGTATGTAGGATTCGGTGGCTGTAGTAGAACATCACCTCGCGCATCAACAGGCTGAGGAAGACGTCGCGGAGGATCTCGGCTAGGGTCGGTAGGGAGCTTTCGATTCGATATGATGAGTTGATACCAGCATAAGTGGTTGCGGAAAGTAACAGCAGATGAAGTATAGAGGATATGATCTGGTTCTGCGTGACGACTATGAAACATCGTGCGATCTCCTGACGGCTTGGCTGTTTGGGGGCGGGTTGGATCTTGTGGCGCTGGGAGAAGGAGGGCGCGATCACGTCAAGGGACATATAGCATAACGAAGGTATCCAGAAGAATAGGATCTGGAATAGCAGCGTTCCCAGAAACTCGATTTGCTGGGGCGAATATCTGGCCACAATCTGCGACCAGAGTGTCGCGATTTCGGGGAGTAGCTGGCCCAGGGAGCTATTTAGAATGTCCATTGTGACTTGAGCTTGTATAAAATGGCCATGCGACCAAGGTCGAGAAAGACATGGGATGGTTGCTAACTCTGTGGTGAGTGAGTCCTCAGGGTATTATGTGTGTGCCTCGGTTCCCCAGCTTTTCATGGCCCCCGCATCGGGCGTCGCCGCTAATGGTGCGATTCAACACCATGTGAAAAGGCTTAGAGCATGGAGACTTGTACCTGAGAGTTTGTTTCTGTAGATAGATATCTGAGGAATATGTTGTTCGGAGGTTTAGCCAAGAAGCTCGATGCGGTGTTTGGGATGTTGAGATATTGAGATTCACGATCTGATCTCTTTCTGTTCTCTTCAAAGACAAGTATACACCTCGCTCTCTCAATTCGTCCGTCTCCCTTCAGACAAGAAAACACGTAACTTTCTTGACCTTCCCTCCCTCAAAAGTCTCCGGAACAAAGCCAGCGTCATCCATCATCCCCGGGACCGTGCTGCGCTCTGTGGCTCACACGTCAAGATGCTCGATTGCCTAGAACGTGGCTGGGGTTGAAAGTTGCCCAATTCAAAGGCACTGACACCAAATTATCAACTGAAATGACAGTATTTTCAGATATCCACGACATATGACCCCTTATGAGTGTAGAAGTGGGACCAACCGAGTCACGACTACCCGTAGACGTGTACGCACTACGGAGTACGACGCAGCACTGTGTAGAAGAATTCGGCTAGTCCAAGACCCTAAGGTGACTAGCTGCATTGCCCAAAATTGAGGAAAGACCTGATAGCAAAAGCCCGGATCTACCTTTGTAGCTCAATCGTCCATGGGGTCTATTATATGATTTCTAGATTGGGGTCAGTGTGACCGACAGTGGTTTTCCCTTTGCCGCAAAATATGGTGTTAATAACTTTGAAAAGAGAGGGTCACATAATCTGTTGATATTTTTCCTCTGCTGCTTGTTCGAAGGTCAAATGGTACTTTTTCATCCTTGTCATTCCCACAGGCCCGGTGGATACCCAAAAGCCTAGTGCGATATCTATGACCTAGGAGATGCTGTAGATCGGGGACAATGCTGTTATCCAGTCCGTATTGGGAATAGGTTATGATTCTCAAGAGGGGATCTAATTGCTCATTCGGGATTCAATCGTGGTGGCTTGCTGAATTAGCTTACAGGGTTCATGGACGATCTTTTTTGGTGTTGTCACCTGCATCTACTCGGCTGGGATTGTCCACGCTGCAACTGTGCCCGATTTAGAACAGACAGAGACAATATGTGTGTGTATACAGAATCACTCTTTATACGAGAACAGCGGTTGGAAATCAGCCTCACGCAGTGGCAGTATTAAGCGTTTTAGACACGTGCTAGGGTGACCAAATTTTGGGGAGTAGTATGACAACCTGACAGGGATTAATTCCTGCTCTGGATCGTACTAGAATATGCACCTATCGGGAGGGATGATGCATGTTTCATTTGTTGGCTTTTTTTTTAAGATTGTATAGACGCATGAACCGCTATGCCTGGTACCATATACTCTGCATTTTCAGGTGAACTGGGTGCTTATTTACAATTTCTGTGGAATGAGCATTTCGTATAGCCATCAGGCATCGCTAAGTATTCCAAGTCTGAAAGCTACTATCTAGGATTCAAGTGTTGGTCGGGTGGGTACATATAACCACGGCATTGAAGACCTGTTTGATTGCGATAGCAAACGACGGTCTAGTCACCCAATAAACCATGACAAATATAGCTATCATTGACGTATGTACGGAGTAGTCCGTACTCCATGCTCCGTATGTAGGTTGACATCCTGACTCGCGTAGCTTGAACATCCAGTGCATGCAATTGAAAAGATTGGTTGAGAGGGACCCCGGTCAAATAGGGGCTATCTCTGCACGTCGAGAGCTAATGTAGCCCGCCAAACTAGTGGCCCGAATGGTTCGCCCAGAACACCTGCACAACGACAAACGACCTCCAAAATCAACTTCATTGGTCTGGAACCCCAGCCTGTCCTGTTTGTAAGGAGATAGTGTGATCACTTTGTCCCGTCTCGAGAGTAAGTGCCTGCCACCTGGACGTTTCCATCCCTGCAGGGTGACACCCCCCACACTGACAGGTCAGAACCCGCATAGCCAAGTGCTGTTCCTGGTTCACCGTGCCAAATCAAGGTCTAGAATTTGGGGGAAAACAATAAACAGCCCCATATACTCCGTATGGGGTACGGGGTACTTACTTACATATCATACAAGGGGTATTATCCGGTTTTGTTAGCCTGGTTGCAGGATTTGAGAGGTTATAAACCATGACCACAGACCATCTTGAGCAGTGGGGTTTTCTCGGAAGTCTCGATCGTCTGTCATCGATCTGGACACGTTCGAGGGTGTGCTTTTTAGAGTGACAGGATGATTGCTTTTTATCAGCCTGCCTTGATCTTTGCATTGGGGCTTCTGGTTTCGCTGGTCGATGCCTCCATAATCAACATATCTTTCGAGTTGTGTGGAAACCACAACAATGGCGTGCGGAAGGAGTGGTTTGTGCTTATTGCCGATATCTGGACTGATTCGAGCTGACATTGGACAGGGGAGAATTGACCCGAACTGAGCGAATCGACTATACCGATGCGGTGTTGTGTATGCAACGGCAGCCCCAGCACCTTCCAAGAGAGGAATACCCAGGTGTGCGCAATAGATTTGATGATTTTGTGGCGTATGTGTGAACAGCTTCATGCCTTCCGAGGTTATACTATACAGGACTGACATGGCCGTACAGTACTCACGTTAACTACACCCTCAATGCGCACTACAGCGGGCTGTTTCTCCCATGGCATCGCCACTTTCTCTGGCTTTGGGAGACAGCCCTGCGAGACGAGTGTGGTTACTCTGGCTACCTCCCGTAAGGACCACCCCCTCCTTACGTCCGACCAATAAGATTGCAAACTAATGTAGAACCCAGATACTGGAACTGGCCGTTGTGGTCGGAAAACCTCAAGGCGAGCCCTCTCTTCGATTGCAGCGACAGCTCACTGTCGGGCGACGGAGAGCAGAACCCGGGCGAGCAAAGCATCCAAGGTGGCGTGGTAACGCTTCCTCCAGGGTCGGGTGGCGGCTGTGTCCGATGTGGACCCTTCAAAGACATGGAAATCCATTTGGGACCGTTCTCGCGAAACATTGCCTCATTCACCGAGCTCCCCGAACCGGGCTTTGACTACAATCCGCGCTGCTTCAACCGAAGTCTCAACAACTTCGTCAGCCATAATTACGATAATAAGACCATTGTCGACCGACTCCTGGCCGCGGAGAATATCTCCGACTTCCAGACTGCCATGGATTACTGGCCCGTACGGCCAGACGGGGTCCTGGGCGTTCATGGCGGCGGCCATTTCAGCCTCGGCGCGACTCTCCAAGACCTGTTCACGTCTCCACAAGACCCGGCGTTCATGCTGCACCACGGTATGATCGATCGGTTGTGGAGTATCTGGCAAGCTAAGGATGAACAGAATCGTCGGTTTGCGCTTAATGGAACAGACCGGCTTCTCAATCCGCCGAACAGCACGGAGGTCACCGTCGATATGATGATGGAATTTGGGGTGCTTGGTCGGTCCCGGTCGGTCGGCGATACTATGGATCCCACCCGGCGCGGGTATTGCTTTTCGTATACTCCGTAGCTGAGGCCGACCTGAGGTACGAGGTACACAAATGACCAGTCCCTGGGATGCTCGGCTGTATCGGACAACAATACACCCGCTGTGGAGAGTTATGACTGCTCGACTTTTGGGAGATTTGTACTTTGTACGGAGTACTCCGTAGTAGGAGTCCTCCGTACACAATTAATCTTTTGCACATATTGTAGAGCCATGGAAAGGCTCCAGGGGAGACAATAACCCCTTTCTTGAAATTGCCAGATGGAGTAAAAAAGAAATAATGACAACACGACTTTCTATTATTGTCCTTTTTGCTATTGTTAGCGCTGACACCGGGCCAATAGAAAGGAGTGGAGCTGGGATGATGAACTGGCACTCTTTAACACTGCACCTACGCCCTGTCTGACTGCGCCTTGTGTTGCAGTTTCATCACTGCTCGATTGTTTTAAAATAGTTGTGGTCGGAAAGTATCAAGCTTCGTCGAGGCCGATCCAAGACATTTGATAGGTCTGGACTCCGTGAGAAAGTCAGCCACGCCGATGACTATCGGGTCCTCTCTTCACTAGTGCGAAAAACCGTGAAATCCAGAAGAAAGGGAAAAAGAAAAAAAACCAGTTCGTGAGATTGCCACTCGAGGTGGAGTCGATTGGATAACATCTTTTGGATAGCTCCTTCTCTGTCGTAAAATTTAAAACTCCCACTTCGTCGCCCATCGTCTTTCTTCTTCTTTCACATCTCTCCTATCAGCCGGATCTACTTATCGCTGATCTTTGCATCATGCTGCGTATCAGTTTGCTCCAATTGCTCTTTGTGACACTGCTCGCTCTGTCTGCGGTTTTCGCAGCAGATGCAGTGGACTCGGAGGCTTCCCAACGTGAGTCTCTCCAGGAAGCACTTGCCGACATCAACGCAGTCTCGCTTCATGATGCTCTGCATGTTCTTTCCACCAAATTCCGTCATGGAATCTTCCCGACTGACCTTCATGCCGCCGAAGCTCTTCAAGCCGAGGAACCCGCTATTGCGAGCCTCATGAAGCTTGCCAAGCGCCAGAACAACGCCACTGCCAGTCCTGAGCCGTCTGAAACCGTTCCTCCTGTGACTTCGGCGAGCACTGAGCCTACTACTGAACCCATCGCTGAACCCACCACTGAACCTACCACTGCGCCTACCACTGCGCCTACCACTGAACCCTCCACTGAACCCACCACTGAACCTACCGCTGCACCTACCACTGAACCAACTACCTCAGTTCCTGAGACCAGTGAGACCACCTCGGCATCAAAGACTGAGCCAACTACCAGTGCTGAGTCGAGTGTTACTTCGGCCGACCCGACCACCTCTGCCAGCTCTGTCTCAGTCCCCATCTCTACCACGGACGTGGTCACTACTCAGACTACTGCTGAGCAGACCACCCCCACATCTGTGCCCTCGACTAGCCAGACCACCCAGGCCGCGACTACCACTGCTCCGTCGACTCTGTCGACGACCACGAGCACTTCGTCCAGCTCGTCGAAGTCTACTTCTAGTCGCTCAACTACTTCTGCTCAAACTACAGAGCCCACCAGCTTGAGCACTTCCACCTTCAAGAGCACCACCACCATGGCTGATGGCAGCCTGAGCACCATCACCTCCTACACTGTCATCACCCCGACGCCAACCGGCAAAGCTGCAGCCACCACTGTCGTTAAGCCCGGTCTGCAGACGGGTGCCGCCGCGTTGACTACTGGTATGGCTCGTGAGGTTATCGCCATGGTTGGTGGTGCCGTCGCGGTCGCAATGGCCCTCTAATCGATGGATTTTGCCTACTCGCCTGCTTGCATCTTTATCATCTTCAACGGCGCTTCTTTTTTAGCATCTGAAATCGGTTCTGCATCTTCATGCCAATTGTCATTGTACTATCTTTCCGCATGACCCGTGACGACCTACTTATGTCTTTCCTTCGTTCTTCGGCGTTCAACGGCTGGCATTTTTTATCATGCCTCGGGATCCTTTTTTCTCGGCTTTTCACCGATCCAAAACATTTACAGCGCATAGCACACGCTAACATTTTTCATGTGATGAATTTTAGCCGATCTTCAATCTTCACATTGAAGACAATGCAAAAATTGTGCTCAAGTATCACATTGTCTCAAGATCAACTGTAAAATTTGCTGAATAAGTATGTATAGAGTAGAGTAAAACGTGCTAGGTATATAAGATGATCGGAATGTACAAGGGGTATGTTATGTGCGGTCAATGATGTCAACCCTCAGAAAAAGAGCAGAGACAAATCAAATCCAGAATGGGTCTCTCAACGGAGCCCAAAATATCTCAACTAGTCCAAAGAGACCATTATCGTCCAACATTGCCGGCGCCCTTCCACCGTTCCTCGCCCGTCCAGTACCGCACCACACTCTCCCAGGCGGCGAGATCCCCGTCACGCAGCAGAGCCGCAACATCAACATTCAGAGGCGAATCAGGTTGCGGATCTGTCAATAGCTGCTGGACAGCCGTGAGTGTACTCGATAGGGTATAGACTGGGCTCCAATGCTCGGTGGTCAGAAGCGTGAGACAGATCTCGCCTGTCGTGAAGGAGATATTCGGGTGCGAGATACGGGTCGTAAAGTGGATAGCCGGCGGCGCAAGAGGATAGTTTGGAGGAATGGCGATGCGAAGGTGCCAGAGTCCGCCTGTTGTCGCATTAGTGACCTGATCGCCCAGCATATGAACTGTAAAAGTGGCTGGACTGAGTAGACTTGCCCTCGTACGGTGTTCCATCTACGCCCTTCAACACCGCCTCCCAACGTAGTAGGTCCTCATCGACAGGGCCGAGGTGCAACAGTGCCTCATTCGGGGTGGAGTGGTACCCCTTCAGCTCACGAATAAGCCGCTGTGTCGTGTTACCTGACATTGCCTGCGACATATTGAACGTGGATATAAGTTGTGTAATTACAGTAGATGTGTAGTCGAAGTGGTTTCCTCAGTCCGCAGTTGACTCGGGAACTGCGATCGCCGAGGCTGGGGAAGTTCTGCCCCATGGCCCACCCACGGGTCAACCATGTGAAATTGTTTCCGACTTTCTGTTTTCTTCGGGGATTTGTTTCCTGTTTCATGTTCAATCTCCGTCATGCGCACTTCTCGTACTTCCAAGGATACCGCGAAGGTGCTACAGGCACTTTCGTCCCCCGTGCGACGTCAGACGCGCAACTCCTCCGCTGTCAGCGCTTTGAAAAGTTTCGCCTACAATGCAAATGCAACTCCGACCGTCAAGACCGAGCCTGAATCTGTTGCTGTACCACCGAGTTTGATTGCCGAAAGCGATGACGACTCCGTTCTTTCCGAGGCAGACACAGCCGATATCGAAGACCTCCTTGAACCGCCACCGAAACGTCAAAAGCGCAATGCGAGTCCCTTAAACCCCCCAGTCCCGAAGAAGAGTCCTCGCACACCCCGCAAAGTCATCGTCAAGAATGAGCCCGATCAGAAACCCACACCGGCACCAAAAGCAAGACGTCTCCCAGCCCGCAAAACCCGCGATGCCGACGGCCTGGTCAAAGTCGAGCCCCCGTCCAATTGGGAGACAATGTACAACACCATCAAGCAGATGCGGGCCGACAATCCGACCGCACCGGTAGACACAATGGGTTGCTCCGAGCTCTACTGGCGGGCATCCTCACCCCAGGACCGACGATTCCAGACACTCATCGCACTGATGCTCTCATCGCAGACAAAAGACACCGTCACAGCGGTAGCGATGCAACGTCTACACACAGAACTCGGCGACGACTCACCGGATATCAAAATCAAATTGGAAGACGAGTCCAACGACACAGACACCAAAGACAGCACGCTCAACCTAAAAAATATCCTGGCTGTGGATCCCACGCGTCTGAACGAACTAATCCGCACAGTCGGCTTCCACAACAACAAAACAAAATACATCAAAGCGACCGCTTTAATACTGCGCGACCAGCACGATGGCGATATCCCCTCGACGCCCGAAGGGCTAATGGCTCTTCCGGGCGTTGGGCCGAAAATGGCATACCTGTGTCTGAGCGCGGCATGGGGCAAACACGAGGGCATTGGAGTCGATGTGCATGTCCACCGCATTACGAATCTCTGGGGCTGGAATAAGACCAAGAATCCGGAGGAGACGCGGATGGCGCTGCAGTCATGGTTGCCGCATGATAAGTGGCATGAGATTAATAAGTTGCTTGTTGGGCTTGGGCAGACGGTTTGTCTGCCCGTTAAGCGTCGCTGTGGAGATTGCTATCTTGCTGGCTCGCGGCTTTGTAAGAGTGAGATTCGGGGGTTGGAGCCTACTATGTCGAGGGTTAAGAGAAGTCCTGAATTGGATGAGCCGAAGGTTAAGATTGAGGCTGTTTGATCGGGACATGTTGCTTGCTCATAATCTGTCTTATACCTCCAAGATTACGTTTGAAGTGGACGGATCGTTGCCAGAGAAACGATGATCCGGATTGTCTTTCCATGGACTATTCGAGGAGCATACGCGAGGGGTTTATATCGTCCCTGGCTGTGGACGAATCCAATTGCCCGTGTGATGATGTATATTATCCTACGGGAACCATTTGCAAACCGTGCGGGCACTGGGCTTCACTGATTGACTTACTTTTCATAATTTAGGGCCATTCTCCATGTAGAAACACATATATACTGAATTTAATACGTTACATAGCATTCGATTGAATTGACGCTATTCTACAGATATGTGCTAGTAGATATCCCTACCTGGGTAACGCTGGAGTCTGTGTACTAGTCAAACTTGGGCCTGCTGTCACGCCGAAAGCAGGGGAAGAGGATGCTTGATTGTTCTAGCTACTCCCACTCCTATGGGAGCGGGAGTCACTTGGCTACTATGTGAATATATCCAGGATACTGTCACATCTGCCGCCATCGAAAGCGACGGTCGCCCTTGACCGAGGGGAAAGAATAGGAGCTGTAGGCACAGACATGACTGTGAAACATCAATGGATGAAACCGTGGTAATAGGCTGACTGCGAAGAAGCAAAGAATAGAACATAATTGTTAATCGAATGGCGTTTAATACTCCTTGTTCGTTCAGGCCTCCCAGCTGGCGATGAAGCTCTGGAGGAGCACACTGACGGTGTCATTGCCTGGTGGCGGCATCTGTGAATGTGACTTAGGCCAGAGGGAGCCAGAGTAACGCTGGGTTTCTCTCGATTTGGAACATGCACAGGAGAGGCTTCAACTTGGCTCTGATGGGCACGGCGGAAAATAGTTGCATATATCTGCGCTAGGGTTGCTGGACGTCCACTCAGATCGATGAGAATATCGGTCAAGGACCGAGTTAAGGGCCAGTTGGTAGAGGTATAGGCAAAGCCGTCCCACCCATAAGAGGCTAGAAACTCATCGCCGGTGTCGTCTCCTAAGGCCAGAGACCCTCCTGAACAACAGTCGAAGATATAGCATGTATCACCAACAAAGTATCACACGTCGGCCCCTGAAGATTCCCAGATATGTTAGCTCGGCCACTATAGTGAACTCGTTAGCATGTACATATTAAATGGTCGCTATCTAACTCACCCTAACATCTATGTTGTTGCGGCTCGTCCTGCCACCCTTGCGTGTCCGGAGTATACCACGATCCTGAGAACACCATCCCCTTGGTTGCTTCGAAACCACTGACCGAGGGTATGAACCAATTCTAGCTCTGAATTGACCAACGGAATCACATAATTGCTCAAGTCGTAGTGATAAATACGCCGGGTTGTTCCCCTATTGGAGCTTAGTAGCGAGCTCACTGTCCTTGTATGCCCTTGTGAGCCTCTCAATAGCAGCGACTGCTATGAATGTATCGGGCTTCGAACTATCTCAAATTTCCTGTGGCAGCTGCCACAGTTATCTCCGCGCGGGATAGGCTGTTTTTGGGAGCGCATTCGTGTTTTAACACCTTCACTGCCGCATATTTGATCCACTCCTCTGTGATAGAGACATATGGAAGCAGCTCGTTGATTGTGAATCTATTGCGATCTTCACTATTTGGTATCCCGCTTGGCATATTCGGGATTTGGATTCGATCTTCACCTAGCTCGAGTTGGTCAATTTGGTCCGTCGCTTCTTCCTGGGGTTGGATTTGCTCACCCAAGCTAATGGGCAAGGATGTTGCTTCAATATTCTTTAGGTCTCGGTCGGAGTTTGCACCGGTTTGTTTCAACTTGAGGATTTTTTGAGAATGGCATAAGGGGAAGGCTGTTACGGGATCAAGGACGAGAGCCTTGAGAGAAAGATAGTATAATGCACGAGCTTAAAGAAAGCAGAGGACGGAGAAGAGGAATAAGACGAAGTGACTTATTTAAGGAAACGACGACCGTCATATGTGGTTAGTAGTTCATTCTAGATTTAGATCACAGTGTTCAGTTCAGACTCATTTTATGACCATCGTATAAGGATACATCACGCTCATACGGAGATAAGCGATGAAGCTTCTTTATCGCCGGTCCCTCGACGGACCGCAAACACACACCTTGGAATATCACACAGCACCACACCCCACTGCTAGGTCTTCTACCAACTGATACTACCTAGACAAGGCCAATTTTAATATATAACATCCAACCTCCAGCCTCCACCTCTACACCAGCCAAAATGGCCCCAACCCCGATCCCAATCCCCCTCTTCGCCTCAACCCAACTCCACCTTCTCCTCCAAGAACACGAAGCCGAAGTCTCCTCCTCCAAACTAGCCAGCACAGCTGCCTCCGTCTCCCCCGCAACACGCCGCACCCTCCAAGCAACCGGCTCCGCCCTAACAGGCCTCGTCCTCTCGCAGTGCCGCACCGGACTGGGCGGACGTGTCGTCGGCGAATTCGCACCCGATCCAGCCGTCGCCTCAGACGAGACTAGATCCGCAGACGGGACGCCGCGTCTTGGATCGCACGGAATTCGCGTCGGGGATGTGGTGAGGGTGAATGACGTTGCTGCGGGGTCGAAGAAGGCCGCGGGCGGGAAGGACAAGGAAAAGGATAAAGGCGAGAAGGGCGGACCTGAAGGTGTCGTTACGCGGACTGGAGAGCGCGCCATTTGGATTGCGTTCGGGCAGCAGGGTGGCGGGGCACGATCGAAGGAGGACGATGAGGCCATTGAGGAGCTTTGGGGGAAGAAGCTGTGGGCTATTAAACTTGCCAATGATGTTACGTATCGGAGGTATGGGTTATTTTTATGGGATTTGTTGGATTGGGGGTGTTGACTTGTTCTAGGATGAGACAGACTATGGAGAAGATGGTCAAAATGACTGAGTCGGATTATACGCATTTCATGCGTGTTGCGTTTGGGCATACGACTCCGCTACAACTGGGTGATACTGAGACGGTGGAATTTGTGGATCCGTCGCTGAATGATTCGCAAAAGGATGCTATTCGATTCGCGCTGGCGTCGAGGGATATTGCTTTGATCCATGGTCCACCTGGGACGGGAAAGACCCATACTCTGATTGAGTTGATCTTGCAATTGGTTCGGCGCAAAAAGCGTGTCCTCGTCTGCGGTCCATCGAACGTTTCTGTTGATAATATTGTCGAACGGCTGGCTCCTACGAAGGTTCCTGTTGTGCGCATTGGACATCCGGCTCGTCTACTTCCTTCTGTTCTTGAGCATTCCCTTGAAGTCCTTACGCAGACCTCTGATGCTGGGGGAATTGTGAAGGATATTCGGAAGGAGATCGATGAGAAACAGGCTAGCATCCGAAAGACTCGGTCTGGTCGTGAGCGACGAGGTATCTATGATGATTTAAAGCAGCTCCGGAAGGAGTTCCGGGAACGCGAATCTAAATGCGTGGACAATTTGGTGCGCGAGAGTAGCGTGGTTCTGGCTACTCTGCATGGCGCTGGAGGTCATCAACTGAAGAACCAGAAGTTCGATGTTGTGATCATCGACGAGGCGAGTCAAGCCCTGGAAGCACAATGCTGGATCTCTCTTCTAGGCGCAGAGAAAGTTGTGCTTGCAGGTGACCATCTGCAATTACCTCCGACCGTCAAATCTGGACAGAATTCCAAAGATAAACCTTCCAAGGGTAAGGCCGAAGAGCCAACGGCTGGAACCGACCAGGAAATGCTCAAGGGCGTATCGCTTGAGCGCACCCTGTTCGACCGTTTATTGGCGCTGCACGGACCGGGAATCAAACGCATGCTGACCACACAATATCGAATGCATGAGAAGATCATGCGATTCCCGTCCGATGAGCTCTACGAGGGGAAGCTGATAGCCAGCGATGCGGTCAAAGCCCGATTGCTGATCGACCTGCCTTACGAAGTCGAAGGTACCGACGATACGCAGGAGCCCCTCGTATTCTGGGATACACAAGGCGGGGATTTCCCCGAAAAGGCAGAGGAGGATGATATCACCAAAAAGGGGGCATTGCTCGGAGACAGCAAAAGCAACGAGATGGAAGCTATGGTCGTTGCCAGACATGTGGACACGCTGGTTGATGCGGGTATTCGGCCCGAAAGCATTGCCGTGATCACCCCTTACAACGGGCAATTGGCTCTACTATCACGAATGCTGCGAGAGAAGTATCCAGGGATTGAACTTGGCAGTGTGGATGGATTCCAGGGGCGCGAGAAAGAGGCCGTTGTGGTGAGCTTGGTGCGCAGCAATGCGGAGCACGAAGTGGGCTTCCTTGGCGAGAAGCGCCGGTTGAATGGTATGTTCGTATTTTTATTCCTCCCGGTCGCAATTCGACCTACTTGTCTGCAGGTGCTGTACGGAGTACCTGTAGGAGAATCAATAGATTGCTAACGAGGTGGTAGTGGCTATGACACGCCCCAAGCGACACCTGTGTATTTGTGGGGATTCGGAGACGATCAGTCGGTAAGTCACGTTGATTCTTCTCTGTCATTGGAGATTCAATAGTTTAATGCTGATCGACACTGGGAATGTATAGTGGCAGCAGCTTCCTCAAGCACTGGATGGATTTTCTGGAAGAGAATGCCGACCTGCGATACCCCGACGCCGGAGACCTGCTCTAGCGAATGTGCGGCCTCGGGGACTACTCCATACTCCGTACTCCGTACTTAGTCCGACTTCTTGCTCATTGTTCTAGCCGATCTGCTTCCAGAACAATATTCCCCACTATATAGCACCCAACGCGATAGATTAAATTTGGAGCACGGCCTCTACGGTGGGGGAGCGCGGTGATTCGAGGACAACTACTCAAATCATTTGAAACTCACCGTCTCAACCCGAAACCCCTGCGGAAGGCCAGGGATGTGGGAGATAAGGTATTTTTGAAATGTCCAGTTGGCCGATCACTTCTGCTTGGAGGCGCCGGAGGTGCATTGCCTGAAGCAGCAGGGGCCGCGGATCGGCGCCCCGATTCGCCCGCTTTGACACTACATTCCTTTACGAATGTTCTTAGAAGAGCCCCTACGTGGGCTTTCGTGACCTGGCCTTCGTGGATTTGCCCCGTACGGCTGAAAAGAACCGGGTCTGTGCGGAACATCCCATCAACAGCATCTCGCCATGTGGTGTTTCAGACCAAAAATATGCACTTCCCAAGTGTTCTAGTCTTGGAAGGCTTACTCTCACAAAGAGGGTTCTAGCGCAGCATGTCGGGGACTCCAGCAGACCCTTTAACCGGCATTGTTCCCCACTGCCTGGCATTCCACGTCTTCTTCTCTCCCTGCTGTTGGAATCCTGTTTAATTGCGGTTGTGGCGTGAAGTGCCGGTGTGGGGATAGCTCTCTCTCCCTAATCTCCAATTCTTCCCCTTTGTTTCCTCCTCTCTCTCTTCGCCCGACACTCGTTTAGATCTCCCTTTTTTTTGGTGTTCTTTGTTGTAAACGGTATTTTGAGTCTGCGACTGGCAAACGCCCTTGCCGTGGAAGCTGTGTAGCATCTCGCATTATGTCCCCGAGGATATCCTACATTGTACGCTGTGCTCGTTTGTAACCCCCTCATGGCCTGGTTCATCAGCTAACGCGCGTTTGATAGTCTTTGACTATAGTTCCACAAGTCGACTAACCCCATTCCCCTGGTTGTTATTCGAATCCGTCGCCCGTTGCAATTGTAAACCCTTGGTGCCCTTCGATCTTTTATTTTTCGCTTCTCGACACTCGCTCCAGACGATCTTTGATTCTCATTGCTTTTACAACGATATATACCCCATGTCCCCGTGATATTGTTTTTAATGATCTAAGTGGATCCCTTGCGCATACATTGCATGCCCACTCTCTGTCGATCGCTATCCTCCCTACCCTCCCGCAGCGATGTCGAAATACAGTCCACGGTCGATTACGAGTGCCGGCAGCGAGTCAGCTGGGAGTATTCAACAGCCATCTCCCCGGACAGAGCGCTCGGCCTCGAACCCTGCATCCTACACCGGAGAACACTATGATACGGCGCTGCCATCCATGGACTTCCATTCCCATGCTCAACCGTCTCTTGCCCATCGCCGGACAGGGAGCACCTTGAAGACAGTGATGCGCAAGATCTTCAATCGGAAGAGGCAAAGCCAGGCTGATGAGCTAGAAGAGAATCCCTATGAATCGAGCTTCGCAAGGCCGCCGGTGAGGACCCCAGGGCTAGCGAAAGGAAAATCACCGCTGGCTGTCCCTCCGCCTCTGCATTTGAACTCGCACCGGAGTAGTCCGCTCTCCGTGCAGAACCTGCAACTCGCGGAAACACATCTGTCCCCCTTGTCTCCTCTGTCTTCCGCAACCTTGCGTGATTCAATGCCTGGTAGCATGCAGCCGCGCCGAAGACGGGCCACTCTTCCTAGCGTCGTCTTCTCGGATGACGAATCTCGGTTTGCTGTGGCTTCAACCGCAATCTCCGACCCGCAAGAAGACAAAAGCTATCTCCCCGAGCGAAGACATAGTTTGCTCTCGCACCGACTGTCGAGAAGCGCAGATGCCCTGCGCGAGATGACAGAACAGCTGCCAGAGGGATTGGCATCTTGGCCCGCACCTACATCCGCTCCTGCACCAGCCTCAATTCCAGGCTCCCCTCCACCGTTAGACGAAAGCTCCAATAGTGGACAATCTGTGAGGCCTTCCTCGGGAACGACAGTAACCAGCGTGACCCGAATGTCCGATACACCGTCCTTGATGGAAGACGACCAACGCGCAGAACAAGCCAGTCTCCCACCAAACTTTGCAAGTTTCATCAACACAATGCAGCAAGATGACAGCGTCACCCTGGAACAGCGGTTGACCACATTAGAAGTGAAGCTCATCGACCTAGAATTTGCCATTGCGCGCATGCAAACCAACGGCTCCGAAAAGTCCAACTCCGAAAAATCATCTCGTTCAAGACACCACCCTTCATCAGAATCCTTCTCTCGCCCGCGCAAAACCAGCGGCCTTCTCTCCCCAAGTGACCGCGAAGAATCCCCTAGCCCCCTCAATGCATCCGCCCGCCCCTCAAGCACGAGCACAATCCGTCCAGACACTACAAACTCGCGCACTCTCCGCCCCGCTCCCTCCGCCACCTCCCTCTCCGAATATCAGGGCGTTTCAATAGAGCAATACAGCACGTTAGTCACGCTCCTGCGCCGCGAGCAAACTGCCCGCAGAAATCTAGAAACCCAAGTGGGTACTATGCGTGATGACATTCGCAACTTGCAGCGCGTGGCACTCGAGTCCATGCAATCAAACGCAATACAGCCCATGCCCAGCCCCCAGTCGCGGGAGTTCCTACGATTCCGTCGCGCGATGGATGACACCGATTCTTCTCAGCTGTTTCGATCGGATGATCAGTACGCCGGCATTACGGACAGCGACTCTGAGTGGGACCGATCGGATCTCTACTCGCGTGATGATCCATTCGGACATTCCAAATGGGAACGTCAGCGGATTGTGACTGCTCCTATGATTTGAATATCTTTCTTTATTTCTTCGTTGCGTGCACAGCGCCTTTTGACTTTTTTTTTCCTTCTTTCTTAGCGAATTTCTTTTCTTTTACTGACAGAGTCGATGCGTTCGAGCTGTTGGTTTCCCTTTTACGCATGTCGATGCGCGTATTTTAGGCATCGCGGCAGGATCGCGACGTCGATCCGAGTTCTCCCATGTTGGCAGCTATCATGCACACTGTCTGCGTTTATTATCCCGTATGGGACAGACATGATACTTTAGACTTGCGCGTTCCACCCATCTTGCTTTCGAGCTCAATGTCTCTATACTATTTCATGAACGCGGCCCTAGACAGTGTCTATATCAATACATACTCTTATCCTCTCCCCCTTTGCTACCTCGTATCCTTTTCGGCATATTGATATGCACCCCCGCTAGAGTGCAGATCATGGCTGTCAGCCCGCGGGGCTTCTGAACCCAATGCCTCTGCACTGCCCAAGCCCAACTCGCGTTATAAAGCTTGTTCCCCGCCATCCGACTCTCGCACATCAAGTCATGTAGTAACCCCCAATATTACTTCCTAAGCTTACGTGCCTCCACAAAACACAGCCTTCAACCCTATTACCATTGCGCAAACGGTATTCCGTACTACTTCCAGATTGGAACCTAGCAAAATATCCCATCCATCAACCCCAAGCTCCATTCCTCCATAAAACATGTTCCTCCAACGAGCGGGTTTCCTCAATGCCCTTGTCTCGCTTATGCCGCCGGAGACCATCCATTTCGGCAAACGGCTTCAGAGTCTCCACGAGACGGGGGGTGGCTACGTGCTGGCGTTCGAGGATGCGTGATTCGCGGGTTGGGTGTGTGGGTGATGTTGTGGCGGCGTTTAGGGCTTATGATAATGTTCGTCGGCCGCGGTGTCAGAGGGTTGTTACTAGTAGCAAGGAGAATGGGGATCTTCTTTGTCTGTGTCTTGAGGGGGTTGGTGATGATGAGACTAAGTCGAGGAACAACCTTGATCAACGGTTTCGGTGGCTTTGGGATTTGGATGTACAAGGTCAAGCAGAGCAGGCGAGAGAGAAAATGGGGGAATATATGGTATCAGCATGAGCAGCCTTACAACTTGGAGAATACAGCATAGTAGGATGGTTGGTATACTTGAGTGTGAGGTATTGCGAGTCCATGCCTTTTCCCTTGTAGCCCTAGGTTGTCTCCTAGTATAACCACCGCTGCCATTTCCTTAGGCTCCAGCATTAGATATATCCATTCGGTAGGCCCTATAGGTGGCTGCTGTGCATGGCCAAGCCGATGAACCCATATCCCACGATTTATTTTTAACTCCAACATCCAGACCATCCACGCCACTGTGAGACTTCGGCAGATAAACCTGAGTTTGACATGACGTCGGGCGCATAGTTCTCCTCGATCTGGGAACCAACCTATTCCCCGTGGGATCTTAGCATCGTGGCTCATTCATCCTATGGGGGCCGGCGCACGATTGCACCTAATCCGGTCATCGATCGTCAGCCAAGAGCAGGGTTGGCACTTGGTATGCTTCAACGTCGGATGTTATTTGCAGAGTCCAACACCGCCATCTTGATTCCTCGTATACGATACAGCTCTCTCGATGCGCTCCAAGGATCAGGTTTGTTCGACCTCAGCCCAATTGAATGACGTCTGCATTTTGGTCGAGATGGATAGATATATAAACCAACGTCTCAGACGGAGATTTTCAATTCCATCAGACAAGATTCAGTCAGTACCTAGACTATCAAACGCAGGACACGATGCATTTGTCTGCATGGATTCCGTTTTTGCTCCCACTTCTCGGGAATAGCGAAGCATCCAGTCCAGATCTCAATTTCTTCAATCGCCGCCAGCTGCCTGAGGAGGCCACTGGTGTGAAGACAATCGAGACTGGCAACAATGTCACAATTCGTTACAAGGAGCCCAAAATCTGCGAGACTACCGAGGGCGTCAAGTCGTACTCGGGCTATGTGGATCTGGCGCCAGACTCGCATACTTTCTTCTGGTTCTTCGAGGCTCGACATGATCCAGAGAACGCACCTATTACCTTGTGGCTAAATGGCGGACCTGGTAGTGATTCTCTGATTGGATTATTCCAAGGTAGGTCCAACCATAGCAATGCAGATGAAGCCAAGCTGCTTACCCATACATTGAGTATAGAACTTGGACCATGTTTTGTCAACGAAAAGCTAGAGGATTACATTAATCCCCACTCCTGGAACGAGGTCTCGAATGTCCTCTTTCTTTCACAACCTGTTGGTGTTGGTAAGGTTTCCTATCCAATTTTTCACGCTGGAACTTCCTTGCCTTACAATATTATACAGGTTTCTCGTATGCCGAGAAAGAAGCTGGCTCCTTTGATCTTCTTACAGGATCTTTCCAAAATGCTTCATATGGTGATGTCGTCGGCCGCTACCCTGTTATCAACGCTTCAGAGATCAGTAAGTTGTTTAACCTTGGTGTACGAGCCGACAGCCTAATGTCATAAAGCCACGACCGATCTTGCAGCAAAGGCCACTTGGGAGGTAGTCCAAGGGTTTCTGTCCGGTCTGCCAAAGCTGGACTCGAAACTCCAGTCGCGAAGCTTCAATCTCTGGACTGAAAGCTATGGAGGGTAAGTTGATGTTTATATTGAATCTTGCAACGGAACCCTCAACTGATCTTCTTCTCACTGCGTTAGACATTGGGGCACTACTGTAAGTGCTAACAATCTGGAGTCTGTCCATCTTTTCTAACAAGTATAGTTCTTCGATCATTTCTACGAACAAAATGAGAAGATCGCAAACGGTACCCTGGATGGTGTTCAGCTTGAGTTCAACACCCTAGGAATTATCAACGGTCTGATCGATCAAGGCATTCAAGCGAATTACTATGCTGACTTTGCCGTCAATAACACCTATGGCATCAAGACTGTAAGAGGTTCTTTTCTGGTAGAAGCGAAACTCCCACTCACAAAAAGGTTATAGGTCAACGACACGGTCTACAACTATATGAAGTTCGCAAACGAGATGCCAAAGGGCTGCCAGACTTTGATAGCTATGTGCCACGCAACAAAACGAGTTGAGGTTGCAGATCAGGCAATCTGCGCCGAAGCTACATATATGTGTCGTGATAACGCTGGTATGTGTTTCCTATCCCTTCATTTCCCATGATATCCTTCTTATATGGTTCTATTCTATCACAGAGGGACCGTACTATACAATCAGCGGACGCAACAGCTACGACATCCGTCTTGCAGCAGATGACCAAACTCCTCCACCATATTACACCGAGTATCTCAACAAAGCATCCATCCAAGACGCAATCGGTGTGGACGTCAACTACACCAAATCCAACTTCGACGTCCTCTACTCCTTCTATCAAAGCGGCGACTTCGCATACCCCAATTTCCTCGAAGACCTGGAAGACATCCTCTCTCGCCCCGTGCGCGTCGCACTCATATACGGCGACGCAGACTACACCTGCAACTGGTTTGGCGGCGAGGCAGTATCCCTTGCGACGAAGTACGAACACGCTAAGCAGTTCCGCTCTGCTGGATATACCCCCTTCGTTGTTGATGGAAAGGAGTATGGTGCCACACGTGAGTACGGTAATTTCTCGTTCACTCGTGTCTACGATGCAGGCCATATGGTACCGTTCTATCAGCCTGCTGCGTCTTTGCAGTTGTTTAATCGGACCTTGAATGGGTGGGAGATCGCGACTGGTGAGAAGAAGATTAAGCCGGATGCGGGTAGTCATGGCCCTGCTAGTGCTACGCATATGCAATCTTCTGTGGCGCTTCATTCTTCGACGCCATTGCCTTCGGCGTCTGGTGCTCAGCAATGGTGGGCTTGAGGGGCCGTTGATGGATATATGTGCTTCTTCATTGCAGGGAATATCAGCGCTGGATTTTGGTGATGTTCGGGTTGTTTTTCTGATTCGTATCTACAATGCATAAGAGGCGATGGTTTCACTCGACGTCAAGGCTATATTGAAGAATCTATATCACTTATACTGCAAGCTAGATCACGAGACCACCAACCTATACTTTCCTAATCACGACAAAATTGCTCGCAGGTCGAATCAATGCAGATAGGAAGATAATTGAATGCGCGAACTGGACGAAGGGTGCCCAAAGCAATGTCAACACGACGTGCAAGATCATAGTAATTGAGGTGGCACGCAAGTATGAATCCTGAAGCAAGCTCCCTATAATAAGACCATGCATATCTACGGCGATGTTGAATAAGTTCCACACAAAGAACCAGTGGGAGACTGAGATATGCCAGCTGCTCATGAATGCATATATAGTCCTAGATACAGTTGGCATTACATATTAGTACCAGAACATGCAATCCCAAGGGACCTAACTACTTACAAACATCCATAAGCTAATGGCCCCATCATAGGAACTGCGAGAGCCAGTTTGACCAGCCAGTTATCCATGGACATGATACCCGTGTACCACCTCCTCCGCTGCTGAACGAGATCTGCAACGCTGATAGGAGGCTGCTCTTGTGCGATTGCGTGGATCCAGCCAAATTTGAACCCTCGCCGTGCGGCCTATTCAACCGGATATTAGCCAATGGTATTAGTTGAGAAAGATAGGCAGGATACATGGAAGGCAAACCAAAAATCCTCAGCGAGACACCCAGTATCCCAGGTGACTTGATTCTCCACGGCACCGTTGATCAAAATAAATGAACCATGCATCCATCCAAGTAAAGGACGTTTGAAAAGTCGGACTGGAAGTTGAAAGCGACCAAAGTCCTCTGCGACTCTGAATATCTCCGCGGCAGTCAGGAATGAGTTCTTCCAGTGATTATGCGCGGTGTAGTATATTGTTCCCTATCAATGCTTCAGTGGTGAGATGAAAGTCCCCAGGGGTGTAGAATGCATACCATGCCAATATCCTCTGTTCCTCGCTCTATGAAATCAATACAAGCTTGTACCAGATATGCATCAATCTCAGTTTCTTCATCGAGATGTAACACCCAATCATGTTCTGATAGTCTCCAATATCGCCGACACCATTCCAATGCCCGTCCCTTATATTTCGCATGGTCTGGTTGAAACGAGGCTGGCACTTTAACCACGTTGACGAAACTAGGGAGTGATGTGTTGAGTGCATCATGGTCGCAATCTAGCACTACGTGGAAGGTGATTTTATCGTTTTGTCTGCAACTTTGCCATGGCCGAACCGAATTGACCACCGTCTATCACTCGATGTATAAGCATTGAGACAAACAGAATGCAAGATATCAAGGCCTGACCTGTATGTTTGTCCCCTTGGTAACTAGGCATACCCTGAGTTCGCGAAAAACTCGCTTCTTGGGAGATTTGGCGTATGTGAAAGGGCGCACTGGTAGGCATAGTCCCCATAGAATGGAATATGGTGGGAGCTGTGCCAGCAAGAATGGGGCGTAGACGATGGCTAGGATTGTGCAGTCGGGAGTCCACAGGATGTCCGGCTGAACAAGCCGGGTGTATAAGCCTGTCCAAATAGTTATATGATATAGAGCTGTAGTCATTAGCGCGTATTTTATCAAGCGAGACTACGGCACACGACATACCAGTCAATGAAACTGTGGCGGTCAGAGGAAAGATTATCCAGTTGTAGTTCAGACGCTGAAAGAGTCTTTTTGTCTGTTTTTCGGGGGAGATAGGAACTCGAAATTCAATATAGTTCCCATTGTGTAGGCTATTATTTTCCATGGAAACGCTCAGCGTTTCGAGATTCAGGAAAAAGAGATATAGCAATATAGGGGTGGAACAAGGTGATGGAAGAGTCTTTACAGCTCCTCACAGCCCAGGGATCTCAATCTGAATTTGACCAAGTTCCTAGGTGTAATAGCTTCTTGGATATTTTAGTTGCAACCAAGTGTGTTAGTTAGGATTAATATGCACTACTTCAGTGACAAAAAGACACTCCATATATATTGGGTGGGTGCTTGGATTAACCCTGTGGGAAAGCGACAAACCTCCGACAGACTTAAGTTGTACAGGGTAGTAGGATAAAAGAACCTGTCATGTCTGTTGTATTGTTTCTCTTTTGATCACCGGAAGCAGTACGTCGCTTGGAGATCAAGCCAGAGTGCGCACAGCATATGAGACGACTTCTTCTCGCGGTGTAACAGCCCTAGAGGCACAGGTTTGATTTATATCAAGTGGGATTCCTTGTGACTAACCATGTATTTGATATTCTCTCCAGCCCGGTAAAAAGAAATGAAGCGCCTACTGAGCACCATTCTGCTTTTCAGTGGCCTGAGTCTATTTCTGTCGTGGCTATGGAGTAGCTACTTTGTCCATCAGACCGGCGAGAGATCAGAAGAGTTCCCCAAAGTGATCTACGCGACCTATTTGAGCGCACCAACCGAAAACAGATATCACTTCATCTCCGAGTTCCAAAATACTAGCGATCCATATTTTGATGCCGCCCGCATCCTCACTTACCAAGTCCTTCACGCCCCGGAAACACGAACCAAGTTGGGCATTCCATTCGTGGTATTCGTTCACGAAAATGTCGATCAAGAAAAGAGAGATCGTCTCCGATCGGACGGCGCACAAGTCGTCGAATGGCCAGATTTGCGAGTGGACTGGGTTCGACCAAAAGATTCCCGATGGGCTGATGCCTTGACCAAGCTGCGGCTCTGGGAAATGGTCCAGTATGACCTGATTGTGTTCTTAGATGGCGATTCTGTTTTGACAAGATGTCTCGACGGGCTCCTCACTATCCCAAAGGACTGGTCTGCAACGCCCTTACAACCTTCCTTCTTCTTCAACGGGGCTGAGATCCCCCTGCCAGAGAGTTATATTGCTGCTGGCTTGCCGCAGCTCAAGCTGAATCACTCATCGCATCCATCACGCGTCCCTGAAGACTTTTGGGACTGGGACACTTTGAACACTGGCTTTATGGTCTTACAGCCGTCGCTCATGATGTTCCGCTACTTCGAAGCTCTCCTGGCTGCTGAAGGCAGCTTTGACACCAGCATCGCCGACCAGAGTGTTTTGAACTATGCCTTTTCTCGGGCAGGTCCTACCCCGTGGACTACGATGAACTTCTCGTGGAATATCCAATGGCCGTGGCCGGAGGATATCAAGTCAGGTTATGCCGTTCTGCATGAAAAGTGGTGGGCTCCTGTGCATTGGGAGTCTAGAGACTATTTGCTTTCTTGGTACTGGCGAATGGTTGGATATTCTTCGGCTTCAAACTAATGACTCACACTTTTATGCCAAATACGGGATTTACGCCCTTCACTTGACAAGCAGGTGGATCCCGACAGAAGTCAAATATAAGACCCATATTCATCCCGACCTCACCTCCTTTGGACATTCTTTCTCCGTCCTCGATATGTCTACTACTGTGCAACACGCAATTCAAGCCCCGGACGTTCTGCAATTTACCCCAGAAACTCCATTAGTTTACACTATTGAGGTCTTTTCTCAAACCGAACTTCTCAAACAACCCTTCCTATCTGAGCTTCAAGAAGTCATCAACGAGAGCTACCGCGATCCGGGTGGGGCTGCTTTCGAGAAAACGTCTCCTCGACTCAAGAGCGAGACCCAGCTTGCCAACGAGCTGCAAGAAACCGGCTTTACTGCCATCGCATTCGATGGAAACGCGATCATCGGCTCAGCAAGCCTGAAAATCTGGGCGCCCTATTCTGAAGGCCCCGTGTGGAAGTTACCAGGCCACTTTGACCAGTTTCGCTCTGAGGAGATCATCTCGCCGAGTACCGCTCTACTAGAAAGTATTAGTGACGAAGCTCAAAGTACAGTCTGTGAGGGGACGTTCGAACTCGCGGCGGTTGGTATTAAGCCGAATCCTCGATACAGAAGAAAAGGCATTGCGGAAATTTTGGTTAGGGAGTGTGAGCAGGAAGCAAAGAGGCGCACTGGACTCCCCCAGTTGCGAATCACGCTCAAGGTTGTCCGGGATGTCGCAGGGGATTATTGGCTGAAGAAAGGTTTTCGTGTCATCGGGGAACAATACTGTCCTCCGTTAACATGGGATTATAAGACAGGCTTTGTTCTTTGGGCTATGGAGAGAGAGATATCTACTTTTCAGCAGAGCTATATTCAGGCTGTTCCTATATGTAAATAAAGATTACTTCGTCACTTGCTATAGTTTACTTACCGTTACATAAGGTTCTGCGAACTCTCACCTGGTATGAAGCATTTAATAAGGATGTAGCTGAGAATCATTATCAACGAACCCCCTCTTATTCTCTCTTCCGGGGGAGCATGTACGAAGTCCAAGGCCAAAATAAGCCATAATGCTGACTATCAACAAACGCCACCCCCTCCGAAATGCGGAGTAGTGCCTTTAGTGGAAGATCCCTGTGGATATAAGCCGCGGAATCGAAGAAAAGAGAATGGTCGTGCTCTTTGCAGGACTAATGGATCTGCCTCGGCTTTCTCCACTTCAAAACAACTAGAAACGCATATAAACCCCGCCTTAGTGCCAGATTCCGAAATATCAACCGCAACGTGGCTTCTAACACTCCCTTCAACCATGGCGAGCATCCAAATCACCGATGATCTCTTGCGGGATATCAAGGATAAGGTAGTTCTAATTACCGGTATGCATTCACCATATTCCAACTTGAAACCCATAGCTCACAGCCACAGGCGGCGCATCAGGAATCGGAAAAGCGACAGCAGAGCTATGTCTCCAGAACGGCGCGAAAGTGATCATTGGCGACCTGAGCCCACTGCCAACTGAACTCGAAAACGCAGAGAACCTCAAATTCATCCAATTGGACGTCACTTCATGGGAAAGCCAGCGCGCCGCATTCATTCAGATCGAAGAATGGTTCGGCCGAATCGACCACGTTTTTGCCAACGCAGGCGTGGGGCCAATGAGCGATTTCCTCGAAGATGACCTTGACGAGAACGGGCTGTTAGCCCCTCCCAATCTGCGGACGGTCAATATCAATCTTTTGGGGGTTATTTCCACAGTTCGCTTAGCTGCGCACTATATCCAGAAACACGCGACCCACCGCGCGCCTGGTGAATTGGGCAGTATCGTGGTCACCGCGTCTGCGTCTTCATTCCAGAACTTCAGTGCGGGCGATTATACGATCACGAAACATGGCGTTCTGGGGTTGATTCGTGGAATGGGATATCAGCTTGAAGGGAAGGTCCGGTTGAATGCTGTTTCGCCTTCTTGGACTGCGACGGGAATGGTGCCTACGCCCTTTATCGAGTCTCTTGGTGTTGGTGTTCAACAGCCAGAGACTGTGGCTCGAAGTGTCGCACTCCTTTTCAGTGATCAGCAGCGTCATGGAGATGTGATCTATAGTTGGGATGGGAAGTTTCTGGAGGTTAACAAGGCAGAGAACGGACTGTTGGCGGCTGCGGATGCAATTCTTGTGAATTCGGCCAATGAGGAAACTGCGATGAGAAAACTGAGAGAGGCGAGCGCACAGGGCCTGTTCTAGTTCTTTGTCAAGTAATGTTTGCAAGAATACCGAGTGTTGCGTCCATCTCCGTACTCTTGTATACATCATATGACTTCTCCGCATTTGGGCGTCTTCCACGACGTTGCTTCCCCGCCATTTTCTCCGCAAATTCAATGGGATGACCTCGTATTTACCAATCCATTGGAACATCACCTCGGTCCGCACAGATTTGTGGCTCTGTTCAGGGGGTTTCATACGCCCAGTGATGTCTTGAAATGGTCTGATTGACACAGATCATATGGCAGGCTTTGAGCTACAATATCCATCCGATCGTGAGTTGATGGTGACTTGCTCGCCCAGTGTCTGAAGCACTTCGGTGTGCAAGTAGCCTTTGGTCTACATGGTGGACATCTAGACGCATTCCTTATGGGCTGCGAATCCATTGGCATCCGTCTCGTCGACACTAGACATGAAGCCGTCGCCGTATAGGCCGCCGAGGATTATTCTCGGATCAGCATGAAGCTGGAGGTGTGCTTCGTGACCGTTGATGGTGGGTCAGTCTCTTCCCTCGAGAGTTGATTCACAGGGAATTACCGTAGTTGAAATCAACGATAGCTTCTCCAACGGAATCCAGGCCTCGCTACGGCTTATAGCGACCGAGGCCCGACTCTCTGTATTACTTCCTCGCCGCCATCGAGGAACACAGACAATAATACCCTTCAGGGATCGATAGATCGAGTTGTTGCTGCTTGGCCTTTCTCAAATTCGCCCATGGAGTTGTAACGCCCGAGGAATGTCCGAGGATTGTGTCGCGTGCGATTCGAGTGGCTCAATCTGGGGCTCCAGGTAAATATCATGGTCCAAAGGTGATGAAGTAACAATTGACACAAGTCCAATAAGGCTCGGTCTTGCTTAACTTCCCTCTCGATGTGTTGTTTACGCCAGTTCAGCCTAGCTCGTTGCTTGGGGATCGATTACTTCACAATCCTCTTTTTCTCCGGGCCCCAGCAACGAGGCTGTCGAAGCAGCGGTTGAGCTCTTATGGATCTGTTCCCAACTGATCGATCATAAATACTGGAACAGGCACAAAGCATGCTCAGGTAGGCTCTGCTCGATACCTAATGGATAACCTGTAATTAGCACTACAGATACGGCAGGTCATCGTCAAATTCGCAGAGACGTGCAGTATGCCCATTTCAAAACATCCAAATATGCATCGTTTGACCCGCAGTCACCTCCAGATCTAACCAGTCTCCTAGGTGCCCGTACAGGAATGTACCTGGGGGTCGCAGCGGCGCCATCATCCCAAGTCAAGGATGCAAACTAGTACAGGTTGACTGTGACGAGAGTGAGATTGGTCGAACACTGCCTATTGATCTTGGTATTGTCTCTGATGTGAATGCCTTCGTCACTGCGATGAATGCCAAATTCACAACGGCTTCTCAAGACATAATCGCCAAGCCATGAGTGGAGACGATTCACGGTCTCACATCTCTAGAACGACCATTTGAGCAAGAAGCCAGCACGACAGAGTCGGGGGCTATCCACCCCTCTCGCGCGATGAAACAGGTCATGTCTACCGTTGAATTAGATAGCGTCATTGTGCCTGATAGTGGCGAAACATCCGTTGTGGCCTGTGATCTGACTGCATACGCAAAACTTAGCATTGTCCTCACTTCCACGGGCTACCTCGGCTTCTTGGGTACCGGGTTTGGGTATTTGCGGGGCTGTGCGATTGCAGATCCTAGTCGCAAAGTTATCAGTATCCAAGGAGATGCGTCAGTCGGGTTGCACCTGATGGAGCTGGACGCCTACACCGGATTCAACTTGGATATCATAACCGTGGTAGTTAACGACGCAAGTGGGGGTATGAGTTCTAACGGCCAGGGTGTTGTCCGTGGACCTAAGAATCCGATTCGGCCGATCAGTGCTCTCGGTTCAGCGACTAAATATGACGTGGTGGCTAGAGGCTTGTAGAATGCTGTTGCGAAGGACTCGGAAGGAGTCATCCAGATTCCAGAGATGATATCCGGGGTGCGGTCGCTAAGCTCCTGGCTCAGTCTGGGCCAAGTTGTATCAACTTGATTGTTGATCAGAAGCCTATTCATCCTCCGCCTACTGCTATGGTTGGACTGACTGAGGACTCTGATTCGGTGGTGGTGCCTTACTACGATAACATCCCGCCAGCGTACTACAAGCTATAGTCTCTAGCACATAGGTCAGACTGTGTTGTGTATGAGTATGTTTGTTTAGTATCTTTCATTGACATTGACAAACAAATTCTCTTTCTCAAACTTCTTTGTCTGCTGGAGATAAAGCTCTTCTAGATAAATAGCAGCGTTCTTATGGAGAACACCCACCTGGCTGTATACATCCGTGATTTCCTATATGGTATCTTATATAACCCATTTGGTCTTCATCCCAGAAGTGAGAGTCATAGTCGATATCTCCTGTCGCTCTCTTTTGGCTGCTAGAAGACCAGAACGCCCCGGACCGCTAAATCTTCTCCTTCATCTAACACATCACAACACCGATCGATAACCCTCTTTTTCTAACAATCTCACATCCATCTTCGTCTCTATAAACCTTGAATGAAGAAAGTGTCTAGCAGTGTCTAGCCAGTTACAGGCCATTTACTCTTCTCGGGGGCGCAACCATCATGCAAGCCTGTGAGTCCTCATCATAGACGACTACGGAAGGTCCGACACTGACTTGATCGACAGCTTCTGGAAGACGTCCAACAGGCAACTCCTTCTTCAATCAACCGCTCAGAGCGACATCTGCGCGTGCGAGGGATGAAAAGCACCATTCGCAAGTTGAAATTCAATCCTTCGATTTTACCTTCCTGTTCATCCTTACCCTTGAAGCGGTATGCCCGATCCCACATGACGAGTTCCGAGATCGCATGCAGCCTTCGTCGAAGAACACGATGGATATCCCAGATATGCAGGTCCTCAGATAGCAGGACGTATCTTCCAATCCTCTGTGATCAGCACCGATGGATCAACACCCGGTGCCGGCGAATTGATGGAAAATTTGCCATTGGCAAAACAAGGAAAATCCGGGGATTCAGGAGCTATTGAGAACCGGGAACCTTCCCATCGAGTCACAACTTGTGTTAATCCGCGGACCTGAGGGTCAGTGACATAGACTGTCATAGGAGAGGACTTCTCCTGGATGATCTGCCAAATATCGTGAAGTTCGATTTGAGGTATAGTGATACCCACTGCTCCCATATTTCCTTGCGTGGAAGAGAAGGCGAAATCGCATGGCAGCAGCCTTTCAAGATTGATAGTTACCGGGATGCCCATCCATCTCGTCTCTATGCACGGTGCAACAACGCTCGGGACAAATGCGAATTGGAATTCGATTTCTCTTGAATGACGTTTCGGTCCTGTATCTGAACCTTCTTCAATGGCTTCCTCTCATGGATTAATTCATCTAGCAGAGTCCATAACCCGCTCAGAGGATAAAAGGAGTGGATCCCGGGGAGTTGAACCCGTTTCTCGTGAGCGCGTTCGCGCTATCGTCGTTTGACCCCCGACAAAAACCTCATTCGGGACTTCGGTTATTTGAACCCGAGTTCGGATGTGGGTTTTGTCGAATCCCGCGCGCTCTCTCTCCAATTGAGTCTTCGCGTGAGCTCCAACAAGCTTGCTGGCTCCTCCGAAGTTGCATATCAGCGACGGGGTTCGAGGAGATCCGGGTCGCGGAAATGACGGGTCTGACCATCCTGTCTTTTCCATAATCGTTGACCAGAGTAGTCGAGATTCATGGACTGCGGATTCGATTGCTGTGGCCAGCAAACGGACTGAGATCGGTTTCTCTTGGGCTGTACGGTTCGTCGTCTACTTGCTATACAATGGAAACACTGGCTCCTTGATGTGCACGATGTTGACGGTGGGTTTCGGTGGATATTGAATGGGTGGGTAATGAACCGGGAACTTCCACCAAAGCCCCGTTATTGCTGGAGTAGTGTATGTACCTTGACAATCTTCCTTGTTGGTTTGGGCTCAGTGTATGGAGGGTCAAGTTGGGTGAACATGCTGCACAACAAATAGGCCTACCGGAACGAAAGAAGTTGAAAATCCAAAGATAAGCACGTCTACTTCGCACAACTACAGCCATGATGCAATCATTTATACGAAAACCAAGAATTCGGGGGATCAAGTATCATATTAACGCAATTGTCAATTGCAAAAGTAAAAGGGTATTAACTATACACATAAGCCACAATCCACCACACAAGGGGCCCCGCTACTCAGTCGAGTAGATGTACATAGAAGCATCAAAGACATAACCATAAGCATAAGATAAATTGTGTACAACCCCAAGAAGGTCAAGATTTAAGATTTCTCAAACTTGATCCCGACCTCACCAAGAGCAGCACCAACATCCAGCTTAATGGCCATCTTATTTGCCTTCAAGGCAGTGGTGAAGTACGGAAGCTCCTTGCCGTGATACACGCTGGAATTTCCGGTGATGTCGAAGGGCACGACGCCATCCTTGTAGGGGTTTTTCTTCGACATGAGCAGGCTGATGATGTAGGCTTGGTCGACGTCTCCGACCATTGGTACGTTGTTCTTGCCGGGCTTCAGGACGAGGTTTTGCAGGACTGTTGTTCCTACTGGTTTGCCGGCGATGGCGAGGTTCATGGTGACGTTGCCCTAGTTTTAGTGTTAGTTTTGTTGGTGAATGTGCGAGATCAATTCTTACCATGGTGATGGTCATCACAGTGGGGTTGGGGATCATGGCTGTGCCGTTCAAGCCGATGCCGTTCTTGGGAGGGTAGATGATGTGGAACTCGGGGACGTCGAAGCCCTTGAGTTTATTGAGACCTGGTTCGAGTTAGCATCTGCTTATTCATTAACAAGAAAAAGGGGAGGCAAACATACCCTTCATAGTGACGGTCTTGTTATAGGTCACCGTAGTCTTAGGCAAAGCTCCCTGCTTAAGACCGGGCTTTCCGTAAACGTTCATCGAGAACTCCTCATTCAACATAACAGCCTTGTTGTACTCGCCAAAGGCATCGACGTCGGTCAGATCAAGCTTCTGCTCCACGTGAACCTCTGCACCGTCCTTAGACTTGACAGCAGGGACAACGACAGTGCCGAAAGGTGTTGATGCACCGGAGAGCGAAACCTCGGCATCAAACTCGTAGATCTTGGGGTGGAACGGGCTGTCCGTGCCGATGATTTGGAACTGCTCAAGCTGGATCGATTCAGGTGTGGGATCGCTGACGATCATCTCCTTGATCTCGAGGGTCGAGTCGTTGACGGCATCCTGGGCGATTCTGGGGTAGCCGACGTACACACTAGTTTCAATGTCAGTGGAATGTTCGGATTGATGTGAGCCTCAACCATGTGGTTTTGTTCTCCACCGGGAAGTAAGGGGATGAGTTTCTTTGTTTTCAAAGGAGCATTGACTTACACTGGTAATGTGATGATCAACACGCAAGCACAGAAAATGATCAAGTGCACCCACCACCACTTCTTGAAGTGGGCGACAAGACGCGCGCCGAAGCCCTTCTTTGGCGCTACGCCGACGTTTTCTGCTTCCACGACTGAGGCTTTTGTGGCCGACATTTTGTGCTGCTGTAGTCTATGTTAGAGAGTACAATGGCAGGGAAAAGGAGAAACAAAGGGGTACTTTGTCGAGTTATCGACAGGGGAGTCTCGAAAGAAGCTAGACTTACCGAATCGGACACACCCACAGTGAAGAACTTCCGAGGGAAAAAAAGAGGCACAAGAGGCCTGAAGGAAGCACAGAGTAAATGAAAGGAAAACGAACGTGGTACTACGCGCTGCCTCAATGTAAGGGCGTGGGTAGTACTTTATAACCCACCGGCGTTCGCTAAAAAAGCTCAAACTGCCAAAACGTCCTAGAACGGGGTCTAGTATCGTCACATGCCATGCAAGAAGTAGGAAAAAGCCAAAACGCTAATCCAAAAATCCGAAAAGAAGGGGGCGAACGAAATGCAAGGTTGGGTTGTGGCGTACGGAAAAGAGACATTTCATTTTACTCGAGTGATTTTCGTCCCTGACTGCCCTCCACAGCACCTATGAGACGACACACACGGGCCAGGTAGTGGACTCTAGCGTGGGTCTGGGGAAACTCCGGATTTGCGGAGAATCGATCGACTGGAAGTCCAGTATAATGTCTCAGGTTGAGACCCCGAAAACAAGCAGTACTCCCACATGAAAAGGACCGAGCCGAGGTGGGCTTTATTTTGGAATCTGACACGCATGTCAAGATAACGGAAGGACGTGTCCTACCATATGGCATTCAATGTGTGAGATTGCAGACTTCCTTGACATGCCCCGTTGCACTAGCTTATTGAGCGAGCCGGACAGCCATTGGATGATGGTGAGACTAGCAAAATTAGCCTGCCAAGGGATTGAACATACCCCCGTATTGAGAGAAGGTTATACGGGGCAAAAGACCGAAATGGTCCAAGTGAAGCACACCCCCCGGTCGTGGCGTTGGATCTAACCCCACACCAGTGTGTTTTAGGCAAATCCCAAGGTCCACGGGCTAGGAGCTAAAACCCATTAGGTCAATCCTCCGCGCAGCCAAGCGAAAAGAAAAGGAGGGGCCAGCAAAAGAGAAGCAGAAAGCCGGGGGAGAGAACAATGCGGGGTCAGGTGTTTGGGTTGTTATACGAAGTTATGAATAATAATGTCCAAATTGGTTGATGTAAGGAGAAGTACAGGATTCTGTCATGAGTTCATGAGTACAATGCAAATATCCAATGGGATGGAGCTCAGAAAAGATAGAAAGAAAAAAAAGGTGCCAGGAGAGAAGAGAAGAATGAACAGAAAAGAAGAAAAGAAGAAAAAAGCGGTGGCAAAGAAAGGGTATCCACGGAGAACGGAAGTATGAAGCCTGCGACGCATGAACCCAAGCCAAAAGGCTCGGCGAATACATCGAAAACAGCTGCCCAGGCGGCTCTGATAATAAAAATTTAAGACATGAGAAAGGCAAGGAGTGTAAAGGGGTCAGAAGAGAGAAAAGAGAAAAAGAAAAGAAGCGAAACATCGGCTCAGAACGCTCCAAACATATTGCAAATTGCAGCAATGTTAGGTTATACAGCTCCAATAGGGAGCGAAAGCAAATGACAATAACTAGGAATCAAAGGCAGTCTATGCCTCGGGTGCGTTGGGTTTCTTGCGTTGGAAGATACTGCGAGTACGAGACTTGCTGCGCGACTTTTTGTCCTTCTCTCCGCTGACATTTCGGCCACGGGAGCGATTCTTCGCCTCATTCTCATTGTACTTGTCTTTGTGGATCCTGCAGAGATAGGTTAGTGATATAGAAATGGGAGAATGGAATCACCAAGAACGTACCAGCTGTTTCCAACCATGCTCATGCCCTCGGACTCAGCTTTACGATAGAATCGGGCTGCCTTCTGCATGTCCTTCTTGCAGCCAACGCCCTCCGCGTAGCAGAATCCGGCTTCGGCCATGGCATCGACGTCGCCCCATTGACCGGCGATCTCGAAGCAGCGCAGGGCAAGAGACTTGTCTTGCTCAATGCCCCAGCCATTCAAGTAGCTAACGCCCAATTCGTAGATGCTCAGAGCAAACTGGGCCCGGTATGCCTTTTGCAATTCCTTCGCCTTCGACGCACCCGGAGCATCGGGATTGGCTAACATTTCGAGGCCGACGGAATCCACGGCTTTGCGTAACCATCGCACGCCCTCCTTCTCATTAGGCCGCATGCCCCAGCCATGGCGACAGGCTAGCGCATATAACAGCATTCCCGTCGGGTGGTCCTGTTTCGCGGCGACACGCAGATGATACGTCGACTCACTGAGAGATCCTCTTTCGTGGCATTCGATGCCCTTAGTGACGTGATCATCGGCGGTAAGGCCGGACGCCGTCACCTGAGGGGCGGCGGTTTGAGGTCGCACGGTGCTTGCGGAATCCGCAGAAGAGACGGTTTCATCCTTTTCGTTGGTTATCTGTCGGGCGCTATTAACAGAGGGGCGTAGTGGCTCCACTTTCGATGTGGGCACAGGCGAGGGCGGGGGTCGCAGAGCTCGTTGAGGCTGGGGTAGTTCAGGTTGAGATTTCGGCCTGGAGGTCTGGAACGTTGAATTTGGAACTTCGTGCATCGAGTGAGGCTTTGGTGAGTGCTCGAACTGGCGATGAGGCGTTGGAGATGGCGTTCGTGTCATCCGTGGTGGCTGCTCTGAGTTTCGAGGAGGTGTTTTCTCAAATATCGCTCCTTCCCATTCGAAATGAGGCGTTTGCAAGCCTGCAAATACGACCGAATCCCTCGAGAGGAAGCGTCCGCGCGGAAGCGCATACTTGGCGTAAACATAAGATGAGACTGCGGAGGATGGTTCGCCTTCTAGCGGTGCGAATGCGGCAGCTCCTTCAGTGGAAAGCTGCAGTGGGGTCGGCTTGCAGCGACGCTGCATGTGGTGTGAAGTGGACGCAATGGTCGATTCGGTAGGTGTCGAGGAACTAGGAGCAGATAGGGTTGTACTTGATCGACTCAGCGGCCGAGAGAAATTGAAGGAAGGCCTGGGTAAATGATTCATTCCGGAGCCCGATGTCTCCGAGCTCATGGACGGTGATCGAGGGAGCGTTCGTGCAGGGTATGTTGACATGGGCGAATATGGCAACGAAGCAGCACTCCCGGAGGACATCTTGCGAGGTTTCGAGAACGTCGACCCCCCATTGGAGCTGCTGTACTCGTCATCAGAACTCTCATGATGCGCCCTCCTGGAGCTACTAGACGGACGCGAACGCGGCGACACTGGCGGTGCCAAGGTGCGTGGAATATGTAGTCGAGAAGTTGCCGAGTCGGTTGATGAACCTCGTAGCTCATGAAAGGCCACATCAACAGGTGCACCCTCCGCCCCACTTGCGACCGATGCCAGATTCTCCGGAGACTCGGCGCGCGGCATCCCATACACCTCCGGTCCAGTGGGGACCATCGTTGTCCGAGGTGTTATATTACTATCATCATCGTCATCCTCATAATAGCTAGCCTCAGTACTAGCATTGGAAACCGAGCTGAAGCGGGGATGTTCAGAAATCGGGCGGTATTTAGGTTGTTCATATTCTGGCTGTCCCTTCTGCGTGGGTTGGCGGGTCAATCCGGTGCGGGATTCAGCCGACGACTTGGAGCGGTAGAAGCCCGGGCGGCCTTGTGAAAGCGATCGAGCGACACTGGCAGGCGGCAGGCGACTCATGCGACGGTCTCCTCGTCGAGACTCATCGAGTTGGCGGGCCAGAAAGCGGCCCTGGGCGGCAAATGCATCGAGAGGGGAAAGTGCGGGAGGAACTTCGCCGTCAAAATGCGCCACCCGCGGCGAGGATATACCACTTCGCAAAGTATCGTGAGATGTAGAGCGACATTCGCCCAGTTTTCCTCGAGTGTTCATGGCGAGAATTATCTATATCACAAGCTGTTGGGTTCTCCGTTCCCAGGGTATCAAATGTTTGTCCAGTCAATAAGGTCACGACACAGTTGGCTATTCAATCATGTATCCTAAATCGGTGGGAGGTTTCGAGATATGCGCAGGAAGCATCGGAGTAAAGGTGGAAAGTTGGTTTGTATTCCTGAAACGAGGTCGCCTTCGGGGTTGCGGATAACACACAAAGGGGGGGTTCGGGCGGGGAGGCGGAGTTATAGAGCCAAAAGGAATGACAGCCCTATAGGAGACGAAATCGAAGCAAGGAAGACACCGTGAGAGTTCAGGGCATTGGGGAGAGGGGGGGGGGGGTATAGATGAGACAAGGATGTGAGAAAGGAGAAACAGAGGGAGGGAGAAAAACGGAGGGCCCTGACGATCACAATGCAAAGACGACACGATGACAACGTAAATAGAGGCCCCGTGCACTAAAAAAACAGTACGGAGTAAAAAGGACTCCACTGGGTCTCGACGTTGACAAGGGAGAGATCGTCTCAGGGGAGACTCCTCTAACACCTTCAAACCGCTTCGGCTTCAGGGGGTCGCCAAGAACAATATCGTAATGGCGGCCATTGACGCCATTGGGGCCGGCAGGGTGCATACTGTGATCGTTATTGGCTCGAGCCATGCTATAACATGAATATAAGTCTATTATTGATTTCACTATCCATCATAATTTGTGTACTCCGTACGGAGTACTATAGTTCCGGAGTGTTTTTCTTTGACCCGCAATCTTCTAGAATCCCAGGCTCCCAGGTCGTTTCTCCTGCCGTCCCTCCCCACACGGGTGGTTTCATCGTATGTATCGATGCCATGTCCGCTTGGAATTCTAGAAATCCCGGCTGGGAGAAAAAATGACGATGAGCGCACATTCCTGCAGAATCCAAAATACATGAGAATTAGCCTCTGGGGGCGAATCAGTCGATGTAAATAAGTGAAACCATCCCCTAACTAATTATATTGCAAGCCACCAAAGAGTGGATATGCAATTCAGCGCTCGACATGTTCCCAAAGGGAGAGAGATAAGCACGTAAAGAATCTAATTGATCCTCCGGGCATTGCTTGATATATCTGCATCCATCGTTCTACGGAGTAGGCTGTCTCTCATCCCAACGGCACTTGATCACTCTCTATTGCGTTATGGGTATACGGAGTACATTTGCTTTGGTGTACCGGGTGGATCCTCCCCTAGGAAGAACCAGGACCCTCTTTAACAATCTCGCGTAGTCTAGCCAAGCTCTCTACTTTGGTACTATCCATTTTATACCGTTGGACTCTGGACTCTGGACTCGGAATGTTGTTCGTCTAAGAATAGAGCCAAAGGGGTCGCCATCCTCACTAGTTAGTACCATGGAACGAGAAAACTAATCCATGTGCTGTGCTTGCCTGGTTCACCAATGACGTACAGCTAAGTGGGGCCACACCCATCAGTTCCCCAATTGGGCGGCTGTCAATGCTGAACGTATTTCACGGGGATTTGTTTCAGACTTGCAGCGAAACGACCGGCACTATATCCACTGTACTCCGTACGGAGTACGAATATAAGCATGGGAACTATGTGGTGATCATTGAAGACGTTGTTCCCTTTTGAATCTGAGATATGCCCAATTCGTGCATATTTTGTACACCAAGGTGCCTAAGGCACTAAGGCACTAAGGCCCTGCCACTCAATAGTTAACTTGATATCAATCTCACCTCTATACTTTTTTTTGGGGTTTTTGACTTTGACCTTTCTCATCGTCAATATGGCAGCACGCATCCTCCAGCAGCCGCAGAATCCATATTCAAATCTCCACTTGTACCAGAACAGTGGCGCTTTACTTGCGAGTCAGTTGACTTCACAAGAGCGGGCTGCGATGATAACTGATACAGCCATGGATAGGCCTCACGATCCCCAATGAACAGATCACGGTACATAAGCGATGAAATGCTGTATCGGTATTGTTCAGCAATCTTTATCTTTCAAAATAATATCGAATGGGCCATTTTCCATCTATCTGGTGCTGGACACCCAGGTCAGGCGCTCCGAATGAGTGGCCGGTCTCCCGTTCCGCCCGGAAATTATATTGTCCTTGCCAGTAGTAAGTGTGGTGAATCCAATATGGCTCAAGTCTTCCAAGCTAACAATGAAAGATGTAGACCAGACCCCAGTTTCTGTTAGCTTGACAACAGAATGCGCGCCTCGCCGTGTCAAACCCCACGATACTAGCACAGAATCCCAAGGCCGGAAGGATCGGGACGATCTGGTAGTGCTGATATATAAATTACCAGAAGCATTTCATGATGAGGCTAACGATTCTAACAGCAGGAGCAGTTTCGCGACAGCCTCCGCCGACGAGATGGGTGTTGTGCGCTTACCGGTCCCCCTCAGGTGTTCAACAATACAAGACCTTTCCGGGGTCTGGAGTCTACACACATTTTCCCCGTGAGTCTCCTAGAGGAGTGGAATCGCGGCAATTACAGTCGTTACGTGACAGATCCCAGCCCCGCTAGTGTGATTGGGGCGTCAAAGATGTTCTCCCCACAGAATGGGCTCCTTCTTCGCTCCGATTTGTATTCCTTGTTTGATGATTTTGAAACTGGAGTAGATCCAACGTAGGACTGCCCATAACAGGATGTGTTACTTTGCTGATAGATGCTGATCTAATTGATATAGGCTGGCTTTAAAATCATCATATTCTCAAGCGAAAGGGGCGAGGCGAGACTAGGAGGGACTCGTCTTCGGGACTCTGCAAGATCGGGAAGCCAAGGGGTGAACGCGGATCTCCTCCGTTGGCATTTGCGTATGTGCCTGTACCGGAATCTGAAGACCCATGCTGAGCCACAAATTCTCTGGGAGGAGGATATTGGGGAGGACTCAATGGGGACCATCCTAGCGCAGCCAGATGCTGCTGCACGGATGGAAGCGGAGCTTTTTACGCGCCTAGGAAGCATGATCGCGTAGATCATCTCAAAACACACGATGACTAGAGAATCTCGCGTGCAACATAGGTACTAACATACTAATTTTGTCTACAGGATTTGACAGTATGTATCAATATGCGATGATATGGATCATAAGATCAGGTCAAAATATACCATTAAGAGTGAAGAGTATTTTTGAAGACATTATATACAGAAAAGCATTATCGAAAACCGAGTGCTTTTGGAGTTTTGAAGATGGTAGTAGCATGAAGGCAATGAGGGGCCATACAGCACACTGGAGCTTAAACTCTCTCCCAGCCTGATTCGCTGCCACTGCCACTAGAAGTGCCAGAGGCCATCCCATTTACACTGCGGTACCCCATCATCAATGCCACAAGCCCACTGGGAGCCCAGGCCCCGATCATGCTATATGACCAAGCTCCCCGACCCACGTACATGACTGGCTTCTTTGTCTTTTTGAGGCCAAACATGTTGCGCGAAGCTGGTTCCAGGGCATCTAGGATAGCGTAATGGAGATTCCGGGCCGGGGATCCACGCACTGTACTGGGACCCGCAGATGCAACTGGGCGCTGCTCAACGCTAGACAGATATTGTGAAGCATACAGAGCTCGCTGCTGAGTGCTCCAAGCCAGGACTTCTGTGCCTGCAATTTGACTTTGACCATTTCGGTATGTCGGCCCTAAATCAATGTTGCCCAGCTGCAGCTCGACGACATCGACATTGCCTTGTTCGAGAAGGCTAAGTTCCTGGCGAAGTGAGGCTGCGAAGCCTGAAATCGCGCGCGCCGTGGCTACTTCCGGCCCGGCAAATGGTGCAGAAAGGGAGGAGGATATGGATGGATAGGCAAACACAATAGTACTGCTATTGCTGCGAAGAGTCAGGAGAGGTAGGAATGCCTGTGTTGTGAGGATTGGTGAGAGAACGCGGGTGTTGACCGTATCGGCCCAGGATGACTGTGGAATGGTTGCTACAGGACCGGCGCTGTAGTTGGGTGATGGGACCACGATAAGGCCACTCAGCTGACAAGTGTGCGGAGGCACTCCGGCAACAGGTGATTGCGCCTGAGTGATTAAGGAGCGAAGTTCTTGCAATGATGGATGGACTTCGGATGGAGAAGATGTAGTCTATTGAAAAATGTCAGTGGATGAATTCCGCACAGCGACGAATAACACTTACGGTTGTGGGATCGAACCACAGAGCCTTGATATCAGCGCGGTTCTCAGACTTGACGATATGCTCTTCATCAGCGGACGAAACAGTCACGTATACAATGAATCCTCGACGTTCCAAATCAGTAGCAATGGCCCTTATCATCGGCTCATGCGGCGACCCAGCGACAACTATATCGCAGAGTTAGCTTCTATCCCGGCGCAGATCATAAAACGCGGAGGTTATGACACATACCCACTATTTCTTTACGCGCACCGTTGCCCGCCCTTCTAGCCTTTCTCCGCTTTCCATGCAGCTTCTTGCTCCCATAGTATAAAACGACACCTGTTCCGACAAATGCGAGAATGGCTGCAGTCCACGCGCGATTCCGAGCCATCCAGTTTTGAATCCGGACCGTCAGAGCTTGCGATGACCGTGTTCGCGGCCCAACACGAAGCGGGCGAACAGTGGGCGGCAGCCATGACTGCTGGGCCAGTGTGTCTCTGATAACATTCGCGGCATGGTCAACCTGTCGGTCGATCGAGTCTGCGACTCCGAGGGAATACCGCATTACGTCATGGCGTATGGACTCAAGCTAGACAAAGAAGTATCAGCACTGGAGGGTTTCGATGGTCATGTCCAAGATACTCACATAATCAAGGAAGAACTGGTCGTCGCTCGTCATTTTGTTGATTTCAGAAGAAGTTGGAAAAGAAACGCAAAAGTTTGATAAGATTGATGCTGATAACGCTGGCACTATCGAGGAGGTCACATGAGCAGTGCGCTGGATATCGATGTCAACTCTATACTTCTACAGGTTTCTCTTGTTTTTGTCGGATTTCCGTAGTTGCAGCAGATGGATATCTGGCGGGGTAAAGTTCTTCATGCCAGCACAAGTGGTTGAACTTCCGGATTTTGTGACTACATGTACTTATTGCCCGATACACATAAAACCAAACGGATATGATCGTTGATATAACTCGGAGATAATTCCCAGTCTTTTGGCAACGCAGACTCCGCATTAAGCTGCCTCACTTGTCATTATACACAGATATTGTAGAAGCGTGGAGCACCTAGGTAGTTCACCCGGTCTTGTTTCAATACAATGCACGTGATCACTTTGAGGCCTGAGGGATCAGGCATCCATGTGCCTTGCTTGATTATCAATACAAAAGACGATCCATGGACGCCCAGGACATGGATTGATCCTGAAATTTCCATCGCTGGTTATGTTCCTTTGATTGTTCCTGGCTATCTGCATCGCTGTACGTTGGCATAATTTGCCCATGTTCTGATGTGAAAAGTTCTCGTTCAGACCCTCGTCTCGGAGGCTATTCTGACGGAGGCAGTAACCTCCGACATATCGGTGACATCTTATTCCTGGTGACACTAAATCATTCAAATTTTGATTAAAAATTGCAAACATGCGGGAGCTAGACCCCTTGATCTCGGAATACCGCCATGAGAAGAAACGCCCGAGAGAGTCAGAGGCGCTCTTAATCCTCCGCAAAGTCGCGTCTCTGGTCAAACCGATCATGCGACAGCGTGCCTGGAGAGTTGGTGCGCTCTGCGAGTTCTATCCGCAGCAGCGAAATCTGCTGGGATTGAATGTCAACTCAGGGCAAAAAATTTGCCTAAGACTACGATACCCCTCCGATCAGCGACAGTTCCTCCCTATTGAAGAAGTTGTAGATACTATGCTTCATGAGTGAGTAATTTTATGTTCAGGAGTTTCCCATTCCAGACGCTGATATTAAACAGACTCTGCCATAACTTAATTGGTCCTCACAACCAGCAATTTCATGCGCTGTGGAACCAACTTCGTGATGAGCATGAAGAACTCGCCCGGAAAGGATACACCGGAGAGGGTTTCTTATCACAAGGAAAGCGTCTTGGTGGCCAGAGGATTCCACTGGACGAAGCTCGGCGTCAAGCTCGTGCCGCTGCTGAGCAGCGGAAGATTCTCTCTAAGAATTCCGGCAAAAAGCTCGGCGGCGCCCCCGTGCTCCGAGGAACAGATATACGCAAAATCAGGGCTGACGCCGCTCAGAGGCGTATTGAAGTAACCCAGGGATGTGCGTCTGGTACAGATCGCAGCACCGAACTTGCGGAAGAGGCCTCGCATGGATTCAGAACTCAGGCCGAGGAAGATGATGCGAACGAGCGAGCTATAATGGAGGCCTTTATTGAATTAATACAGGAAGAAGAAAGGGAAAAATATGAGTCCTCCTATGTTCCGCCAAGTCAACAAAACCCAGCGGGACCTCGAACAAAATCATCACCACCACTCACTGCTTCTGACACCTCGCCTGCTACTTCTGAAGCCCAACCTGTAATGCCACAGGTTACTTCATCGTCTAATAACAATATTACTGTTGATCTCACAGCTGATAACAGCTCATACGAGGCCCCCTGGACATGCTCAACCTGCACCCTCGAGAACCCCTCTACATTCCTATGCTGTGATGTCTGTGCTGCAGAACGACCACCTCCGACCAATACCTTGTTCACAACAACGTCCATATCTACTTCTGGCCGAACATCTGCACTACCAGCGCGCTCAGAGCCCCGTAACTCAAAGAAACGGTCTGCACCTCTTGATCGAAAGGAAGACAAGGACATAAATCCTAGGGATACGTTTGCTTTCAAGAATCGCACTCGTGCACTAGATACCCTGAAATCCTTGGACCGGGATGCTGATAAAAAGCCCCTTGGTTGGCTCTGCACCTCATGCAGTAGCTTTATGGAAACCCAATGGTGGACATGTTCCTGTTGCGGGACAATGAAGCCGTCCTCTTAATCAATTCTCGAGATATTTGACTGGCACATGCTCCCTACACGGAATTACGATTTTTATGAGATAGATACCAAGAATGCATTACCTTGTGTTGAAATGATGAACTCGATTTGAACAAGTCTAGAAATCTATATACATCCAACTCTATATACTTTGAAGACTACAACTGAAGCCTACTCTTTCGGGTACCTGTTTTTGCTACTCCTATTTTTTATTTAACTAATTGAATGCTCCTAATCTACCTCCATTAACTCCATCTCTATTGAAATGCCGTCTTTATGACTTGAGTATCTGCTCTCCGACAACGGTAGACGAGGACGAGGACGAGAACGGGGAAGTACTGCTGATACTGGTGATGGAAGGGGACTGGAGGATCTGTATGATGCGGAGTACGTTTGATTATATGAAAATGGACGATCTTTTGACTAGAAAAGTACCTTTTGTTTACTATCTAGACCATGTTGTAGATATCAAATGGGGTGGCAGAAAAGAATAGGTGGCAGAAAAAGTGGCAGAAAAACTTTCTACCAGAATGTTGAGGGAGATACTGAAAATTCAGGCATCTATCTGAAACATTAAGCAGGGGTGGATGTACCTGTCACCTAGATCAATACCCTATCTGTATCAAATATCGTATGCTTCCTATTACTATGTTTACATTAATATATAGCTTCATCTAAATACCATATTTAACGGGATATCATATCTACTTATGACTCCCACATGGTGACACAGAATTGTGACTTATACGGTTTCCACATGCAATGATAGTACCGCCTATACATAGCTGAAGAAAGTCTGGATCATCATCATTCTTGAGTTGCTAGATTCTATTGCCGTTGCATTGGCAAATTTTAGAATTCCGACTTTGGGAAGGCCTATCTACATAGATACGTGAATGAATATTCTGGTGGATGCAACTGTCTAACATGTACACAAAGAAGGTGTATAAAAAAATTGGCTCAAATTGGCTCATACAAACAAAGCACTCCTTGGGGGCAAATATCAACAAAGAACCTTGGGATTTTAACCCTGGACTCGGAACGTGCGACCACTAGCAGTCTTGCGCTCACGTTCCTCATTTTCCGGCCGAGCTCGGTTGAGTACTGCTGCAAGTTAGCGCCAAACCCTTTCTCTCGCTCACTGGAATACGTACCTTGAAGGAAATCGGCTGTCCTCTTTCTCATTCGAGTGTGAATGTAGGCCTGCACTCAATGTTTAGTCATTAAATCCGTCTAGTCAGGACTAACAAAAACACATACCTTGGAGGCTTTGATGTGGTAATGGAAGTAATCACGGAAGGTCTGAATGTGGGAGATGTTCTCATAACGACGTTGAGGAGTCAAGTGTCGGGGGAACAGAACTGCGAGCCGAATTAGTATCACGATGGAGATTCTCAACAATTATCTGCGTTCGTAGCATTCGTACCAAAGGTGACATAGCTGACTTCGCCGCCGCTGGCACTCAGACCAGGCACACCGGCCAGCTCAAGGGGAGGATCGTTACGGAAAAGAACCTGAGGAGCATTCTGAAGCGTCAAAACACGTCGTCGGGCGTCAACGAATTCCTATAGGCTGTAAGTATAGGTTTCAAAAGCTTATAACGCGACTGCCACAAAGTACGAACCTGCAGGAAGACCTTGCCAAAAATGCGATCTGTCTCCTCACGGAAAACGGTGCTGAAGATCACTGTGACTCGATCCCAGTTGGCCTTGATGTAGATGGCTTCCTCTTCCCGGTAATGGATGGCCATAACTTCACCGCCCTCCTTGATGCCCTGTGGTGCTGACTCGGAGGTATACCGAGAAGCTTCCTCGGCGAGCTTGTTAAATTCGTCGAATGCTCTCTCAAAAGGAGCAGCCATTGCGTTCCGCTTCAGGAGTGCAAGCTTCATAATCAAATCACTCCGGGCCTCCTCGTCTGCGGGCAGGTTTTCGAGGTCGACCTGTACCGAGAAATCGTAGCCCACCTCGGGAGACACGATGTAAGGACCATATTCTCTCTCCAACACCTCCTGAGCTCCGTACTGGACCAATTCTTTGTAACATTTCACATTGATCGAGATGAGGATCTTTGTCTTGGACTCGGGGGTAGAAAGGTGGAATGTCACACCATCGAAGTCGGAAACCACCTGGTCAATGGAAACGGGGGGTGCTCTGAAGTCAGCTTGTTAGTCGGGTGCCTGGTTCCGGGTGAGGTGTATACAATGCGCGGGATCGCAGTGCGGGGGAAAAGGGCAAATCGTACCCAGCAGAAAACCGCTCCGTCAGGAGGGACTGAATTAAAACGTTCTGATAATCCAAGAGAAGCATGATGGGCAAGACAATGGCTGGTAAAGTAGTGCCCAGACGTAGTTGGTGGCTGTTATGAGGTTGCCCGTGATCGTCATGGGCGGTGGGGGAGCCGGAGAGGTCGCTGTCGCCGCCCGTATTAATTTTATCCTATCGATAGCAATCGGAGGCTCCAAAAATTTTCCCATCCACCCCCAACGATGGTGAAATCATACTTGTACGTGCGATTTTATGTGTTTTGGAATTCTCTAGTCCGAGCGCTAACATTCATGCAGTAAATTCGAGCATTCGAATACATTCGGGCTCGTCGCCTCGGCGTCCTCAAATGCGGTTTGGGCCAAAGATGACCAGACCGGCATTGCACGCCAGACAGGCGCCGGACGAGCCATTGTGGGCGCAAGCGAGGAAGTCTTGTGCTGGGATGTGAAGAAGGGCGAACTCTTAGGAAGATGGCGCGATTCTTCCTGCAGAGCGCAAGTTAGTGTGGTCACGCAGAGCCAGACGGATGAAGATATCTTCGCGGTTGGGTGAGTTTTCTCCAATATGACCCATTCGGGCGATTATAACTAACAACGGTGTCCTTCCCAGCTACGAGGATGGAAGTATTCGTCTTTGGGATTCGCGCACTGCCACCGTCATCATCTCTTTTAACGGCCACAAATCTGCCGTCACCAAGCTAGCCTTCGACAATGCAGGCGTGCGCCTTGCCAGTGGCTCGAAAGATACTGATATCATTGTCTGGGATTTGATCACCGAAACTGGTCTCTTCAAACTTCGCGGACATACCGACCAGATCACATCCCTGCATTTTCTCTTCCCTTCACCAGAATTGCTCACTGCTTCCGGCTTGAGTGAACACGCGGGATTCCTATTGACCACCGGCAAGGACGCCTTGATCAAAGTCTGGGATCTCGCCTCTCAGCACTGCATCGAAACACATGTGGCGCAATCGAACGGCGAGTGCTGGAGTTTGGGTCTTTCGCCCGATCAGGGTGGATGTATCACAGCTGGCAATGACGGTGAACTCAGAGTTTGGTCGATCGATGAGGCAGCCATGATGGAGATTTCCAGGGAGAAGGTCGGCGCAGACGGTCGCAAAATTCTTACCGAACGAGGAACTTTCTACCGACATGGCAAAGATCGCACACTTGGCATCCGATTCCACCCTCGTTCAGATTACGTTGGCTTCCACGGTTCCGACAAGTCAGTCGAGGTTTGGCGCATTCGCTCGCAGTCGGAGGTACAAAAGAGTATGGCACGGAAGAAGAAGCGAAGAAAGGAGAAGGAGGCGCAGCGGTCCGAGGAAAATGGACAGGAAGAAGAACAGGATAACGACAAGCCTGAAGATGTTTCTGCCGCTCCTATAACCGAAGTTTTTGTCCAACATGTCATCGTTCGAACTGGTGGTAAAGTTCGTTCCTTTGATTGGATGACCAACAAGTCAACTGGACTGAATCTCCTGGCGGCGACGACCAACAATCAGCTCGAGGCCTACACCATTGTGCCGGCGAACAAGAAGAACACCGATAGCGAAGATCCCGACTATACCAGAAGTTTGGCTGTGGACATCCCTGGACACCGAACAGATATTCGGTCGATTGCATTAAGCTCCGACGATCGAATGCTCGCTTCTGCCTCGAATGGCACCCTCAAGATTTGGAATGTTCGTACCGAAAGTTGTTTACGAACACTCGAGTGTGGCTATTCACTGTGTTCCGCGTTCCTTCCCGGTGATAAGATCGTGGTTGTTGGCAACAAGAACGGAGAACTTGAAGTATTTGATATCGCGTCCTCAACATTGCTCGATACTATCAAAGCACATGAGGGACCCGTGTGGTCGCTTCACGTGCATCCAGATGGCAAATCTATGGTCAGTGGAAGTGCAGACAAGACAGCCAAATTCTGGAACTTCCAGGTTGTCCAGGAAGAAATCCCAGGAACCAAACGCACCACCCCTCGCCTCAAGCTGGCACACACCAGAACCCTGAAGGTTAACGACGACATTCTCAACCTTCGTTTCTCTCCCGATGCACGACTTCTTGCAGTTTCCCTCCTAGACAACACCGTGAAGGTCTTCTTTGTTGATTCGCTGAAGCTTTTCCTCAACCTTTACGGACACAAACTTCCTGTTTTGAGTCTGGATATCTCCCATGATAGCAAACTCATCGTCACTTGCTCGGCTGATAAGACCGTCCGACTCTGGGGCTTGGACTTCGGTGACTGCCACAAGGCCTTCCTGGCCCACGAGGACAGTATCATGGCAGTAGCATTCGTTCCCCACAACAAGGATGGTAACGGTCACAACTTCTTCAGTGCAAGCAAGGACCGCGTCATTAAATACTGGGACGGAGACAAGTTCGAGCAAATTCAGCGCCTTGTTGGTCACCACGGTGAGATCTGGGCACTTGCCATGAGTCGCACTGGTGACTTCATCGTCAGTGCCAGTCACGACAAGAGCATCCGCATCTGGGAACAAACTGACGAGCCATTGTTCCTGGAGGAAGAGCGCGAGAAGGAGATGGAAGAGGCTTACGACAGCACACTCACTGCGTCTCTCGAGCAAGACGAGGACGGTGAGGATGGCGAGAAGGCCGAGGCCGTCGACGCTGGCAAGCAGACCACCGGCACTCTCATGGCCGGAGAAAAGATCATGGAAGCTTTGGAGCTCGGTATGGAGGATCTCGAAGTCGTACGCGACTGGCTCAAGGTCAAGGCTGCCAACCCCAACGCCGCCGCGCCCGATCGTAACCCAGTCTACCTGGCTCTCAACAACGTCTCCGCCGAGCAGCACGTTCTGAACACCGTCCAAAGAGTCCCTGCTGCGGCCCTCCAGGACGCTCTTTTGGTTCTACCATTCTCCAAGCTCTCGGCCCTCTTCACCTTCCTCAACATCTGGGCCGAGCGCGAATGGAATGTGCCTCTCACCTGCCGCGTGTTGTTCTTCATTCTGAAGACCCATCACCGCCAGATCGTTGCCAGCAAGATGATGCGCCCTATGCTCGACAACATCCGGGTATCGCTGCGTCGGGTTCTTGCTCGTCAGAAGGATGAGATGGGTTTCAACCTTTCCGCGCTGCAGTTCATTGGCAACCAAATCCGCGAGCAGAGTACTACGGATTATGTCGATGAGGCGACTTGGGAGGAGCAGCAGACAACCAAGGGCACCGGCAAGAAGCGCCAGTTTGTCAGCGTTGCTTGAGTTTAGGATTACGGTTGTGTACAAGCATGTCTATTGGCGTTGTGAATCATTTTTGACCTTGTTACCTTGGAGGTCTTCTCTATCTGGTTTCCATATAAAAGTTCTATATCCTTGGGAGTTGAAGAGAATATAAGGGATGTATCATAGTTCAATTTTGAATATAAATAGAATTGTTTCCCTGAAATATTTCGTTACTACTGGGACATACATTCTATGGTTTACATGGATGTATCAATGTGATAAAAATGTTTCTCTCATTTGTCTGTTCTAAGATGGTCTGCCTGTGTATAACAAAAAAAGGCAAGTATTCATCGAGTTCAAGTTGATAATCTGCATTGCAAAGAGACATCATTAGCGATTTGCTCCAAGACAATGATCTTTTTCCAGGCCAGTAACCAAGAAAAGAAACATCAAGCATCCATAAGACTCTTCTCAGGAGAACCATTATAAGCATCGACGACAGGGATTTTTGCCCCTGCCATACCTCTTCCGGCTCTTCCTAAAAAATTACCGGTTCTAATGCGAATCTCATCACATAAAGAGTCTGTTTGGTGCCGTATCGTGTTGTTTCTTTTCTCGATTGCGGTCCTGTCCGTAAGGACTGGTGGCACATACCTATTAGTGTGGTAATCCAGCATGGATAAAAGTCAATCGCATTTGTTTGACCTTGATCCACGCGGGATTTTGGGTGTTGGTTGGAGATGGAGGAGGGAAAGAGTTGGGTTGGGAGTTTTGTGAGAAAATTTGGCTGAGTGGATACCTTAGTCATTAAGATCACGTGGTGAGACGGAGCTAGAATTTGGAAGGCGGTCAAGAGGGCGGTGAAGCAGTGGACGGTCAAGGCGGTATCCATATTAGGAAGACGGTACAGAACAATCGTGGTGTGCGAGTGCAGCTAACCTTGGAGGGTTCCGGTACCCCGTAAGTATATACCCGTCCTACTCCGTGTAGGAATATGAAATCCTTCCATCAGCTGAACGGATAGGAATACGAAGAATATAATATTTTCTTTGTCAGCGATTGATTATTGGTGCACCTGATCTATGCGTGTCCAAGCCGCGCGGAGCATCCAGGTCACTTTGCGGCCTATCATCCGGAGCGATTCGATGAGAATTTGCGATGGATATAACAATGATACTTAAGTCAGCTAAGTTGCGACCAATCACATTCAATGATTGTCATTTCATTAGGTTTCTAGCTGCATGGATCTATAGGGATCTATATCTACACCTCCTGGAGCCACGCCGTGACTGGTCGTCCTTGCCAGTTGCGGGTCCTTCCACTCTGTGTATACCCTCATGATCTAAACAAATACATGGTGTATGCGTGCAGAGTATAAATAGGAGCATTGTACCAATTGAAGTCTTTTCCTTCTTCATCCTCCTCATCTTTTCATCCGTTAACTGCTGTCGAAGGCGTTGCCCAACGAAAGCATGTCTCCTAAGGGTAGTCTCTGGCCCAGGCTGCGAAAGGCCTCTAAGCCCCAGCCTGCCCCATTGAAAATTGTTTTTCCTCACTTAGCTCGCGCATCCAACAGCTCTACTAATTCCGAAATGGATCCATCGAACTTCGCCTCCACCGGCCTCATTGCATCCGATGTCAGCCTGGATCCTGTGACAATGGCCAGTACCATCTCCCAGGCACGCTTAACTGCTCTCACATCGGGGGAGGATACAAGAACTTGCATCCAACGTGGTAAGGACTGTGTTGACGCCTATGCCCAAGCCACCAAGGCCATGATGGATAATCTCGGTGTCCGTATCAACAATGGCGAGGACCTTCCTTACGAAGAAATGATTGATGAGATGACGCATCGCTGCTATAAGTACTGCCAATCACTCGTGGATGAAGTACAGTCCTTGTCCTCAATCACTGCCATCGATTCTCCCGCCAGGACGTTCAAGATTTCCACTGGCTTTAAGACCTCTACGGACTCAACCAAGGACTCTTCTCCAATTACACCTCGGTCTGGTCCAAAGACACCCCAGTTCTGCTCATGGTCTGATGAATCAGGATCTCCACAGGCTCTGGTAAGTGACATGTCTCTATTGATGGAATTGGATACTTCGAAAGAACCTTGGAAGTTCAACTAACGGGTTATCCTTAGCTTGCCGCTCGCAAGAATCCCCTTCGAGTTTACACTGTTAGCAACGACGAATGGATTATTGTCTCGGGCCCCCCTTCACCTACTACTCCAATCCAGCTCCTAGCCCCCGATGATATGGATCCTGTCGATGCCTCGATTCACTTCGGCGTCATTCTGCGCATCTTCACCAAGCTGTACACCATGTCAAAGATCATGCAGGCAATCTTCCTAAGCTATGGCGTTGAGGTACGTCTTGAAGTCAAGTCTTTCTTGAGGCTTATGTCTTCTACTTTATGTTTATAACAGTGCTAACACCAAAATTTGACTCTCAGATTGATACCACTGAGACAGGACTGACGTGCTGGGTTCGGCGAGCTGAACAGAACATGTACACCCAGGAAATGAAGGTCATGATCGATATCGTCGAGAATCTCTTTTACGCCTTGTATGCCCGCGTGACGATTGAGCTGGCAAACATCGAGCTCTGCGGTTCCTTCCGAATCGACCTGCGTTCATTGCAAAATTACCAACCCAACCTTCTTCCCGAAGCTGATCATCTCTACCGCATTATTCTCGCGTTCAAGGACGTGTTGGACTCGCCTGAGATCTGTCCAATTCTTCGGAAAGACTTCGTTGCACACTTCCAGCAAGAATACATCAGTCACCTTGTCGACAAGGACAGACGCAGACACGTCGTTCATTTCGATCCGCTTGGATATCGCAGTTTCGCCACCCGAGTCGCTTCGGACCGCGGTGGGGACTACTGCCAGAAATGGAGAGAGCTCATTCCATGCTTTAATGTCATCTCGGCCGATCTTCTGACTACCATGTCTGAAAAATATACCACTGTGTATGCAATTGCTAGTCTGCCTGATGATATCCCGTACGGCAAGCTTCCATGGATTAAACCCGAGCAGCTGTCCCCGCAAGTCGCCGAGGCCCAGACTATCAAAGATCACCGCATGTCCGCTCTTGCCAAACTGGAGGGCACAAGCATCGGAGACGAACGCCAAAAGGATCCTCAATCTGGCACCTACTACCTAATCAAACAACACAAATGTATCTGCTCCGCTCTCTGCCGCTGTTCTAAGGAGTGCACCCAAGAGGTCGTGATCGCCTGCCCCTGTGCGGAACGCCATGTGCGTACCATGGTGACCAAGCGCAGCATTGAACGCAGACACCGTCGACCGCCAACCGCCCTTACTGCTAGCACTCTTGCTCGTATGTATTTCTACGGCTTGAGTGCGCTGAAGCGCCATGTTAAGGATGAGGTTATCGCGAGCGAGCTCAATCATGCATTTGAATTGATCAATCTGTTGATCATGAATGAGCGGAAAGAGGCTGATAGGACGAATACCAAAGCGGAGACTCCTGATGAAGCCAGCATTCCAAACTTCTTCTAGGACGCGGTATGACTATGAGAATCACGAATTATGACTTGCATACGGCTTATGATTCATGATTCATGATGCAGCTTTTGCGCTACAGAGCGGTTGAAATGCAGTCCTCAGATTGCCAAAAGAATGAATATTTATTCTCATTTGACGGGATTCTGAGGATTCTTCAACTAATCTCAACTATGATAACGAAATGAAAAAAGAAAAAGGAGAAAAACATACAGAAAACGACGAAAAAAAGCCAAAAAAAAAGCAAGTTCAAGGGAAGGTTACATGCCAACGGCATGGCAAAGGTTTATGGCGGAACGCCATGGGGAATTATGGGCAAGAGGTCGAGGGGTGAATATTTTCATTTGAAGCATATGACAAACTAATCCTGGGCCATGTCAATTCTTGATATAGCCGCGAGAAGTCTACATATTAAGTTTCTAGCAGAATGAACCCCATTTCAGCCCTAACACTACCTAGGCAATGCCACCCAATGCTTCGTAGAGAGTCACCGGGTTTCGTCGTCCTTACAGGTCTCCGTCTCAAGCCAAATATCGCCTTGGCCTCTCATCTCTAATTTGCCTAGGTACTTGGTGTCTAGACATGCCGTGAGGTAGTTCTGAAAGTAACCTACGACTTAGTTCAGCGGTCACGGAACTCTGGTGCATAGTGCTGTCGATATGCTGAGTCTTTGCAAATTCGTTTCCCTGTAGTTGTCGATGTGGTTTTCGTAGTCGAGAGGGTCTTTGCTTTTGAGATGATTGGTTCATCCTGGTGGGTAGGATATTGTTCGATCTACTATACATTATCGGACTACGTAGATAGCGGCGTGGATCTGAGATGAACATATACCGGGCAAGTCTAGAATGGAAGCACGATGAGCCCCCCCATGCTTCTCTGCACATCGAAACATAAACACATTGAACCAATGGAGTCGGTCCCGTTGCGAGAAAGTTGAGTTCCCGGTGTTTCATAGTGGTGATATGCAAGGAAAGAGCTGCTCATCTGTTGCTGGTTATAATCACCGAGCAGATAACTGCAGATTTCATCTCATCCACCAAAGATAGTCCCTGGCTCCAACTCCTACTTGAGACGGTCCCACAGTCTGCTTGTAAGTCTGGGTTTTTAGAGATTTTGTTGGGTAGTGACACTTTTGTATAGGACGAATGTCTTGGAGAATCCCGGCTAAATGTGTCTATCCAATAGACCATGAGTGTACAGGACTTAGCATTGTACGAAGTAGTTCAACCATTCGTTTACCTCGTGTTGTTCATCTTGGTATTCATCTGCACTGACAAATAAATTCTAGTCTTGTCCGATGTCGGCGGACAGTACGGAGTATGACTTCAAGTATCAACAGACCTCGGGAGAACTCAATCCTTGGAGGGTGAAGTAAAGCAGTATCTCCGTGGCTTGGCCTCAATGGCAGCGATGAATCGTGGTTCGATAGGTATATGTACATATCGAAAGCCAACACATCTGCTTGCGTCACTATAAACGCCGAAGTTGTGTGGGGCCACGGGATTGCAAATGTTGCTCTCTACGGAGTACGCAGTACTCCGGACTCTGAATCACAACACGGGTTTCTCCCCTATGATGTGAATCCAGCTCTCATTTCCTCTTTCTGGTGAGAATAACACTCCAGCCCTCCGGATATATGTACCTAATCAAAACATGGCCTGGCCATTACCTAAATATAGAGCAGAGGGCCTAACTGGGAATGCCCCCGCTGGACTGGTGGCGAAAAAAAAAACGAAGAAAAAGCAAAAGAGATACAGATTCAAAAGGAATACACTAGTGCTTTTGCATTGCACACCGATGAATAGACAACTTCCAGAATAATCCCCGTCATTTGATCGACAGGGATCGAGATAGACGCCAGAACCCTAATAGGCAGCTCATAGGCTGTCCCGCGTCATACTATCGACGACTGTGCTTGCAGGATTTCTTTTTATTTTTAGGCCAGTAAAATGCAAGATAGGAGTAATAGGAGACAAAAGCCAGTAGCAGGAATGCTGAAATTCCATCGGGCGGTGATTGTCATATGCTCAGAGATACTCCGTAGCGCAAGGTACAGTCGGCGATGCAGACCAGTGATATCTTCGAGATATGCTCGGCCCTTACCGGTGTGTCGCTTTTTTTTTTTTTTTCTGCGCTCACGCCTTGGTCTGAGTCAATACCTGTTCTCTCGACAATTTCTTGTTTTTCCGTTTCTCCATTCTTCTCAGCTCATGCCTTGACGCCCAAGAACCCCTTCGCCCGAGCCCATCTTGGTGCACAGTGAGGTGCGAAGTCAGGCATGGTGACCAAGGCAGCGGCCGTGTCACACTCATTATCATCATCATGGACGTCCCTTAGCAAGTGGATCGCGAACATAAGCATAAACCAAGCCCCGGTCAAAAGTGCCCGCCTCCGACTACCGAGCACGGCACGCCCATATCATGCTGCGGTGTGGCCCTGCTACGGCATCACTACTCCTGTCCCCGAACACCCGCTAGCCTTCCACAAATCGCCTTTTCGATTCGAGACCGGCTATGCTTTATGTGCTAAACGACCGTCACGACCGTTCCCTCCACCCTTTCTCTCACCACCTTCGCACTCGTTTTCGGATCCTTTGACGACGCACGGCCTCAACCAGGATAAAAGATTATCCGTCAAGGGCGAGCTAATCCGCGGCTTGAACAATGGTGACGATTCCATCATTGTTGCTGAGAACTTCCTGGGCGTCGATGATGGTGTAGGCGCCTGGGCTACGAAACCCCGCGGTCATGCTGCGTGAGTGGTCGCATCTAACCCCGCATACAAGGAAACAATCTCTGACCTTATCTCTCTTTTTTTCAATACAGGCTGTGGTCTCGACTCCTTCTACACTTCTGGGCCCTCGAGGTCGAAAAGAATGTCGATCAATGCACGGCGACACTCGACCCGGTCGGCTACCTGCAGTCCGCATATGAGGAGACCCTGCGGGCAACCACATCTCCCACTGAGTGGCTAGGAACGACAACCTCCGCGACCGCAATCCTCCACTGGACCAAGGAACAGAACGGCACGAAGAAACCTTTGCTGTATGTCACTAACTTGGGCGATTGCAAGATTCTCGTGATTCGACCAAGCGAGAAGAAAGTTCTCTTCCGCACGGCCGAGCAGTGGCATTGGTTCGATTGCCCCATGCAGCTGGGCACGAACAGCATCGACACGCCCCGGAAAGACGCAGTGTTATCCAAAGTTGCCGTGCAGGAAGATGACATCATTCTAGCGCTCTCGGACGGCGTCATGGATAATCTCTGGGAGCACGAGGTCCTGAAACTCATTCTGGAGAGCATCGACAAATGGGAGGAAGCGCGCACCGACCCAAAATTGCGTGCGCAGCATCCTCAATTGTCTGATGATCGCAATGTCTATGTCGCCCGCGAGCTGCTCAACGCGGCCCTCACTATTGCCCAGGATCCTTTTGCAGAGAGTCCTTTCATGGAGAAGGCAGTGGATGAGGGACTGGCTATTGAGGGCGGCAAAATGGACGATATCTCCGTCATTGTCGCATCTTGCAAGAAACGTGATGGATGAAAGTAGCCACTGGCTCTTCAGTCGAACTTTCCTCAGTATCCACCAATCTTGGATTCGGCGTCCTTCTCGGCGATGCGCCGGATCCCATCGAAACCGAACATCAGTCCATTAAGCAGGCCGTTTGTTCCCCCGCATGGTATACCGGCTTGATGCTCAGGTCTACTACCAAAAGCGCACCCAAGCACATCGCTATCATGTAGCTTTGATAGCATGCGAGTGCCGAACCAGGACCAAGACATGCATGTCCAACGCTCACTCTGCACCTCCAAACATGAGCTCCACGCCGATATTATTCCTCCCAACCTCCAGCGCGAGACTCACTTGCTCAGCCACGTCTAGTCATCGCCATCCTCCGTCTGTTAGGTTGACACCCCCTCAGGCGATTCTATGGCTAGCACGGAGATTGTGCATTGGGAGTTTGCGAATACACTCAATCCCTGCTAGGAACCGCTCCAGCCGGTGATTCTTACCCTCACAAATATGCCCTCAACACTATTTGAGATCGCCGAAACCATTTTCTTATGTTTTTAGACTTGGAGGGATTGCTTTACTGGCAAGATGTGACGTGTCCGTCCATCGTTTAATCATTGTGCCGAGTTTACACTAGGGCAAATAATAATATTTCATTGAGTTCTGGACACGCAATCCACCATGTCGTATTGCTCGTTTCTCTTAGCTTTACCTGTAGATGGAGATATAGAGATGGATCGATTAGAAGTATGTATAGGGTACTTCTATTTGAGCCTTGATGCCCCACTTGAACAAAGTACTGGGTACTTCCCCCAGCACAGACCACATCACCGCCGCTGCCGCCGCCCGGCAGAATGAAAAAAGTTTCGGTCGACGCAGAAGCTCATGGTTTTTGCTGCAATCAATCCTCGATTCTCTTATCTTTACCATTCACAATGAGGGCCAAACGTTCCAAGAAGTATCGCAAGCTTATGCACCAGTATGAGCTCACTTTCGGTTTCCGAGAGGCCTACCAGGTCCTGGGTATGTTGAGTTCAATGCTATTGCTTTAAGAACAATACTAACATGCGCATGAACAGTTGACTCGAACTTTCTTCGTGCCACCGATTCCTTCAAGATGGAGCTGATTCCTGCGCTTGAGCGAACCGTTCAAGGAAAGGTCAAGCCTTGTGAGTCCCGCTGAGCATCAGCCCCATCTACCCAAGACACACATCAGCTAACCATCTCGCAGTATTGACCAAGTGCTCTCTCGCCGCTATCATGGCCGCGCAACCCATCAACCCCAGAACCGAAAAGCCATATCGCCCTCTCTTCCTTCCCCCGCCCACAGAACTCCCGCTCCGTCACTGCTCGCACAACGCGGACTCCACGCCCATCGACGAGATCGAGTGTCTCCTCTCACTGCTCTCGCCCAATGCAGATGTCAAAAAGAACAAGGAGCACTACATTCTCGCAAGCGCGGATCCTATTTTGCGAAAGACCAGCAACAACGAGAACCAGCCGCGGAGACGCAAGACCGAGGAGGATCGTAAAGAAGAGGAAGCTATGCGCCGTTCCCGGGCACTGCGCTCTGCTGCCCGTTCCATTCCCGGCGTGCCTATCATCTACGTCAAGCGCTCAGTGATGGTTCTCGAGCCAATGAGCAACCCCTCCGAGATGGTGCGGGAGGGCCATGAGCGCGGGAAGTTCCGCGCCGGATTGGATGTGGATCCTATGCTCGGCAAGCGCAAGCGGGATGGCGAAGGTGATGAGGATGCTTCCGATGCTGAGGAACCCAAGAAGAAGCGTGGTCCTAAGGTCAAGGGACCTAATCCGCTCAGCGTGAAGAAGTCCAAGAAGAAGACCGATGCGCCAGCACCGAAGAAGGAGAAGATCGCCCCGAAGGAGGATGCTACTGAGCAGCAGGATGATGAGTCTGCTGCGGCTAAGCCTAAGCGGAAACGTCGTCACAATAAGGGTCCTCGTGAAGATTTCGAGGAGGCCGCCGAGTCGAATGAGGCTATGGAGGTTGATGCTTGATTGAATCTTTACGGCCTAGGCGACTCATGATGCTGGTTATCATTGCATGCATTCATCGTTTTTTACACTCCCAGGGCACGGCGTTCAGATCGGATGGGTTATATTTAAAAGTCTAGCTGATGTACATAATAGAAATGTACATCTGATATCATTCATGGGGATCTCTGACTCCCGGTAGATTTACTTTGCGGTATTGGCTGGCAGAGGAAAATACAACCAAAATAACAGCGAAAGGCCTAGTCGTATATACAGTCGCATTCAAGTATCGTACAGAGTATTCTTCCCCAAATGCAATGAGAGGAGATGGCGAGGCGGCAAGTCAACTTGGCCTCGATGTGTTCGGCCCCATGAGATCATATCGCAGTCGAGCTGGAACCTCGAAACCATGCGGGTATCTGCTTCTAAGCACAAGCAGCCAGTAGTGCCGTCTTTTCGGGCTCAAATCCCATCATTGAATAGCCATAAAAAGCACACTCCAAACTCCAGTCCCAAACATGGTGGCATAGCATATGCTCATCGCACCGTCTATTGCTTTGCAGCATCGGTATTGGCAGCCACCGCAGGCCCTTGACTGAGCTCACGCTCCTTGGCCCAGATCTCCTCAACACGCCGCCGGTTACTGCGCGCCTCGTCTCGGTTGCGCTTCGCGCGCTCGAATCGCTCTGCCGAGAGACACTTGTTCACGTCAATCTTGATATCATTGCAGCTTCCAATGGCTTTGTGCAGGAATCCCTTGGCATGACATTCATCAAGAGCATTCATGATCTCCTCGCAGTCTGTGTGATTTGTCAGTCACCGGGCGATTATGCAGCAGGACCGCTCGAGGGGTCCTCCGGATCGGGTAAGGCTGAACATACTGACATTGTAAGAAGTGTGCAGGTGGGAATGCATGATGGCGATGGAAATAGAGTACTTGACGGGAAATCAGAGCTAATTGAAAGGCCGGATAACGTCAATCGTACGATCACCGCAAAGAACATCGTCCGCAAAACCCCCGGGCGGTAAGGAGATCGGCCTGATTCTGCCGGGCGGACAGCCCCTCAAGGCACACCGATAAAAAAAAATAATCGCCGATAAAAAAAAGTGTACGGCAGTGATCAGTTTCGTCACAACACTTTCACAATGTCTTCCATGATTACGACTACGACATGGGTTAAGCGCGGTGTCGCTGCCCAGTTCCCTACCAAATATCAGATTGATGAGGCTGAGATGAGTCGTATATCTAAGCTTGCGCGCATGCAACTTGAGGATGCCAAGGAGGATATGAGCGCTGCCCAGGCTGGGACTGCAAATGATGATGCTATGGAGGATGATACCGAGGAGAAGTCTTCAACCAAGGGTGCCGATTCAAAGGAGTGAGTAAATCCTGAGCGCTGCGGGGTTCGAGTGATGCTAATCGGATGTACAGCGACGACGATGTGTTGAAGGAATTCGATATGGATAACTACGACAAGGAGGAGGTTGATGAGCATGGCGAGCGTGCAACCATGTTCGGCAATGTTCAATCTCTCGCATACCACCAGCCCAACGAGGAAGATCCGTACCTTGTGATCCCCGAAGACGAGGATGATGAAGAACGCGAGGAGCTCCAGATTATGCCCCACGACAACCTTCTACTAGCTGGAAAGGTGGAGGACGAAGTTGCACACCTGGAGGTCTATGTCTACGAAGACAAGGACGAGAACCTCTACGTACACCACGACATCATGTTGCCCGGTATCCCTCTGTGCACCGAGTGGCTCGATATCCCCGTTGGCAAGAACCCCGAAGGTCGGACGCAAGGAAACTTTGTGGCCATCGGAACCATGGAGCCCGATATTGAGATCTGGGACCTGGACGTCGTGGACTGCATGTACCCCAACGCGATTCTCGGCCAGGGCGGCCAGGACGCCGAGAAGGCCAAGAAGAAGCAAAAGAAGAAGGCCAAGGCCAACGACGAGTACCACATCGACGCCGTCCTGGCGCTGGCCGCCAACCGTCAGCACCGCAACCTGCTTGCCTCCGCCTCGGCCGACAAGACCGTCAAGCTCTGGGATCTCACCACCACCACCTGCGCCAAGTCCTACTCTAACCACAAGGACAAGGTCTGCTCACTAGACTGGCATCCTACCGAGTCCACCATCCTGCTGAGCGGCAGTTACGACCGCACCGTCGTCGCAGCTGATATGCGTGCGCCGGACGCCCAGGCCCGCTGGGGCGTTGACGCCGACGTCGAGGCCGTCCGCTGGGACCCTCACGACCCTAACTTCTTCTACGTGACCACCGACGGCGGCATGGTTTACCGTTACGACATGCGCAATGTGCCCGCCACCCCCGCCGAGTCCAAGCCCGTCTGGTCTCTGCAGGCGCACGACTCCTCCGTTTCCTCCTTCGACATCAACCGCACCATCCCCGGCTTCCTGGTCACCGGCTCCACAGATAAGCAGGTCAAGTTGTGGAATGTCGAGAACGACAAGCCCAGCCTGGTCGTCACCCGCAAGCTCGAGGTCGGCAAGGTGTTCTCTACTTCCTTCGCTCCCGACCAGGAGGTCAGCTTCCGCCTGGCTGTTGCTGGTAGCAAGGGTAATGTGCAGATCTGGGATGCTTCGACTAACGCCGCTGTGCGTCGCGCGTTTGTGTCTCGTCTGCCTGACTTGGCTGGTGATGTCCAGGAGCGCACTATTGGTATCAATCCTGGTAATGATGATGAGTCTGATGATGAGGAAGAGGAGGGTGACGAGGATGAGCACCGTGGTCGTGATGGCTGGGAGTCGATGGATGAGGATTAGTTCGACTCATATACCCGTGGATCGTTCTGTTTGATATGCGTCACAAAAAATAGATTTGCTGGGTTTTGCATGTTAATGACCAGTTTTGTTATGAAGTTTTGAAGAGACAATTTCAATGACTATATATGCTTTTCTAACAATTCTCTATTAGGCTGTTTTATTATCAACCGTATGCGTAGTACATGTATATCTATCCTAGGGGGAATTCAGTGTATGTTCTAAATAGGATTTCCCATATCAGAGAACATTTGAATCTGATCTAGTAATTCCCGGTGCGAAGCAGTAGAACGGTCATACTCATGTACTCATCTATGACAGTATAACAAGTTAAGTATGTCATTCTCTCCTTCCCTCGTACTCAAAACCTCGAATTCCATAAATTCGTATACGAAGCCTTCGAGTCCCCAAACTTCCTTGTGTCGAGGTCTCGAGATCTCTCAGACCAGTGCCCTTTGATAGGGCTAGCCCCCTCCGATGCGGGCTGGTACATTGTCTGCATATTCTGCTAACAGTGAGACCGCCATCTCCCTCTCTCCGTTTCCACCTGTGCTGCACCATGGAGATGTATAAGAACTGTCTTTAACTTCGGAGGTTAACTCAATCCCCACATCCCGGGACCCACTGTACCCCACTCGGGACTAAAAGAGGCACCGATTTCGACGCTATACTCACCTAGGTACACAGGTATCTCACCTCCATGCATATAGGCACCATTATTGTCCGTAGCTATCTACCAATACTCTACTACCTTCACCACATCCAGTCAATCGATACAGCTATGTCTGTCAAAAACATGGAGACCAGCCTCCAAGCTGCCATCGACGCCGGCAAGATCAACGGCGCTGTAATCTGCGCCACAGACAGCGAAGGCCATTTCATATACAACAAAGCCTTGGGAGAGCGCACTCTCCTTTCAGGTGACAAGAAGCCCCAACAGCTCGATGATGTCTTATACATAGCCTCAGCCACCAAACTAATCACCACCATCGCCGCCCTCCAATGCGTCGAAGACGGCCTACTCACTCTAGACGGCGATCTCTCCACCATCGCCCCAGACCTCACAGCAAAGGAAATCCTCACCGGCTTCGCCGATGACGGAACTCCCCAACTCGAACCACCCGCCCGCCCCATCACCCTCAAGATGCTCCTCACACACAGCTCCGGGCTGTGCTACTATTTCATGAACCCGCTCATCGCCAAGTGGCGCAAGCAGCTCCCCATCACCAAACCCACTCCCCTCCCCGTCGAAGAGAGGTTCAATTACCCCCTAATCTTCCAGCCCGGCGAGGCCTGGACGTACGGACCGAGTCTCGACTGGGCGGGACGCATAGTAGAGCGCGCAACGGGCGGTACACTACTAGAATACATGCAGCGACGACTCTTCGATCCCCTCGACATCAAAGATGCCCAGTTCTACCCCGTCATCCGGGAAGACCTGCGCGCGCGTCTCGTCGACCTAACCCCCACCGACCGCGACGCAGCCGGGCAAGCGGTTCTCGGGGGCGGCGGGGTAATCAATCTGCGGGGACGGGGAGATTTCGGGGGCCAGGGACTATTCATGACGGGCGTGGACTTTGCCAAGGTTCTGCGTTCTTTGTTGGCGAATGATGGGAAGATGCTTAGACCTGCTACCGTTGATGATATGTTTCGGCATCAGCTTTCGCCGGAGGCAACGGATAGTTACTCAGATGCGCTTGCTAGTCCTGGCGGGGTGTCTTTTCGTGTTGGTATTGGTGCGGAAATGAAGGCTGGATATGGGTTTGGGGGTTTGTTGACGCTGGGGGATGTTGAGGGGTGGTATGGGGAGCGGACTTTGACGTGGGGTGGCGGTCATACTCTCACTTGGTTTGTTGATCGGAAGAATGACTTGTGTGGTGTTGGGGCTGTTCAGGCTGCGTTGCCGCTTGATAATGACTTGATGGATGAGCTGAAACACACTTTCCGGCATGATGTTTATTGTAAACGTGTGGCATGGAGGGAGGAGCAACTAAACGGTATGGTTGGAAGGGAGGGTTACGTTCCACCTGGTGGGCGTGTATTTGATCGGAAGATGTGATTCGGAGTTATTATGTTTCTGAATACATCGAGGTAGAATCTGTATACTACGGCCAATTTCTAACAATGTACATAGGTGATGATGAGGCTCGCCTGATCTGAATGTCGCGATTGATAAAGAAAAACAAGAACAGATGATTATTAGGTCAAATTTAAAATACATACACTTTTTAATCAGTAGTAAGACAAGTGTGGAAGTTTGTATGGTACAAGCCTCTCAAAAGCAAAGCCCAGAAAGAAGGCAAAGTGAGGGAATAAAGGATCACCACATGAACCGCTGGACCTTGCCAGGCTCCTGCGGCCACTCAAAGCCCTTGCACAGGAAGACATACCCAGTGATCAAGTTAATGACCAAGAACCAGAATGTCTCCACGAACTTTGGCGCGTTGATAATGAAATCAGAGCGGCGCTTAGCTTCCTCTGTGCGAGGACGAGTCTCTCGGTACTTGAATAGACATGGCAGGGGAGGAAGATGCACACGCCACATAACCCACGGGATGATGAAATAGCGAGGCTCGACGAGGGGTGCCGTGATGAGAGACAGGGAAGTAGCAGCCAGCCAAACAAGCACGAAGCTAACGCGCGGTGCTTCCAGCAATTCTTTCTGTCGTGCGAAGATGTGCTTTTGGACTCTAGCTAGAACTGTAGGATCATTTGGATCCGTGATAGCCGCGGAGGGCTTCTCCTCAGTTTTCTCGCTCTTCTTGGCATTCTTGCGGTTGGGCCGGGCGGGCTTTTTCGCTCCCTTTGGTGGTTGCTCATGCTGTTGGACGGGCTTGCGTGCAGACGCTGGAATACGTTTTGGCTCTTTCGCAGCTGGGGATGGGGTAGGGGCCGGAGCTGGCGCAGGAGGTACTACTGGGGCACCCTGAACTCGTAGGGCTTTGGGTGGACGCTGAATGGTCGTGAATCCAAAGGCAGAGATCACGGCCCATCCGCAGAGGAAGTAGACTGGGACTGCAGCGTACTTGACTGCGGGGTGGACCAGAAGAATGCGGAAGACGTAGAACACATAGTGTCGGTTATCAGCAAGGGTGAAGGGATGCACGATGGTGTTGAAGTGGACCACGGCAAGCATAAGCGGCATGACAATCAGGGCTGCTTTGAGCTTGGGATACTTCCGTTGCTTCGACGGGAAGCCAAGGTTCAGAGACTCAGGGAGTGGCTTGGGGGCAAGGATGTTGATCAAAGGAAGGACAAACAGTGGCCACGAGAAGAAGGCGATGTACGGCCAGATGTAGAGCATTTGAGCCAGGTGAATACCCGCAGTGTGGAACTCCTTGTGGCCTAGTTGAATGGCGGATGTTAGTTGAGATATCCATCAGCTGTGGAATAAAACAGGTCATTCTTACCAAGGACAACACCATCGTTCCAAAGTACAAACGCGCCAAAGGCTGCTAGGACGATGATGTGAGGAATAAGAGAAACGAGGAGAGAGAAAGGCTTCTGTAGACCAATGGTTGCAAGTGAAACGGCGGTCTTGAAATAATCTGAATATCGGGTTAGTATCATGGTTCTGCTAGTTTCATATTTTACGTTCAATGGATAATTTACCTTCCAAGGAAGCCTCCGAAACGAGAGGATCATACACCTCATTCTGCAGACCTTGCTTCACAATAGTTGGCACTTTGGATGACATGCAAGGCGTAGCTGACTTTCGGATCTTGCGAACAACCTGAAGTCCACCCAGGAAGACTGCAACCCAGAAGATATTGGTCTGTCGACAGACCAGTGCAGCGAGTGCGAAAGCCAAGAAAATCAGTGTCTCCCGAACACCATTTTTAGGTCCTTCTTTCGGGTCTTTTTCCGAGTCTCTTTCCAAGTCCCAATTGTACGCTTCAATGACAACCAGCAAAGCCAGAACATCGGTATAGTACAAACCGGAGAAGAAGAAGAGCGGAGGGAACAAGCAAATATTCAGCACGGTGTGCGACAAGTTCGCTCCCAATGGGCGAGTATTTTTCATCCTCTGGATAGTATCAAACAACTTTTGCAGTCTCCAAGGAAAGATAACCGAAGTTGCTCCAACGTTGGTCATTCGCAGGACGTCCGGAGTGAGCTTTGTCGGAGACCCGCGCAACAGCAACACAGCAGAAAAGACAATGTACGAGCACAGATACAACCCCGGCGGCGTTGTAAGCTTCGGATCCCATTGCGTCCACTTATGCGCCCAGTATGCCTGTGCTTGCGGGACATGGAAGACTTCATCGAGGTAGGGTTCCGGGACAGCCTTATTGACGAGGCTCACCCAAACAGGGATCAAGAGCAGGCAGAATGGCACAAACCATCGAGCGCCCCGACTCCGTTCTGATTCTAAAGGATTAACCATGCTACGCAAATAATCAGTTGCAGCAAGCATGTAAAGTTGCCAGGTGACCTTAGCTCGTTGGGCGGCCGGATCTCCGTCGGAGCTGGAGCTTGAAGACCGATGCAAACGTTTCAAACGCGCCATCTCGATCAGCCGTGTGGATTTACTTGCGGTCAACCACCAGGGGAATGTGGAGCAGAGAACAGAATATTCAAAGGGTTTGAATACAATTGAAGGCGATCAAGAAGCAGAAGACAGAGATATCCAAGAAAACCAGCAAACAAAAGCACGGCCAGGCAACGCAAATATCAACGTTGCGACTATTCAAACCATCGCGAACGCAATGCGATCGTGACTGATAACATTTCGTGACAACTGAACTTGTGACACGGGAGACTTTCTTCAAACTCCCATATACATCTTCCCCCGATGGCTTTTCCTCTCCCGCGAGGCGTCACGGCCTCAGAGATCGCCTTCCTGGCGGAGATGGAAACAGTGACCATTGTGCCTCGACAGCGTCTAGAAGGCCTCGAACTACTAGGAGTGAATGCGCCTTCTAAGAACTGCCTATGAGATTGAAGCTAACTATTCCAAGGGCCCCGTTGAACCTCTGATGCCCCCACGACGTGCCTCTCTACCCCTCTGGCTCGCGCTCCTCCTCAAACGCCAACGCCGCGCCAATATCATACCACCAACATGGCTCCACCCAGATCCATTGTCTCTAATCCTTGAAATCGAATCCCAGCACCAAGACTACCAGAGTGCTTTCTCCCCGCCTCCTCCCCTACCTGGCCAACCCAGCATTTTAGATCGTGGGGCTTTGCCAACGGCTCGCCCGCAGTATACTCCCGATGGCAATCGGTATTATCCAACACCGCCTTTCCTACCTCAAAATACAGCCCAGACCGTGACGTCCTCGCGGGATCCCCCCTCGCTACCTTATCACTGGGTCGAGGTAGGCAATCTGTTGCTCGATGCCGCGAGCGATGATCTCGTGGACCCGGATCAGATACGGAGGTTGCTGAAGGATCTGCGTGAGGTGCGCATGGCGAAGATGAGATCCGGTGTCGAGGCACTGGATGCTGCGGCGACCGGTGGCAGCGGTGTTGTTCTGACGGGTGTTGGTTCAATGGAGCTGGGAGAGGAGCGAGGCTTTGTTACTGGTGTTGTGGATGGTCTTCGGTATGTTGGATCTCGTTCAGGGATAGTTTCATGTGCGATTCCATGGAAGATCGTTGATACTAACTGGTTTATAGGAAGATCGGGTCCTCTAAGGAACAAGCCCGGCGCGAACAAATGGCCGAGCAAAGAGCAAATGGCGGGTATGACGGTACTCAAGATGATGAGGAAGAAGACTACATGGAATTCTAAGCATTCAAGCATTTTTCGTATTTTGGGGTATCTTTATTCGGAGTTAATCGGTGCATATGTGACGCAGACCAATGCCCACAACGACTTTCATGTATATAGACCAATATACCCTGATCCAATGACCAACGATCATAATCAAAATCTTCCAATTTAATTAACACCATACAGCATGCGAACGCTTGATCGAAAACGGAGAGCAGTGATGATAACACGGGACAAAACCGAAACAACCTTGGAATAGAGAGGGTATATCGACCGTAAGGTAATCCTAGTACCGAGATTGGCCGAGTTCATCAACATCAGAGGCAGTATACAGGAAATCATGTTGTCGATAGGTAGGAGTGGTAATGCTCATATCATTGAGCACCACCTTGCTCCTTTTGCATCATCTTCCTCCGTGCTGCCAAGATCATGTCGTCCCGACGCTTCTGCAACAACCGCTGGCGCTCTTCTTTATTTTGAGACCAAGCAGACTTGGAGGGCGTTTCCGGTTGTGATTCCGCAGGCGGGCTAGCGGTCTTCGCACCCAGGTTGTACCGAGATATCAAGTCTTGGCCGTCCGCTTTGAGTACCGATGCGGCCGGGGCGGTCTGGGTCGGCGGGATACTGGGAGAGGGAATTGCGACCTGGGGCTGGAACGAAGGAGGGGGCTGGTAATGTGAATTAGCTCATGCCTTAATAACAGTTTTGAGTAGATGTTGTAAGCCTGTGGTCAAGCCTGTTTGCCTGGCACAAGAATGAGGTGGGGAGTAAATGACAGTAGGAGCGCAATACGTACAGTTTCCAACCCGCGTCCAGTCAGGATCCTCTCTGTAGTCGCTGCAGCACTGCCTCCGTTACGCTGCAAATCCCACATAATATCTCGCGTACTCAGTTGAGGGAACATCTGCGCGATCTGTTCCACCTGCGCCGGGTCGACGACATTGCCACGCCCCCGACCTCGTTCGCCTCCTGCGGGGTTGTCATCGCGCTTGAAAAACCAACGGAGCACGAAGTATGATACAACGGCTAGTGTTAGGAGCGATGGAATATTCAGCGAAGGTTCTTCGTCCGTCATCGTGTGTTGGTAGCGGAGCGCAAGTTGGGAAAGTGTTCAGGGTCCGGGTATCACCAGTATTGGTATGCGGGTGATGGGCGGAAGGATTCCGAGAAAGAGAACGCGCAAGGTGGAATTTAGCCTCGGAAAATAGAACGGATGGGGTAAGCTTAGGTTGGTAGGAGCGCAATGCGCGGAGAGTATGAAATCAGATTGCGCGTTTGGAGGTGTGGCACGGGAGGCTCCTGTCAAGAATCAAGCACGTGCCGTCATAAAAGCGGGAATCGGAGTTTATCTTCCACAACGCCGACTTGGGATGTAGACCACTATAAAACAACCGCACTTTGCGTCCTTTATACTCAATATTCCTGCTATGTGGCTTGCATCTCTTTGATAATGGAGCCCATAGTATCAGTGATCTCCATTTGGGTAATATACTTCGAGTGAACTAGGGGAACAGGATAATTCCGCACCGAGATGGCTTTGTATAGACCGTTGGATTATCAAGTTAAGCAAATACAAGATACAGGGGTTTAATAGAAACGAAAATAGCCTTTACCATGCATAAGTCATAAAACAGAGATCCATTCCCACCCAAACACAACCAAACACCAAAGGCCAGACGTAACGTCGTACACCACCGAACCAAGAAAGGAACTATAAACAATGAATTTCATGTGCATGCTTATTTCATATCGGCAGGAGTCAACGCTTGGACGATACTGGTACCCTCGCTGAATCGCGTACGGAAAATGCGGTTGGCGTTTTGGAACATGCCATCCTTCAGCGAGACGACGATGAACTGAGAGCCCTTGAAACGGGTCTTGATCAGTCGACCGATGTTTTGCGTGTGAGATAGATCGAGTGCGGCGTCAACCTCATCGAGAATGTACATTGGTGCGGGCTTGAATTGCAAAAGTGCCATGATCAACGAGAGTGCAATGAGCGAACGTTGGCCACCGCTCAGTTCTGTAAGACTCTGCTTCCAGACTTTGCCCAGGGACACCTTGACCTCGAGACCGTCTGTGATGTCTTTGCCCTCTGGCGGGTCAAGTTTGGCGAAACTGCCCGGAAGAAGCTCGTTGAAAATCTGTCCGAAGTCGCCATTCACCTTGACCCACGTCTTGTGAAGAGCCTCCTTTTTGTATTCGTTCAAATTCATGATGGTTTCCTCGATCTTTCGCTTGTCGCGGATAACGGTCTTCATCATGTTCTTCAGAGCAGCCTCCTTCTTCTCAACGCTGTCGATCATGTTCATAACCTTGGGGTTGATCTTCTTCTTCATGCCTTGAGATCGCTCTGTCAAGTTGCGTAGAGTAGCTTTGCACTCAGCGATGTTCTGGTTCTGGAAGTTGTAGGGTGTATTGGCGCGTCCGAAGTGCTCTTTTTCATCCGCAATCCATTCATGTTCCTCTTCCATATGAGCCACAGCCTGGCTAGCGGTGTGCTGATCCTTCTGGACCTTCTCAAGCTGATGGCCGAGCTTCTGCGCTTCAAGACCATCCTCGGTAATTCGAGACGATTTGTTCTTCATGGCTTCCTCTAATTCTCGCAATTCCTCATCGAAGCCAGTCAACTTAGCCCTCTCATCGTCAAGTTGAGCCTGCGCGATGTCATGGGCATCCTGAATCTGTTAGCTACATGGTTATTGAATAGCGTTGCGAGGGAATCAAATACCTTCAGTCGTGTCTGCTCCCGCTTTTGGGACTCGATTTCTTCCACCTGGGCACTGAGGGTGTTGTCCGACTCAACCAACTGCTCCTCGGCTGCGGATAGATCGCTGCCAACTTGTTCAGAATCTAGTCTGGAAGTTTGCAATTCCTTCTGCAGCTCTTTGACCGAGATAGAATTCTTGGCGAGGCTCTTTTTGAGCTTATTGAGCGTGGTTTGGAGTTCTTCCAACTTGCTATCTTTGTTATTGTTGAATTCACTCATGTCCTTCTCAATGCGCTTGATATCCTTGGATGCTTCGGCCTGGCGAGATTTAGCATCGGCGATGTCTTCCTTGAGTTGTTCAATATTTGCTCTCATTTCCTCGACGGCTTGAATAATCTACTTCGAGTTAGTCGCAAATTGTTGATAATTAAATATAAACAGAACATACCGAAGATGAGGAGTTGCTGTTAATTTGCTCCTCGGTGAGCTTAATTTCGTGAGACTTGAGATCCAGATTTTGTTTGATGGAGCGGACAGAATCAAGCTTCTTCTTTTCTCTCTTCATATTGTCTTCCAAAGTCGCGAGCTGTCGTTCCTTGCTCCGCAGCTCCTTGGTGATCTCGTTGAGTTTTTGCAAAGTAACGAGAACACCGCTAGAATTGGGAGAGCTTCCACCAGAAAGTGTTCCGGACGGATCATACACATCACCCTCCAGCGTGACACTCTTCATGCGAACTGATGGATCAAATGTCACCTTCTTGGCTGTTTCAGCGTCATGGCAGATGAGTGTGTTGCCAAAAACGTAGTTCATCGCTGCGAGAATTTCTTCCTCATATCCAACCAAGGAGAGGGCGAGGTCAACCTTCCCGGGAGCAAGCTTCTGTGCAGCTCCAATCTTTTCTGCGGAGGCCTTGAAAGCAGAAATTTTATTAAGGGGAATGATAGTCACACGCTTGCGCAGCTTGCCTTTCTGAAGTAGCTGCGTGCCGGTCTCTGCACTGTCCACGACAACATTGTAAAGGCGGCCACCGGCGCAGATCTCCAGCGCAGTCGCGGCCGGAACTTGATCTTTGTTAAGGGTGAAGAGCTGGGCAACCAAGCCCTTTACCTTGGATCGGTCAAAGTTGGGGTGAGGGTCAGCGTAGTTGAAATCAATGTTTGCTGCCTGTCGCTTAAGGCCATCAGCCCGTTGACGGAGCTCGCGAATATCTCGTTGAAGCCCGGTCTGTTCTTGGTAGATTTGCTCTTCTTTTCCAGGCTCAAACCCAAGTCGAGTCAGCTCGGACTCTAGCTTGCTTGCTTGCGACTTCAACCCTTCCAGATCACGCAAAAGCCCTGAGTTCTGTTCCTTCGCTTTCTTTGCGCGAGGCTCCTCTTCTTTGATACGCTTCTCAAGGTGGTTGATTTTGAGCTTCCCTTGTTCTTGTTCTGTGGCGGCATTGCTTGCACGGTTGCGGGCATCTTGTAATTGACCCTGGTAACCACTCTCCTGGCCCTCCTTGGAGGCTACACCAGTCTGCAGTGTCTGGAGCAATTCCTCTTTTTGTTCCACTTCGACGTTCTGTGCGTCCAGTTCAGCTTTAGCGGTGTCGTACTGAGCTTGTAGCTTCTCATAGATCTTGCGCTTCTCTTTCAGGACTTTCTCGAGATCAGTGACAGTCTTTTGGATAGTCTTTCGTTTCTCCTTCTCTTCCTCTATGCTTGCATTTTTAAGATCAAAGACGGTGGTCAATCGAACCAACTCGTGCGAGTAGTTCTTGACCTCATCTTCAAGTCCTTGGAATTTTCCGCCTTTTCGGAGTTCCTTGTCGCGAGCTGTGCGCACCCGTTGTACGTCTTCCTCCAAGTGAGCAATCTCATTTTTGAGCTTGAGTGTATTATCTTCAAGTGCCTGCACCTTATTGCGCTTATTTTCGCACTCTTCGCCTGCAATTCGCAACCGTTCGCCGCCGCGAACATAGTCATGGGCTACAACAAGTCGGGTCAAGCGCTCGAGATCGTTCTGCGTCTGCTGAAAATCGAGGAAAGCTCGTTTCTCCGACCGTAGCTTCTCGAGCTTGGGCTCAATCTCTTCCTTCAGCAGTTCTTCGATCTCGCGCAGCTTCAGTTCCTTCTTTCCCATTGTCCTGTTCGCCTTCTCTCTTCGGTCCTCGAACATTCGTGTGCCGGCTGCCTCCTCAATCATCGCCAGAATTTCGACCGACTTCATATTCAAGACCTTCGTGATGCGACCTTGCATAATGAGGAAATTAGGGTTGTTGATGTTCAATTGGACACTCTGGAAAAGGTTCTGGACAGTCTGTTGTTGCGCGCGATGGCCATTGATCAAATATTTGCTTGTGCCGCCTAGCACAATTTGTCGGGTAACCGAGATGTTCGCATATTCTTCGAATCCGATCGGCGATTTCGCGGTATCCCGGTTGTCGAAAACGATAGTAACACTGGCCTTAGTCACACCGGCTTGGCCGCGCTTGTAGATGAGATCTTGGAGGTTTTGCGCGCGGACTGTGGTCATGTTGGTAATACCAAGCACGAAGCAAATGGCATCGAGAATGTTGGATTTACCACTGCCGTTCAGGCCAGTGATAGAGTTGAACGCTTCGTCCCTATATTTGCGCGATCAGTACATTCCGCCATTTTTATCTTGCCAGGAACTCGGTCCATGCAGTAGCTCGGTCCATGCTTGGAATTGAAGGGCTGCATACCATCCCGAGATCACCGTACGCACAGCGTACGATTTGAAGCCCTAACAACAAATTAGCGCAGTAAATAACAATCAGAGATCCTGAGACTCACGTCTATAACAATTTCCGTAATCCTCATGGTTGCGACTCCGAAACGGCGTGCTGCTCGCTAGCAGAGTGCATGGGTCGGCCAGATGAAATGTGGAGGGGATTGATTGTTTTGCCGCACCAGCTGTTTATGCTTTGCCCGTTCGGGTCTGGCGCCGCGTTGCTGATGTCAGCGCGGGGGCTTCATTGTCACGTGATATAGAACTATGAAAAGAGAGGCTCGGGCGACTTGACATCAGCTTCTACATACACTCGTCTATATAGGTGAGATTTGCCTATCCGAACTACCTACCTTATATAATGGGTCAAATGCTCCTGTGTTATCTTTTGATTTTATCCGATTACAGTACTAACTACGGAGTACCGAGGAAGCGAACGCCCAATCTGTCACAAGCTTTTGCGACGACTTATATGTTCGTTAAATAATAAGAAACAGAGTACGCTTATTAGGACTAAAGCCATGTATCCTATGATATATTTGGCGTGAGTCTAAAATTATCATTAAATTTGAGGAAGGAAGATGTGGTAACTTGGCAGTTGAGTCCATAAATATAGGTTATCTACCACAGTTACAACTTACACAGACGGCCGGAGAGACCTTTAGAAAGACCTTGGAACCCCATTTGCAAGACAGGTGAGAGATAATATAATAATATTGGATCAAGAGCTCTTAGTACAGAGCGCTGTACTTAACTAGAGAATGATATGAAAGCACCTTCACCCGGCTTATGAAGGAGGACAAGTCCCACCTCCATAGACCAGTGTCCTTGCGATGATTTGGGTTAGTTGTCACTTAAACCCCTGATTTATCAGCTTTCATGTGTAAGCTTAAAGTACCTATGACAAAGGATTCCATAGGAATCGCTCAGGCTGTGTAAGGGAGATTTTTCTTCCAATCCGCCCAATCTACTACCAGGGTACATCACAAGAGCTGACCTGGTCAAGGATTATCATTGGGGGTTTTGGATACAAAGTACAATTGGAAGTATGTATCGAGGGAATAAGCAGGTCATATGCACCTTTCAAGCCGCACCTATACCAATATCTCCACTCGCGGAGACATTCTCGGACACTTTCTCTGTGGTACAAAGTTGCTCAAGTGAGACATTGCACCGACTATAGGGAATCTAGAGCCTCAGACCCTATATAAAGAGCCAGGTAGATCGAATAATCACCTCCATCATTCCATCATCTGGACATTGTGTCATATTACTCCGGTCTTCTACACCCAGCAATCTCAATCACTACTATACTTCCACACATAGTATTGTTCAGATCAGCCATGACAGACAAAACCGACCTTGAAACAGTCTTCAAGAGCGAGGCCTATGCTTCCACCTTCAAGCGCGGGGAGATTGTCACCCGTACCTTCGGTGAATTGCTGGTTGACCAGAGCAAGGTGGTCGCTGAGTCCAAGGCCAACCCGGATCAATCCCTCGTAATCCTTGACAATGCCTGCGGCACTGGTGTTATCTCCAGTACCCTCAATGCCAAACTCGACGACACTACCAAGGCACGAGCTACATTGACCTGCGGAGACATCTCGTCCGTAATTCTCACGTACACTGCCGATCGGATGAAGCAAGAGGGTTGGGAGAACGTGGAGACCAGGGTTGTAGATGCGCGGGATTCTGATCTTCCCAGCGATCATTACTCCCATGTATTTACTGCTTTTGGTGAGTTTCGTACTGAATGCACTTTCGGCTGACTTGAATGTGGCTAACCATATGCTTTTTGATAGCCTACATGGCAATCCCTGATTCTATCAAGGCTCTCGACGGTAAGAGAGCTCGTTGCGTTATTGCGCGTTTCATTTGAAATCTAACATGAACGGCCACTAGAAACCATCCGGATTCTGCAACCTGGCGGGACTATTGCCTTTTCGACCTGGATCGAGCGTGAGTTTTGGAAAACGCAGGATGGTCGCAAGTAATAGATTTACTGACGTGAAAATAGCCGGCTGGATTGCCCTTGCCCGGAGAGCAATTGAGGGCATCCCAGGCAATTTGCCTTTCCCTGAAACACAGGAACTATTGGCATCGCTCAATGATGGAGAATGGTACTCAAAGCCTTGGATTGAGTCCCAGCTCGAGAATCGTGGTTTCCAGGACGTTGATGTCCGTGTCAGTAAAATCAAATTGGCCCTCATCTCGTCTGTCTTTGTCGATATGGCCATGATGATGATACCCAGCATGACAAAGTCATTCTGGACAGACAAGCAACGAGAAGAACATGCGGACAAGCTTCGTCCGGCACTGGAGAAATACGCAAAGGACACATTCGGGGATGGTGATATCGAGACGGAATGGGTGGCCCTTCTTTCCACTGCGCGGCAATCTTGCTAAGTGGAGAATTTCATTGGAATTTTGGATGTATAGAACCTTCAAAGGGTCTACATTTTGTCATAATCTGAACAGTTCATCAAGGCTATTGATCGTCAAAATGGTATCCTGGGTTTCCACATAGTCCGTTTAGTCTCCGAGAAATCAACACGCTTTGTTCCCGAAGGGTAATGTACTATCGGCCACACCTGAGCAATATTACATAGACCAGTAAACCAAACGCCCTAGCTGATTGTTTAAATTCTGTGCGCCACACCTAACTCGTATAAGCTTAAAATCATGAGGCATGATGCGCCACGCCAGGTGGACGGGCAACGCCGCGATTGGGATCCAACCGGTTGTCCAAGTCTTCGTATCGAAGAATGAATTCGCGCTGCGAAGATCATGATTAGCTTGATGATTTTCTCGATCTCAACAAGGGATGAAGGTGACATACTCGGACTTTCTTCCAGCTGGTGGGATCCCACAGAAGATACACGCCGCGCTCCGTCACGCCACGCTCCACGTCAACAGGTCCTGGGTATGTCTCGTCGCGAGTCAGCCAGCATCGCTCAAGCTTGTGGTACCGCCACTTCCGGCCCATCAATTCCTCGGCAACTAGTTCTTGCATGATATCCCGGGGCATGCTATAGAAGATGAAGAAGAGTGTCTCATCGCTGAATCCGGGAATGCGAGATTGAAGGGGTTGAATATTGGCAACATTATAACAGCTTGGCAAAGAGAAATCTTGTTCCAGAGGGACGGCCGACATTGATGACACAAATGGCGAAGCAAATGATGTGTGCAAAGGCCTATGAAAGAAAGAATTTGATTAGCATCCATGGGTGTGTCAATAGTGAGGCGGAAATATTAGCATACTCCGCCTGATTTAAATCTAATCCTAGTGTCATCAAATCTTGGCCAACGGCGAGACTTGCGACATCAGGGCTCTCGCCATGAATCATACGTAGCAGACCGGCCAACCCAAATCTGTCAAGTTCACTCATTTGCGCAAGAGGCGGTTGTTCGGCGCTCTGCGAAGCACCGGAAACATCTTGGCTATCGCTACTTTCTGCCTGCCTTTGCTGTAGCTGTTGCGGGTCACTAAAGTTACGCTGGCCTGGTAGCACGCCATTGTTCAAGTCCTGTTCGAAGTCAGTGCCGCCTTGTAAGTGAGTATTACTGATAATACCTACTTCTTTCTCTTGTCCCAGAATGCCATTGGGCACTTGGCTGACTGGTGATCGTGAGGTCCCTATACCAGACCCATAGCCTCCAAAGCCCGCACCCTGCATCAAAGGACCGGTTCGGCCGAGGGGAAGTTCAGCAGCGGCATTTCGACCCAATGGAGGGAACTCTTCGATATTGCCTGTCTGGGGTTGTCCACCCGCACCGAGTTGGTTACTGATGCCCTGCCCACCATTTCTAAAGTCATCTAGTCGATTGGCAAACTGCGTACCAGAAGGGAACATATCATCATGTTGTGCCTGCGATTGTTGCGGTGTAGGAAGACCTTGGGGTTGGGAGGAACGAGAGGGGGCTTGCGACGTCGGAGGGTGCTGTTGTCTTTGAACGGGTGTTTGCTGAGCAGCGCGTTGACTTGCGTTGGCCCACATTAGCTGACCGGGAGTCTGTGACTGTGATTGCTGTGATGCTCCTGATAGCGAAGGGAACTCCCTAGAATCACCGACCTTGTCAGCTCGGAGACAGACTCAAAGGTCCGGAGAGACGGGAGACCACCGCAAACCATGGCAAGGGTGTACTTACGACAGATCGAGTGGAGCCGTAGATTGCGACCCTCCTAGACTTTGCGCAAAACTGCCCATTGTTCCCATTGTGCGCTGTTGATTGCCCTGTAGGCCAGTTGTTCCGCTGACAGGTAGATTGAAGCTCCAGTTTGCACCGCCTAATCATTCAGTCCCATGTTAGCATCCCTTCTTCAAAATAATCTCGAGTGCTCAGTCAGTATAACACGAGGCAATCACACCCAGTTTCCCGTGTGACAATCGCGCAGAGGCTAATGAAGCAGTTCGAGCTTGTGCTTGCTGTTGCATGGGGAATCCAGACATGCCTCTCAACAGATGTAGACTTAGGCTTGACACAAGCGTGGCAAGTTAGCACGTTCGTCGCATCAAGGGCCGCGCAGGTCAATATCACGGCACAGGAATGTGCGGACGTGCCCTTGCGAATGTCTCGGTCGCAAATGTAGGACTATTTGCAGCGAGGCTTGCCATTGGACTCCCCGAAACATGCATGATCCCAGCCAACTTTCGGCATCACATAGATCAAAACCTTGCATCGAGGCAAGTTCGACTATCAAGAGTTCCGCGGAGTTGGGTAAAAGATAAGAATGGTATGAGGGTATGCGATGGCATTGAAGGAAAATAACGAACCTGGTCTATTCATAATCGGTGCTTCCGAAAGAGAAGCAAACTTGTGAGATCTCGGGATCTCTTAAGAACGTTCAAAATAGAGCTTTGATCGAGTAATACGCCGGACTTGAATCTGTGGAGGGGAGAGCAATCCACAAAGGCTGGTCACGCTTGATGCGGCACTACTCCGCTGAGAGAGAGTCGATTGGGCGGTCAGGCGCGCGGGTGCTCGAGAATGCACAGGCCAGTCTCCAATTAACCGCGGACAAGCCTTCAAGAGGTGAACATATAAAATACCTTAAGGGCTAAGTGTGAAAGAGTAATTGCCTTTGGTGATTGAGAACTATATCAAAAGAGATCTGGAGAGAGAAAAAAAAAGAGAAATCTAGCTATAGGTATGAAAGCAGACCCGATGAACCCGAAGCTGGTACCATCTTAACTACTGCCATGGCACGTGATGAGCCTTGCCGCCTTTGCGAAAAGAAAGGGCCATCAATCTCCGACTCGACCAACCTGGGGAAGCCATCACAATCATGCAACAGGTTCCACGCATTGCCGGCCGCCTGAGAGGGCTGGCTATGGCTGAGTTGCCCCCTACTTACCTCGCACCATCACTTCGCCTCCCCGTGACTGTATCAGCCATTCAGTCTTCAAGCTTTTCTTCGACTGCCTCTGTCGGCGTCAACCCTCGACGCGACAAGAGCAAAAACCGCGGTGTGTCCGCTATCAACCGGACCGGTCCCAGAACCCCATTCACCGTGTCAAAATGGCCATTGCCCAAGCCTGTATCACCGGAAGAGATGCAGCCCCGGGAAACGAACCCTAACCATGGACTCTGGGCATTCTTTCCCCCTAACCGGGCGGCATTGCCTCAACCAGATTATGATTTCGCTTTTGGTTAGTTAGGCGAATTTTCAATATATCGATGTTCTTGCCGACAGTGCTGATTGTTGGCAATCTAGGTCGCTCATGGGGTATCCAGGAACTCCGCGAACGGAGCTGGGAAGACCTGCACGCTTTGTGGCATGTATGCGTCCGCGAACGAAACCGCATTGCCACATCTGATATGGAGCGAATTCGACTGAAGCCCGGCTACGGTGATTATGAGTCTGGGGAACGTGACAAAGTGGTGAGTTTCGCTCCGAGGCTTTCAGCCGTCACATTCATCTACCAATCTTGCAATGCTCTCTGTGAAATCTTCTTGTTTCCAGTGCTTGCGACTTCTTTCTCAATTAAAGATTGATAATATTCGACCACAATGAGCTAACCCGATAATGTCAGATCCGAAGCACCATGAAGAATATCAAGCACGTTCTGCGTGAGCGCTGGTATGCTTGGGAGGACGCCTCGCGGATGTACGAAGCCGGATATCGCCCTGAGAACTTCCACGGACTCGAGGACGTTGAGGTTGAGCAGGCCAAGGGCAAGAAACAATAAACATGAGAATAGGGTAGAGACCCACCCAGTCGAGGGAGACCTAAGCAAAGTCTTCCCAGGTCAACTAAGTATGTAACATTAGCTTTCAGAGTGGTTTTATTAGTTCGCATGTCAAATTATTCACAGGATACATAAGAAAATGGGTCAACATTCGACACTATCAACATGTGTTCATTTACTCCTGTGCCTCTGAGTGCCAGGAACCAGTCATGATTACCCCTGAGGCCCAAGAATTCACGCCTCTTATATTCAGGGGTTAAAAACGAATGATCCAGAGTGATTTTTATATTGTAATATTAATATCGTGGTGAGGTGTCTCGAGGCAACTCACTAGTGGCGGATCCGTCAAATAGTTCCCCTTTCTTACCGCTTCGTTGATCCGCGGGGAGATAGCCAACTTTCTCTTTCTCCTCATTCTCTTGAATCCTTCTTCTGTTTTTTCTCTACCTTTAATATCCTTCACATCCATCATGGACGAAATCGCCCCCGAATACGATGTGGTAGTGTTGGGAACCGGTATGTTTTGCTATGCTACCCCGCCATGCGCCCCAAGTCAACACTGACCATTTCTTGCAGGCCTGACCGAGTGTGTGTTGTCTGGGTAGGTCTCCAAAGAGCTTGTTCTGTTTGATGATCCCCGTATCTCATTGTGTTCGACTATAGTGTCCTCAGTGTCAAGGGTAACAAGGTTCTTCACATCGATCGCAACGATCACTATGGAGGGTAAGTGAGGCGGAGAAGCTTGCTATGACGGCACCACGATCAGAATAGCTCACAATGGCCATAGAGAAGCAGCATCTGTCAACATCGAAGCAGTATGTTTACCAGCTATCCCCCGATCGACTCTGCTGACTCTCTTTGCAGCTGTTCAAGAAATACGGCAACGTCGCCCCCGGCGAGGAGCCATGGAAGAAATACGGGAGAGTCAACGACTGGAACATCGATTTGGTCCCCAAGTTGCTCATGTCCAATGGAGAATTGACCAACATCTTGGTTTCCACCGATGTGACCCGGTACCTCGAGTTCAAGCAGATTGCTGGCAGTTATGTTCAGCAAGGTAAGGGCCCCAAGGCGACCGTGGCCAAGGTGCCTTCCGATGCTGGTGAAGCTCTGCGCTCATCGCTCATGGGCTTGTTCGAGAAGCGACGTGCCAAGAAGTTCTTGGAGTGGGTTGGTGAATTCAAGGAGGACGACCCAGCTAGCCACCAGGGTAAGTATCTGCAACCCGAGTTCTTTAGGCGGGGTTCCTAGAAGTGAGCTAATGAAGATTAGGACTGGACGTCCAATCTTGCACAATGAAGGAGGTTTACGACAAGTTTGGCCTTGAAGATAACACCCGTGATTTCGTTGGTCACTCCATGGCTTTGTACCCCTCCGACGACTATATCACCCAGGCCGGCGCTGCCGTCGAAACCATTAACCGCATCCGCCTCTATGTCAACTCTATGGCACGCTACGGAAAGTCCCCATACATCTACCCTCTCTACGGTCTCGGCGAGCTGCCCCAGGGCTTTGCTCGTCTGTCTGCCATCTACGGCGGTACCTACATGTTGAACACCGATGTCGATGAAGTGCTTTACGAGAACGGCAAGGTCTCCGGTATCAAGGCCACCATGAAGGATCGGGATGACCAATCCGAAGCCATGAAGTTTGAGACCAAGACCAAGAAGATCATCGCCGATCCTTCCTACTTCCCCAGCAAGTCCAAGGTCACCGGATACTTGCTCAAGGCTATCTGCATTCTGAACCACCCCATCGATAAGACCGACGGCAGTGACTCTGTGCAGCTGATCATTCCCCAGTCCCAGGTTGGACGCAAGCACGGTAAGTCAAGTCATATTCGAGCTTATTTTGTTGATCTGAAACTGACCCCCTCCAGATATTTACATTGCCATGGTTTCATCCGCGCATAACGTCTGCCCCAAGGGCTACTACATCGCCATTGTTTCCACTATTGCTGAGAACGATGCTAACCCCCACCTTGAGCTTGAGCCTGGCTTCGAGCGCCTGGGTAAGGTCGAGGAGAAGTTCATGGGCCCGCCTATTCCTTTGTATGAGCCCACCGACAGTGGCGAAGAATCCAACATCTTCATCTCCAAGAGCTACGACGCGACATCACACTTCGAAACTACAACTGGTAAGCAATTTTCCAATATCAAAAGTCTATCACCTGTTCGCTAACCAACTTGCCATAGATGATGTCCGTGATGTGTACCGCCGTGCCACTGGCGAGGAGCTGAAGGTTGAGGGTCTCCGTGAAGATCAACAACTGGCTACCGAGTAAACAGGCTTTGATACCCGCCTTGAGAATCGGATAATCTAGTGCTGTTTAGATTGGTTGACTATATTTGTCTTGGGCATGTCTGGCAGTTTCTCTGTCTGTCCGTCTTTCTTTTCCCTATCACAAACGAAGCACAATATTTTTGGACACCACTGCCATCCTTACATGCACTTCGCTCGTACAATGTCTGGAACTTTGCAGCTATATTATTGATTCAAACGTCTTCTTTATCTATTGATATCCAAGTAACAGTCTCTAAGAACCAGGAAGGTCATGGTGCCGCTTATAAATGTACCCAACCCTAATCAAATCCGCTGCGTCACCTCGGGGTCTGTATTGGCTTTCTCATGCTCCCCAACGACACAAACATCCCCAGTCTCAGCCTTCTGGATCTCAGCCCGAAGCAATGCCAATCGCTTGCCAACATGGATAACTTCGCAGACAACACGCGCCTCAATACCCGTAGGCACAGGGCGCAGATACGTCAATTTGAGATTGCGGCTGACACCACCGAGACTAAAGTTACCAGGCTTGGAGACGCCCAGCAAGATAGTGGTAGACAGGACATCGATCAAAGTCGCAGCGCAGCCTCCGTGGAGGTTCCCGAAGGAATTGCTCAGCGCAGGAGTGACCGTTATAAGGAACGAGACTTTGGCCGGAGGACCGCGGGTTGCGGATTCAAAGCGGAGGTTACAACCGCGGGCATCGACGTCCCAGTGCTTTGCGTTCGAGACAAGGGTAAGCGCTGGATTCAGTCTGCATCGCAATGGTGCGTAGATTGGGGTGCAGTGTATATGTCGGGGTTGTAATTGCACATGGAACTTACTTCCTCGTTTATGCCCATTCGGCCCGTATGTCCGTAGACGAGCTCCTCGAACTCGTCCAGTTTCCTGGACGGGGCGCTAATTGCATGACTGGCCATGATGTGTTATAGGGTTATTGAGTATAAAGATGGACTTTTTCGAGGAAGAAGAGTTGTGTTATTGGGAGTAACTCTGGGAAGCTTACCCCGAACCTCAGCTCGGATGCATCATTGGACCTCGGCTGGGGGGCGGATAGGCGTAGATATGGTAGAAAGTCCCCACGTTTGAGATCTGGATCACCGGATATTGGTCTGTCTTTCTCGTTAATGGTTAATTGTTTTCAATGCCTTGTTTCTTTTTTCTTAAAGAAAAATAAAGGAAAAAAGAAGAGAGAAACCCCCTATATAGGTATCCCGGGTACGGAGTACGTAGTTCCTATGTTGTACTCCGTAAGGCTGTTAGCAATGGCCGAACGCAACCGAGGAAGCTGCTTGCCACGAAATGCAAGATGTAATTTTCAATGACAGTCGATCTGTATTGCAAAAGTACATGGCTTTTTCTCCATGTGCATACAGACCAGTTAGCATGGCGCTTGGAATACAGGAGAGGATTCCTTGCCGCTCCAAGGGAAAGCACCTGACTTCGCGTCACGCGTCTCGGCCTGAGGCGAAAATCGACAATTGTTGTCCTTCGTCCGACCCTTGGAGCGCAATTGAACCACACAGTTTGTCTTTTTCAATTTGGACGAGCTACGCTTGCTGGCGCTACCTTGGACCATATGCGCATTGATTCTCTCTCGAATTGTAAGTCATTTCACTCAGGGAAAGCTCCCAAGTTCAAGCTGGTCGGAAACCAAGAGCATTGATTGGATGTGATGCTAATTCATACAGTCGCAAACCCAATTTCGACAAAAGCACATCACAAGAGGAGCTGTTTTTGATTCCCTTGCTCCGGTGCAATTCTATTCGCTCCAATTAGAGGATCCCCCCGATACCAGCAATTCGAGTTCCCCAGACAACCTATAGCCATGAAGGACCCACGAGCATCTAAAAGAAGAAGAGTCTCCAAGGATTTTGATGGAGATATCGAAATGGGAAACGAGGATCAAGACGTATTCGCGGTCTCCTCATCCCCCAACAACACTCGAAATTCCCCTACGCCGGTTAAAAGTGCCTCACGGCGTCAATCTGCCCGCGGAGCACACGATCTTAACCAAGAAAGCACAGGCCAGGAGGCCGAGGAAGAGAAAGAAGAGACGCAAACCCCTGCCCGGGTTGGAACACGAACAAGTGGGCGACAACGGAAAACACCAAAAAGATATGAGGAGGAGGTTGTGACGCCGTCGAGGAGAAAACAAGCAACTACCCCCTCAAAGAGTGCGCGTGCGACTCGAACAGTGCAAAACCCGCCACAGTCTCCGGTGGAAGATGAGGACGAGGACGCACCTGAGTCTGAGGAAGAGGATGACGATGACGACGACGAGGATGACATAGATGTCGACGAGTCATCTCCGGAGCCTGCCCGTCGCTCAGCTACAAGAGCCAAATCAAAGAGAAGCACCGCAAAACCCAGATCCGCCGCAAAACCTAGATCCATCGCAAACCCCAGATCCACCACGAGAACCAGATCCAAGAGAGCCCTGGCCGCAGAGCCGAAAGAGAAGTCTCCTTCACCTGAGTATCAGGACGGCTTGGACGATATCGTTGCGATGCAACTGCAACAGGAAATGCCTTATGAACAACCGGAGGCGACTGAAGCCGTTGATGTCTCCGAGCCATTGCCAGAATACGCTGAAAAGTTCCAGGCACTCTGTCAGACGGGCCTTGCAGATGAAGTGCGCATTCTCTCGACCATTCTCCTCGAAAAATTGTCAGGGAAACGGCAGATCCCATTACGGGGAGTTGAAACCGAATACCAAAAGGTTCACCAGCTCATCGAACAAACAGTGTCGGTGGGCGAGGGTAACTCGATGCTTCTTCTTGGATCCAGAGGGTGTGGAAAGACTGCGATTGTGGAATCCATCATTTCGTCACTCGCGAGGGAGCATAGAAACGAATTTCACGTTGTTCGCCTCAATGGATTTTTGCACACGGATGATCGTCTAGCGTTGCGCGAGATGTGGCGCCAACTTGGTCGTGAGATGCATACCGAGGAGGATGCAGCCAAGGTCAGCTCCTATGCGGATACCATGGCGACGCTCTTGGCTTTGTTATCGCACCCAGAAGAGCTTTTCGGAGCTTCTGGTGATGCAGGGTCAAAAACTGCTGCAAAGTCTATCATCATCTTGCTGGATGAGTTCGACTTGTTCGTCACCCACCCACGACAAACTCTGTTGTATAATCTGTTTGATATTGCCCAGGCCCGCAAAGCACCTATCGCGGTCATTGGGCTCACGACAAAGGTCGATGTCACCGAAATGCTCGAGAAGCGTGTCAAGAGTCGATTCAGTCACCGCTATACTTACGTCCCGCTACCTAAGTCATTGGAGACATTCTCGGATATCTGCCTCGGAAGTCTAGACCTCAGTGAAACCGAAGTAGCAGATATTGCGGCTGAACTTGGATCTGACCGTGCCCTGGTCGAGTCTAGCAAATGGGTGATACTGCTCAAGGGCTGGAAGGAATATTTGAAGGTAAGAGCTACAGCTTTCTGCTCTTTCCCGTTACTTGCAGATTTACTAAACCTCGCTTTTGAAAATAGCATATGTGGAATGACCAAGACTTCCAATTCCACATCAGGCGTATCTACTACCAATCGAAATGTGTAAAGGAGTTTTTCAACAGCGCACTTCTCCCAATCGGCGACTTGCTGCAAAGCGTATCGACCGTCGACACACCAGTTCCCGAAATTCCAGTACCGAAAAACTTCGCTTCGCAAACACTTGATTGCCCCGACCCAGCACCTCTCCCCTTCTCCACGTCCATCACATCATCTAGTCCCTCGTCGTTGCCATTAGCTTTGTTGGTAGCTGCAACCCGCTTGTCAGCCCTGTTCGATCCCGGAAACGACGGGTCCCAATCACAAAGCATGGGACCACTTGCACTTTCCTTCCCCGCCGCATATGCGGAATACGTCCGGCTTCTAACCTCTGCAAAGATATCTGCCTCGGTGTCAGGAGCCGCGGCTACACCAGGCCGGGTCTGGGGCCGAGATGTAGCCCGAGAATCCTGGGAGAAGCTGCTCAGCTGGGGACTCGTTACCCCTGTGGGCAGTGGCAACGGCACTGCTGATGGGCAGATGTTCCGTGTGGAAATTAGTTTCGAGGAAGTTATTGAAATGGCTGGTTCCGGAGGTGGTCTGGGCCAGTGGTGGCGTGAATAAACCTACCCCCAACTCGGTTCCAAGGATATATTACCAGCATGCATTGCTGTGTTACATGATTTGCATCGGCGAGTACGGAGTACATTATTTGGCTTTCTGACTATCAGATAATTGAACTATACAAATAGTCAAATTCCATCTCAATTGATTTCCATCTCCTCCCCCAAGTCATGTTCACAAAAGATTTGGAATTCTCTTCCATCAGACATACAAAGCAGTACACACAAACACCAACCCGTATTCCTGGCTCAAATCCCGAGTCCCGAAAAGGAATAACCATATCAGCCCTATTCCGTACTCCGTAAGGTGCTGTACACTAGTTATATATTCCCCGAACCCCATTCCGATACCGGACTCACATCCCATACACACATTTCCGTGCACCGACCAGACATAACCATAGGTACACTACTCCATACATAGGCCCTTTAAACTATTATCGACAAACATCACTAGTCCCAAACCTACATCCAACTGTGGCGATCCTAGTTCCGTGTGCGATCAGTCACGTCATCCTTGTCCTTGGAAGGTTTGCTTCAGGGTGTATGCAAGCTTCCGTGCACTATACTGGGGCAAATGAACTCCTAAATTGATGTCTGCAGACGTAGGCCTCGGAATAGCATGGGATCTGCGGTAAGGGGGTTAAGGTTGGATATCGTATGATGAGCAATGATCTGCGCGGGCTCGATGGTGGCGAGATCGGGAGTCTATTCGATATATCGTGGTAGATCTTGTTGGGATTTTGAAACTGGCTAGTAGATTCGGAGGGAAAGGAAAACGTGTGGTAATAGAAATCAGGGAAGCGATGAGTCTGTATATCCTTTTTTTGGTTCACTGTTTTAGAGCGATGCCACATAGATGTACCTACAGAAGATGGGATTCTTTAGTCGCGCTGCCTTGGTTGAGATACTTTCTTGCGTGGTAGGTATTTTAGACGTTAGTAAAGGCTTTGCTTCTATGTTAATTAATGTATAATAAACCCTAGAATGCCGTGCTTGTGCATTGTTGATCTGTATGTATGTTCAACGGCATGGTGAAGTGATAGCATGTGGGTTGCCATGTGTTGTGACATGTCGAATTCTCAAGTCTTTGCCTACAAATGGATAGCGGAGGGGCTGGGGTGTAGATTCAAATGTGGCAAGATGTGCGTTGAGCGTATTAGTCTGCATGCAGGACAGCGATCACTGGGGTTCCATGTGAAAGCTGCAGAACGTCAATGGTGGTTTATATAGTTAGGCCCATTCTTATACCTATGTTACGCTGTGTTTAGAGTTAAATATGCTCAATAAGAGAGAACACTATAGCCATAATATATGTAATTTCATCTCACCAGTCTACCCTAGGTCACAGACAGGATAAAAGGAGTGGAGCCAAGGACAGGCTAACAAAAGCAAGGAACAGCAGCCCCCCCAAACTCCACTATCCTGCAACAATCGCATGGCTTTGATGCGTAATCCACATGCCCCAACGTTCCCTTTCTAGGGCTAGTCTCAGGATTGACTGACCGTTAGGAATTCATCCGAGTCATGCTGCAGCCTGCAGATCGGTATTCTTTTGTGGCAAGGGTGACTACATGAACATGTGTCGGGTGCTGCACATGTGCAAAGCTAGTGTATTCAAACCATGCCAGAGCCCGAAAGACCTCTTTTACCTCAGAAGCCTGTCTCAGTTCTTGAAATAGGAACCGGATGGCTGCGATTGTGACCGAGAGAACAGGGCCGAGACTTGCAGGCTGGTTTCAGGATGGTGGGGGGTAAATCTAGACCCGCCTCGCACGGCATTGTTGAGAAGATGTAAACCAGGGCTTTGTGCAACATGGTCATGCCAGTCTCTTTCAAATGTGAGGTGGTTATCCATGTGCCTTTGTCTGTGTTTGATCAGCGGGCCGCAGCCTTCCGCGTGGGCTGTAGTCCGTTACCCAGAAAAGACCAGGTGAAAAAAAAATCTATCAGATGGGTATTTGCACATGCAGAACTCTGCAACTCGGTGACATTTCCAAGACGCTGTATCCCCCGGGGAGAAAAATGAGCCTGTGTCAAGGATCTTCCTGCAAAGCGGCGGTCACCGGCTTCTTCGCCGCCTATACGCGCCCAGACTTCACACCCCCGCTTTGGAGATGTAGAGCTGTAGGTTTCCTTTCCTGTTAGGTCGAAGCTCGAAGTAGTTGTCCTGGTCTTTTTTTCCCTGTAATTCTTCGGGGGTTTCCCGTTTGGATCATACCTTGCCACCTCCCGCCAAGCTAGCGGACTAGCCTAGCCTCCACGCGAGAGCAAGGTTAACGGCAGACAAGAGTGGAGCTGAATGGCAGGGTGATCGGAGGGTTATCTCAAGCCAGGAAGATTTTCCTTCGAATGGGGGCTTGGGGTTGGCTTTTAGGCTTTTCTCTAGGGCAACTGGAGTCAGTTGGGACGAGCGGGGAGAGACCAAAGCGCGGGGGTGATGTTGATGCATATCCGAGTCGTAAACGGCTTCGTGTGTGATGTGATTTGGTTTTCTTGTGGCGATCAGTATCATTCGGACAACTTCCGGACAACTTCCGTCTGCCCCGTTGCCATGCAGTAGCAGCCTGACGATCAACTAAGACCAAGACTTGCCAAGTACTCCGTACGGAGTAGGCAGGTATACTTTGTAGGTAATAGAAACACTTCTACCAGTTAAGAATGATCAGTATGTCGTAGATATCCTCCATCGGTCTTAACATCGATAGCATTGTTCTCGGTATTAAAGATGGCAGTCGTTGACAAGTTGGAGTGGACATTGTATAGATCCCGACAAGGGCTCGGTTGTACTCCGTATAGGGGTACATACAACATATGCAACCGTTCTCCAGTCCCGGACGATTTGTCAGGATTGGGTGGATGTCCCTCGGTCCCCATTGCGAGATGCATATGACTTTCGCCATGGTTATCTGGATGGAAATTGTTCCACCCAATTGGCGTGACCTGCCATATCATTGATCAAGGGCTGACGGCCAAATGCAAAGGAAACCCAAGGTAGTACTATCTCCGATCGGGGATTGTCATTTCCCGAAGAAAAGAGACAGAATGAGAAATATACATTCTGTTGCAATCACCGGCTTTTAGTAGATACAAGTAACCCTCATCGAAAGTTGCCACCGGCCAAGTCAGCGGCTTAGTCGATGTCGTGGGCTAAGAGAAGGAAACGGAAATAATCTTCCCAGCCTGGTCAACAAATCAAACCAGAGACGATGAAACAAATCTTGGAAGGCATGCAGACCGCTTCTTCTGCATCCTTCAGGGCCACATGGGCGTAGAAGCTCCACAGCCAAGGTTCCAACTGCAGGTCATCCTCGCTTAGTGCAGAGTGATTATTGACTCCGTTGGCTGCATAAGGGCTGTTTTTCTCTTCTATCACCGGTGTTTTGCAGATCTGCCACGTGGACTTGGTGCTTTTGTTTCCCGACACTTTTCCCGTGTCAACCGTCACGGTGGAGTGGTTTTTGTCTGGTGGGTTCATGGGAATCCGCGCTCGCCGGGTTTTCCCTTTTCTTTGGGGTTCTTTTTTTAGTTTTAGTTTTTTTTTTGACACATGACTTCCTTCCAGAACATGGAATCTGATACGTAACAATATCGAAGATGCATAGTAGACCGGTAGATTTCAATATACGAGTCTTACTCGGAAGACGCCAGGGTTGAACTTGCTCCGTGACCCACAATCTTATAGACAATTTAAGAAACCTATACTTCGTAGGGCCATAGTTCGAGTGACATCTGCCAAGGCTTCACCTTCGGCCGGAAGGTCTTCTCAAACTCGTCAGGAACACGAGAACCAAAGGAAATAAAAAAAGAACGTCACCCAGAGACCGAGTTTTCCCAGCCCCTTAATCAAAGAACAAAGGACTCCATTTGTTTGGTGTCTGCGTGAACCATGGACGTTCCGAAACGGGGGCTTCTTAGCGTCTTCTGGAAGGCTTCTGGAAGGCTTCTAGCGTGGGGTGCCAATAGTTCCATTGGAGTTTTTGCCACGCCGGAGTTCGCCGTATTACCCCCTAATCCGGTATTGTGGGCAAGCCACACCTCGAAAGTCTGGTTCAATGGATTCAATGGATTCAATGGATTGGGAGGACGGATAGATGGAGTCCCTATATACGCCCGCGGAGTTGTCAATGACGTTTTGTCACTTGCACTTGCTGTTTTCAGCCGGTGGAGTCGATCAACGGGTAGACCTGTACTGTCAGGCTCCTGTATTGGATACACCATGTTGGCAGCCGTACAAGACACGTGTATTGTGAGGGACCTCCTTGGTACTTAGGTACGGCAAATATGTTATACTCCGTACTCCCTTCCGTCTTGCTTTTTCTCGATGTGGAGTGCCGATTTCCCATCGCACCGTCGATCTCACATCGTATGATGCCCCAGATGAGATCATCGTCATTCGCATCTCCATGCCAGAGGGCCAATAGAATTCAGAATCCTTCCAAAGGTCGCGACGTCAGACCAGCATTGGCATTCGAATTTGAGCGAGTCAGAGATCCAAGGCCAAAGCCACAAGTTTGACGACCGTTTCAAAAAATGAATATCGAATATCGACGCGGCTGCCGCGCCAGGGGAGATATCTGGGATTTCTAACCCCCCACATTTAGGTACGGAGGAACGCCGATTAGGGAATAGATTAAGTTAAGTGAGGCTCTGTCCACCGAGTGCTGCGTGCACCCCCAGGAAATTCACTAGTCGCTTCGCTAGTCTGGCAAGGAGAGTTTTTGCCAATCATGCCCCCTTCTGAGGATTTTCATCCGGCAGGACGGATCGAGGTTTGTGGCTGAATTACGGGCAAGAAAATCAAGGTCGCTGCGTAAGCCACATAGCACTAAGATGAGGTCTAATCCCATCGACGGCGTATATGCGCAGCAAAAAATAACTGGGACAGACCGCACATTGGTGACAAGTTGCGGTCTGGCAAAGAGATCATCAGGATCTGTGCTCAAAGGTCTGTAGTCCCTATGGTATCCCCCCTATCCGTGTTGGATATGGAATCGTGCAATGCTCTATCCTCCGTACCTACATGTACCTAGGTACTCCGTACCACGCCCATGATTGACCCGGCATTCCACGTGGCAACCTCAGCTATGTATGTAGTATGCATTCCCCACATTCGTGGCTCCGACAGCTTCGGTTTCTGGAATGTGATACATGTTGTCGGGATTCTAGACCTAATTATAGTTGTTCCATGAGACGATCCCCGAATTCGAAACCCCGAATTGATATTGCGGGTGCTACGGTCCTACGGAGTACACCGTATGTAGACATCAAGGGGGTAACGGGAAGGCAAAGACCACGTCCAGACTCATCTAGACCTGTCTCTTTTCTCTATTGCCAGCCACATGGTCCAAATCGAAACCCAGATACCTCACCCGGCAAGCCAGGGATTGGGAGAAGTGACGGTTTGAGTTTAGCATCCTCAGCCCAGTCCCAGGGAGTATCAGGGCATAGCTCGAATCCCAATCATCCACGCCACATTCCTAGAAAAGCAAAACCAATTGTCGGGTGTTGATTGCCTGGATTCCGCAGAGATCCGCGTACAACCACGCACCTCGGAGTATGTGTGAGTACACCTGGTACATGCAGGGACCCTCGAACAGGCAAGGAGGTGTGATATGTGACTGGATTACAACGTGAGTTGGTGCCCGGTGTACAAAGTACAGCCACGAGAAGTCGATCTTTCCAAGTAAGGTATGTGCCAGGGTTAACTAATGGCAACCAAGCTTTCCATTTCTATTTGCGTAGATCGACGACCAGACCCTTATCCTGAAACGCAGGATAACTGTCCCTAACAGGATAGGATGGACTTGTAATTATGCGAAGTGGCCTCGCTGTATTTAGACTTTGCATGACTCGTAAGGTTTGATGTCAATCGAGAGTACGGAGTACGGAGTACGGTGATAGACAGGAATCCACCAAATATGCACCGGGGCAACTTTTCTTCTTTTTTTTTTACCCCTGAATAATTCGAACCCTGCAGGAATCCTTCCTTGTAGCTAGTCGCATGGCACCCAGGGATATCCAGAATCAATACAATACATTAGAGTAGGTATGTATAACTTACAATTTATGTACTGTCATCGTGGATTACAATACTCCGTACCCAAGGGAATCCAGTCCCGACAACTAGGTACGACCCATCCAGCTGAACACTTGAATCATGCGGAGTCGATAGACGAGCGGATCACGTTTTTCGTTGACCGCAACTTTAGAGTCTAACAGGAAAATCTCCGGGAGCCAATCTGTTTTTCCAAACTGGATGGATGCCAATCCACTTCTACAATACGGGCAGACCAAAGCGACACTGATGTCCACTATCTCCGCTTCGGGGTTAGCGTGTCCCAAGCCCACGGTGTCTCTATCTGGAGGGCAATGGCAAATATTCCGGTACAGAAAGTAATAATCGATTTGAAGAGAGCAGGCACTGTCTGAATCATTTACTGCGTTGGGTTGGGTGGTGTTTGTGTTTTTATTGATTTATTTTTCCAGAATCCACAGCGTTTCCGTTGGTGGTCTTGGATCAACAGCCAAGCCTCGTGGCTCTATTCGGACAACGCTGAAGACGTCGCGGCCGGAGTTTAGGCACCGCTTTTTTTTGGCCCCCAACCATTATCCCGTCCCTGGTTACAGAGTATGGTTACGGCATATCAAAGACATTTTACTCCGGAGAACCCGTTCGGTTTGGATTGTTCCATGTCTCAATCCACGTGGCACACCGTTCGATCTTCTGACTGATCCTTATTGATAGATCCCAAGAGTTGAAACGTATGTGACGTGTGGATGAGTCGAATGTTCTTTTTCCGGTCTTTCCGTGCTTCTGTGATGTATAATGTCGTTTAATCTCTTTTGCTCGCTTTCGATCTGCGCTATCCAATTTAACTTTGGCTTTAGCCATCTCCTGTTGCGGGGGAGCCAATCTCGTATCACACGCTATGGAATCATCGACTATCTTTGCTCAATTTGTCTCTATCGCCGTATCTGAGCGTTTTAGTCCAAACCTTTTTTTTCTCCTGCTTTTGACTTTAAAGAGATAGGTAACTGTAGGATACCACTCGGCCACCCGGCTGAAACTCGCACTGACTTCTTGGAATTGTTGTTTCGCGTGACCTGTTTTGTATTTTCTGGCTGGCCAGCCTTGTCTGTTGGAGCACTGCCGGGAGGATCGGGAGGTTGCTGACGTGTCTGATAGCGGGATCTGAGCAGGGAAATGAAACACCTTGGACAAAAACTCTCAATGGGGAGCCATGGTTCATGGAGGTGAAATCATGGGAGACGGTCTTTGTGCCGTGACGTCGTCTCGAGCCGGAAACCCGGTACAGATGACGGAATCCAAGATGAGGCTCTCATGCTGAGGCGTTAGCTCATGCCAGAAACGCCCCGACCGCAAGAATAGGCAATCCCTGTCTTCGCTCTGATCTCGTATTTCAGGCGGTCATGGAGGCATTGTTGATAGCATTGGCGATCATGATCCCCAGGGCTGGGCGGGTAAGCGACATTAGGGGCGTCTTGGTACTCCGTACGGAGTACTGGCGTCAATTATGTCAGGGCGGCCAACGCGCGAACCCCGGTATTTTCCAGATCCCGAAAGACAAAGAGGGCTGAAACCAGCGATGGCAGTATCTTCGTGGATCCAGGAACCAGGGCGCGAACCAGAGTTGTTGAAAACTCCGTACTAAAGCCACGCCTAGGACCTTCATGGGATTTATTAGCGATAGCTCCCCAGCTCACCCGGAACCAAGGCATCCAGGGGAAAGATTCGCGAGACTGCGCCTCCCTCTAGGCGCAAAACAGTAAGAGGGGGTTTGGCGGTCAGACGCTAAGCATCTCTCACTCCACGTGTGCCCACGTGGGACCACATGGATTATGCGCACGAAACGAAAAGAAGACGCTTGGAATCACCATGGAAGCCTTGGGAGATTACAATGTACTTTACGGAGTCCTTGATTCTCTCTCATTTTTTTTTTTTTTTGTTTGTTTACTGGTTGCGTAATTTGGAGTCACTCCCAGGGTACTCCGTACTCAACCCCAAAGTATGACTCTTCCACTCGTGATAAATTAATTGCCTATGATGTACGGCATAGATATGGGATTCTTTTGTCTCTCGTCTCAAACGGTACTACAAGCGTCCGTTGGAGGTAGTGTAGTTTCAGAATCATAGCCTATATGCGACAGGCCAGATCTGGATTAGTGACGAAACATTGAGAAAGAAACAGGGAAGTTCTGAGAAAGCGTTTCCCAATTGCCCCACTACTGGACGATCGTAGTGGAAAGTGGAGGGGGTTATCCCGATGGCGACATACGATGTGCGGTGTAGGATGATGTTGATTTTCAAGGTGTTCGGAGTCCTCCGTACTCCGTACTCCGCCAATGGATACATCCAACCTAGGTGCTCCGTATGTTGTGGGTAATCTACATGGAGCCTTCGGCCTCAGCCCGAGCTGGTGTATACAACATAGACAATCACGTTTTTCATCTATATTTCAGTTCGGCGTTTTGGGTGGGCCGATATGGGCACGAAAAGACCCTATGTATCATCAAATTGCCCTAAGCCCTTTGCCACTGGATAAGGTTAAGGAGACTTCCATGGTTGTTCGATTATGATTAGAGTAACAGTAACTCCGTAGATTACCCGAGAATCTCGACATCCAATATCAGTATAACGTTAGATATCGGGATGATCACAAACTGTAGGTCCCACGTGGGCTCAAGCTTTCGGTCACTGCCTGTTCTGGCGGCACACAGCATAATTCATGGGATACCTAGGTAGTATGGATGTCATGGAAGCCTGAAATAGAGTGAAAAGACACCAATCAGGTTGGAGACATTTTAAAGTGAAGATTCAGATCTGAGTTTAGCCGTTATTACTCCGAAGTCCAGGAAGCCAATCCCAATCAGCGGCGCCTAAGACAGGAATACCAAGTGAACAAGGAAACAGCCAGAGTCGATTTCTATAGTAGGAGAAGGTACGGAGGAGGAGGGACCTAACCTAAGATAGGTATGCCTGCTGGGCAGGTATTGCATGTATTACCATTACCGCGGTATCACGATCTGGCGGATCTGTTCGGTCCCCGTTTCCTTGGGACTTGGGTAATAAAAAACTGCAAATCAATGAAATCATCGGAAAAATTGGGGATCCATCCTGAAATCACAGCATCATTGTTTTATTTCCATGGTCGACGATTCTTAAGAACTTTGGAATGACCCAAACTATAATAGACTATCTGCAGATAGGGTTTTAAGATTTATTCACAATCCCAGTGATGTGGTTCCAGCATATACTATACTACAGGAATCTCCATGTAGGGATGCTTGAGACTGTAGATCTCCAGACCCTACACCTGATGTTTCGTACATGTAGACTGGAGGGTATTTGGTACACACTGTTACCGTCGTAGTGCGTAATACCAGACCCCAGAACCCACCGATCTTCATGGCCCACGTTGTTTGGATGCATCAGGCCAAACTCTTTTGGGAATCACGCGTGGGCTGTGGGTCATGGGCTGACAGGCCGAATGGCTGTTCTTCACAAGGGGCATGTTCTATTCCTCTTTTTGTTCTTTTCCTTTCCGTCTTTTTTTTTTCCTTTCCTTTTTCCTTTTTCCTTTTTCCATTCCTTCTGTTTTTTATTTTATTTAAATTATTTTGCCTATCCCGTTGTTCTTCCCCCCTTTAGACCCATTCTACTCCTCCTTTTCTTTTCTATTGAAATTGATTTGAAGAGAAAAATAATAATAGGAAATTATCATAGTCTATAATTTCCTCCCCCTCTCATCCGTTTTCCTTTTTTCCCTTTGAGAGTTAGCCAGTCCACTCTTAATAACTTTTTTTTTTCCTTTTTTCTTTTTTTTTTTAACCAAAAAAAAAAAAATCCCATGTTTTTTTCCGGTATCAGGTGTTTGGCCTAACCCACTTTTTCCCTCTGGTTCAACCCGAAGACTCAAAACCATTCAATGCCAACCCAACCCGGGAGCCACAGCCGAGAAGATTCTCTCCCTTCAGTTCCTGGTTCTGCTTTTGGCGGCTCTATCTCCCGCAATCGTCGCTCTTTTGCTGCCTTAGCTCAAAAGACTTCAAACGCTCTTGCTAGTCTGTCTGGAACAACTACACTACGTTCCTCCACTTCCTATGGTAGTCTATCGAGACATAAGCTCTCAACCCCTGTGACCCCACCATTCCACGCCGACACCTACGAGCAATTGACGGGAACCTCGCGCCCTTCTTCTCCGGCCTTGGTCGACCATCCTCCCCAATCGCTGCTGAAGCGTCGTTTGACTCTACAGCGTATTCCTACACTTCCCCACGAAAACCACCTTTCCCCGCCCGACCCCCCCAAAATGCATCAAACGTCGTCGAGGTTATTGCGCATGACCGAAGATGAGCGCCCCTTCACCAAGGTAGGTCTACAAACTCTAGAGACACAATGGGACAATTGGGCTGATTTGCGCAGGATTTCATGGACTTGTTCTCCACGTTGATGGTCAGCTTGAAGTTGGATTCGCACCGCGTTCGTTTCACCAGATATGACCACACATTTACCTCAGAGGAGGCCATCAACAATTTGGGCTCCCTCAAGTTCTCCCAGTCCAATCGCATGCCTGACCCCAAGGACCCCTCCCGCATCGTCACGACCACCACGACCACCACCTTCTCCATGGCCAAGGAAATGGCCCGATCCGTTTGCCAGCGATTTGTCGATGCGCGTTTCATTGAATCCGTGGACGGCAAGGCGCTTCCAATTTTCCCCCTCAAGGGCGCCCTCTTCCAGCTTACCCCAAAGGGCATTAACATCTTGCAGCGTTTCTGCCAGCGGAACGGCATCACCGCCCGTCACGTGATGGATGTATTGGAGTCGCCTCGCAATACCATGCAGTTGGTCATTCTGGAGCGTGATACGGATTCCGACAAGCTCTCCCATGATCGCGCGACAATCGAGGTGATCTTCCGCCGCTTTGCTGGTCAAGATGGTCCGAACGTGAAGAGCAGCATCTCGACTTCCGATTCGGACTCGCTCAGCGATTACACCAACGGCCTAGTTGGTGTGAAGGTGGCTCGGGAGCGCAAGCTTCTGGATGGAAAGATTTACAGCAACACATTCACTGGAAAGGCATCGGTGGACTGGTTGATGGATTGTTCGACTACTATCGAGCGCCGGGAGACCTGTTTGATCGCGGAGCTGTTCTTGAAGTACGGCCTGATCACGATGATTCAAGACGATAAGCAGTTCCCTGACATTGGGACGAATGCTCATTTCCAGCCTTCCAAGTATGCCATTTACGGTATCACCGAACGTGGACAGCGCGTGTGTGGATGGATTGCGCGCGAAAAGGCACGCGAGGCTGCGACGACGTACGATAGTCGTGGTATGCCCCGTGATTCCAACAATGCCCGATTGACCCACATCCTTCAAGATCCCGCGTTGCGTCTGCTCTTCCGTGAATTCCTTCGCTATTCGCTCTGTGAGGAGAATCTGTCTTTCTACCTCGATGTCTCGGAATTCACTGCCAACTACCACAAGTCCGAAAAGATGGGAACATTCAACAAGGTCGACTCGGTGCGGGAAACTTTGGCTGCCGCATATGGACTATACAATGCCTTCCTAGCTCCCGGCTCTCCCTGCGAGTTGAACATTGATCATGCCCTGCGCAACAGCTTGGCCAGCCGCATGACCAAAGCCGTGGGAGACGATGACTCCATGTTCAAAAGTCTTCAAGAAGTGGTGCATCTGTTTGAGCTTGCTCAAACATCTGTGTTTAAGCTGATGTCAAGCGATTCGGTCCCAAAGTTCCTGCGCGATCCCAAGTACTCCGTTGTCCTACAAGAACACGATGTGGACATCCTGGGAGGACCACGTTCATACTCGCCCACACCAATCGGCCCGCCTTCAATCCCAGAGCGCAGCATGAGCCGTTCGACTCGCGCCTGACAACCACCGCCCACAAGCATTGACATAGCCCGCAACCCATTTGAAGACGAGTCGTACCACTGCGATTCCGACTCCTCATGAGCCTCACTTCGGTGCATACAGCTGCCCGATCCAATTCAACACCCGCAGTCCGGTATTTGACCTTTCTTCCCTAAGACACAGATCGAAATCCCACACACCCTGCGACACCCGCACTCTCATGCTTGTGGACCCAATTACGGAAACCCTCGCCCCCTCGTATAAACCCCGAGGCGGGACATAAAATATCCGGTCGACCTTGAGACCCGATTTCATCAATCTCGTCACGATCTACTCCGACCACGAAGTTCTTTACTCTCCGCATGCAGTCCAGCTCAGTCCTGGCTGCCATTTCCATTTTCCCTTTTTTCTTTTAATCACCTCGTCACGAGATTCCCCCACTCCAAACGAAAGACGTTATGATCGATGGCTCATGTTATAGAGAAGGCCGGAACTGGAAAATATTTGTAATATTCGGATGGCATTGCTTCTTTTTTTCCCTTTCCTATTCAGCTTTCCTCGCATTTCCCTTTTTCTCTCTCTCTTTGATCCTCTAGATCGGGAGAGTCTCAGAAGGAAGACTCAGAAGAAACAGAACAAAAAAAAAACACAAAAACACAAAAATGATTGGAGGCTTGTTTCTTTATTCTCCTGAGCATCAGACCCGGCGTTTCTTGCATGTCTCTCCTATTTTCTTTTTCCTATCTCTCTTCTTATACAACCCTTCTGCATTTCTTTTGATTACTTTTCATCTGAGCATGTCATACGATTTCATATCTCCTTTTTTTTTACTCTTTTCCATCTCATGTGACTCTGTTTACTTAAGTCCCCTGCATCTTTCTACCCGGGCACAGCGAGTGAGTTCTGGTCTGCTTGTGTATGTCATATTATTTACTTTGGGAATTGCAATGGACACGATCTTGTATTCTCATCTCTTTCCAGTAGATGGTCCAGTGTAAACAAATATAGTACTCTGATACCAGGATACCAGATGACCTTATCCAAAGTGTACGTGTGGTCTATAACCCGACTACATAGCGCTCGAATGCCACGAATACACCAGGTTACAGATTGAAATCTCATAGATTTTGAGTATCAAGACCATAAATACACAGAACAAGATGGGAACCAAAAAAAAGAAAGAAAGACCACAACGCCTAGAACCACGCCTTGAATGCCAACTGGTCATCATGTTCTTGGAGAGGGTATTGAGAGAGATACAAGACAGGATAACAGGGGACAGGGAAGTCTACTTAGCACCCCAACCACGAAGTTTCATACCCTCCTCAATAGCCGTCCAGATACCCTCAACGACCTCACGATCCCGCCAGCGTCCACCACCATGAACACCGTTCTTCTCATCCCAGCGCTCAACAGCAAAGTTCGCAACGCCCCGACCCCAGCCCTTCACTTGGCCGGGGACATCCTCGCCTCGCCAGCCGATGTAGACACCGGTGGCGTGCTTGAACAGCTCCGGCGGCGAAGACCACTTGTACGACTTGAACTGCCAGGTCTGGCCGGTCGTGAAGACGGCGACGAGCCGGTTCCAGTACTCGGGCTTGAAGTTGGTCGTGCCGTCGACGACGATGAACTTGGTTGGGCGGGTGGATTTGCCACCGGTGCGGGAGCCGCTTGCGCTTGCGCTGGGGTTGGATGGGTCGCCGTTGATGCGGAGTGGTCGCTCCAGCTTCACGAGGTTGGCGTCTGTGGTGCTGGAGAGGGTGGGGTGGTCCGGGGGTACGAAGATACCCTGTTCGAGGAAGGATTTGACGTTCGACATGCGGATGAGGGATGAGGCGGAGGGCGAGATCAGGATGATTGGGTCGGGGCGGGAGTGCGAGCTGGACTTGCGGGATGATGGCATCGAGAGTCCGGCTGATGGAGCTGGGACCTTGGTGCCGGGTTTGGCGCTTGGTTGGCCAGGGCGATTGCGGTTGCGGTCAAGGAATATTTCAGCACTCTTGCGGACGTGTGAGAAGTCCTGGTGAGGGGGGGTTTGGGTTAGCTTGCTGCTGTGCTGTCGCGTCTTGGCTCTAGACTCACTGTTGGCTTGATTCCACGAAGCACTGTGTTGCGGTCACCGGTCTTGCGCTCTCCGTTGTAGATCTCCTGCAGTCGAGGATCGATCTGCTTCTGTGGACGCCCGGCTTGAGCTCCAGGCGGTGCGGCTCCTACGGTACCACTGGGGACGGCTGCGACACCGCCAGTCGCACCAGCGGCGATTCCGGCTGCATTCTCAGCCTGCGCAACACCTGCGGCCGCACTGGCGGCCTCGGCAGCGGCGGCAGCACCCTCGAGGGGTTTGATGTGTTCGCTGTCGTCAGAGGCGCCCTCCAACCAGGTGAAAAGGTCGAGACGTTCGAGGAAGATCAGAATCTGAACACTCTCTTCCTTACCACCCTCCGGTGTCTGCTGTTTCAATGCCTCATTGAACTCCTGCGCCTTAGCAATATACTCGGGAATGGCGACATCTTTGTTCTGCCAGGCGAAAAGGATACTGCGCAGGTCAACGGGGGACTTTGTCGACGTGGAGATAAATCGTGTTAAAGTCGACAAAGCGATTGTCTGAGGGGTTGGCTGAGTGAAATAAAGATGTGTGGCTTTGGCTAGGTCATCTGTGGCAGGTTTATCTGAGAGCTCGGATGAGGTCGTCGGCGTTGGGAGGTTGCCAGAGGCAATCGCACGTCGGAGCGACAGAAGAGGATCTTGAAGTGCGGCATCGGTCGCCATTGTTTCAGATAGGGCAGTGGCCCTGGTTGCAGCAGTAATTGTAAGAAGAGCGTTGTCGGGGCTGGGATTGAAGAACGCGCATTCGGAGTCGAAGCTCCGCAGATGTATTGCTGCACGTGACGCGGTCTTGTCCATACATTGAACTTTTTGTTCTTCGTAGAAAAAGAGATGATGAATATTTATTTTCCGAGATGAATAGCTGCTATTGACTACTATTCATGCTATTCAATGCTTCGATGTTCCACCAACCACCACTGCCTAATCCCTGCTCGTCTTCTCGTGTTGTGAAGATCAACCAAGACCTCTCCGTGCAGGGCTGATATAACGCCACATCCAGCTCCAAGCGCCAAAAAAGGCCGTGATGCCAGTGAAAACAATCAGCGTCCCGTACTTGGTTCCATAGCCAGTACTGCCATTCGGGCCACTTGAATCCCCCAACGACCCTGAATGAAGCAGCACGGTGCTCAGCGGCCCACTGATCACATTCCCAATTCCTCGGCCACCAGCAAGAAGACCAAAGACTAATCCTGTGTCCAAGGAAGGCGATGAGTCCCGCTTTATCTGAGTAATGACCCCAGACCAGGTGGAGCTGAAGCCACCCGCAAAGAAGCCGTATGTAATGGAGAAGACAGTAAGAAGAGCAATGGCTGTCTGCGAATCTGACCCTGAGCTCGACGATGATGACATGCCCCAGAACAGGAATACTGATAACCCCGAGCCAACCGAGGACAGTAGCATGATATTAGTGACAGAAAAGCGGTCACAGAGGGTTCCAAGAGCTATCCCACCAAAAACAGATGTTGCGTTGAATAGTGACACCAGCATTGTTCCGGTATTCTGGGAGAGCCCGATAGTATGTGTTGAATAGGAAGGAAGAAACGTTGTTGGCAGGAAGTATCCAAAACTCTGGATGATATTCCCAGCCTGTAGCATCCAGAATGTGGCTTGTTTGAGGAAACTCAAGTCCAAGCGACGGGCTGCAGCTGATGAAGATACGGGGATGCGTGGCTTCATGTAGGGCAAGGCCGCAAGGGTGGTTAGCAACTAAGTAAATGATTCAAATGCTCGTTAGTATAGCTCGAAGGTGTGAAAGACATTGATAATCCAACTCGGTCACCACCTCGGGACATAACATCCTATATCTGAATCGGTTCATGAAACACCAACGAGAAAGTGATTCATACCGTAGTAACTGTCCAAGCTCTGAGTGTAGTACTAGAGCCATACTTATTCAAACAAGCACTGGCAATGAAAGGCAAAGCAACACCAGTGATGCTCTTTGCTGCCCACATCGTTCCAATCGCAAGGCCTTTCCGACGCAAGAACCACTGGTCAAGGTATAAAGAAGAAGGGCTGAACAAGAGCCCATTACCAATGGCACATATGACACCTTGAGTGGCGATCAAATGCCACACCTGTACTGAAAATGATGATAGCAGGGACCCTATCACTGTGATGACCAGGCCTATGGGTGCACAGTAGTATTGTAGACGTGGGTACCGGGTCAGAAGTGTGAAAGTCACAGGCGAGAGCAGATACAGAAGTCCCTGCAAGACATTAGAACAGATTAACATCCGCATCATCTACGGGTTGCATACAGTGGAGGTAGTTCCAACAGTTGCTAGATCGCCTTTGCTTCCTTGTAAGACGTTTTGTGTTGAGTAGTACTCTTGGAAGACACCAAAGACAGTGGAGAATCCTAGATGCTGGTTATTATTTATGGGCTGTAAGTTCCGTTTGATCACAACAGACCCCAGACTGGTATTTGGATCAAACAACATGAAGCCAACATCATCCATGCAGCTTTGCCTTCATCTGGTGGAGGAAGAGCGGGCTGCTCGATTTCAGGGACCTCATCTGTAGACCCGCGAGGATGAATCTCGCTCAGCGTGAGGTTTTCGTGATCAGAATTATTCATCGTGTGATAGCCTCAACCGAAATGAACCTGAAGTATAGAAACGAAGATGATCGCGAGAAGACACGCGGGGTTGAGGATTTCCCCCTCGTCTTGACTCATCTTGACCCTTTGGACTCGAGGCCTACAGCCAATCAGTTAGCCTATACTGCCTGCATTAAGATACTCACTACATCGGGAGAATATCCATGTTTGGGTATGCATTCGAGCGAGAGACTTCGACAACTTGATGGCCTTGTTCTTATATTAGGGCCAGGGAGATGAGGAAGACGAAACATTGAAAGGTACGTCGCTAGTGTACAGCGCCATCGCTTCCCCCAGTATAGTCAATTGAGGGAGGACTATTCACGACAGGCAGATAGTCTATAAACACATCTAGACATGCATCTACATCGATGTCGCAGTCTTTGATCAGCCAGTGCGTTCGAACCTAGGACAACTCGAGAGCAAAAAGGGAAAGGAAAGGGAGATTTAACAAGAAAAGGTAACAGTGTTCATACAAGCTATCTAGCCCCATCCCAGGGGGGCTGGCCATACATATCGAAAGAGTAATCTGACCCCGTCTCAAAAGAGGGCGGCCATACATGTCCAAAACCTTGACATATCGTGAAGAATCAAGTGCTGCAACTCAGACAGACACAATCTCAAAGACCCTGACCCAACCGATGGTATTTCCCATAACCAAGAACCAATCCCAAACCACACCATACGCCATCCGGAGTCCGAAAGTCGGATGAGAAAAGAAAGAAAAATAGATGAAACACATAATCCCGAACGCCTGTGCCCGCCTTGCTGTAAGGTATCAAAATGAAGTCACACGAGAAACGAAATTTTGGGTCGTAAGAAACGTTAAATCCACGGCGGAATTCTCCTTTTGTCACAGACCCACCATGATTACCACGCGAAGAGTCGTATCATGAAGAGATAGACTGTTTGTTGGTGGGTTGTGACTCGGATGCATCTTCCATAGGAACATCCATCGGAACATCCGGAGGTGCATCCATCATAGAAACATCTGGAGATCCAGAAGACTCGTTCTTGTCACCTTGAGCTTCGGTTTTGGGGTGAGGAGGTTCATGCTTGTCACCGAAAACAGTTGTGATTGCAAGAAAATGCTGGGCGTGGAGAGAACCCGGGCTAGAAGTCGGGGTAGGAGCCGGAGCCGGAGACCTTTCCGAAGTTGGGGTGCTCGCCATGGTTCCACGTCGAATCAGATAATCACCAAGACTGAGTTTCTTCTTGGCAGGGGTGGATACTAGTGCAGGCCCAGAAGGTGGCACAAGTGGAAGTGGAGAAGTCGCGTCATGGGAACTGGGCGATGCTAACCCGCCTGTCGCCGTGGATCTGGGACTAAGGGCCGACGGTATATGAGGTGGTGGCATGGAAAATTGCACATTCCCACGGTTGTCAGCAACAAGGACCCTGAAGCTATGAGCGGCAATAGATGGCCAATAAGGAGTACCCGCCGGCTTACGCGGATCGCTGCTAGGCGCAGAGAAGGATGGCTTGTCCAAGACCGCGCTCCGGGTATCAACATCGCCCTGAACAGATCGCCCTGGAGGGTCATAAGGAATACCGAGTATTGGCATCTTCTTGCGATACTTGTATGGAGACTGTGGGTACTTGGACTGATGGAAAGACCACCTAGGAGGCATCGCAAGAGGGCCATGATCACGGGGTATTCCCATTCTATCCGCATCTTCTGGAAGCAAATCGATATGGGATCTGTCATCAGTGGCTTCCGGGTAGTAGATGCACCACCAGGGGATGACTCCAGACGGGATTACACTGTGGTCACCGGCTTCCCACGCCGCTCGCTGAGCCCAATCCTCCCTGGAATGATTTCCCGCGGAGAAACGCGCCACCTTCATGACTGTATCATGTAGAATATCAAGTTCATATCCTCGTTTCGAATGCTCCGCACGCAAAAAAGCGCGTTCCACGTCACCGGCATAAACTTGGGTTTGTACATCAACATAAGGGGCACGGTGTTGAGACGATCGCTCTGCGGTGCGAAGGAGTCGGGATGGAACAGACTCGTGGTAGGGTTTGCAGTTCTTTGCAGTGTGCGTTGAGCTCGAGACTGCCGCAGCAGTAGACCGTGAAAGACCGCTGGTGCGCTTTCTCCTTTTGGGGTTGACGGGCCCTAGGGCCATTTGTTCAAACTGCTTTTCGGCATTGGCTATCTTGCGTCTTTCACGACTGGAGAGCTCGGGCAGTATTTGTTGATGTGTCGTGGGGCTGATATCGCGACTACCAGTATGTCTACCGCGCGTGGAACCGGAATTTGATCTGGTGTCAAGGGCGGAGTCATGTTCATCGGGATGTTTCATCGTCTCGCTGTCGGCGCGACTGATATCGACCTGGGATTTGGTCCGCCTGGGTTTGCCCTTCACTTTCGACTTGACACGTTTCTGGCCAGGAAGAAGTTTGGACCGGCGATCAAGCTTGCTCACAGCGCAAGTTTGGGAATGACCGCACGCACAACCACCAAAGATCGCCAGTGCATTGCTAATATATATAGCAGCATCATTTGGATCTACCACCCTGTCCTTGGTCTGCTCCAACGTGTTTTCGGGAAAGAGATTTTCATCAAAATGCCACATGAAGGTAATTTCCGAGTTTGCCGAAATGTCATCTTTCGCAACAAAACAAAAATGGTACTCGCGACCGTTGGTGATGTAAATTTTGAATAAAACGTTCGCATCGCATGAGCGCCTGATGTGGCGGAGCTCATTCCCTTCCTGGCGACTGTCGATATACAGGTCCAGCTGTCGGTTGAAGTACACGAAGGGCATGGCATGCCTCAATTCTTCCCATCGGTTACTTTCGACCTTCTTGTAGTCCTTGACGTGGCCCAGTTTGCCAAAAATTTCGCCGACAATATCGCCCTTCCGTATTGGATCTTGTGTTTTCAAGATCTTGTGGACGGGAATTTTACCATCAATCTCAACGCTCGAGGCAGGGATGGTTTCAACGGCCAGGGAGGGCCAGCGAGACTGATCCATAGCCGCTTCGGACCGTTTGGCAAAGTCTTCGGCACTGAGTCCATCACTGACTTTCGCTAATATTTGTGGATCCTTCAGCCATGCAACGATTTCATTGAGAAAATCGACGCCGTAGTTGAGGATACTCTTGGATTCCACAAAAAGATCTTCGCGATCATAAAGAGAGGAGGAATTCGTCTGAGAATTGGGGGATAGAGGGAGAGGTGTTCGTTGGACTCATTGCCACCGAAGTGGAGGATCGACGATTTCGCGATTCAGCCAAGGAACCCGAGGGACCCGAAACACCACTTATTGACGTTGATGGACGGCGAGACGCCTTCTGTTTCTTAACCGGTGGCGCCTCACGAGCACCCGAATCATGTCGCCCAAGACTGTACTCATTCACCTCGGGATCCTTGGACTTTCTCTTATGGGATTTAGCACCGGATCGTTTTGTTCTTCGGTCCCCGTCCTCGCTTTTTTCTCTGATCCGCCGCTGCCGTTGGCGTTCATGGGCACGACGATTGTCAAGGGGCCGTGGCTCGCAGTCGACACAGTTGTGCACATCTGGTACTCTCTTATCGGGATAGTAACAGAGGATGTGCTGCCATGTCTCGCACCCTTCGCAAAAGACCGTGTTACCATCATCTTCCTCGAACGAGCAAATGCATTTGATGGTGTAAGGTTCTTCATCGGGTGCGCCGGAGTCAGAGGCGGCGCCGTCGACGGCGGCAGGCGAGCCGCGATGGGCGTGGACCGGATAGGAATCCGTTGTGGCGTGCGTGATGGCGAGGGAGGAGGTATCTGTCATAGCCGACAGATAACCCCCTCTCAGGCGAAGACAAAATGATGTTTTCTTGACAGAGGCGTAGCCTGTCAGTGTTCAAATCGCATATCACTTTTTCCCGTGGTCGTGAAAGTTGTCAATCCGGTCTAGGTGGACAGTGGACGCGTTGGAACGTTGAAGACGGTGCGATCACAAGAGGGAAGCGAAAGGGGGAGAGTCGTAGAGTCGAGTATCGATAATATGGAAGAGGTTGGCGCGAATGATAAATGAGAGAAGGGGAGGGAATAAAGGAAGAAGAGCGCGAAGGGAGGAAGGGTAGGGGAAAGGAGAGGAAAAAGAGAAGAGTAAGTTGAGGGACTGGAAACAGAGGAAGGAGGAGGCTACGAAGGCCTAAGGCAGAGAATGGGACGTCCGGGTAGCGAGAGAGACCAAGTGTGTGGGTGAAAAGGGATTAGCGTGGGTTTGAAACTCAAGGCAGAAAGCCAGAGGCCTTCGAGGAGAAGGGGGAGGGGGAAGGCACGACCCGGAAACAACCATATTATTTCCCAGGGCTCCGAATCCTTTCTCTTTTTTTTCGATCTCATTGCAGAGAGATGGCCAGTTTGTGATTACCGGTATGGTAACTTGGTAATCTGCAAAACCGACTGTTCACAGTAAGCATGGAATACACTAGCCCCATTTGGGACTAGTGTGGTCCAATGCAGCGGGGAAGTCACGGGAATGTCATGGTGAGAGCCTAGGGCATCCATACCTACCTAAGGTAGTCCAGGTGGGAGGGTTAGCATCTAGATGGATGAGTAGATAAACTGGTATGCAACATCAAGCATAGTAGATTCCAATCTCAAATGGATCATACGGGCAGTACAGAGTACTTTCTGGCCCTTCCACTTCGGCTATAACAAAGCCAGGCATGTGGTTCAGGTTCATGCAGAAAAGCGAGATATCACCCACTGCAAGTGAGCAGCACCCACGATCCCTCAAAAGCTGGATAGGTTTGGCAGACTCTTGAGGGGGCTGTCCAACGGTCCTTTGAGCCTTTGGGGGCGAGGATTGTCTGGAGAAGCACAAAGACATTCCCACAGAACCAGGTTGGGGGAAAAAATCCCTGAAAATGCAAGGGAGGAAAAAAGAGGATGTGGCTTGCCTACGGAAATATCAGATGTTCAAATGAGCCGGATATCAGAAGGGGAAAGGATGAGGCATCCAGGAAGTATAGAGTAATGAGGAAGTATGAGGAAGCATATAGAAGTAACATGGGGAAAAACGGGTAACAGAAATGCTTGGGAAAGAGATCGGCCGAAGGCGATGGAGAGCGTGATGTGGGTTCAAAGAGGGGCAGGGTCATCTGGTCTTAGAGGGTTTCACGTAGACCTATAGAAAGTGAAGGTTAGGCATATGAAACCCCAAGTCAGATTTTCAGAGAAAGAAAAGTGTGGAAGTGGAAGGTCAAGTTCCGACCTAAGCGGTAAAAGGGGGGAAAGGCGTGTAGGATTTCCGATTTGATTTGTTGCCATTTGCCACTACAAAGGGGGAAAATCAAAGTGTGCCAGGAACAGGGCTAATCCATTTGTCCGTCGATCCATAGGTCAGTCGGTGTATAATATTGAAAGATACTGTACGAGCCATATCGAAAAGTTCGCCTAATGAGATACATGTACGGAGTACTCCGTAGGGAGTACAACATAGGAGATATTCACAGGTAGACAATGTCTCTGTTCGGGGGTCTCTTCCCACTATGCCCACATCATATTTAGGTATCTATTCCGTATTTAGGCACCTAATACGGAATAACGTGATCATACCATGTCAGCTGGTCCGTTCTGCCAAGACGGAGAATTGGGTCTTTTCACTTGGCCGAATACGCCCTACAGACTATATAGCAAACACACTGAATGCGGTCCGAAATATTAAAGGAATAAACATCAAATGAACGACAATCTATCTTTAATGATAATAAACATCCAATAGTGCCGAGTCGCAGGACATGCCAATTCCACCTCTATCCTCTGTACCCGGAGTGCATCGGCATTGTGCTTCGTATCTTGCAAGGATCATTCTCCACCGGCTTCTAACACTCAAGCCTCTCCGAACATGGTCTGACTGAGTCGCAGCTCAAACGCTCCAGAGTTCTCCGGGATTGCATCGAGCTTTGCCCGGTGTAAGTGAGCTTTCTGTGTCTGTGGGTCTCTCGGTCCTTCGCGGTCCTCATATCTGCTTCCACCCATATCAATCGGCCTTTCGACTTCGACAACGGGTACAAAGTCTCGGAAACGATGAACAAAGAACAGGAGACCAAATACAACGATATTGATGTACGAAATGACCAGTCGGGCACCCCGAGACCCAGTCAGATTTCCCTTGGGCCCTGCCCACAACCCGCCGCCCAGCAGCAGTAAGGCACTCAAGAACATCCCGAAATAGGTACCAAAGGGTTGCAAAGAGAAACTATGACGCCTTGGAATTCGGTTGGTGCTGAGTCGTTGATTGAAGTGACGATAAATGGTGCATGACACAAGTGAGGAAATAAAGCCGGCGCTCGTCACAAGCCGAAGGAGGTAGGTATTGGTGGTTGAGCTCGACACTTTCACAGAAATGAAGGTGAGACCAGAGAATAAAGCGGACGTTAGAACAGCCACATAAGGCACATCCCAACGGTTGCGGATGGAAAATACCGAGGGCGCATGCCCGAGTTCCGACATTGCACACAATGCGCGCGAAGAGAGATACAAGAATGAACGTCCAGATGCCACCGAGGAAAGAAGGATGGCAACCGTCGCGATTGTAGGTATAATCTGAATATTTGCATTCTTGAGTCCGATCACATAGGGAGAAAACCCGGAGCCTGTTCCATTATTCGTCAGACGCGAGTCATCGAAAGGAGCCATGACGGTCATGGCCAAGGAGCTCATGATATACGGGATTGCCGTTAGGGCAACGTCAGCCGTGACTCTACCTGGGATCGCGGTGCTCAAAAGTGCTGTTTCGCCAAGTGGTACCGGCATCTCAGCTTGGTGCACGATCAGCTCGGGAGCAAACGTGAAAGCAATGGAGCCATCAAGAAGGCATTGAAAGAAACCCAAAACTCTTCCCCAGAGACCGTGAGCTATGTACTCATTCATGGCACCCGGGTCTTTCCAATATTTGAATGCCCATGGGGGCTGATCATCCACGCCACCAAGGCCCAGAGCCAGAGAAATCACGAAGAGAGTCGCCATTGTACCGATCTTGATCCAAGTGAAAAATCGCTCGGAGCTTTTGAAGAGCCTCTCTGGTAGAAAGTTGCATCCCACAACGATGAAAATGATGATAGCCAATCTGATCGCGACCATCGCGCCTGGTTTCCACAGGCCAAGGTTGACCATCGCCGTTGTGATCTCGTATGGAACAAACAAGGCCAGGGTATACCAGCGGAGGTATGCCGAAGCAAATGCTAGGCTGCTTGACATGTACAGGTAGCCATTAGTGACAAGTGTCCCATGTTGCGAGGGCATGTGAATAGATACTTCGGCGACGCTCGTGGTCATGGCAAATGTGAGGAAGGATAGGAGTATATACGAAATGAGCAGCGAGGCAGGTCCGCCGACCGCGAGAGCCTGGCCGGCGCTGATAAACAAGCCGGTGCCAATGGTCGGACCGAGAGCCATAGCGGGCTAACAATGAATATAGATAATGAATAGGTGATGGATTTGAAAGGTCCAGTGTGGTTCAACTCGAGAGCTAAGTTATCCAAGAGTCGACCTACGGCATCTCCAAACATCGCTCTTTCCTCGAGTATGATTGAGAGAGTGCGATTCAAAATTATTAATGTTCGAGTCAACTAATTAGTCGCAGCGATACTATCAAGTGAACACAGGACGATGCAAATCAAATATAAAGGGTATCATTGACTGAGAAGGAAATAAATAGGATGGTGGCTGAGTAAGAAGACGAGAGACAGTGAGGGCTGGACATCCACGGGTATTTCTGGTATCCCCAATGATGATGACTTGCCCACCCATCATGCCAATTGAGTGCTTTGAAAATACTGGAATCACTGAGAAGCCAAGTCTGTTTCAGCGAACTCAAGCCATTCCCCAGATAAAGATCTCTTCCAAAACCGAACTGTTCCATCGTCCCCAGAGGAAATTAACGAGTCACCTAGTAGTGGATTAGTACAAAGACAGGGATTTGGCAACCAAAATAACCGAACAGAACTATAAATACTCACCAGAGAACGAGAATTGGACTTGCCATACATCGAGGTGCTTGGTGTCAATACAAGCTACTTGCTTGAACGAATGCCGAAATTGTGAATCCCCATTGGCTTGACGATCAGTCACTGAGACAGGCACACGGCTTGCTAGAGCAGAGCCAATTCCGGACTGCGATGTTGCCCGGAGGGACGGTGATTGCGACTGGGATTGACTGCGACGATCGCCCTTCCGGCTGTTGGTGCTTTGTGGTGCTTGGCCAGCCGGCATTGTGTACACTTCAAAGATGCGAACCAATCCGTCCTTGCCACCACTCGCAATAAGATCGTAGCCACGCACAGAGCCATTCGCCCAAGAAATGTCTCGCACAAGCCCACTGTGTCCATTTAGTTCAATGGCATGGTAAAATCGCCGGTTTGCGTCAGTACGATAAATCTTGACAGTGTCCATGGCAGCCACGATTAGCGATAGACTCTTTCGATCAGAGTCTGGTAAGATGGTGTGGGTGATATCGGTAGGATCATGATGGAACTGAACTTTGAAACTCGTTTCCTCCCCACGTTCGGGGGCGGTGCACACTCGGAACTGGTCAACAGCTTGCCAGTCTGCAAGGCTATCAGGGCTAACGGGCTCCATGACCATGAGGTAGCCATCCCGGGTGATCACCGCCAGCCATGACTCGAGGTCAATATTACGAAAGTCAAGTGATACAAATGGATGTCTCTGGGGTGCAGTCATGCGAAAGATTGACCTGAAACGTCGCCCCGAGTTTGGTGGCTGGGTCACATCTTCTTGCCAGATTTTTAATTTCATGTCTTCTCCGACACTGCCTATATGTTGGCCTGTGAAAGGCCCGTTCCATGTTGCCTGTGACTGTAGTTTAGCAAGTGAACCACAACGGTGCTATTTGAGTGACGCCCTTGGCTTGCTTGGAGTACGTACATCGCGAATCTCAGCATCGTGAGCGCGCCATGTGTCTATAAGCTGCCATTGGCCATCCTTGAGATCCCAAACTTTCATGCGGTGATCAGACGAAGCTGTGACAATACGGTTGCCATAGAAGTTAAATCTAGTGACCGTGACCAGATCCCGATGGCCAGCATCGAAGTCGGCGAATCCGGCCGTGATCTCGGGGCGCTCCACTGCCCCCATCAGGACTGCCTGAACAATGAAATTGACGAATTAGACAGCTGAGCCAATAACGATTTGGATTTCATGCATCTGCACGTATGAGGTATGAAACAAGTGGTGGACGTCGCCTTACCTTTCTTGGTCGCAGGCATCACGGGATACTCTCACCGCTAAATTTAGCGGTCAGATAACTCGGGCAGAACACGATAGGCTTATCAAGTATTTTGAGAATGAAGACAGATTGCGCGTCGCCGGTGACTTCATTTCTTATTGCATAGGTCAGTTCCTTGTGGATCTCTCTTCGCAGCAGACAGACGCAGCTCCTGTTGTCTCGATTGTTTGCTCGTCATGCATAACCCAAGCACCCTCTCCCGTACGGAGACTTGGCGTCTACTAGCTCTTGTCGGGGCCGGTTTAGCGATCCTCAACACCACATTCCAGGGTGACGGGGCGCCTCTAGTCGCTTCAATTGCGCTATGTGGTATAGTATTTGCAGTGGCTTTTAGTCTGATTAGATGGCTCGGACCTGTGTTTTTGAAGGCGGGGTTAAAGGGCAAAGATATGGCAAAGCCCAGTCGGCCCGAAATGTATGTATATAGCTCTTGAGTGCGCGATTTTGATGTGTACTGACATTTACATCCAGACCTGAAACAATGGGTGCAGTATGCGCAGTGGTGTATCTGATGTCGCTCATTATGTTCATCCCATTTGCCTTCTACAAGGACATCGTGGCAGCCACATCTGGCGGCGGAAACCGTGATGTTGTGATCGAGTCGCAACATATTGAGAGCGGCCGATTTTTGCACCGGTTTCCGCATGGAAAGGTTGGTCTTGACTTAACAACCATTCCTATCCGACCTCGTGTTGATATTGACTTCCATAGCTCGCCTCTTACCTTTCTGGTCTTTTGTCTTTGCAATCCGTCGTGATTCTGGGAATCGGCGATGACTTGTTCGATATTCGTTGGAGACACAAAGTTCTGATCCCTGCTTTGTCCGCAATTCCTATGCTCATTGTGTATTTTGTTGACTTCGGCGTCACGCAAGTCGTCGTTCCCGTGCCCCTGCAGCCTTACCTGGGTGACATTGTCGACCTTGGATGGCTGTACTACATGTACATGGCAGCGGTTGCAATTTTCTGTCCAAATGCAATCAATATGCTGGCAGGCATCAACGGTATTGAGGTCGCTCAATCACTCGTGATTGCGTTCCAATTGCTATTCAATGATGCGATGTACCTTGCACCTATCACGCCATACCCGCACCCTGCTACCGACTCACATTTGTTATCGATCTACTTCCTGCTTCCATTTATCGGTGTATCAGCGGCTCTTCTATATCATAACTGGTATCCATCAAAAGTCTTCGTGGGCGATACCTATTGCTATTTCGCGGGAATGGTCTTTGCTGTGGTTGGTATTCTAGGACATTTCAGCAAAACACTGCTGCTACTGTTCATTCCCCAGATTTTCAACTTCCTGTACTCCACTCCTCAGCTGTTCAAACTGATCCCTTGTCCTCGTCACCGATTGCCCAAGTTCAGCGCCTCTACTGGGTTATTGGATGCCTCTGTCACGGAGTGGACGAACCCCCCATCCCCTCTGATCGATGCTGCACTACGCTTGTTACATACTCTGAGACTTGTGCGGATCACTGAAGATGAAAATGGTCGGATCACTGAGTCGACTAATCTGACTATTCTGAATCTTTGGTTAGTTTGGATGGGTCCAATGCGAGAAAACCAACTTGCGTGGCACATGGTTGCAGTACAAACTGTTTGTGGGATGCTCGGTCTATTCGTGCGACATCGCCTTGCGTTACTCGTGTTTCACCACGATAACAGGGAGTTTGGTTTCATCGCATAGCTTCAAAAGTGCTAACTGAGGCGTCATGAGATCTTTGGGCACTGCCTTACTATAGAATTATTATTTATTTGATGTATATATTTTTGACACGGACAAGGAGGTACATATACCCCAGCATTCGCAAACTAAAGGGTTTCTAACCCTTGCGCAAACCATTGAAGTATCTATGCTGGGCCTGGGGCCTCGTGCACGCCATGAGTCTCTCTGGCGACCTTTTTATCCCCAAAGGCTTCTCCAATCTCCTTGACAATGAGCCAGGCAGGGTATATTGCGATGGCCCACATGCCAAAATTGAGATATACACTACCCACTGCGGCCATGACGTTCACGCTGCTGAGACCGTACTAGAGACTCTCAATTAGTACTTGGACTACACAAAATATGAGACCCCTGGAAATGTACTCACGCTGACACATTGAGCAGCCGACTCAGTACCACGCAACAGGCCTGAAATCCGTACAACTTCCTCATGATCGTCTGCAAGGTTGCCCACCAAGAAAAATCTGACCGATTAGCATCCTTTCGACCAGACCGTCACTCTTCAGTTTCGACTCACAGATACATATAGTTGAGCTGGAACCCAGCAACCCAGAACAAGAAGAGGGTAAACCCTCTTCCAAAATTTGGATCAGTCCAGTCATATACGGGGTGGGTCTCGTGGAATTCAGTAGTCACGACCGAAGCCCAGACCCAGCACATGCCTTGCCATGCAACCACGAAGAAGAATGCATAGCGAGTTCTTCGCTTCAGAGAGATCCGCTTATTGTCCAAAAAGGCTCCTAGGACATTGCCGATGATCAAAGCGATCACACCGGAAAGGAATGAACCCAGAGCTCTAGCTCGCACTGAGAACCACAAGCCTTGATACGAAAACATCACAGCCTCGGTGTAGACAGCCTGGCAGATAAATGGAACAATCAACAAAAACTTGCGATTGATCCACAGTTTCACCATGCGTTTCATCTCATAAACGACACCGTTCGTCACATGCAGTTTGACTGCGATTCCATCCTTCCGCTGTACTTGAGATGGGTTGCTCAAAAGCAGACCAGCAAAAGGAGCAAGAGCCTGCAAGGTAATGAAAACGATGTACACAGTATACGAGACTGCGCCCGAGGTCGACCGATTGGAATTAATGCCCAGACTGATGACACCGCCGAGGATTTGTCCTCCGACCCGGAAGCCGAGCCAGAATCCCAAGAAACGTCCTTGGTTGTATGGCTCGGGATACGAAAGCGCAATAGCAGCTTCAGCCATCCAAAAGATGCCCGCTGAGATACCACAAAGTGCAGCGCCCAGGAGTACCAGCCATTCCTGGCCATATCGGTTGTTCAAGTATAGACCGGCTGCGTATGGTGCGAATCCCATTGTTCCGACGATGAGAGTCCATTTGATCCCGATAAATCGCACGATGACACTGCTAAAGAAGCATGAAACTACCATGAGACCGAAAGTCAAGGCGTTCGCTGCGTTGACGAGGTATGGTTCTTGTGCGCCTCCTCCGCCTAGAGAGTTCATCGCACCCCAAATGCCGGGGGCGAGGAAGTTGCAAATACCGAGAATGAGGGCATTGAAAAACGTCGAGCGATACCACTTGACTGTGAGAGAATGGTTAGTCTCCTCGGCTTCGATGAGAATGTCCCAAGCTCACCTTTGTGAGGCCCATCAATCGGGGAGTGGGATGAACCACTGTCCACCTCCGTATCGCTCGGCGCGGAATCCTTTTCAGAGCCGGTCATGATGAACTAGAATTAGTACCTGAGCTGTGTTAGTATTTTAGCAGGCGCTTCGGCAGTTTATAACAAGCGTGCTCGCGTGAAAGATCCATTCTATACCCCATATCAACATCTGTCGGCATTTCTATCCTAAGCGATCTATGGCGCGCTATGTCAACATCAGGAAGGTGCTTTGGTTTGTGAATCCTTGTCAGATATTCTTCTAGCTCTCGATTCGATGAGCATTGTCATTCAAGCAATGTTGTGGTTCTTTGGTGGGATTACGTGCTCGCACGAGGCGTGCAGGAGGCACCCGAATCCCTGTAGCAGCCCAGGAGTAGAAAACGGTTAGGATTATCAGATCTAGGGCACAAGACGCTTGGCAATAAGAGAAATATAGTTGTTAAGGGGTCTTCAAGATCTAGAAAGTTGACCATGTTGAGACATAATACGGAGTACTGGAAATCTACTACCTACTCTTTCGATTTGAAATGCACCAGGTCTTCGCTAGATATGTTTTCTATATATCCCAAACAAGATCTACGGCTTAGAAATCAAATCACTGCCACTAATGTTTTATAAAGGTGTGCCGGATACAAATTCTCTTCGCACGATTAAACAGCGAGCACACATATGTATGTCTTTAGATGAACAGGGCATTCTAAATCGACTCTACTAATAAGGAGACCAAAACAAATCACCAACGTATTATTTATTGCCGCCTAGATGGACATGTTGCCTATATTCGCGATTCCGGTGTTGAGTGTTGAAATCTGCGTTGCAAATCTCGTCATCGCCAGACCGGATCACATCACTTGGAGCCGAAAGCAGCAAATCACCTTCCGCAGAACGAATTTATATCGAGAGCAAGCACAAACTTATCGTTAATGGTTCTCGATATAATATTAATGTAGTTGTATATAAGCTCTGCTAATTTGATCCTCTCATTGCATGAATCTCAGACAACCTATGGAGTACATACGTTATATGGCGTTCGAGATAGGGATCTACGACATCCGGGTCTAGGGTTTAGCACGCCATTCGGGCCCCGTCATGAGCAATGGGCGATCAGAGACCTCGGAAGGACGGAAACCCTATAATTGCGCAAATGTGAGACGCAATTATCCCATAAGTTTCGCCATTGCGCCCTTGTGGCCAAGCGTATAGTGGATAGACCCAACCCTAGATGCCTATGGGAGGGATCGATATCACTGCCCCGCGCTCTAAACCGAGGAAAGTGGACTTTGAATTTAATCTTCTCGCCCGAGAGATCTGGAAACCGGATCAAAAGCCAATATAGATATAGACTATTTGTTGGGAGTTTCCTTGTGATCTACCTGTCATGCCACTGCTATCCTCAAGCATTATGTCTACCACCGCTACTTGCCTTCAGCTCGAAGAGTTGCACAAGACTCCGACTACTTTCCACAGCGGCTTCTTCTCAGAGTCCATCTCAGATTACTCAAACGAGTCAAGGTCAGAAAGTGAACCTCCGTCGCCACGGTCGGTAGAGTCAACACAAAGGGTGTTGCTCCTCAAGGGGGCTCGTGAACAATATGCACTTGTAGATGATCATGCCATTCCTTCCATCTTGCATGAGGGAGAGATTCTTGTCAAGGTATGATAGGTTCCTGTTGATCTTGTGGATTAGATCTTGTATGGAACAAGGTGCTGACTATCTATTTACAGGTCCTCACAATTGGTCTGAACCCTGTTGACTGGAAGGGACCGTAAGTCTATACTATACTGCAGCTGATCCTCACCCTAGTCAACGGCTAACCAAAGACATAATTAGTGCTTTCAACTTCGGGATACCCAGTCTGCCATGGATCAACGGGCGGGATTTGGCTGGACGTGTACTACAAGTCCCCAAGGGCTCATCACGTCTTCGTGTAGGCGACGTGGTGCTCGTGCCATCAACAGATTACCGGGATATCAGGAAAGCAGCATTCCAGGAATACGCCATCGCCACTGACTTCAATGCTGCCCGGATCCCTCCTTCAACATCTATCCACGCTGCAGCTTCTGTTGGAGTCGCATACGTCGCTGCTGCATTGGCCCTGGGCGTATCGTTTGGACTAGACTTCTCTCTCATCAAAAGAGTCCCCGGTCCAAATCTGCCGAATATCATCAAGAAGCTTGACCGAACAACTATACCGGCCGACATACACCAAGAATGCTTTGCATCATTAATGGAATCAGAAAAGCCGCAACGGGGAGACTGGATTGCTATCTGGGGAGGTAAGACAAACAATAATTCCACCCTTATGATCATATAGCTGACATTCATCTTACAGCCTCAACAACCACTGGGTTGGTAGCTCTTCAACTCGCCAAGCTTGCCGGGTTACGGGTGATTTGCATAGCGGATGCCGCCAGACACGGTGCCAAGCTCGTACAGTCTGGTGCAGATCTTCTAGTCGATCGACATGATCCTGACCGTGCCGTGGAAATTATTCGCGGTGTTACTGGAGGCAAGCTTCGATACGCACTCGATATTGTCGGATCAGAGACAGCAACACAACTTGAGAAGACTCTTAACCCCGATGGCCACTCCCATCTCCTCGGCTTGACTGGCCTTCCCAAAGTGAGGAACCCGGGGATACAGTACCACACTGTCCCCATCAAGCTTTTCCATACTGCCCCTGCAGTGGGTGAAGCTATGGTGTGCTGGTTAGAGGACCTTCTGCAATCAACAGATCTCACGTTGCCGGAGATCGTCCACGCAGAGGGTGGGCTGGAAGGTATTAACGCGGCACTCGAGACTTTACGGAGTGGCTCGGTGTCTGGAAAACGCATTGTGGTCGACCTGGGCTCTTCGTCTGAGCTATGAGACCCTGTCTTTGATTCCAACACTTCATGAAATTATGCTTTCGAGATGCAGAGATTGGCGTTCTGGGATAGGGTTATACATTGATGTACGTAGGACAGCTATTAGACCATGGAACAAATTCAGAATTTAACAATATTTTTGCTGAAAATATGTGAATGCGTGTATCCATAGCCTAGTTATACCTAGTTATCTGCAACGTTGGGGGTATACAACCCACCTCTAACATGACTTTATGCTGGAAAACCGGATTCACCTTGGTAAGAATTGATTGAACTTCGCTAAGGATCCACGCTAAGACTCATATACAATGCACATGGGGTTTTATACCAAGCATAACACCGTGTCCCCAGTGCTAAGCGTTGAGTCAAGAAGGGATGAGCCGATCGGAGACGGGACCAGCACCCAATCAGCGTGTTTCTATTGCTTCCAAGGCTGCTGTCCCCGGAGTCGGTCTATGTTGTAAGTACGTCATGGATGGTACGTTGGATCTTGCCTGGACTTGTTCTGGAAAATCCGACAATGTAGCTCAGAAACATAGACCAGGATATTTGAGATATAGCTTGGGATGCACCTGGGCACTCCACAATATATGACTCAATTGAGGAGCCCCTATGTATGGGAATTCTCTAATATCAAAAGATTCAATGTTCTTGAGCCTCCGCCATGAAGCGCGAGTAGCCGCCTTACCCTTTTGGGCATACAGGGCCGACATCGGCTATCCGCTTTATCGCCACCTCGGCCAATCAAAGCGGCGCCATTCGTCGCTGACCGGCCGAGATCGGCGTTGCCCCTCGAGAAGCTCTTCAGCGACATCGCGGACTGCTCTGAATAGAAAAATATAAGTCATTGCTACTCCAGTTCCCCAGGTCTCGGTTCTCGGTACTTACTTCTATTTCACTACATCTCCTCTCTATCTCATCTAACCTTTTCTTCCCCAATTTTCTACTCTCACCGACCGTCTGCTATTTTTTTTTATCTTTCCCCCCACCATGCCTTCCGCAGAGTCAAAACCTAAGACCTTGTATGACAAGGTCTTCTCTGACCACATTGTCAATGAGCAAGAAGATGGCACTTGCCTGATCTATATCGACCGTCACCTTGTTCACGAGGTCACATCGCCCCAGGCCTTCGAAGGCCTTAAGAACGCCAGCCGCAAGGTCCGCCGGCCGGACTGCACTTTGGTTACAGTTGATCACGTATGTTCAATCCCATGCCTGATGGCAGACGAATACTAATCATGTCGGTTCATATGAATAGAACATCCCCACCTCTTCACGAAAAAACTTCAAGAATGCCGGTGACTTCATCAAGGAGAACGATTCGCGTCTCCAATGTACAACCCTGGAGGAGAACGTGAAGGACTTCGGCCTCACCTACTTCGGCATGGGCGATAAGCGTCAGGGTATTGTCCACATCATTGGCCCGGAGCAGGGTTTCACTCTGCCCGGCACAACTGTTGTCTGCGGTGACAGCCACACCTCTACACACGGTGCTTTCGGTGCCCTCGCATTCGGTATCGGAACCAGTGAAGTCGAGCACGTCCTCGCAACCCAGACTCTTATTACCCGCCGCAGCAAGAACATGCGCGTTCAGGTCGACGGCGAGCTTCCCGCTGGTGTCACCAGTAAGGACGTTATTCTTCACATCATCGGTGTCATTGGTACTGCCGGTGGTAACGGTGCTGTCATTGAGTTCTGCGGTTCCGTCATCCGTGCACTGAGCATGGAGGCCCGTATGTCAATGTGCAACATGTCCATTGAGGGTGGTGCACGTGCTGGTATGATTGCTCCTGACGAGATCACATTCGAATACCTCAAGGGCCGTCCTCTGGCCCCCAAGTATGGCAGCGCCGAGTGGAACAAGGCTGTCAGCTACTGGTCCAGCCTGAAGTCCGATTCCGGCGCCCAATACGATACCGAGGTTTTCATCGATGGCAAAGATATTATCCCCACCATCTCTTGGGGTACCTCTCCCCAGGACGTGATTCCGATCACTGGTGTTGTCCCCGGCCCCGATGACTTCGAGGATGAGAACCGCAAGGCCTCCTGCAAGCGTGCTCTTGAGTACATGGGTCTCGTTCCCGGTACCCCCATGAAGGATATTGTGGTTGACAAGGTCTTCATTGGATCTTGCACCAACGCTCGTATCGAGGATCTGCGGGCCGCAGCCAAGGTTGTCAAGGGACGTAAGATTGCCGCCAACATCAAGCGTGCTATGATTGTCCCCGGATCCGGTCTTGTCAAGGAGCAAGCCGAGTCTGAGGGTCTGGACAAGATCTTCACTGATTCCGGCTTCGAATGGCGCGAAGCCGGATGCTCCATGTGCCTGGGTATGAACCCTGATATCCTGAGCCCGAAGGAGCGCTGTGCCAGTACCTCCAACCGTAACTTCGAGGGCCGCCAGGGTGCTCAGGGCCGTACCCACCTCATGTCCCCCGCTATGGCTGCTACCGCTGCCATTGTCGGTAAGCTCGCGGATGTCCGTGAGCACGCCGTTGCCAGCCCCGTCCTCGGCAAGGCCTCGCCTAAGATTGACGTCCAGCAGCCCGTGGCTGACTCCCCCCAGACTGAGGATGATCTCGACCGCGTCCTGGACCAGCCCGCCGACAACGAGCCCCACACCAACTCCTCTGCTCCTGCTACCGGCGGCGGCAAAAGCACCGGTCTTCCCGCCTTCACCAGCCTCAAGGGTATCGCTGCGCCTCTGGAGCGCGCCAATGTCGACACTGACGCCATCATCCCCAAGCAGTTCCTCAAGACCATCAAGCGTACCGGTCTCGGTACCGCGCTCTTCTACGAGCTCCGTTACACCGATGACAAGGAGAACCCAGATTTCATTCTGAACCAGGGTATCTACCGCAACTCCAAGATCCTGGTTGTTACCGGCCCCAACTTCGGATGCGGTAGCTCCCGCGAGCATGCCCCCTGGGCACTGTTGGACTTCGGTATCAAGTGCATCATCGCCCCCTCCTTTGCCGACATCTTCTTCAACAACACCTTCAAGAACGGTATGCTGCCCGTCATCGTTTCTGATGAGGTTGCCCTGCAGAAGATCGCCGACGAGGCCCGCGCCGGCCGCGAAGTCGAGGTCGACCTCGTCAACCAAGAGATCAAGGATGCCCAGGGTAACAAGATCGTCGCCTTTGATGTCGAGGCCTTCCGCAAGCACTGTCTCGTCAACGGTCTCGATGACATTGGTCTCACCCTCCAGATGGAGTCCAAGATCCGCACTTTTGAAGCCAAGCGCACTCTTGATACCCCCTGGTTGGACGGCAGTGCATACCTCCGCCGTGACCGCCGTGGCGCGACTATGGTCGAGGCCGCTCCTGTTCCCAAGACCAACCGTGGTGATGTGAAGAACGAGCCCCTTGAGTGGTAAAAAGTTGTTGTTTTTGTCGAGCGCCTGGATTCAGCCATTGGTGCTGTCGCAATGCATTTTCGTGTCACTTTTGGATTTCAAAATCATATTCCCCTACTTGTTGCCGCTGTTGTTTGTGCTTCGTCTTACCCTGGCCTAATCCTGGGCTATTGTTAATAATTTGGATAGCCTACGAATTTCAACGAGAATGAATCATGATCGTGGACTTGCTGCTGTTCGTAAAAGTATATTCTGTATTTCGCTCTCTCTTCAAGAGAGTTGAATATGTACTCCGTAGGTACACCATGTGTGTGTGCTACAACCTATATAGCATATGCATATCTCCCCGTGGAGCAGGTTTTGGGCACTATTTCCCCTTGTTTGTCTTCAGATCCTCATGGTCGACAGGCCGCAGCATCTGTTAGCTTCCCACACCGTCGACGACCAAAATTTTGACATCTGAAGGCCCGGCAAACCGAGATCTTGCAGTGGTCAACCAGGTCACCAAGCTGACCAGTGCTAGCAGCCCAATAGCTGCACTGGTGTAGTTCATTGATTCCGAGGTTACCGGGGCTTCAGAGGGAAAATTAAACGTAATCGAAGCGAATACCAAAAATATGAAACCAATCGCATTGAAGCTGAGTGACAACGGAAGTGGTAGTGAATGGGGCCCCTCGAAAGACGCTGGGTGGTGGAAAAAATAGCCAAGTAGTCTAGCAAGAAGGACAAGACCGTATGAAACATCTAGATTGAATTCATGTTAGAATCTGTGAGGATCATGATTATACACGCAGCGAGAGTGAACTGGGCCAACATACAGAAGCCCGTGGTACCTATCGAAATCACCGTTTCAAACCCTGTTTCCGTGCCAAAGTAGATCGCATTCAGAGCTAGTTGCACTATCACAGTGAGGACAACGGCATAAAGAGGTATCTTTTTCTTTGATTCGACTTGAGCCCACAGACCCGAAAACGGCAACCCATGGTCTCGCGCAAAGGCATACACTGATCGCGAACCTTCAGCAACGAGACCTATGGATGCTGCCATGATGATGACGGTGATCATACTCGCCAAAATACACGTTCCAATCTTGCTTTGAGTTGAATCGTAGAAGATTTGGATGACGGGTACCCCGGTGCTTGAGTTTGCTGTTGCCTCAATATCACCCATGCAAAAGCACAGTGTCAGTAGAAAGGTCAACCCGGTTGCTGCACCCATTATGACAGATAGGATAATTGCCTTGGGTGCGTCTCGACTGGCATTTGCCATTTCTTCTGTCATATGACTCGGTGCATCGTAGCAGCACATGCCGAAGAAGCTTTGTAGGACTCCAATCATTGTGGCCATGGAGGCACCAAAGCCGGTTGTATTCCGGAATTCGTGGAACACAAAGTCCGTGTTTTGCTTATGGTGATTGGTTGCCAATAGTGTAATGATCACGATCATGAACGAGGCAATGTTCCACACCAGCATCAAACGCGATAGACGATGCAAAGCATGGGGTGCAAATACATTGACGGCGAGAGCAAATAGTCCCACGGCCCAGGCAACCAGGACAGTGTGCCACCGCTCGATAACAAGATCTGGGAAAACCAGGTTGGCCTGACCCAGTATATAATTGGATCCAAATGAATTGTTAACGGCGCCCATGGCGATAATCCCTAACAGGAAGATCAGCGAGTATTCACCAGCTTCCAAACACTACCCACCAGTCAACATAAACCACCCAGTGATATATGACAATTGCCGGGAAACTCGAGGCGGTGCTAACATAGCCACCCATGAATATTGGCCCCCGGCTACTGGCCAACGCGAGCACATCTCAGCCATTGCCAGCGCAATGAACATGGTGAACACACAAACCCCGATCCAGCCGAAGATCATGACGGGTGGGCCACCTGCCTGAATGCCGATAATAAAGCCACCACTGAGGGCAGTCCAACTATACTACATGAGACAGGGTTTTTTTTTGCTGGCGATGAAAATTCTTACCAGGTAACAATACTGAAACTGAACCCCACCATATCCAACAGATTGAACGAACGTTTGAGTTCTTGCTGGTACCCCAGCTTCTCAAGGGCAGCATCTGCGTATGCCGATGCATCGAGGATCTCCTTCGCCATGTTGGGTAATTGACAACGTCCGAAGTCTGCTGTCCATGGTGGCTGTCTCTGCTGAAGCAAGGGGCATGTGCACTGCTTTCACATTGAGACTTGTCATATAAGATTTGAATGGCGGTAGATGAGTCCGCAATCAACTTTTGAAACTTCTCTAAGAGTATAGAGTACCGACTAGGTCGATGCTATTTAACAGTTTGGAATATTTGGCTTCGTTGGCAATATTAGTCCAAAGGTTCCTAAGTTGGTAGGTATGTAACCACGTGTGAATCTTAGGCCGCTACCTACCTCCTAAGAGATAACATAAGACCATTCCACCGCTGGGCCAAAAGGTCATAGGGACAATCGGTGTTTTATCATCTGCTGGAGCGGTACATATACATATATATGAGGCCCAGGCTCTGCTTGGGACCACACATAGATGATAGACCCCATTTCAATCACGTGACCTAGCCCCCCAATTACGTGCTCCACATAAAATAACCTTATTTTCTGTGCCAGAATGTATGAAGGCTTATTTCTTTTTATCTGAAAAAAATGAAAAAAAGGAAAAAAAAAATATATGTAGTATTCCTGGTAGCATATGGTCACCAACCATCAGGCCACAAACTTCACGCTCCTAGGGGAATAACCACAGGCTGCCCGGGGGGCCAGCGAAAGCTCATCCACACCCGGTGCAGCACTGCAGATGCTTTATCGTTGGTCACCTATGCTTCTTTTTGAAAGTACTTGATGTACGGAGTACGGAGTATCATCCCCTATATCCCCCTAAAGCCACGTAAAAAATAGCTCATTCCAAACTTCCCACTCAGCGTATCCTTGGCAAGACCCTGGCCGACAGACCACTTCGCCTAGCCCCTGACCCACGCAACTTTATTACAATCGACCCATTAACCTAAGAATCAAAACGTAAAGAGCATACTCACCATCAGGTCTCAAATTTTTGCTCTAAAGGAAACTCGTACCTAGACTCTAAAGAGGCCGTGACTACTCCGTATTGCAACCTGGCTGTACATATATAAGCGTTAGCACCTACGGGGAACGGCGTTACATACCATGGGAGTCTTTGTGACCGATTTAATTTTTCGTTTCCAGTCAGTTTCTGATGGAAGTCAAGTGCAGGGGAACAGTTCTCATTTATTCCAAATCGAGGCAGTGCAGCCCTCGACACAGCCACCTTTTATCACACAGCCACTCTGTGCTTTGGTTTAAACGAAAGACGTTTCGAGTTTGCGAACACTCACTTTCTTTGCCATCCGAGATTTATATACAATTGCTTTTGCACACTTCCAATGGAGAAATTCCGACGCTTGTTTGAATACTTGATCACATTGGAGTGGACTGAGCGGGTGCAGCATAATTGCAAGTTTTGCGATGTGTCGAACTTTGCCAGTATCGCTTACGAGGTCAGTCTGTGGATTTAGAACTCGTGCAGGAAGCAGCTTTCTTAAAAGCTAGACAGGATGATGAGTTAATCGCAGTCGACAACATCCGACCTGCTGGGCAATTCCATTGGCTCATTATGCCAAAACAACACATTCTTCGAGATATAGAAGGCCTTAATGGGGACCATCTTCCCCTGTGTGAGAATATACCAGTCACAATCATCATCGGTGTACTCCGTACATGGCTAACCATCAATATTGCTACACGGATTAGTGCAGGCTATGGATGATGTCAAAAATAGTCTCCTCCAGTCTTGCTGCCCCGAGTTACCTGCTTCAGCCATATATTCTGGCTATCACCGTGGAAGACGACCGCTTCTAGGAAATGTGTATTACCCAGATATCATTTCAGTTCACCATTTACATCTCCACGTCATTGTCAAGCCGTCCATATTTGGGTGGCTTTTCAAATACCCAATATGGCTGTCGCTTATGTGGAAATCGGATTCTCGGGTTATACAGGAGGTCCAACGGCTCAAGAGCCACCAGTCTTAAGTTTGCAATGACTTCTGCTTGTGTGTTCGGAGATTGCGAAACCCGTATTTGAAGGTTCTACGTTGACACAGGTATAAGGCTTCTATGGGATTGAAGATATGGGTTCACTTGGCTATCTGATTTGACAATTCAGCATGGTCTTCGAAGGGCATATCAGCATCTGGATCATGCATTGTTGGTCCATGTATACGTTTGGGGGAGACAGGGCCTCCGACCTAAGAGATATCTGAACACCAGCGAAAAGCTTCGATCGCAGATTTTAACACAAAAATATATAAAGAGAAAGACGTAACGATGAGGATGAGATATGATTCTGTACTTGGTCACTATTGTCTGTTGTACTTTGTGCTTTGTACTCCGCACGTATCGATGTGATGCCTGCAGCCTGGCACTCCGGTGCCGATCATCGATAAGGAACTGGGGTGCAGTGGGTCAAATCAGCTCCCCACCTCGTGTGGGATGAACTCGAGTTGTTGAATGAAACAAAATGAACTCAAGGAGTAAGAGAGCAATTCTGCGCCGTGCGAGGTACTTTTTGTTATTTACCAGCCATGCCCTGCAGGTACACTGGACAGACGCCGAACCATTGGGCGACAGAAACGGTATAGATCTACCCCGAGATCACGTGTGGAGGCGTCATCAAGTGACATCTCTTTCTCCTCACCCCAACTTCGATTTCTGCTTCTCAACCCCAACGGTACACTCTATTCGAACAAGAGCCAAAAGCCTGGTGATCTTCCACTGCACATAGACGATAAATTTCTAATCTGGGTCCGTCTCTACAACTGAACCTGACCGAACATCGGAGCCATGAAGTTCTTATCAGCCGCCAGCCTCTTGGCTCTCACGGCTCCTCTTGCAAATGCTGCCGCCTTTTCTATTTTCGACCCTACGCAGGCTACACTGAAGACGAACAATAATGAAAAGTTCCCAGTGAACGGCGATAACCCCTTGCAGTACTGTGCCAAACCAGACAACTACAGGCTCGAGATTGAGTCCGTGGACCTGGCACCTAACCCGCCTCTGCCGTATGTGAACCACAGAGGACGTCCTTTTCATACATTACAGTTTGCTAACGTTCTTGTGGCCCAGTGGAGCAAAGTTGACCATCTCCGCCAAAGGTACCCTGCTTGAGAGAATCGAGAAGGGCGCTACTGTAAACCTAGAAGTCAAGTGGGGTCTTATCACCTTGATCAAGCAGACAGTCGATCTCTGCGACGAGCTCAAAAACGTGGACCTGGCATGTCCCTTGGAGAAGGGCACGATGGTCCTGACGAAGGAGGTGGATCTGCCCAAGCAGATCCCACCGGTACGTTGTCTGCCATAACTCTCTTGGGGCCAAGCAGCTAACATCTCTTTTTCCAGGGCAAATACTCCGTTCTTGCTGATGTTTACAACAGCGACCAGAAGCAGGTGACCTGCCTGAAGGCAGATGATATTGTGTTCCACCTGTAGTCCTGTTTATTTTAGACATTGCTTTGCATCCACTTACCAGGTGGCATCTCTCAGATTGCCGAACTGTTAACTCCATTGGCTCTGTTCTTGACTCGGAGGTTTAAGCGTTCGCAATGATCCTTCCCATGCCCTTATCATGACCACTTCAATATTTGCATCTCTTGTTCGAGTTTTATAACACTTTGCAGTACGTTCGGGTATCATTTGAACTTTGTCGTTTCAACGCTGTTTGCATTCGTTGGCCTTATCGTTTACATTTGTCTGTCTCAAAGCACAACAACCCGTTCGCCAGTAACCTTCCAAGGTTGACAGTTACATCTGTCTGTAATTATAATATACAATCAGATCATCTGCATTAATGCTGCAATATAATGCCCAGTAAATCTTGAAAGTTTCGGAGAAGACCACTCAATAGGATAATGTGCAGGGTATATGAATTCATTTATGTTGTGTTGGGTATCTTCCCTATCTGACATTCCCAAATTGTCTTCGCGGTCATTCCCGAGTGCAAGTTATTAGGCATATAGCGCCGGCATCATAGACGATAAACACAAAAGTTTTGTGCATACTCTGGAAGCAAAATGGGACAACAAACCCACTCTTCTCGCGGCTAAATGACAAAGACATAGAGACTTATACCACGTCTCTACTCTCCAAACAGGCGGCGGACGCGCTTGAGAACACTGTCTTTCTCCGGATCGTAGGGATGGTCTTTGCTGGGGATTTCAAGGACAGCCGGGAAGGGATCAGTGAATGTGTCGACGCTGTGGCGGATGCGTTCTGCGATCTGTGGGCGAGATATCTGTCAGCTGAGACGTAGACAATGCGACACGAGCGCCGGGATCACTGAGCGCAGGACATGAAGAATCTACTCACATGCTGGTTGATCAGGAGCACAGCGATGTCTTTCCTCTCCTGGGTGAAGTTCTGGAAGGCTCGTTCGATCTCCGACGTCTCGGTCTTAGAATCAACGACAAGGAAGTTTCGCTGAGAACCCGGCGCTTCAGTCACATGCTGTAGAAAGACACAGGACGTCAGCATGGAACCTCATGTAGATATAATGAAAATGTGACGTAGTCGGAGTTGTGAAGAGGGTCATACCCCGATGCCAGCGAGCAGAAGACCGGTAACGGAGCTGTATGAGAGGTTGAGCTATGTTAGCTTGATTTCGAACCTCGAAAGTGAGAAGCTCAGAAAAAGGGTCTGTACTCTTCATCGCCAATAACGGCAAGGAATTGCCGGTCCTGGGGTACCAAGTTAGCGACGCCATCGGAGGGGTCGTTCCATTGACTAAAGGCCAGGTACCTTGTATGATGCGGCGGCGGCCGCCATGATGAGGAGAAAGAAAAGAACGATCCGATATCTTCGAGAAACACAATCCCCGAACGGTCAGTTCTAGATTGATCAAGCAACTGAGAGATCTGGTCTAGCTGTCCGTTGATCGCCGTGGTTATCGCTCGGAGCTGCAATTACATAAGCTGATGCAATTTCCAATTTCCCAAAGTTTCTCAGATTTGTTTACTTCGTTGTCTGCTAAACAATCTTTGAACTACCTCAAACTCAGCCCCCACCCATTCCATGCCCTTGCATCGTCTTCAATAGCGCGAAGCTGCTGAGGAACAGCTTGTACTGCATATCCCATCCTCCGACATTATGCCTCGACTTGTCCGCCGCCGCCCGCTCACCGAGCGCATACTCTCCAATCTGAATCCATATGACTGGTTGCTTTGGCTTTCCGAGGAATTCGAAGCTGGTGACTGGGACCAACTGGAAAAGAACTGGGCTTTGCCTATTGGCATTGCGCTCAATGTGGTGTTCCTTATCGCACGAGCAAATAGCCGATCGGGTGGCAGCAAAGCTTTCGACGATGTGTTTGGCGACGACGACGGTGCATCCCTGCGTGGGTGGCTTGTGTGTTACTCTTTTCCTTCTGCTAAAACTCTGGATGTAAAGCTAATCGGCGGTGTGCTTTCTATCTAGGCCTCATTTATTGTCCATTTGATGGCATTCGCCTCTCTGGTCAATGCAGCCTACACGTTCCACAAGAAGAGGCATTATCGCCTGTTCGAGAACTCTATTGATAATAACCCGGCGACACCTTCTGCGCACCGGGTGCGCGTTGATTCAAGCCCCATGATGCCGTCTCCTTTGCGGTATATCGCCAACGCCCTATCAAAAGAATCGGCGCAGTCGAGAGCACACCCCGATGCACAACGGGATGTGTGGGAGCTTGCAATGTGGGATCCGTCACCACTTTGCCTGCGGCTCTTTTGCTTGTTTAGCCCGGGGCATGTATTGGTATACTGGCTGTTTCTACCAACACAGCTGTCTGATCCACGCCCCAGCGTAACAATTGTGACAACGATTGTTCTGACAACTCTTCTGTCTGTTCAGATGTCCTTCATCTCTTCTTCATATACACAGCAAGCCAAGGACCAGAAGTTGGTACACAAGGAGGTCTTCAAAGAATACGAAACCAAATTCGTACAGCCCCGCACGCATCCACTGATGAGAGATGTTGGTACACAGTTCTCAGATCCGTATGGTGCACCACCAAAGTCTGAGGGCGCATGTAATAGGGTCGAGACTTACACCCCGGCTGTCATCATCAACCGTGGGTTCAAGACCAGTCCCAATCCAAACTACCTCAAGCACGTCGACCCAGAGGGTTTCACTCCAGTCCGCCAATCGACCTCCTCTACTCCCATTTCATCTATATTCCAGGGTCCACCAACCCACACTCCGAGCATGTCCCGAGATGGGTCGCCGATGGCTCGAAACAATACTCGCACAACAATGCGACAGCCGCAATTCCGATCAACGGCAACGACAACGGGCGATGGAGGCAGCCTTGGCGTTTACAGCCATGCAAACTCTCCATTGAGGAAGTCTGCGACGACCTCTTTCGATCGCCGTTTGCAAAACAATGGGGACTTTGTGTACAAGGAGCGAGGTTCAACTCCTTTGATGCGCAATTCCAGTCCTCTGAAAAGAAGCAGCGTACCGGGAGGCATGAACCCAGGTAGCCCAGCCACCATCAATAGATCAGATAGCCTGAACACCCGTCGAGAAACGGGGCGGTTCTGAAACGAATAAATGACTATATTCCATCTCAGCAAGCTGCGGCCTTCTCAAATGCGTCATGTCAATATTGACTTCAAGTCAAATGATGTCAGTGATTCCGACACTCCTCGTACATTTTTTTAATCAACGTTATACGGAGTACGGAGTATTAGAGGCAGGTTGGTGTCTGATGTGCAGTTCATGATGTTCATTCGCGTTGGCCACGCTGGGGAATGCAGACCGCCCATTCAAGGAGGACTCCCAACAACACCAGTGCCTACGGCATGTAATTTCGTGTCTTGTCGTTTGGAACTGATCTGCTATTTGACTGGAACGGTCGTTGTATTCGTTTGCATTGACTGGCAACTCTTCACGGGTTCGTTCATGCGCGGTTCGTCCTTGATATCTGCATCGCGCTTTCTTTCCAACAGTTAAGCTACCCAACTTCCATGCGAAAATGGTACAATTCAATTCGAAAGGTGCGACCGTTAGGAAATTGCCATTCCAATTGGCGGCAGGACATTTCAAAGGGCATTCCACCCCGGGGGCTAGCATTCCTCACTACCGATCTAGCATTCCAACCAGCGGGAGAACACTATCCTTACGTGTTGAGAGAACGACCACCTGGGAGATCTATCCATAGCCAGTCAATTTTTAGCCACCCCGCTCCTAAGAGTCTGTCATATGTATCTCCCCTCCTGCATCTGCCGACCAATTTTCGCCATATCCATTTCGACCTAGATCTCAACTCAGCAAGACCAGCGGCCTGGAACACTTCACAACCTATACTTTCACTCGGCATGGGCTAGGACAACTTGCCACGGTGGTTATAGTGTTCCCAACTCCAATCGCACTCGTTAGCCCAGTATGGACGGAAACCGTGTCGAATTGCCCGATGGACATCTCGTGAATCTCTCACCACGACCTGCACGCCCAAGTCCATACAAAGCCTATCGAGCCGAGTACCAGGTATCAGCCACAGAGTTGTCTGCGCCAGTTTCGGCTCAGAGCCCGCAGGCAATATCAGCAGATCATGTCATTGCAAGCGTCGCGTCTGGAAATGTGTCACAAACATCAAAAGCGACCAAGCTGCCGCTTCCGAAGAACTTGGTTGACAATCATAACGACGAATTGAACCAAACACCTTGTCCCACCGGGCTCCCCAAACCGAAGACACCTAGCCAGTCAGGACGGCCTGGTAGCCAGCCTAGATCTTCAGAGAAAGGTCGTGACCAATACTGGAGGAAAATTCGGGATAAATTTGAGAAGGATTCGCCCTTGTCTCCGCGAAGTCCCAAAAGCAAGGAAAACGGTAAAAGCCAGTCTCCAAACCCGCGAATCTCCTATCATCGGTGCAGACCTCCCATTAGCAGCCCTCAACTCCAGAAAAGTCCCCGAGGAGCCATTCTACGATCAGGCATTCCGACCCCCACTGGAATTAGCAGGCCTGCGCAGGATGTGAGGATCGATGCCTCTGTTTCCCGTCCGGTGGATAGCTTGAATAAATGGCAGAAACAAGGCGACCAATGGGTCAATTTAGATGCCACTGAGACTACTCCCCGGAAATCAGTGAGAACAGATACGACTGTCGATTCTAGCCCTCAATCACATTCTTCCATCTCGCCAGTATCTGCCGAGGAAAGCTCCATAACGGATTGGGAAGATCGATTTGTTGTGAACATGCCAACTGCAAAAGATCCCAACCCGCCGATGATGACAGCTCAACAAATTTCCGATTATCAGAAAAGCATTGAAAGGGTACACAGAGAAGGTGGCCAAATGCTAGATCCAGATTCTCTGCCCAGCCGCAACCCTTCACCTGAGAGCAAATGCAGCTTGAGCGGACAACGAGACCAAAGCCATAAGGAAGTCATTACATCTGACGGGGCGTTTGACGGAGATCAAATACCAAATTTATCGCCAGATGAATATCGCCTACCATTGCCTCACTCACAATCTCCATATAAGCCTCCCCAAGCGCCTCCGCCTGCCTCTCAACCTACCACTGCACCCCAACGTGTAGTAGCGAACCACTACTACAGCCCAGATGAAATCGGACATAATCGAATTAGCACAATATGGGAAGAATCACCAACAAAAATCAAAGAAAAGCGACACCCTCAAAATGCCGACGGCTCTTTTTTAGGGTGCAGGGAGATCTCAGGGGAGAAAAATCCAGACGACATTCTCAAGTTCGCTTCTCCAGACGATGCCAGTCTTCATCCACGTCCATTGGCCCTGGCATCCAAAAACAAGCAAAAGGAAACGAAGGAGGTGAAGAAAGGGATAACCCGCAAAACCACACACAAAGTGGAGGAGACCTTAGTCCTCCAAGACGAAAAGCCGCAAACTTTTCGGAATACGAAGCCTGCCCAATGCTCGAAGCAATCAACGATCTCCCAAGAACAGATTTGTGTTCCGAACCCTACTTCGATTCCGGAGTCAGGGACCCAGGATTCGGGGAAAGAGAACTTCCACCCTACCAGCAATTCTCCCGACCAGTCCGGAGACCACGGGAAAGGTCGGGGGGAGGACGATTTATTCATCACCACACCCACTATCACACCCACTATGATTCCTACCCCCGACAAGAAACTTTCTGTGCCAAAGCTGCAAGGCTTGCGTCGTCCTGGTGGCGCAAGCCACACAACCACTGCCGAAGCTATAAAGGCCGTCCGGGCAAGGGCTCAGATGATAACAACACCGTTGGGATTACGGCCCGGAGGCTCGAGTTCGAACATCAAGCCAACAATTCCTATCTTGAAGTCTCCTCAAATATTGCCATCCACCAGCAAATCAACCACGGAGCAAGATCAAGCCGTCGACCAGAGCCAAGTTCCAGATCAATTACAAGATCACAATATTCCAGCACGAGCCGCGGGGACAACGGCACATACTGTCCGTGGCTTCATCCGTACCTCCGGGCTGGCAAAGCCTTCAGGACTGGTGAAGTCACCTACCGACAGTCTCACCACCATACTGCGCAACGGGACAGAGTGCCTCCGTCATCGCGCTGAGACTTTGCGGAATGCTTCTGGATCTCTCCCGCGCTCGAACCGAAAGCAATCAAAAAGCCCGAAACCTACTCTTCCGTCCAGAGACAATTCAGAATCATCACGCTCTGAACGGTCATTTCAATCCGCAAAAGAATCGCAGGCTATCACGGGAAATGTTCCTGTCTCGCCGCCAAAGGTGGTCAAAGCGGAAACTAAACACACGGAAACTAAACACACGGAAACTAAACACACGGAAACTAAACACACGGAAACTGAACATAAGAAAACTAAACCCGTGGAAAAAAAGTCATCAGCAAACGAATTACCTTCATCGGGATCAAATGTACCGAGGAAACCAGTGCCCATAAGAATTACTATATCAGAAACCCCTCCCTCGTCACATAACCCGGATAAGCTTCCCACATCAACCAGAAAGATATCCGCGCAGGCAAAGCCTTCCAAGTTGGACAAACCCATCAAGGCTACCAAAACAGCCACATCTGCACAGCCTGCACCTGATAAGACAAAAAATCCCGATGCTGGATCAAAAGCAGATCAGCGGGCCAAAATTCTACCTCTACCTCGTCTCCGCACCACCGATAAAGTATTGGAAATCGCAGAGCTCGACGGGCTTCAGGTTGCGAGTCCTAAGGATGAGTTATTTCAACCCAATATCACAGACGTCTTTGCCGATCTCGGTGACATGCACCACCGAAACAAAGATCATGACGAAGGCCAGGGAATCAGCCCATTGATCCTCTCACTTGTTTTCAACATCCTCGTTATAGCTGTTACCCAGGTGAACCGAATTTTCCGGATGGGTGCCGATAGCCCTTACTTCAAGTTCGTGGTCAATAATACTCTGAACATGACTGGTCACTGCTGGAGAGTGTTTGAGTGCATCTTCACCGCAGTGTCTCACTACCAAGCCACAGGTGCCTGGCCCAGGCCTCGCGGTGACAAAGCTATCCGCCAGTTCATGGTAGAACTGCTGCAAGCTGTTTTGTATCTTCTCGTCCTTGGATTTGCTGCCATGTTGATCGGCCGTACTGCTAGCTACGTCGTTCTCGTGAGTCGTTGGATATTATGGTTTGCCAGACCCTTTGTGTGGGTCTTTCAATGCATCGGTCGTGCCCTTATAGTGTAAAATTAGTCCATTCTTTGGCTGCACAGTTGTACAGGATTGTCTTCATTAGGAGTTTCGAGCTTGGGAGCAGGTCGTTCGTCATTTTTGGTGGTGTTTTGGTCTTGGTCTTGGATCTCGAGTGATCCTACTCGCCTATTGTGTCTATCGGCTGTATCCCTAGTTTATCCTTCAATACACATGTAACTTGAACATTCTACATCACCATTTATCCATATCTATCTTAATGTACGTTAAATTAGGCAGAAACTTGTACTGATATTGACATCCTTGCCCCGAAAATGAGAAAACAAAAACCGAACTTGAATCCACATCTAGCGCCTGCTTTTCCCATGTTGAAGAGGGGAAAAGTACCTCAGGTCAGCTATCTCGAATCCTTTCAATTTCGAGTTTGATCTTCTCTCGCTCTGCAATAAAAGCAAAACCAAAAAACAATCCCAACTCCGTCATCCTGGTGTTGAATGGTCCTGTATGCCCCCCCGGAAAATCTTGTGAACAAATCATAATGCAAAACGCAAAGAAGGACGAAAAGATTTCGAGAAAAAGTTATGTCTTTTGAGCTGGCGATGTGAGCGAGATGCTCAGAAGTGCATTCCGGGCTTTTGGTGGGAAGCAGTAATTGATGCAAAATGACGCGGAAAGCAGAGCAAGAAGTGAAGTGAGGAGAGAGAAAGAAACCAAAAAAAAGGGCAATGAAAAAAGGGAAAAAGTCAATGATGGCCGTTACTGTGAGTTCTATGGATTGAGATAAATCGTAGAAGGGGCAAAACACAGACGACGGATAGGAACAGAAGAGGCCCTCAAGGTAGAAATTATGTTGAATTTTTGTTATCTTTCATTCTTTTGATCCCTCCATTCTTCTGGACTGTGATAGGTCGAATAGGGAGGATGGACATAGTCCAGAAGACAGGCACCGGGCCCGGAGGAGATACGGACCCGAAAAAGAAACAGAGAATCCGATCGACGAAGCGCCGTTGTTAAAAGAGACGGGGTATCGGTACATTATGTTGAAATGAAAACGCTGAGGAAGAAATCGTTGAGAGGTCTTCAGTCGTGACGCCATAAGACATTGCAGGGTGAGCCCGAGATGTGTTGGAGTAGTTGTTTGAATGGGCTGTGTTATCGTTGAGATGAGTGATGTTGAATTAGGTAAGTCTTGATGTTGATTTTATGAGAGGTTTGCAAAGATGGCGTGGGACCGAAGGGTCGAAAATTTTAGGGGGAAGTCGCCAGTTCTGGGTTGAAAAGAACCGATTTAGTTGGCTTCAATGCCATTTGGTTCGGCGCGGCCGTTAGTCAATGGGGTTCCAGACACCTCAACATCGAGGTCTTTGATCTCGAGGCCATTGAAGAGTTCGAAGACAGCATTGGATCTGTGGAAGTCATTGTCGACGATATTGACGAGGTACCAGTCGTTCATCATATTCTGAATCAGCTTACGACTAGGGCTTGCTGCGTCATGACACTTGGACCAGTGATCACCCAAGAGGTATGCCTCGTCCTTCCAGGCCAAGAAACTAACGGTCTCGACAATGGTGGGCTGAATAATCTCACGTCCAGCGAAGATACCCCATGTCAGCGCATTGGGGCTATCACGGGTATTGGTCTTCAGCTCGCCCTTCTTGTTGGTGGCATGGTAGGTCAAGTCATTGTTCTTCTCGATGCGAGTGATGAGCTCATCAAGCAAGTTGGAGGGAACCAAAAGTTCAAGGTAGGCTTTCTGGTAAACGAAACCGTTCTTTGGACCCCATCCGTAAATAGGATGGGACGACTTGACTCCATTGACAGCAGGCTGAGAGTTGATTGTCAAGAATCCGCGCTGGTTCAAGTTCAGCAAGTCCTCCTGAATATCGTGGGCTTCGGTGGAGATTGGCGAGTCGCTCCAAGGAAGTCTGTCGAGCTTGCCGGTCAAGAAACGGACAAAGATGTCCGACATATCCTTGATCGACTTCGGCTCGCCCCAAAGTTGAATGTTCTGTTCATTTGTGCCCTTCAATCCCACACCGTATGCGTCGAGCTCACCGAACGCAGGTGAGCGAGAGTCAGTCCAGCGACCGTTGGGGTACTCGTCCCATGTCTGGGTACGAGCAACGTATGACGAATTTCGGTTGCGCCAGAACACTGGTCGCACATCCTCCGATCTCCGATTGAGGGCAAGGGAAGGCCGCCAGGGCAAGGCGCGCTGAATAGGGGAATCATCCGATGGAGTAAGGTTGAGTTCTTCGAGAACCAACCGAGTCGCTTGGGCCAAGTTCATGGTGTAGCTAGGTATGATATCAGCATATTCACGGCTACTGGGATTGAGTGGGAAAGTAGTAGAGCTCGACTTACAAATGCAAGTGCTTGAGACCAGCGGCAATCAGCTTTCTGCACATCTCGGCAACCAAGGTCTTTCCGATCTCTCGAACCGCGGAGTCGTCATTCTTAACCGGCTCAAGGGCCTCCATCCACTCGGGGGGACTCGAACCTTGGTCCAGTTGACCCTCCGAATGAAAGAGGCGTAGGTGGACACTGGCATGATACCTGGCACGACTTTTGGAATGTTAGCTGCACCGTTCGATTTGGGGGGACGTATGTTGATGATAAAATACCTGGGACAGTAATGCCTTTGGCGCGGCATTTCTTCACCCACTCAATGAAGTTCTCTGCGTCATAGAACATCTGAGTAACAATGAAGGAGCTGCCTGCATCAACCTTCTCCTTTAAGTGATCGATCAATTGGTCCACATCAGAGTTGTCGTCGGCACCCTCAGGATAGCCACCCACACCAATGTCAAAGTGATTGCCATATTTCTCTCGAATATATTTCACCAAATCCTTTGCATAGCGGAATCCATTTTCAGTGGCCTCCCAAGTTTCCTTGTCACGGGGTGGGTCTCCTCGAAGAGCCAGAATGTTGGTACAGCCTGCCTTGTAAGCAGCTTGGAGTGCTTCATCGACTTTTTCCAGCGGCATATCTGTGCAAGTCAGGTGCATGCAAGTCTCCAAGCCATAAACCGATTGTGCCACATTGACCATCTCGCAGGTCAGATCCGACAAGCGACCGCCAGCACCCCAGGTGATATCGATGAATGAGGGACCCAATCCATGCATGCGATCCATTCGGTCATAGAGATTCTGTACACCCTGGGCGGTCTTGGGAGGGAAGAACTCGAAAGAGATTCCAGTCTTCCCCTCTGCCTCATTTTTGGCTAGTTTCTCGCGGATATGCATAGCGGTGTGTTAATCTAGTCCCAGTCAGCACTCTATACAGTTCTGAGCTATCGATGGCAACAAGCAATTGCCATTGTACTCTTTGGGATGTGAACAAACGTACCGAAAGCTAGGGTGATAATTAGATGAAATTGTTTCTGGGACTGGAACACCTATGCAGATGTAACAGGCTAGTTCAGCTTGCGTATTAAGGCCAGTTAAGCACAATCCCAGTGCGCTGTGACACCTGAATGCCAAGAGCCTAGAAATAAAGAGGAACAAATGATCAAACACGAAAAGAAAAAAAAAAGAGAACCAAGAAGACTGAGGCTCAAGGAGAAGGGGAGAAGGGGGGAATCCGGTGAGCGGAACGTTTGGGGGAGAGCATTTGGCGGGGAAGGCCGCCATCGGAGGCACGTGTTTTACTACTTCGGGGGGGGGGAATTTCGGGGGCATTCAATTGGGGGAAATGGTTGAAAATCAGATGAGGTTAAAATGCAAGTCTCAGTCCTTCAATTCCGACCATTTCTGTGTCGAAACAATGACTTTTGATGGACATACATGAGCTTCAAAGCGGCAGAACTGTGAAATTGCGCCATCGCCCGATGGGTCTTGCCCCTCCTGTCAGAGTTCGGGCAAAATTTCGTCGATCCGCCTTTCTCGACTCCCAGACAATTGCCTCATTCTTCAATACACAACAAAATGTCGACTGTTCCTCCCCCAACCGCCGACCAGGACTACAAGTCCACTCTGCTTCCCCTTCTTATCTCCAACAATGTCCTCTCGTTCGGCAGCTATGTCTTGAAGTCAGGCCGTGAATCGCCCTACTTCTTCACCTCGTCCCTCCTGCACACGGCACCATTGCTACGCGCCTCCTCTGCCGCATATGCCAGTGTCCTCTCCGCCGAACCCTTCGTCACCATCAACGCCGACGGCACCGCCCAGCCCAACTTTGACATCATCTTCGGACCCGCTTACAAGGGCATTCCCATTTGCGCCTCCGTCACCAACGAGCTTGCTGTGCGGGACTCCCTGTCTGGCAAGGCCACCTGGGATAATGTGAGCTACTCCTTCAACCGCAAGGAGGCCAAGGCACACGGCGAGGGTGGAAACATCGTCGGAGCCCCTCTGAAGGGCAAGCGCGTCGTCATCGTGGATGATGTCATCACCGCGGGCACTGCACTCCGCGAGGCTGTCGGCATCATCGAGAAGGAGGGCGGTATCGTGGCTGGTGTCGTCGTTCTGCTGGATCGGGAGGAGCGTGTCAGCGATACCGAGTCCAAGAGCGCCATCGGCGTTGCCCAGCGTGACCTTGGCGGCAAGATTCCCATCCGTTCAGTCATCGGCCTCCACGACCTGATTGAGAAGCTCGATGATAAGATTGGAGCCGCTGAAATCCAGCGGTTGAAGGATTACCGTGAGCGCTACGGCGCCCAATAAATATGACCTCATGGAATCCGCTAAGAAATGCATGATGTATGAGGAAAGACAATAAATAAATACATAAAGATACCAGGATAGTTAGGAGTTTCTCTGGAAATATACCACTTCAAAGTAGCCCACATTCGAATGGAGAAGTGGGCACAGTTTTATATGAACTATGAACTCGTCCTTTGGCCATTTATGTGACCATATATCTGGGCCACTTCTAGCGAATGCACTTTCCACTTGGGTTCCTGGGAGCAACATGATTAGCAGGGACAAGCCAGTGTGTTTGTCCTGTCAACTTCATCCCGAACAGATATCGAGTGTTCGACTCGAAAAAAGAAAGATTTTATATGCTCCAATCGGGAAACATGGATCTTTTCATGCCTTATGTCCGGTTCTTGGTCTTGCCAGATAAATGACTGGCTATTTCGATACCCCAGTGTATTTTTCTTCGAACTGGATTCTTCTACCTATCTCAACACACCCCTGAACTGAGTGGTCGCACTCGGACACCGGAATACCTGGCTGCAAGACAGGGTTTCACATGAACTCGACAGAGTAGATAGTGTGAAGCTGAGTATTATGAAAGCCCAATTATCGCACTCAACTCAAGTTATTGCGCGGCAAGCGACACGCAGCACCGCAGAAGCCATCAATGTGCTAGGTTGTATCTGATGTCGCGCAACAGAAGGACAGAACAGGTAGTGATTGTATGAGGGGAAGAGTAGTCAATGATAGGTATAGAAATGTAGACATCAGAGGTTGCGCTCAGGTGATTTGTATCTGTCAGTCTTACAAAAGTCCATCACTTGATCAGTACTTGGTGGGACATGAATAGTGTCCTTTCTACCTACATGGAGGTATCAGTGATAACTGCTATGAACTACATAGACATGATTCCAACAGCCGGCAATCTACAGAAATGTTAAGGATTATCGCTGGGGACATATATTTACATCTAATTTAGGCCGTCCCACTGAACACTTGAACTATATACTGGCGTGGATCTGAATTATATCGAGATAGGAAGGCTGATGTATTCTTCCATTGCCTCAACCAATGTACAAGACGGCCGATCGGTATTTTGTATACCCCTTATCCTAAGATATGGCAGCTTCCGGTGATCTCCCAATGGCTCTGTGGGTTTCACGGCGAGTTTGGAAACGGGACCAGGGGTTCAGATCAAGACTACGCACTTGTCTTGGGTCCATGAAAGATGCATACATCCTCATGACTCTAATTTTCATTCTTAAGACTAGCTCTGATGGTAGGTGTATTATGGACTCGCACGACTGAGTTTCTATACGTTGGCTCATTATCACGTTCACACGCTGAAATACTTTAGATCGTTAACAACTCAAGCTCCCCAGCAACTACTAGACAGAAAGGGTACAGTTGACCTCGTTGCAGTATGTTTCCCTGAAGCATATGTAAGACCTCAGCGTGAGTTCTAAAACTGTAGAACTAAGGGAAGTCGAGTGGTTAAACATCCTCGCTCCATATTAATAATACCTTTAGAAATCTCGTACTTAGTTTGACTAACACATAAAGGAAAGGTTCTTTATATAATTAGATATAGAGCCTAGCGGCATATTTCTGAGTAGACTGGTATTTCATGTACACTTTATACTAGATTCCTCGTAGTTAGAAGTACATGATAACATTTTCGAATATGTCAAAACCCATGTCAGTTGCTTCTAAGAAAAGAATAGATGGGATATACCTAGATCGGCGCCCCGCCCTGGTTGATTCTGTACCCCAGGCCATCATACGCCATGGCACACGTTAATGGGATCCGTAAATACACACAAGCCCATGACTTGGTTGTATAAGGGAATTCAGGTGACATCGTGTTACCTTCTTGCTCTTTGGCCGTCTTGGTCCACTACATCATTGTACATATTGACCTAATCTTGGAACACTGGAAGCATCACATGTACTCCAGTTGCACATGTTGTCTCGAATCATCAGATATGATATACAGATCCAGATCTTGGGAGACGACTGCATGAGTGGTTGTTTCAGTAATATCCAGATATCTATCAATGATTTGCTCAATCAAATCAAATCTTTTCAAATGCTGTCGTCTCACAAGAAGCTAGGATAGCCTGATTGATGGCCACCTATTCCTGGAATTGTGAGTGACCTTGGTGTCCACGATGGGCGGCAGGTTACATGTAAACAATGTAGCTTATGGAATATTCATGCTTTAGAAATTTATTAAGATGATGCCTGAAGGCAAACCTCGTCTCGAAAATTGCAGAAAAATGGATGATAGTGACGACAATGTCCCCAAAGGGACTTACGATTCTCGTCCAGCATGAAATACCACAGACAGCAAGCATGAGGAATGTAATTAAATGCGTATATAGAGGCGAGGGTACAAAAAGGATCGGATCCTGTATATGCACTCCATACTTTCGTGGATACCTACACGAATGCAGGCTAGATAGTAACCTTAGAATGGCTACATGTCCCAATAGGAAGTCTGGGTATCTTGTTTTGAGACGCATCTACTATAGAGCTGATCTGCGTTCTCCTAGATAGATACCGGTTTAGAGGTAGCTAGCGTGAGACAGCATCTCTAATGTAACTATCTCCTCTACAACGCATCTAGGACTTTGAGGCGGCAACGGTCGAGACCAAGCCGAAAATGATTTATATCAAGTAGGGATGCTTAGGTAATTACTTTGAATGAGTATATGACCACGCAAATGATGTGTGTTTGGTCTATTATCTATGTTTCAATTCGGCTAGTGTAAGACCAGCAAAGTATTTTCTGCACTGCTCGGACTCTCAATTACTTTGAGCACGATCATAATCAAGTCCCACCGAATGACTGTGAGACCTCAATACATGGATTACTTGATTAGCTTTGTCGAGCCACGGACATTCCACGATGGCCGTCTGTTATGCATGGGGCTATGGTTACTACTTGAATCCCGGGCGTTAGAAATGCCGCGTAAGACACAAGCCTTTGCCTCCTGAGGTCCATGGGCTATGTAAATAGCACACATGGGTAACAAATATACTGATCAAAGCGCAGAGGCTGTTGTACTTTGGTACTTTGGTCTTCACGTCTCGTATCAGCCACTAAGTCCGGCTTTACCGTTAGTTTCGGACACCAAAGGGAATTTTCAAGTGGTTTATTTGTAGTATCAAGAGCCGAAAAGCACCTCAATAGATTTAGAGAAAGAAGTACAGGTAGAGTATCATACTATCTTTAAAGAATGTCGAGTGATCTAAGCACTCAAATAATTGTAGATTTCCTTTATTTCTGGGAGCCACTCTGCAGCTCTTGGTTTTGTTTCCTCCTCCCTTTCTACCTAGGAGAGCTCCGATAGACTGGAGGACCTTGGCAATATTCTACTTGGCTTAAAATACTTGGAGTTCCTCGTTGATGTTAGTCATTTCTACCAAGTCCCAGTACGCCCTTTTTGAATCCCTGCGACTTTCCGGGGAAAAGCGCCGGTGGCTCATTCTGCGCAGTTTGCATATTTCCTGTTGAGGATACCCGCTGTGGTTGGACGCTCTGTACCTCTTTGGTATCGATTGGTACTTGCTCGGATTCCAAATATACCCTTTGGAGAGATAGTAACATACCCACTGACAGAGGATGGTGAAACATCGCAGCTGTGTGTCGAAATTCCCAGCCAAATCAGCAGTCTTTCTCTCGTCTTATCCTGTCTTCAATCCACACATGCCACGATCTTGACTTGCGGAAGCGGTTGATTACGTTGTTTGTTGACCATGAATTGGAGATGCACAATCACTGTGCTCGCCCTTCTCGCAGTTCCGGGGATCAGTTGGCCTTATGACGAGGCCTTTACTGCTTATAACCTCAATGAGAATCAATCAGCAACCAATCCCTTGGATTATTGGGGAGAATGGCCAGACCACACTTACACTCCATCCCCAGAGAATTGGCGTTTTCCTGTATATACGCTTTTCCTTGACCGATTTGTGAACGGGGACCCCACAAACGACAATGTAAATGGGACACTCTTTGAACATGATATCAACTCCAATCAAATGCGACATGGTGGTGATGTGGCTGGACTGCTGGATACCTTGGATTATTTACAAGGAATGGGGATCAAGGTGAGCTTCATGGGTGGGCATTGAATATATGTCCAATCTCGGTTAACGATGGAACTCATAGGGGATCTATCTTGCAGGCTTGGTACTGATGAACCAGCCATGGGGCTCTGACGGCTATTCAGCGCTCGATACCACCCTACTGGATCAGCATTTTGGCACCATTCAAACCTGGAGGGAAGCTATCACGGAGATTCACAATCGCGGCATGTACGTGATTTTTGACAATACTGTCTCAACGTGAGTTATCAGTCTGATCGAATTTTATCATCACACTGAGATTATCTAACAATGGGCCAGGATGGGTGATCTCATCGGGTTTGAGGGCTACATGAACACAACCACCCCATTCTCGACGAAAGAACACAAAGCCTCCTGGAAATCAGACCGCCGTTATGTCGACTTTCGATATGGCAACACCTACAACGAGACATGCCAATATCCTCGCTTCTGGAACGAGACTGGATACCCAGTGGACCAGTATGTCGAGGATGAGCTCAAAGGGTGCTACGACAGTGACTTTGACCAATATGGTGACATCGAGGCCTTTGGAGTCTACCCTGACTGGCAGCGAGAACTTGCAAAATTTGCCTCGGTGCAAGATCGATTGCGCGAATGGGTACCTAGTGTCAGAGAGCGACTCATCCGCCATTCATGCATGATCATCGCATCTTTTGATATCGACGGATTTCGTTACGATAAAGCTACACAGGCTACTGTCGATGCGCTTGGGGACATGTCAGCAGCGTATCGAGATTGCGCTCGTCGCGTGGGAAAGAAAAACTTCTTCCTCCCAGGGGAAATCACTAGTGGCAATACCCTGGGGTCTATCTTTCATGGAAGAGGTCGACAGCCTGATATGCAGCCGGAAACACTCGGAGAAGCATTTAGGATGACCAATTCCTCTGATTCAGCATACTTTATCCGTGATCAAAACCAACAGGCTACCGATGCTGCTGCATTCCATTACTCTGTTTATCGCTCGCTTACCCGGTTCCTGGGCATGGATGGTAACCTAGCTGCTGGCTATGATGTTCCAGTAGATTGGACCGAAGCCTGGTATCAAATGGTTCTTACCAATGATATGATTAACGCCAATACTGGTCAATTTGATCCACGCCACATGTACGGAGCGACAAACCAGGATGTTTTCCGCTGGCCAGCAGTTGAATATGGAATTGAGAGACAACTCCTAGCCCTTTTCATTACCACATTGCACATGCCTGGCATTCCTATGCTTCTCTGGGGTGAAGAACAGGCGTTCTACATACTGGATGCTTCAGCTGCCAACTATATATACGGCCGTCAAGCAATGTCTCCAGCCACAGCTTGGAAGAACCACGGATGTTTCAAATTGAACTCCACACAGTATTACCAGTGGCCCATCAAGGCAGGCCGCCTGGGATGTTACGATGAGGCAGTCACGTATGACCACCGTGATCCCGCTCATCCTGTGCGGAACATCATCAAACACATGTACCAAATGCGACAGGACTTCGGCGCTTTGAATGACGGCTGGTGGGTTCAGCTACTCTCAAAACAAACACATGACATTCATCTCCCCGGCTCAAATGGAGTGCCCACAGAAACCGGTATGTGGTCTGCCTTTCGCAGCCCATATTACGAAATGCAGGATCTAGGGGAAAGGGGAAATCAAACAGTCTGGCTTGTATATCAAAATGAAAAACGTACAGTGGACTACGAGTTTGACTGTTCTGACCAAGATTCCGCCTTGATTTCTCCCTTCGACGCGAACACTACAGTCAAGAACCTGTTCTATCCTCACGATGAGTTGACACTGCAAGAGGGTCCAAACAGACTTGCTTTGAACAGCTCAGACAAACACCAGGGTTGTGTTCAGAGCATGACCCTTGAACCCTTCGAATTCAGAGCCTACGTCCCCAAAGATACCTTTGTCGCTCCTCGTCCTATGATAACCAAATTCCTCCCCGGTCATGATGTCCCGCTACTCTCCTCGGTCGCACCCGACAAAAGTGAGGCGGTAGAAGTCAGCTTGTTCTTCTCCACAGAGATGAATTGCTCTGCAGTAACTGACTCGATCTCGATCGAATCGTCGACTGAATCCGGAGAATGGCCTTATCTGGACTTTGATAGTGTCCATTGTGAAACCCTGACCCCAGAAAGTACCTCGTGGGTCGGCCAAATTCCATCTACTTGGTCTTGGAAGGCTACTCTGACCGGTGTCTACAATGGAGTGCACAAAATGACGGTCAACAATGCAACAAGTACTAATGGAAATGCAACTCATTCTATCGACCATTTCCTGTTTAGGATTGGCCAGCATGACAATCCCATGATCTTTACCACGGCAAACTATTCCAGCAGCTTGCTCCACGCTGGCGAGAATTACACTTGGTTCATTGCACAACATGCAGCCGGGGCAGACAAATATCGATACTCTACAAACTGGGGCACTGCATTCACTGACTGGCTCCCATACGAGGGAGGAAACCACACCATTCAAGAACAACCTTGGTCTGGAACTAAGAAACAAAGATGGGATGGGAAACACATTCGGGTCGAATATTGGAGCCGCCTCACAGGGAGCAGCGACTATGTCCAAGAAGGCGACGGGCCTGGCTGGAATCCCGCGATCCGGCGTCGTTTCCCTCATCTCTTCTTCAACGGCCCTTTCAATCAGTACGGATACGATGCCGGATTGGATAATAGGGTGAGACAGGATACAGATGGCATCTGGAAATTCCGCTTCATGGCAGAATGGCCCGCTCAGGGTCAATTCAATGTATGGGGCATAAATCCTGACAATCAACCAGACCAAAGCTACATTTATGGAGACTCCAATGGAGATTCTATCCTAGACCGACTGCCGCCATCGTCCCTAAGTGTCACCTCCATTAATATTACAGAGCACCCACCCAATCCACACCTTGCTTGGAGACTCCAGCTGGACGACTCAAACTTACAGTTCAAGCTTGTTCCCATGGGCTCAAAATATGTTCAAATGGCCCTGTTCTTTCTTCTTTGGGTTGTTCCTGTCATCACAGGAACAGCGTGTGCTTATGTGTTCATGAAAACGTTCTATCGAATCAAGTTCAACCAAGTCGGCGTGAGTGGAAGGAAGACACATGTCTCCATGGATCTCATCAACAACTTCAAATTTGGGCATTTTGAACATGGACAATCCAGAAACCCCTTTCTACGCCTTGTAAGCAGATCAAAATTCCTTCAAAGCACGTCAGCATTTGGCAATCGGACTGCGCACCGAAGAAAGGTTCTCGTCGCCACCATGGAATACGAGATTGATGACTGGGCAATCAAGATTAAGATTGGAGGTTTGGGCGTCATGGCACAGTTAATGGGCAAACAGCTTGGACATCAAGATCTCATCTGGGTTGTACCTTGTGTCGGCGGAGTTCATTATCCCGTGGATAAACAGGCCGAGTCAATGTTTGTCATGATTTTGGGCAACTCTTACGAGATCAAGGTCCAGTATCATCAACTGAGGAATATCACATATGTCCTGCTAGACGCCCCTGTCTTTCGCCAACAATCTGCCACGCAGCCCTACCCGGCTCGCATGGACGATCTCGACAGCGCGATCTACTACTCTGCTTGGAACCAGTGCATTTCGCAGGCGATAAAGCGGTTTCCTATTGATTTGTACCATATCAATGACTATCATGGCTCGGTAGCTCCACTATACCTGTTACCCGACACTATTCCAGTTTGCTTGTCGCTTCACAACGCCGAATTTCAAGGTTTATGGCCTATGCGGACACAAAAAGAGAAGACGGAAGTGTGTGCTGTGTTCAACCTTGATCTCGATGTTGTCACCCGATATGTTCAGTTTGGCGAAATCTTCAACCTTTTGCATGCCAGTGCAAGCTATCTGCGCCTTCATCAACAAGGCTTTGGCGCCGTTGGTGTTTCAAAAAAATATGGGAAACGCTCCTATGCCCGTTATCCAATCTTCTGGGGCTTGAGGAAAGTTGGAAACTTGCCAAACCCAGATCCTTCTGACACAGGCGAGTGGAATAGAGCTTTGCCCAAGGAGAGTGACATCAAGGTCGACAATGATTTTGAAATCCGCAGGACAGACCTAAAACGTCAGGCCCAAGAGTGGGCCGGTCTGAAGCAGAGATCTGATGCTGACTTACTGGTCTTTGTTGGAAGGTGGTCCATGCAAAAAGGCGTCGATCTAATTGCTGATGTCTTGCCTGGTGTGTTAGAGGCGCGCCCAAATGTTCAATTGATATGCATTGGGCCGCTTATTGACTTGTACGGCAAATTTGCCGCACTGAAACTGGATCGAATGATGAAGCTTTATCCTGGTCGAGTATGTTCCAAACCTCAGTTCACCGTCCTGCCTCATTTCATCTTTTCTGGTGCCGATTTCGCACTAATTCCGTCGCGCGATGAGCCCTTTGGCCTTGTCGCTGTTGAATTTGGTCGAAAGGGTGCCCTTGGTATTGGAGCCAGAGTGGGAGGACTCGGACAGATGCCTGGCTGGTGGTATACCGTCGAGTCCACTACTACCTCTCACCTGTTGAAACAATTCAAGCTGGCTATCGACAGTGCTTTAAACTCTAAGCCCGAAGTGAGGGCAATGATGCGAGCAAGGTCGGCTAAGCAACGATTTCCAGTCGCCCAGTGGATCGAAGATCTTGAAATCCTACAGTTAACATCAATTCGAGTTCATCAGAAAGGACGAACAAAGGCTCAAAGCCCGTCTGCTGCTGCTGGAGCGTATAATGCAATTTATGGAATGATGACACCGCACGCCCCATCCACAAGATCCGGCGCATCAACCCCTCCATTGCAACCACCAAGTCGCCCAGGTACTACGGGATCACTACAGCGAAGCCCTATAGTTTATAGTCGTGATCCAAGTCCTGGGGCAGATGGAAGACCTAGATCAGGGCTCAGCCGCCAGATGTCCTTTGGCGTGCGACCAATATCTGGGAATCTAGATCCTCGTGGTCGACGTGAGGTCGGCAAAGGCAATATTATCGAGAGCGATGATGGTGCTAGCAGAGCTTCTCCAGAGGTGGAGGACGACAGCGACGACGAAATGATGGCTACATGCTATGGCGACGATGATTATCCTATGCAACCTGAAGGGGCAGAGCCAGCACGTACCCAGACCCCCCAGCCGCAGGGGGTCGCACTCACCAAAGAAGCCCTCTCGGCCCAAAGAGTGAGTCAAGGCTCTATGGTGCCTCGATGCAATCACACGCCCCCTATTTCAACAGCACCCAGCACAGTTGGGACCGATGATACTCTTATACCTCCATCTCGCCCATGGACGGAGCCAGGAAATCGGCTCACTAGTCCATCAGTCTTGTCACTCGACTCGGTTGTTGGAGAGAAGAAAGACTTCAAACTTCAAAAGGTTGATCCTTTCTTTACTGACAGTAACGGCGAGTACTACAGAGTGTTTGAAAAACGACTTGAGGAACTCAATGGGTCAAACTCGGATACCTACCTCTGTATTGAGCAATACCTCGAGAAAAGCGAGAAAAAATGGTTCAATAAGTTCCGCGATGCACGCCTTGGTCGGAATCAAGGCTCGCCAGCGGGCTCAATCCTTCGATTCAAGACAGGTCATTCCCCGACAGGGTCAATCACCAACGACGATGCGACATCTCATGACAGTGGCGTACCTGAGAGGAAAAAGGGCCCACCAGATGAGTTCCTTCTTGGCGATGACTATGTCCCACCAACCGGATTGAAAAAATGGATGCAAATACGCATCGGAGAATGGCCCGTGTATTCTCTCTTCCTCGGACTGGGTCAGATTATTGCCGCCAATTCCTACCAGATCACCCTTCTTACTGGAGAGGTTGGTCAAACAGCCACGAAGTTATACGGAATCGCGACAGTGTACCTGATCACATCTATTCTATGGTGGTTCTTCTTCCGATACTGCAAGTCAGTACTTGTTTTGACTGTGCCTTGGTTCTTATACGGAACAGCATTCTTGATCATTGGCATGGCGCACTTTGAGCCTAACCCACACAATCGCGGGTGGATCCAGAATGTCGGTAGTAGTGTATACGCTGCTGCATCCTCAAGCGGCTCGATCTTCTTTGCTCTCAATTTCGGCGATGAAAGTGGTGCACCGGTCAGGGAGTGGGTCTTTCGTGCTTGTGTTATCCAGGGCACACAGCAAGCATATGTCATTGCCCTTTGGTACTGGGGTTCGACTTTGACCAAAGCTACCAACGCCGGAATCACAAATGTGCAGGGCAGCATCACGAATACCTGGCGGATGACGTACGTATAAAACCAAAGCCATGGCCTTAAAGCTCGGGGACCTGCTAACAATGAAATCAGAGCAATATGTACGCCCATCGCCCTCTTTCTATGGTCGGTTGGCCTTATCATCTACTATGGTCTACCGAACTACTACCGCCAGACTCCGGGAAAAGTCCCGTCGTTCTACAAATCTGTCTTTCGACGTAAGATTGTACTTTGGAACTGGGTGGTTGTCATTCTTCAAAACTTCTTTTTAAGTGCGCCTTATGGTAGAAACTGGAACTGTGAGTCTTCATCTACCAGACTGGTTTTCCTAACATCCTTCCCCGTCTTTGCCTTAAATGTTGACTGATCATCGCTGCAGTTCTCTGGATCACCCAGCACGCCAGCTCCTGGCAAATTCTTCTTCTCTGCGTTGCATTCTTCGGCTGTGCCTGGATAGCAGTTTTATTCTTCCTTGCCAGGCTATCCAAGTCTCACAGTTGGATTCTCCCAGTTCTGGCCTGTGGTCTAGGTGCTCCACGCTGGGCACAGATCTGGTGGGGAACATCTGGCTCCGGTCTATTTCTTCCCTGGGCCGGAAGCTACACGGCGGGTGCTTTAATATCTCGCAGTCTATGGCTCTGGCTCGGGGTATTAGATGCATTACAAGGCCTCGGCTTCGGTATGATTTTGCTGCAAACACTAACACGTATGCACATCTGCTTCACACTTCTCGTATCACAGGTCCTGGGCTCTCTTGCCACCATTTGTGCAAGGGCCTTTGCACCTAACAAGATCGGACCCGGGCCAATTTCGCCTGATATTACAGCTGGTGTCGGCGCATTGGCAAATGCCTGGTTTTGGATTGCTCTTATGCTCCAACTTTCTATCTGGTAAGTCGTCTCAATAACGGCATTGTCGTGGAGTCTCCCTGACACCTCGGAACTACTAGTGGCGGTTTTCTCCTGTTCTTCCGCAGGGAGCAACTGTCAAAGCCTTGAAAATGTTTCGATCTCTTTTGTTGAAGGCTTTACATGGTATCAAAGCACGAATCTAATCTACCTTTCATTTGCGCAAGGTTTCTTTCTGGGCGTATATTCGAGATATTTCTCCTTCTTTGTTCATGTGGCTTGCATGTCATTAGGCTTGAAAGAGATGGCCTGTTTCATTTGATATCTAATATTATGATAAAATGCACAGTTTGGGATGCAATAGATATGGTCATCGCCACGAATTGTACCCAGTATCGTAATTTTTTCCAGCCACCTCCTTATGACAAGAATACAACTACGACAACCGATCTACAGCCCAAGGCGGCTTTGAAGCCCAGACTATTCATGATATCATCAGTGGCTACCTGGTAGCCGCGGTGGATACTCAAAGTCAACTTGAAGATTTGCATAATTGGAACTAGTCTGCGCACACCACAAAGTCACCTGTCCTTTGGCCGGAAGGCCAAACCAGCGATCTCCTGATGAGGCTTAACGGCCTCGCTCATCTGCTTCCGAGTAACCTGCGTATCCTCCTTAGCATCCTCCACCTCCCGGGACAGAAAATTCTCGCTCTCGACTTTGGCTTCAGCGCAGCTAGTTTCGAGGGAGGTGGAGGGGTTGGCAGCAACGGTGGCAGCGGCGGCGGCGGCAGCAGCAGCAGCAGCACGGGCGGCGTCAGCGCGGGCGGCTCCGGCAGCAGCTCCTGATTTTGTTTCTGTTAGTACCCACTCAGTGGTTGATTTGTAAAGATACATACTCCGCATCATCCTCTTCCTTCCTCGGGAAGGGGTTTTCTGCCGCTGGGGGCGAGGGGGCAGAGGGTCCTATCGGATTCAGCTATTAGTTTAAACTGATCATTATAATGTTTGGTGAAACTCGCGTCTTCATGGCTAGATCAATTGGTACTGATGACACCAGCCAGTTGACACCAGCCAGCAGACAGTCAACGGATCGACGCTGCACTTTCACGAACAGACGGGGTAGATAGAACTTACCACAGGGAGTCCAGCATCTCGCTGTCTTCTACGCTCGATCACTCCTTTAGACTTACACTGGTGGCGCCGGGGCTTCTTAGACTCTCCCGGGCCAGAGGAGACAGGAGCAGTTTCCTCGTTGGGGGGAGGGATGGTCATATTGAAAATAGAAATGCAGGTTTGGCAGGTTTGGCAGGATGATATTAGCTGCGTAACGGAAGTCAGAGAGGGCAGGGGGGAAAGAAAGAGAGAGATAGAGAGAGGGAGCGAAAAATAACATTTTATGTTGTCTACCTTGCACCTTCCTCGTAACGCTGTCTATGCGCACCTTCTGTTTTCGATTGAAGTGACCTTGAGACTCAGGCCGTTGACCTTCTCATCTCTACTTCTTCATTTTGAACTCCAAACATAATGTTTTCACATTGATATTCGAAGTAGATGTGACTATCAAGTGGGAATTAATTGAGTTTGATGTCAAGCCTGTGGTTGTTGTTGTATTAATTGAATATTGGTTGACGTCCATTGGATCATTGGCAAAGCCCGTTATCTGGCGACCTTCCTTGGTGTCTTGGGACGTGCTAAGCTATAGAATCATTTAAATATGTCCGCCCATAGAAAGCAACTCCTTCTTGATGATGAGACTGTTTGGGCCTCCAGTTAGCTGCCCGTCCTCTGGCCTGTGAGATGGATGTAGTGTGTTTTAGCGGTGGGTGGTTCCCGCCTAGTGCTCATAAGCTGTTGCCGGGTTGTGGGCGTGTCCACGCCTGTGGGTATGGGGTAGATGCCCGCGAGTTCGAGGCCTGCTTAGATTCCGTATGGGATAATAGAAAAGGAGAGTGTGTGAAAGAGTAAGTGTGCGAGTATGCGGAGTGATAAAAGAGACAGGGCTATAGGAGCGGAAGGCGGTAAAAGCCTGGTGATACGCCTAGGCGGGTGCTTACCGGGTGCAGATTATGGCGTAAAAGCTAGTGACGCGGGGGAGCTCGCTGAACTCGGTAGGGCCGAGGTGCTGTGGGTATACTCCCGTCCTCCCTACTTGAGGGAGATTTCGAGGCTAGTTCCCGAAACTGCGCTGTGCTAGGAGCTATAGCGTAAGATACTCGGGGGTCTTGACCCACCTGTAGGAGTATATAGGTGAGCTTTTCATCTTTGTGCCGGAAATTTCGATGATACTAGTCGAATTCCCCGTGCGAGAATCGGATGACGAGCCATCGGTGTAAGACCGGGCGCTGTAAGTCGAGGTCGGGGAGGTCCTTGACCTCGTATATTCCTTCCCAGCGTTAGTACTAGGCTGAGAGTCGAGTGGAGGATTTCTGACACTAGGCAAAGCGGGCTTCGTCCCGCAGGCTCCGATATACGGATCGGATGCCACTGATCGTGGGCTCATCCTGGGAGCCGAGTCCCTGGGCCACGTGGAGGGCGCCCTGGTTTGCTAACTTGTCGGCGAGTTCGTTGCCTTCTGTGCCGATGTGCCCCGGCGCCCGCTTGAAGCTAATCTCGTGGAGGGACATAGCGCCGTGGCTCTCGATGAAGGCCCATTGTGAGGTGGGCGGGGCGATCAAATCTATGGTTAACGGTAACCAATACCCTATCGATGTATTTGCAGAACTTCGACTCATTAATTAGCTGGTCATCTGGCCTCAAGTACCTGTCTAGGTACTGAGACTCGATCCCTCTGAGAGAGAAAACCGAAGCAAATGTCAAGGACGCCAACAGTGCATTCTCCATCGGGCTCATCATGCCCCGAACCATCGACCGTCAATTGGATCACCACGATGATCTGAATTCTGACACTCAAGTACATATGGATAATGGTTTCATACACTCTCCAAATAATTTAAAGCAATGTAGATTGTCTCTTACTAGCATAGTCAATGTATCTTTGCTAGCTCTTTTTAGGCGTCTTTTTAGGCGTCTTTCTTGGTAGCTTTAAGGTTAACATTGCGGGATCGAGGATGTAACCAAACTTTATAACTAGTAGTTGAACAAAATTCGTAGCTTATTCTAAGCGTCTCGGGGGAATTTACGTAAATATTCATGGAGGAAAACGAAGCTCTGGGTTCGCAAATTCCAGGTTGATATCTCTAGACTATCACGGACGTGATATATATATCGATTAGTGTCTGGTGTGGTACTTGGGGGTTGAAATAACTAGGACAACGGATAAACTGATATCAAGGCCGACACATATATCCAGGTAAGTCCACGTAGCTTTTTCTTTTTACTACTTGTGTACTGATATACCATTGTGTCCGATCTAATAATGTATCCTAAGACATGTGGGATCGAGCAGCTACCATGATCCATCGGATCTGAAAGATGCCCTCGTGACTTGTAAGCACTCACCTAGTACAAATGCTAACGCTCTGGAACCAAGATTTAGGTCAAGTTTCAAACTGTGAAATTTTAGAGTAATGCGCCCGAGCCTTACTGTGAGAAATCAAGATCTTTTAACTTTTGCTGAGTTTCTTACTTTTGAAGTGGTAGTTGCTGTTAGTACATTAATTGCTCGCTGCTTACATCAAATGGGGCTGTGGCGCAACGGTAGCGCGTGCGACTCCAGTTCGCAAGGTTATCCGTTCAAATCGGGTCAGCCTCATTTCTTTTTTGTTTTTTATTTGTATTCATTTTGCAGTTTCTTTTTATAGATGATTGATGGATGGTCTTTCCCCTTTTTCTCTCGCCTACAGGGTGGCCGCCTGGAGTTCCCTTAGTCCATAGTAAGAGTGCAGATAGTGAAACTCATCGTCCTGAGATCTGAGGCCTAAAATATGAGTTGTTACCAACGACAGAGGTATATGAAAATGTAAATGATTATTCGGCTTAATATCGCTCAAGGTTCGGCAGTACGGAGTGGTGAGGGTTTAGACGATCCTCATAAAGTCAACCCGTCTAGCCAACCAACAACCAATCGTAAACCCATCAACTACATTACTCTCGTTACGGTGAAATACCACGGTCCAATCTCCAGGAGCCGGTGCATCCAAGCCACGTGGGCATGTCAAGAACCAGACATCGTCTCCTAGATATCTCATTGGGGTAGCATTTCCTTGGCCGAGATATCCATCGAATGCGCCATATAGCATACCTGCATCGCCGGTGCAATGGAAGGTAGATTCAGTCTCAGCACAGTGGTAGAAACCCTGGAAAGACGTCGTTTTGAGTATTGATTCCTTCGGAACAATGCGCTGAGCACTGAGTATCCGATTATCTCCCAAACGGTGGATACTCAACGAATTTCCATTGATTGTCGCTTCCATGGAATTGGATTTCCCATGGTTTGGCGCAGTGAGCTTGACGGTTTCTGGGGAGCCGGCATAGCTGATTGCAATTTCTCCATCGCGTGGGCTCTTGGTGACGACAATTGCCAGCTGGGTGTCTTGGTCAAGAAACACGCCAAACCAGTCCGGAAGCGGTGGAAAGGCAACGGTACTGGGCTTAGGAGCCTTCAACAGGTCTCGGAAGATCTCAGTGTTCGGGCCGGATGCATCAGAATCGCTGTTGAACATAACTACAACGGAGAGACGCTCGCGTGGCGCGTGGCGCCGGTGCAGTCGATAACCTCGCAACGCTCCCCCATGTCCCATCGTGTGCACACCATCAATCTGAGTGTGACCCAATCCATAGCGATATTTGGCAATAGTACCGTCTTTGAAATATGGTGTGGCGATAGCAGTATGATACCAGCTTTGTGGATCGGCGTAGCAGCGATCAAGATATTTTTCATACGCGATCATATCGGTGAGTGAAGCCACTAGACCAGCATCCCCAGACCATTCTATTCGGTTTTTCGCCGCGAACAAGCCCCGCTGCTCATCTCCTTCATAGCCCACACACGGCGGTGGGTGGTTTGCGGTGTCTGGGCATAGGAATGCCGTGCTCATACCAGCTGGGCGGAGGATCCGTTCTTCCAGCAATTTCTCAAGGGATTCTCCTGTAGCTCGCTCAATTACTCGGGCAACTATGTAAAAATTGAAATTGCAGTACGAGAATTCTGTTCCTGGCTGGAAGTGGAAAGACTTGGTTCGCGCGATCACTGAACCGCAGTCTCTGGCCATCAAGAACTCGTCGTCAGGCTTGGATCCCCAGAGTGTGGTCATCGCCCAATAATCGCGGAGACCAGATTGCATGTCACATAGTCGTTCGATCGTCAGTTCATCGTTAGCAGTAAGCTCCGGACTGAGGATTTCCGTGAGATGATCTGAAAACTGTTTTCGAACATCGCCCTTGGCAGCCAATACTGGAGGCGGATTGCGTTCCAAATCCAGTAACAGTGCACAAACAAACTGTTTGGTAATTGAGCAGATCGGCATTTGTGTTTGAGCTGTCAAGGGGATCCGTTGTTCCAGGTCGGCGAACCCCCAGACACGTTGGCCAATGACTTCGCCATCTTTGACGACCGCGATAGCACCTCCTGGACCCCTGTAGCGGAGAGCTATGTTGTTCAATAGCTCTTCCACATATTCTTTGGTGATCGCCATATCTTCAAATCGATGCGACGAAAGGAAAACAGGGGATTTCCGAGGCTGTGAGGTTCCCTAATTACCCCACCTTGTCGTTGGCAGTGATTGCTAATTATAGCGCAGTCGGAATATATCAAATCTCCTCTTTCACCCCCTACTCCGTACGAGATCTCCTGGTATTCTATGGAGTAAATGGTGTCTGAGTCCTTGTTTGTCTCAAGATTGTCACTACTTGGAAAATTACAACCTAACGCCAAGACACCACTCCCGAGGCGGTTCGATCTCGCCATTTGAAAGCAAACACGACTAGGGCAACGTACGCAGTACAGATTATCCATTATCTGGAAGATATCCAGTGGTACCACGCTACTTGTCAACTTCAACGTGGTACTGACCATGATTATAGATCATAAGTCCTCAAATGACGTTGCATCGAGAGACTGGTCTGCAAGAAACTAGATGTTTTGCCGAGAACGGGTTCCTCGTCCGTAGCTCGGGACCAGGGGGCCAATAGGCTGCATATCCTTACACTCACCATTGAAAAAGGTCCAAGGCCAATTCGGCAGAAATTGGTGTCTTTTGACTATTTTGATCCTTGGCCACTCCTTGTTTCTTGCTGCTTACGCCACTTCCCCTTGCTGTCAAGCCACTGACTAAGTTTGAGACAACACACGTACTTTGGAGCAAATTGGGTTGTTATCGCTGTAAGACACATAGAAACGGCGAGAGCCACATACCAAACCTTGACCTATAGGTACCTACCACTTCGTAGAGTGTATCTCACCTTGGAAACTGCTAAATTGTCTTGGTCATACCAAATGCAGATACAACCCTTTGCTATGATAGAATGAGTGTCAACCTAAGAGATTAGTCGTCTGGCCTGGTTCATTGGTGCGATACGATCAACACGAGAGGACAAACCCAGATGGACATAATAGAGCCATTAGAAGTACCATTATAAGACAAGACACCCTACGGAGTACAGAGCACTCCACCTGGAGTACCCCGTATAGGAGAACATGTTGTGAATGGCATTATTTGGCATCTAGACTCAATTCCCTGCCGGAAGATCATTAATTTATCAAGGTCTGAGCTTAAAAAGGGGCCGACTAATAATAGACCAATGTATTTAGGTACACAACATATGTACGGAGTACTCCGTACATCATGTAGCCTGTATTCCATTACTCCATACTCGGGAAATTAGCAGACCCCTGATCGAATTGAATTTGATCAGGCAATGACACCAAATTCTCCACCGAGGTGACTCTATCATATTTTGGATGCAGGAACGTCTTAGGCTGGTAGACGTGTAGCCTTGGACGGTGTGACCGAGGATCCACTGTATGACCGAAATACATCAAAGAAATTGGATGGTTACTAACTCCATTTAAGCCATGAATCTCTCGGAGAAATGGCTTCGCCAGCGACGCGGATGGAAATATCCGGGGAGATCGGACAAATCATCGAATGCAGCCTCGGAGAACATCATGATCCATAGCTCATGCATATTTTTGGAATCAGTCATCTTATGGTTGGGCCAATCGGAGGGCTCCAAACTGAGTTAAAGTGGGCAGGCAAACGTGTCTCGACCCACATGGCCCGTAATTCTGCGTGGTGGCGGATTCTAGACTGAATTTTCCTGTCTAGATCCTTGCTTTTTGGGAGTCCTCATAGGGCTACTTCTTCCTCGTCCTTCCGTTTGCATCTTACCTTTTTCACTTTCGCTTCCATCGTTTCCCTTCTTTCCATCTTTCCCTATCTTTTCCTTTCAAACCTTATTCCAAGAACTTTCCTGGCTACACTCTTTCGCTCCAGGCTCTCTTCTTCTTCCATATCCTCTCAATCAGTAATCATCCACCTTCGTTCAATCATTCAAAATGCGTCCCACACAGTTCCTTGCCCTTGCGATGGCCGTCGCCACCTCGGAGGCCATCTCCCAGGGTTTCAACTATGGTGCCCTTAAGGGCGATGGCAGTGTCAAGAGCCAAGCCGATTTCGAGACCGAGTTTGCGACTGCCAAGAACCTTGTTGGAACCGACCACGCCTTCACCAGTGCTCGTTTGTACACTATGATCCAGGGTGGCACCGCCAACGGCCCCATTGAGGCCATTCCCGCCGCTATCAAGGAGAAGACTACCCTTCTATTGGGTCTCTGGGCTTCCGGTGGTGGTATGAGCAACGAGATCGCCGCTCTTAAGTCCGCTATCGAGACCTACGGTGATGCTTTCACCGACCTGGTCGTCGGTATCTCCGTCGGTAGTGAGGATCTTTACCGTAACTCTGAAATCGGTACTAAGGTCAATGCTGGTGTCGGTATTGAGCCCTCCGAGCTTGTCGACTACATTAATCAGGTTCGCTCCGCCATCTCTGGTACCTCCCTGAGCGGTGCCCCCATTGGTCACGTCGACACCTGGAACACCTGGACCAACAGCTCCAACTCTGCCGTCGTTGACGCTGTCGACTGGCTCGGCTTCGATGGTTACCCATACTTCGAGAACACCGAGCCCAACTCCATCGACGACGCCAAGGCGCTCTTCGATAAGGGCGTTGCTAAGACCCAGGCTATTGCCGGTGGCAAGGAGATCTGGATCACCGAGACTGGCTGGCCCGTTACCGGCAAGACCGAGAACCTCGCTGTTGCCAACACGGCCAACGCCAGGCAGTACTGGACCGAGGTCGCTTGTCCTCTCCTCGGCAATACCAACACCTGGTGGTACATCCTCGAGGATCCTGCTTCCACCCCCAGCTTTGGTGTCACCGGTTCGGCCGACAGCACCACTCCTCTGTACGACCTGTCCTGCAAGGCATCCAACTCCTCCAGCTCCGCCGTTTCCTCCAGCACCTCCACCTCCACTCTAGGCCAGAAGACCGGCTTCGCTTCTTCCGTCTCTGCTACCTCCACCGGCACTGCCGCCTCTGGTGCCTCCACTGGCACTGCCGCCTCTGGTACCTCCACTGGCACTGCCGCCTCTGGTACTGGTCACTCCGTGGTCGGCCCCGCCTCCACACACCCGATCGGTACCCGCCCCTCCACCAAGCCTAAGTCTAAGAGCGCCTCCGCCTCCGCTGTTGCTACCAAGACCGGCTCTGGATCTTCCTCCCTCCCCACTGGTTCAAAGGGCTCAGGCTCATCCTCCGACTCCGGCTCCGGCTCCGGCTCCGGATCTTCATCCTCTACCCCTGGCTCCGTCACGTCCAGCGTCCCCTTCAACTCTGCCACCCGGGTCGCCGGCTCCGCGGCCGGCGCTCTGATCGCTGCTCTCGCTCTCGCTCTCACTTTCTAAACATATTCCCCTTTGTTCGGCGATTCGGAGTGATTGGTAGGATTAGACCATTGTGATTTGTCATTATGGTCGATCAGCGGCTGATAGATATTCCCCTTTTTTCTTACTTTCGTTCACATACTGTTTGGATGTGAGGTTTATAAGCCTTCACACATTTTTCTTGTACATCGATCTATCAATCTAAATTTTTTGAGCTCATGATTTTGAATAGGGTCTTTGGCCGTTTCCTCTCATAAGTCCTCTCATCCCAAGGCGGTTATAGCGCATGTGATTTGTCTATAATTGTTCACACTGGGACTCTAAATCGTGCATGCCACGAGGTCATATTCGGTGTATATACAATGTCAACACAGGTCTTTTTTAAAAGCCCTCAGTGCTCGGAAACGAAGATACCGGCCATACCCATGCCCTGACGAAAGCAGTTAGTACAATCTAGCAATTTCAATAATGATGGGGGGAAACTTACAGTGCCCACACACATGGAGGTCACAGCCACGCGCTTATCCTGTCTACGTAGCTCGGATAGAGCAGTGACGACCTGGCGTGCGCCGGTGGCGCCCAGAGGGTGACCGAAAGCACTTTAAATAATCAGCACGGTCTCAACCAAATTAGTTCGGATATCACCTACATAGCACCGCCACGTGGGTTCACTTTAGATTCATCCAAGGCCAGCTTGTTGACACAGTAAACACCCTGTAACGATGAGAATTAGCCTTGCACAGCATTCACATACCAGATAGACTTACCATTGAAGAAAAGGCCTCGTTGATCTCGAAAATATCAATGTCGTCCTTGCTCAAGTTGAACTTGCCCAGAATCTTAGGGATAGCAAGGGATGGGCCGATACCCATGATTCTGGGCTCCAGACCAGCAACAGTAGCTCCGCAGAACTTGGCAACAATCGGTTGGCCGAGCTCCTGAGCACGCGAGCGCTTCATCAGAACCAACGCAGCGGCACCGTCAGTGATCTGACTGGCGTTACCGCCGGTGGTGGCACTAGGAGCCCACTGAGGGAATGCAGCGCGGACCTTACCGAGAGACTCGGCGGTGGTACCGTAGCGGATACCGTCGTCGCGATCAACGATAATATCCTTGACCTCGCCAGTCTTGGGGTCTTTAATCTGAGTCTTGACGGGCACAATCTCGTCATCCAGCCAGCCAGCCTTCTGGGCGCGCTCGGCCTTCTGATAACTTTTAGCTGCGAACTTGTCGTGCTGCTCACGGGTGATGTTGAACTGATTGGCCACGTTCTCTGAGGTCTGGCCCATGGGCTGGGAGTTCTGGGATGCAATGGGGTGCTGCTTGATGCGCTCGGACATTTCGGGGGCGCCGCCATCAGCGTTATTACTCATGCTCTCGGCTCCGACGGCCACTCCGATGTCGATTGATCCGACAATAATTTGGTTGGCAATGTTCTGCACGGCCAGGAGACCGGATGAACAGAATCGATTAGCAATTGAGGCAGAGGCTGTGACAGGGTATCCTGCTGCTAGCACGGCGGAGCGGGCGACATATGCAGAGCCAGGGCAGAGGACGTTGCCGACACAGACATCCTCCACGAGATTGGGGTCAAGCTTGGACTTCTCGCGAACAGTCTGTTTATTATGTTAGTCGCCGCAAGGACATGCTCGGTTTTTCAAAGGAAAAAAGTACCGTGAGGAGTGACACGAGGAGGTCATCCACGGTGGTATCCTTCAGGCCACCTTTGCGAGCCTTAGTGAGTGGTGTGCGGGCGAGGTAAGTGATGACCTGTGAACAACTAATTAATTATTGAACAGCAAGATTTACCGGTGCACCCCGTAACTTACCACATCATCTGGGTTCTTCGCCAGGATCTTTTGGCGGGCGGCACCAGGTGCTGCGAGCTGGTTGGCGACCGAGCTCAAACGTTGTTGTGCTGAAGACATGGTATGATGTGTGAACGCGAATTGGGGAATCAAAAAAGAGAAAGATAGGATGAAAAAGAAACTCCCCCGCCATTTTAATATCCCCCGGACTCTTTCAACAGCCCGTGGGGTATGAAATGAACCGCGGCTCCTTCGAGCCGAGTACAAACAGGACCAGGACCAACCCGAGTCCCTGCGTGCCTCCGTGTCGTTGCACGTTGAAGCCGAGTGGAATTGCCGCACCTTCGGCGTCACAGTGTGTATGATACTGTCATTTTTTGTCCCTCGGCTGCGAAAGAGACACGGTGATTGGCTTGTCCCCGGTATCGGAGGTGTCTCACGGCCCCACGTGAGAGTTGATCGATGCGAGTACATACGACATTCATGGCACGCAGTAGGTATGTACCTAGGTACTCTCTAGGTTGCACTATAGAGAGAGAGGTGCAAACACCAAGATTATCATGCAGACAAGCTGCTTTAAAAAAAACACCATGGCTCGTCTATATCGAACTTGGATCCGCGATGCTGTCAACTATCAAAACCGGGGAACGCTTCGCCAAGCATCTAGGCTCCGGGAAACAAAACAATACGGGGGACTTTCGTATTGAATAGACTTTATAGATGTCATATGGGGATGGTTTAGCCAGTATAAGAGTTCGGCAGGGGATTATTCGGCGCTGTTATGCACGGCAGATCGAGGCTGGCTAGCTTCCGTTGACAGAGCCCCGAGGGTTGGGGATCTTTATATCTTTGGTCGTGCCGGGTTGGAGAGTATCGAATAGACCAAAGTGTATAATCATACACGATCAATGCACCTGGTGTTGCAGAAACATCGCAAATTTTGTTGATTAATTGAATCCATGTGGGAGAATTGAATCCAACAAGAAGCAGTTGACCGGAAAGGCAATCACCCTCACTGTCACAATGGACATTCTTCCTGGAGTCGGGGCGTCTGCTGTGGCCATGGCATCCGCTTTGTCAGTGGCCGCTGGGGCTTATCTAAACGCAAAGCTTGCCATTTCCACCGACGTCCAAACAATCGTCAACAATACAGACGTCGCGAAGCGTTTAAACGCGCGCATCGCAAAGCTCGATGGTTCAACAACCATCTACAAGATGCTTGAGATGGCAGTGGAAGTTGAAGGACGAGGAGGCACAGATGCGCTCTGGTTTGAGCAGAAGACGTGGTCGTATGGACAATTAAAAGACTGTCAGTATTGACTATCGATTAATATGAAGCTTTGCAGCCGGTTGCTAATGTGGTTAAATGCTTGCAGTGGCCGACAGAATGGCTGCTCTTTTGAAGGGACGCGATGTCAAGGCAGGCGATACTGTGGCTGTCTTCACGTCCAATTCGCCGGAGATGGTTGTCACTCTGTATGCCCTGTCGAAATTGGGGGCAGTGTCGGCTATGATCAACACCAACCTGCGAGGTCTGTCAATAACCCAACTGCAACTTATAGAACAAGAAGCTGATACTAGTGAAAGATGATACCTTCATCCATTGCCTGAGTGTGTCTGGCTCTAAATTAATCGTCTCCACTGCCGATCTGGCACAATACGTCTGTAACGACCTGCCGCACCTCACAATTAATACGTCGTCCTTTGAAGGCGCCGAAATAGGCTCAGTAGAGCTCATCACCTCGGAAACTCTGCAGCAATTTTCTCCATCGGGACTTGCGGCAGCCAAGCGCACCCCAAAAGACCTAACCGTTCTGATCTACACATCAGGGACAACTGGCAAGCCTAAAGCCTGTGCAATCCGCAATATGCTCACTCTGATCACCTCCACCCCGCTGTCAACAGACATCAACAACCCTTCAAAATACTACCCGATGCGCATATACTCTCCACTGCCCCTTTTCCACGGCACGGCATTCTTCATCGGGCTGTGTACAGCGATCGGGAATGGAGGAACCTTATGCCTGGGTAGAAAGTTCTCCGCCTCGCAGTTCTGGAAGGAGGTGCACGACTCAGGCGCAACCCGTATCTTATACATCGGCGAGCTGTGCCGGTACCTTCTCGCAACGCCACCATCACCCTATGACCAAGACCACAAGTGTCTCGTAGCAACGGGCAACGGGCTACGTGGCGAGATCTGGGAAAAGTTCCGCAAGCGCTTCAACGTACCCGAGATCCGCGAGTTCTACCGTTCAACAGAGGGCGTTGCCAAGTTCGACAATCATGGTGTTAGCGCTTGGGGTGCTGGAAAGATCGGCTTTTCCGGTCCTATCCGCCGCTTCTTGGAGGATGACACTTTCATCGTCAGGTATGATACTGATTCCGAGATGCCATACCGGGATCCTGCAACTGGATTCTGCGTGAGGGCTAAGCTCGGAGAGGAGGGCGAGGCGATCGGTCGCATCCGAGATCGCGGTCTACTCATTGAATATTTGGGCAATGAGGATGCGACGGAAGAAAAGCTTCTTCGCGATGTCTTTCAGAAAGGAGATTTGTTCCAACGAACCGGTGATCTAGTTGTACAAGACGAAGATGGTTGGGTGAAGTTCCAGGATCGGGTTGGTGACACTTTCCGATGGAAGGGCGAGAATGTCAGTGCCGGCGAGGTTCGGGACCACATTTGCCGCATTGACGGTGTACATGACGCTGTAGTATACGGCGTGAAGCTGAGCGGGTATGTGACATGGTTTTCTTGAGGCTTTTTTGGGTGATATTACAATGCTGATGGTCTCTCCTAGTTATGACGGCCAAGCTGGTGCCGCTGGAATCACGCTGGAATCGCCATCTGCTGAGACGGACATAATGTCAACGCTGTACAAACAACTCAAAAAGAAGGGTGTTCCATCTTACGCCCTGCCTCGACTAGTCCGACTCACTCAAAGGTAATCATCCCCTTTGGTTCAGATGCATGGCCAATTGTCTGATAAACATAATATTTGCAGAGTTGCGACCGGTGTTACATTCAAACAGGCCAAGGGTGAGCTGGCGAAGAAAGGCTGGAATCCTCGTCAAGACTGTGATGGTGACATTTTGTACTGGTTGGACGGCAATAAGTATCGGAAGTTGGAAGAAGGAAATTGGGCAGAGATAGAAAGTGGTAGAGCCAAAATCTGAGTGGTTAGTTTCTGTCAATTTGCCATTCTGATACATGTTGTACGGTTACCTCCTGTATCATCCCTGGAATGAGCAGTAAACAAATGGCAGTGTTCTCCTAGGCAGACTTGGCTCGTGAGGATGGCTGATTATGGACTTATACTTGTCCTCGAAGGTTCAGTGGCCAGGATCTTGTTTCAGATAAGGTTGCGCTAAGTGGGTCATTCGGAGTGTATTGCGTGTCACGTGTTTATATAGGAATGTCTTTATCTTTTGTTTCCTGATATTTTGTTTCATATACCTCGATTTCTTTTGCCATATTGTGGCTGCTCTCTTTGAAGTTTGATGCCGAATCTTGCCTTCGGCACCACCGTCGCTATCAAACGCACTCTTCAAGACTTTGTTTTCCATCTGACGCTTCCGCCCCGTAGGTGATATTATATTCGAGTCGAATGGGAAGATTATTTATACATTCCACCACATCGTTACGTGAGTCCTATTCAAGGTTGGGGTTCAATCTCAATTCATGTGCGAAGCTCCTTTTAGCCGCACAAACCGTGTCAAAGTTTTCCATCGTCCAGTCTTGTTGCAACTGACTAGAGATTATCTGCTCCAATTTCATTTCCTCTTTCTTTCTCTCTCTCACACACACAATATTGGCATATTAAGATTGCGTTAGCAAGTTCCAGAAGGTCTTAAATCGCTCTTCGAAAAGTCCCGCGCGGCCAAGAAGATCTCGAGACCAAACGTCTGGCTTTCCAAAGAGTGAAGACGCATAGACAGACTCTTTAGACAGGGTTTTCGAGTACTGCGTAGGTAGTTCCCCGATAAAGATACTTGAGAATCTACTCACATATATACACCAGTGCATTTGATAGACCCAAAGCCATCGTATAATTTCCTAAGCGATCCCCCCTCCCTTCGATGAACTCATCAAAAGCCGCTTCAGTAGAGCCCTGCATCGGAACTCCGCTAAGTCAACTGAAATATTACGCTGATCAATGTGATGGTTGATATCTATGATAGGGGAGTGGGCGAAACATTCTAGGCAACAATCTGGTGCCTCAAATATCGCGGTCTAATCTGGTGACTGAGGATTATGGATACTGTGGGCGCTATGAAAGAACGAGAGAGGCCTTCGACAGCTTTTCGGGCATATTTTATGATTTCAATAAATTCGAGCTTGTACGCGATGCGAACGAGAACATGATGCATAGGACCTATATTGCAACTACCATTGGTATAACGTCGGGATAGATACACGCTTTGGCCAGAATGGCCCGTGGCATATGTTCAACTTACCACAGATTCCCTATATAGTGATCTGAGCTTGAAAGAGCCCTTTTGATGTTCGTTTTGCAGCTTGCACTAGATCACCTACCTAATTGAGGTTTGAAATATTGAGCATTATCACATTTATTGGTTGGATATAATACAATTCAGCCGATTAGTTGCCTAGAACCTGGCCTGCTCGGATATGAAAAATGACTGCTTAACCCACATTGCTATGTGAGAGGACCAAGACAGTAAATATCTCTACAGAACAGAGTTGAGCGGCAAAAGCCAAGGCCAAATGCGGAAGCTGAGAAATGCGACCTCTTGATAGGACGAGAAGCAACAGTCAAGCACTAACTAGACCAGATGCGATGTTAGTCCGAAATCGTCTTGGCCAGACCCAGTTTACTGCCACGATCGGTATGGTCATTGCATTGCGACTGGCTTCTGCTAAGGTGAAGGTTTTTGGCACGCGGTGGTTACTGCCCATTTACACCATCCGTCGTCGACTTTTTCTTTTTTCTCTTCTCCTTGTCTTACCCCTGCATAATCATATTCATCCCGGTCATGGATCAGGATCAGCACAAAGACCCTGGCCACTCCACTGTGGAGGTGGACCGAGCTGGTCTTCCCCAGAACAAGATTGACCAACCGATTGCGCCAGATCAATTCGATGAGAGATATCGCACAACGCGGATGGAAATATGGGCTTATTATGCGTGCGTGGGCTGTTGAATCATCCTGCTACAGAGACTAAATCTTATAACTGTAGCTATTATATTGGGAATAATGGCTTGTCGCTATTCAGTGGGTTTCTTCACCCCTGCGATGATAAAGCGCAGGGAAAAGCGGAAGTTGACTCAATCCAGACTTCGCACCGACTGCTTTTCAAAACTTGCTCTACCAAGCGGCACCCTCTGATGGCTTGCTCAACTTCATAGGCAGGCCACGCACGATCAACAGCATCGTGCTTCTCTCGAATGGAATTTCCTTCGCGATTCAGGTCGTGGTATTCCTGGTGATTGGCAGTTTCGCCGATTTCGGTTATTGGCGACCGAACATCTTGATCGCATTGTCAATTGTAGCCTATGCGATCGGCTTTGGTTGGTTGGGTGTGCACACCTCGGACAAGTGGCATGTCGCGGTCGGTCTATATATGGTCGGTTTGATTGCCTACCAGACTACTCTCACTTTTTGGACTGCTGCATTCCCGGGCTTGGCTCGCAACACCCTCGAACTGAAGGAAAAGGCCGATGCATATATGGCAGGCAGCATTACACGGGATGAATATGATTATGCAGACACCCTGATGCGCAGCAAACTAGCCAACGTCGCTTTCTATGTTCAGTCTGTGGCGGAAATATTCATTCTGGCGATTATTGTGGGTATTATGTTTGGCTTGGACGTCAACGCTAGTGAGAGCAAAAATAACTGGGGTCTGAGTGTCCTGATCGCTTTCGTCTCTGGGGTGTGGTTGCTTGTCTCAATCCCGTGGTTTGTTTTGGAGAAACGCCGGCCGGGTCAAGACCCTGGGAAACGGTCTATCTTCATTGCTGGAATATGGCAGCTCTGGCATGCTATACAACAGATCTGGCATTTGAAGCAGAGTTTGATTTATCTAATTGGTGGGTTTCATGCTCGATTAGTTGTGTTCATCACTGCAATTCAGCGCTAACATATGGTGCCCGCGATAGGCTATTTCCTACTTGGAGACTCGCTAAACACTACTGTGACAGTCATTGCGACTTTGCAAAATGAGATCATGGCCTATAATACCCTACAGCTAACATACCTGCTCATTGTTGGTATTGCTGCACAGGTTAGCCCCGATTACCCGGTCAGCTATCCTTATAACTAACACATTACCTCAGGCAGTTGGAATCTACACATTCTGGGCTATTCAGCAACGTTTCAAACTCGGAACTAAGACTATGTTCAACACTATAGCTATTGGAATAATCCTACTCGATGGCTGGGGTATGATTGGTATCTGGACAAACAAATTTGGCTTCCACAATGCATGGGAAGTTTGGGTATATCCCTCTCTCTCCGAGTTCGCAAGAAAAGACAACTAAACGCACCTCCCATATAGGTCTATCAAGCTTTCTACGGCCTTTTCATTTGCCCATGGTATAGCTACTCACAAATCATGATCTCGGAAGTTACGCCACGCGGTCATGAGTTTCTATTCTTCAGTCTTTTCAGTATCATTGGCAAAACCTCGTCGTTCATCGGCCCTATCGTCTCAAGTGCAATCATTGATGCAAGTCCATCGGGCAATGTCTCAATGCCATTTTACTTTTTGTTTGCGTTAAGCGTTGTCAGCTTTGGGATTTTGTTCTGGGGAGTTGACTTGAAAAAGAGCCAGGAAGAGCAGGAGAGATTTTTGTTGGATAAGTTGCGTCGGTTAAATGCCAGTGATTCGTCGCAGTCCACTGATCAGAGCTCGACACCTGTCTGATACTGCCTCGTGTACGGCGGAGTGTATTTAGTCTTCAAATATACATAACCACCATGCGGTCTTTTAGACCGTGATATCTTTCATTATGCCCTATCTCACAATTGCAATGAGACTCTAAGGCTGTGATTCAAGGCACGTGGAATTTAAATCCAGGGAGGATCATGAAGGCTACTTCATGGCCACCAAGCACGTCATTCTTTAGACCATAGGGCTACGAAATATAGGTCCCAAGCGGAACTAGACCACAGGCTACCCGGAGAGGCCAGAGACGACTAGCCGGCACAAGTGCTCAAGTTATCAACCACTCTGACGTTGCACTACCCATACTTCTTGTTGAAAGGACTTGATTTACCGTGCACTATATGCCCTCACAATTAACTGGTATCCCTCCAAGTTATCTGATCCACATAAAATACCTAGGTACCTTATGTAGGTACGTAACCTGAACGCTCCTCAATACATATAGTCTTACACTTAATGCTACCTAGGTAGGAAGTACTGATGGTAATCGAAATATCATTTTAGATCAAGGTATGCCCGGAACTATCCAATTGCCGATGGAGTTAATTTTCAGTGACCAATATCTACCCACAAAGTCTCAATTCTTTAGATCGTGCTTTTTGTATCCGAAGGGCAGTGAAATCCAGGGGTGCATAAGTTGTTGGGGTCTATACAGCTCATAAAACACAGCATACCTAGTTCAGGTAGCTAATTCAGTATTAATCGGAAGCAACCCCTGAGCGCTATACATCTTCGCATATCGGTCATGAAGAACACACGGGATGGCGCGAATCATATAGAATAAAGCTCTTCGTGTGCCATTTCTGGGTATCCTTCGCTCCTTACATACATTCATGGGTAATCATGGTCAGCATAGTGTATTTAGGTCTATCAAATGAACAATTACTTTTTATCACGATCATGCGCAGAACAGTGTGGGTGAAGTAAATCATTTCTTGGTATTGAACAATATTTTTTGTAAGTGTACGCCAGCTTGCGGCGTACACGGGTTGCAGCGTTGCAACGAAGAACCAGGAGACAAGACATTTAAACGCCAGACCTATGCACTGCCATAAGCGCCAAATCCGATACAAAATACCGATATCACAATCAAAGAGCAGTTCATTCCCCATCGGAAGAAGCCTCCTTGGACTTGCTCTTCTTCTTTTTCTTCTTCTCCTTGCGCTCGGCAGCCTCGTCTGCATCGACATCCGCCTCGGCCTCGCGTTTCCGCTTGCTCTTCTCCTTCTTGTCCTTCTTTTTCTTCTTTTCCTCGAGATCGGCCGGCACAGCCTCCTCGGGAGCAACAAAGTCCTTCTCTCGCTCGCGCATCTTCTCCTCGCGCTTGAGGCGTTGCCGCTCGACAACCTCCTCCTTGTGAACGCGCTCCTTGGCCTCCTTTGACAAGAAGTACTCTCCAGACTCGATCTGCAAATCGACTTTGCTCTTCTCCGGGGCAGGCGGGAATGGTGTGTAGACCTTCTTCTCCTTGTCGGTAACCTTGAATGGCACATGGCGCTTGGACAGAGTGCGCTTCTTGAAGTTGGGCAGGAACCGGTCCCAGGACTCTTCCGCCAGGGTCGGGTCCTTAGCAAGCTCGCGCTTGATCATAAGCTCCTTGATGTGGTAGATAGGGTGGATATTTGCCATGCAATCGTCGATGATCCGGCGCACTTCCTTCAGTCCCTTGAACGGACCCATCACGGCCACTGTGTTACCCTGGACCAGGATGTATGTGCTGGTGAGCAGCTCGAGTGCTTTGAGAGTTGAACCGTTCGGGCCGAGAATACGCTGTCGTCGCTTCACGAAGCGCTCTTTGTTCCGCACCTGGTTGCGGATCTTGATCACGTCACATGCGACGCCGTCTTCGAGAATCTTCATCGCTTGTGTCACGGGTACGCTACGCGCGAGGAGCTTGATCAGATCCCGGGCTTTGATGATCGCTGCGGGGTCGTAGGTCTTTCTTGTCGTCTTCACGGTCATGCTGCCCTCCACTAAATCCAGTGTGCAGGCGATGCCCTGCTTCTCCAGCGCGCGTGTGATCACCGGCCATGCTTCCTTCAGGTACTGTTCGCGGTATTTGGGGAAGAGGGTCATGAACGAGGACTCCTCGGCGAAACTGCCTGCAGCATTGTGTTCGGGTTTGAATTCTTCGATCTGTTGCGAGGGTTTGTCAGTAAGAGTTTTGATTTGTAGAAAAAAAAGAAACAGCCGTGTGTGTTGATGTACCTTCCACTTATCAATATCATCTGTATCCCAGGCCTTTTCCTTGTTGTGTGTTGAAGGCATTTTGTCGGTGGTGACTTGGTCGCAGGAAAAAGAAATGGGCGACTGTTCCGGAGCTCAAATTGAAAATCCGCGCCAACTTTTTTTCTCCCCGCTTTCCCCGATCGGGTAGTATTGATGCCTGTAGTCTCAGGCAGAACTGTATATAGATCGGGATCAAGCATGCATATCCTCACTCCTGATCACTAACTCTACGCTAAGATCTCATTACTCACAGCGGTGGCTAACTGGATTGGAGATTTTGAAATTTTGGGTCCGTTATGATATGCTACAGCAAGCGCACTTCGGTTCATCCAAAGTGAAGACGAATGAAGTGAAGATCACCACCGAACACATTCGAAGGATTGCCAATTATTACTCTCACGTACGCAGTATTGGATATAGGCTTGCAAATCTATCAATCATCCATTAGCAATGAGTAGTGATCAGAGCTGTATGTCTTCTAATCCTTGTTGCGTCATTCTGGCCTCGGAGCCCCTGAAAGAAAACCCATCACATTGACTGGGGTTGATAGCTACGGCTCTCGGGTAGGTCTGTGCCCCATCATCGCCGCCGCGCCACGTTCCAATGCATCAAAAGCAAGAAAAATCGTAGCCCGTGTACTCCGTACGGAGCAGCTCGAGCATCTGTGGGTCCCTTCGGGGATCCAGATGCCATAGAAGACCTCGGAGAGACCAGGACTACCTAGTCTCCCCCTGTATATTCTCTCGAATGTCCAGGGGCATTCTGAAAGGAACTTAGGTACCAGTTCTTGGCATTCAGAAGCAACATGGGCTCTTCCCGGGCAAGGGAGAGGGAACTCAGCAAATAAGCGAGGGTTGAACTTTGTTTGGATCCCATTCTAGAACTTTGTTGAATTGTACTCCCAGTAATCTGTGAGATTGCGGTCCCAATTGAGTACCACTCTTTGCTTAAACCCCGGGGAAGAGTATATTGGGCTATTAAAGCTCTTGCTGCCCAAGGGAGACCAACGAAACACGAGACTCAACGTTCATTGGTATGTGTCGGACGTTGTGACTGCTCACGAAGACACGATGAGACTTGCCGCCGTTCAACGGGACTATATATGGACCACAATTGGTCAAAGACGTGAAGACATAAAGTTGTGAATCCACCAGGGTATTGTTCACAGATCAGCTGGTCACATACGCCGAGCTGCACAGCGCAGATGGGGTGTTTCGGGTCAGTTGGCGTGTAGATCATGTGTTTTGCTGAAAATCGGTTCCCTGGCTCTTTCCCGTCAGTTCGCTGGCGGGAGTCCCCTCCCACTCTGTTTCATCTTCGTCTTTCCATGTCGGTCATTCACGTTCGTCATCAACCATCCCCAGTCAGGATTGTGATCAGTCACATCTCGGACCTTCTTTGGATCAAAAGTGTCTTTCTCTAAAGGGAAAGGCCGGATCGGGCCCTCGCATCACTATCGGGGATCGGGTATCGGGTACCGGACCGGACACGATCTCAACGGCTTAATCTGCATGCAAGGACTTGTATCGTGAGCTCTTTGTTCTCTGATTCCTCTCCTTCATTGTCCATATCAGACAGCAAACCCAAACCGAGCGAATCCTAACCAGGAAAAGGGATGTCTCGAGGCGATTCCCTGCCGTGTTTGTGTGGAGATGAGGCTCTTTACAACCCAGGCCTCATGCGTGTGCGTATTTATCGCTTCTGCAAACACCCCGGTCCCTATTGTAACTGAGCTACACACATTCCTTTGCGCCAATCACGATTGGCTCCCCTGCTGGTTCTCAGTGCCACTATGTGACGTTCTTTTCGATGGAACATCGAGGTTTTCAAGTTTTCCACTGTACTTCAGCGAAAAAATGGAGGTGTTTGTTGATATGGAAACCCATCGTGATACCAGACACAGCAGAGGAACTGGTACGGTATAAAAACTCATTCGACTAACCATCTTTCCACTAATGCAATATCATCATGCCGGTGGGATGCGAAGAGCAAAACAACAAAAGCTGTACATGATGCTAGGCGTGGAACGCACGAGGAACGGCCCCAAAAGGGGGCTCGCTTGAGCCTTATCTAGCATGAGGTTGTTCCCACCTGACCCATTTCGGCTTTCAATAAATCTTATTGATGCCTCACGGCTTTCGGCCAATACATACGTACCTGTCTCGTCAGATTGTGTGTTTCGAATTCAGATTGAACATTACCTACAGTGGAAAGTATGCTTTTAATGTGAGATCTGCTGCTTCGTGCTGTGCTTGGTCCACCAAAGAGTCGAAACTCGCTGGTGACATGTGCAAGCGTTGAGTCAATGGATATATTGCGAGCGATCGGAGAAGTTGCTGTATGTTTTCACGATTGAATCGACCGATCTCTCGCATCCGTGGATCTATATGAGACGAATCAGTCTCGGTCCTTTTCTTTGGGCTGCTGAGGACCAACCAGTCGACCATGCAGACAAAGGAAGAGGGATCATCTTTGTGTCTACCTCGACAAACCCTGCACCAGTCAAAAGGGTTCTCAGCTTCGAACCGATCCGAAGGTCTTTCTTGTCTTCCAGAGCACGCAGGTATTGTGTGCTCCATCTCCTCAAGGCATGATCATCAGTGATTGAGCCGTTGTCGGATTGAACGTTGAAATATATCTCCACCATTTGGACCCAACCTCCTGACCTCAGTACCCTTGAGCATCGCCGGCGTTAGCACTGGGGGCGTTTAAGAAAACCCGTGGAGGGACAGCAAGGCCAAATTGCCTGGAAGGGCTCGCACCTGACTATGTCACGAAGATAGGATGGCCATCGGGTTCGATTGATTCCGGTCGCAAGGAGCCTAGAGTGGACAAGGTCGAAATGGTTTGCAGGAAATGTGAAGGGGCGGTTCAAATCATCGACCTATCCTCCAAAATATCAGCGATCATCCTTCAGTCTGTTGAACATTTGGAGAGAACTGCTGGTCAGAATGAAAGAATCACACGGAGAATTTGAAGCACCCATTATGGACCTCCTGCGGCGATATGGGCCTCTGGTGGTGTAGGCCGAACGGTTCTCTGCTGTCGAATTCGAAGCAAGTTGACTCACCTGAAGCCATAAGTTGTCAGGAACATCGCTTGGACTCATGTGAGGGGCAATGTCCACGCCAATGACCTATGGAGCACCAAATTTTAGGACGTTTTCGGGCACAATCAAACGGAAATTTTACCTCGCAACCAGGATTCTGCTCCGCAACATCAACGGCCCAGGATGCAGCCCCATGACCACAGTCCAAAACTCTTCGAAGTCGATGGATCGGTGGGAAGATCAGCCGATTATCAAAAAGTCTTTGAAATACTTGTTGCTGGTTCTCGAGTCGTTGTGCTTCTTCCTGGTTTGGCTGTTAGTAAGGTGACAACGATAAAACTTCAGACTCTCACCTCATCGACCGGTCCAAAGTACGTGCGATGATCAATCGAGTATTTCTGATACTCACGGCCCTGAACCGTGACCGTATCGAGATAATCACGGTCCAGTTCTACCGTCTGCGAATCTGGGTTTCTGGGAGTCAAGATAAACGTCAATTTCGCTTGACCCGAATCCACGCAGGGGAGAATTAGCCTACACCATTATTACGCTGAATCGATTGTTCGGCGGACGAGAAGGGAAAGTTGGGCTGGTATCTCCCAGTTTTCTGACCAAGGCGGGGGCTGATTGCTGTGCGTACAATGAGTTCCATGAAATCGCAATATCCGAAAGAGGAATGAAAATCGATGGCTGAATGTTTCATGGAAGCGATCGGATGGCGCTTAGGGACGTCGGCGGCACCCCCGGACAGGATGGCGCCTCGCGCGAGGATCATTCACCCTTGGGCCGTTGCTGGAGAGGACTGTATGGAGGGGCTTTCAATCATACAAGGTGTGTACTAAATTGTACGAATGGGGGAAGACAAAACTGCCCACCCAATGAAAATCCCTCTTCCAAAGATCACAGCAACTGCAGGAATTGATTTTTGATGACATGGGGTCCTCGACGGTCGAATGATCAGCACGTATGGGGCTTGCGTGGATGGTAACCAAATACGATCAATGCGGAATCCAAGTCCCCTCCGGATCGTCCATGTGGTATATTGGAGCCACCCCCAAAAGCGTTCCTCGGGACCCTTGATCTCTGACAGCAAAATTACTTAATTTGATTTCTGAAGCCTTTCGCGGGAGACCCTTCTCACCACTTTGGGAGAGTGGTACACCAACCAGGGCTCGAAGATACAAAAAGCAGGCGGGTTTGTTCAGTAGCCGAAGGGTTATTCACGAACAAAGCCGAAACGACACCACACTCAGCAAGTAACAGAATTGGCTTGGCTCGGTTCCGTTCTTCAAAGACAGGCTAAAGAACCTTGAATGTAGGCGGCAGTGCCGTCAACTAATGCACAGTACACCGTCTCGCATGGTACCTACTATCCTTGGGGGTACAAGGGCGCCCGAAGGTGTGGATCGAGAACAAATCCGAACACGCCGCTGCATCTGACCAAGAACTCCATAGCGCCGTCAGGGATTGTCTCAGATCTAAAATTGACGAGGAGTTCCCCGACGGTCACCAGTGGTAAAAGTGCAAGCCTACTGGAAATTGAACCATGCCTTACTCCGACTTTCAACTGTGCTCTCGCAAAATATGATTCAACAAGGACTGGAGTTGAGCACCCAGGAGTGAACCAGTCATGCAATATCTCACCATGGGGTTGCAATGACGCCAACGGAACCTCTATGCGACATGAACATGCGGAGAAAAGAAGGATTAAGAATCTGCATATTATGATAGAGCAGATCAAAACGAAGAGAACCATGGAACTGGAATTCACGCCAACCCTTGCGTATGTACGGAGTACAGGCCAGACAAGCCCCAGATGGCCGGTTTCAAAGGTAGGAAAAGCGATGATCGCCGGTTTCTACCTTGTATGAATGGATATACTGAACGAAAACGAGGGAGAAAAAAAGAATAAATATCTGAAAGATAGAAAAGCAAAAAGAAAAACCAAAGTTGCCCATCAAACTGACCAAAGAACTCGGTGACAGATTTCCAACATAGTCACTCACCAGCCTCAGGAGTGACGCCGTGTCTTCGAGCCAATGTGCATGCAGCACTGTGGGTGCCAAGTGGCTTGTTCAGCCCGGTTTCATGATCAAATAGCACCAACCGCCGCTCGACCCGAGTGGAGTTTGACGGACAAGATCAGCAACATTCTCGTTGGGGCATCCATTCCCTCGGGACTCTGGCGGGTTTGCTTTTGGATGTTGCATTTTATTATGGCCCCTCTTCTCTCGCTCTCGCTCTCACCGCTTGTCTGGAGAGTTTTTCATTCCAAGATTCCAAATTTGCTGGTGCAAGTGGCGGACACTATGGAGATTTGCTATTGCCCAGCCTGTCTCCGGGTGTCGAGGATTATACACAACAAAAGTACGGAATACGGTCCATGAGATGAGGGATCTATATTGCTTTTTTTTCGTGTCTCTCGTGCTTTTCGCATATGCTATCTTTTTTGTTTACCTTTATTACGAGATTTGCCTCGATGCATGGTGCCTCCTGAACCACGCTCTATTGGAAAAGATATCCGTACCTAAGAATGCGAATGACCTATGTTCTCTTGACTTTGGCGGCTGGGCATATGCGACTATGTTGTACCTATATACGACACTTTCGCCAGTACCCACTTTCATGTCGGGAGGGAACACATTGGAAATTGTTCCCAAGCCACCTGACGACTCCTGATTTTTCATTGCCCTGGGGCAATTCTCCGAGATATTCGGGTCCCACTTCGTGGCCGCACCAACAATCTAGTTCAGGTGCAAGGATTTACCTAGTACTTGCAGTTGCAGGTACGGCTACCTAGTCTGGGACTCGTGCATGGTCGGACTTCTCACTGGACGATTATGGCACGGGGATCACCAAAGAGACGAGTTACTTCCGGTCACGTTTATTATTTGGCCAAGTGTCTTTCGTATGTGGCCCGCACACTGATTTAAGTTCACAGGCTGTTACAAACAATTATATGAAGCGACAGAGACAATTCACATACCTCCGAAGACCCAAGCTGTCGGGATTTCGACAGGGGGCTTACCCGTCCGGCTCCGCCGTTGGCTCCAAACCCAGCGCCATGGTTCATCCCGGGGCCACCTTTCTTGGGGGCAGGGCGGTTCTCTGAGATCGTCAATCTCATTCCCGTGGACTCCTTTTTCGGAGTATTCTTATCGAAACTCAAAAGGTCGACATCCCCAACGGTTTGGGACTGTTTTACTTTCTTCCCTCCTTTTTGCCTTGTTTTATTCTCGCGTTCTTTTTTACTCTTTTCCTTAGCGTGTTCAACACTGCCCCTCCTTCCTCCTTGTTCTCCATATCCCCATCGCCCACCCAACAGGCTGGAGCCTCCGAATCAGACAGCATTCTTCTCGCCAGGCCATTGGAGTCCTTTGCAATGCCACAAGGAATGGGCCACAGGAACAAATCCATAACCATCGGCTTCCTTACGTACCCTTCTATGGATACCTGATTGTTTCTCCTTGCCCTCCACTATGTAATGCCATTCCGTCGGTCCCACTAGCCACATGCATGGCATCGCGCTATCGATGCACTTGACAGGTGGCATTACCAGACGGGGCCACAGTTGGAAAAAATAAGAGAGCAAAAAAAGGGAGCTTTTGCAGGCCCCGTAAAGTTCCATGAGGATGAGCTGAATGCATACAGGAATCCCCCTCTCTAAATAAATCTTATCAACGTACGGAGTACAAAGTACATGTATGTTGTATGAGTGCTATTCCTTCAATTGGCTCCGCGCCTTCTTGAGTGGGTTGGTATGGGTGAATCGAGAGATATCCAAATCTCAAGCATTTGATTTGCACTACATAAGTCTAATCATGCAGGTCGAGGCAATCCTTTATGAATCTGCACGCTCAATAAACGATCGCCATGTTTGCATGCTCGAAGTGATAGTATAGGGTCCAAATAGGCTATATGGAGGTATTTAACTCATTCTACATCATTTTATATAAGAGGGCTTTCACTACGGAGTTTGTGAGACAGTATAAAATTTCCATTAATCGATTGAAGAGGGGGGTATAAAGCCAAACAGAACGGGAAAAAAAGAGACCAAGTGGCCTACTACGCCAGTTGCTTGGCTCGAGAGATCCCATCAAACGTGAGACCAGTACAGAAAGGCGCTCAATTCCCTATTTACCGCACATCCTCCCTCCCTGCCATGAACTTCACACTCGCGGAGATAATCTGCATCACCGTCTCAATCTCGGCTTCCGTCCGCGGTGCATAGATCAAGATATACTCCGCAGGAAGGTCGGGCTTTGTACCAAGCGACAGAATGCTGAGCGCAGAGGTACCCGAGAAAGCATGACGCTGACCCCAACCTGCCTCAATAATCCTTTTGCCTAGAATGCGATGTTAACAACACAAACATCAAACCACGGAGAAAAAAAAAAACCATGCATACAATCAGCTGGCGCAAGCACCACATGTGCCGAGTGCTCATTCCCCGAATGGATATGCGCAATCTCACGATCCAAAACCTTCGCAATCCCCGAGACAGGCAAATGATCCGCAACAAACAGCCCATCCGCATGGCGCTCCATATTCGACCTCTGGAACTTCACGAGGTGGTGGTTCCGATATCCGAAAGCCGTGAACACACTGCGGAATTTCTGCACAAGTGATCAGTAGCTCGTCGCATGCTTCTCGAACAAAAATGCATTCAACATACCTCCATAATACCCTCATCGGGTACCTGCGTCAACTGCCTCTGTGGTACAACATGCGGGCCGATTACAGGCCTCTCCCCGCGACCCTGAAGCTGCTCTTCGGAGAGAGCCAAAAACCCATCATCGCCCTTCCCGTGGCCCTCTGCTGCCGCCATGCGTTGGACGTACTCGTCTGTGCTGAACATTTCCTGCCCGAATGGCTGGAACAGCATGCGTGCAATTGCCCATCCTAGTACGTTGCTCGGCAGGCCGCCCGGGCCGTAGGACTTAAAGATTCTGTAGTCGCGATAGGCGGCGGGGAGGACGAGGGCTGAGGCGAGGACAGTGGCGGCGCCGAGGGCCAGGGTTAGGCGGGTTGGAGGTGTGGGGCGTGGAAGTGGGATGCGCAGGCCGGAGATGGCGGTGGTGATTGGCATGTTTGTGTGTGTTGTTTTGGGTGTATAGGATTTGGATCCAGGCTTCTTGGGATATTTGGTTTTACTGGGTTCTGCTGGAATGATTCTCTCCAAAAATACCGGAGTTAGCCTTCGCCGAATCCGGAGCCTAACGTGCGAAGGGGCCGTTGGACGCGATTAGCAAGTTGTGTGTTATCCTGCTTAATGAGATGTTTCTTTAATCGAGGTTCATTTCACTATGCTACTCATATTATCATTAAGCCCGATGTCTAACATGACTCGGTTCATGGGTCTACTTCGACTTGTCCCAATATCCGCAGCCCCACCGATGAGGCTTGGTATACATATCCCATTCGGATCCCCGTCTTGGCCCCATGTTGGCCGCAGTAGGGCCTGGTGACTCAGTACGAATTCGACAATCCGAATTCCGAGATTCGTAGCATCCGCCCGGGGATCACCGAGAGTCGCGTGACATCCAACAGCATTGGTCTGAAGCGCTTTGCTTATTATACCCGTAGCCAGGGCATGCAACCGCATTTCCAGATATGGGTTGATCAAGTTGATAAAGATATCAAGGAATAAAATACGCAGAGCTAGGGATTGCAGGATTTCAATCTTCCTTGCTCTCCTCACGGCTGATAGCAGTCAAGGAGTGTGCAAGCTTTAGAAGCACCACACTTTCCGTTGCGGCGAAGTAGTTCAAGCTATATTGTGTTAGAACGCATGATGGTATACTAGTAATGCCCAAAGCTGGTACTCACCTGTCCATCAAGATCCGCAAATGGCGTGAGAAGTGGTCCTCGTATCGCTTCAGTGTGTCCTCAAGCTTTCCAATCCGCGTGGGGTCAAATCCTCTGGCATCAGCGCCAGGGACTTTGCCCCCAGCCAGATCGGGATCAGCTGAAGCTAGCGCTCGTGAAAGTGATGCCGCAGTCCAGGAAGCGAACATGGTGCAGCAAGTCACAAGTTTTGAATGGATCTATATAGTTGGGTCATTAGTACATGCACGAAATCCGTAATCTAGTAGGGAGGAACATACCTTCAACAATTTGGCCTGTGTAAGCATACACTCTTTCAGACAGGTGTCCAAGAAGTCCACATGATCCTGCATCAGCTCGTCAACCGTTCGGTTGACCTGCTTCATATCATTTTCCTCCACCTCCGAAGCATTTGCATCAACTCTGTTGACGCGGTCCATCAGACCAATCCAGTTAGGTTCGATGACTTCTGCCGTACAGAAATACAAAAGTTGCTGAACAAACACCAACATTTTCGCGCGCAGATTCCATGCCCGCCGTTTCCAGATTTCCAGCCGTCGATCGGAGGATTTATGCCGCCAGCTGATGGTCTTGTTCTGATCTGCCCACGACGTGACCAGCAATGTCTCGAGATGTCGCAACGATAAAAGATGGCGGAAGATAAGTTGATACCGTAGAACGGTTTTGCGGCTGATAACCAGCGACAGAGGGAATGGAACCGAATAGTCCAACTCAAGCGCATCGAATCCTAAAATATCTTTGTCCTCCTCTGCGGAATGGGCAGCCGAAACTTGTTGTTTCTCTGCTTCTGGGCCGTCTTGGTTCACCCCCGAAACATTGACGACTTGCATCAGCCATTTTGTGAGGCCGATCTTGTTCATCCGAACCTTGACATCTTCCTTGAACGGATCCAGTGCTGCAACACTGCCGGGCTGTCGAAGAACGATATCTAGAAGTGATTGGAGCTTGCCCTCGTTGACGGCACGCGCGGGTTTTCGTAGTTCCGAAGCACCAAGTTCGAGGAAGTAGGAGAAGAAATCAGAGCGATCCAGGAAGAAGTAATGCTTGAGTGATCGGAATCGGGTAGTAAGAGAGTTTTTGGTGACAAGGAGGTTAAGTAAAGAAGCATTGGCGTAGGTGTAAGCGGAGTTAACGTTGTCCAAAAAGCGCGGATCATCGAGCGTCTTCGGGACATCTTTCACCTCCTTGCTAACGTCGACACCACCACATTCACGCACCACGTTAAGGTATTTCCCTGCGAGCAGAACTTTATCTTGAACGCTCTTAAGCTGGGGCGGAACCTCATTCTCACGAATGGTATAACGCTTTTCCCAATATTCATCTGTGTAGTCCTCCTCGAGCTTCTCGCGTTTGATCCATTTTTGTTCCTTCACCAGGAATTCGGCGTGGGGATCCCTGATACCGCCATGGTGTAACCACTCATTCAGCATGGCCATGTAAGGTCGACTGGCATCACGCAACAATGTTTGAAGAAGGGTCTTAGTGGTCGGATCACCTGAGAAAGATGCCAGACGCCCCGTGAGCAGTCCGAGAATGTTGCCTCCTTTGCACATTTTCTTGCGCGCCATGGATCCTGGTACCAAGTCTCCTCCTTCTTTGAGTTGTTCAAGGATATTGTCAACATCCTCATCAAAGTCGTCAATTGACTCCTCAAGCTCCTCATCTAAAAGACCATTTTTGAGTAACAGTTCCTGGCCCATAGAATATAATTGAGCCAGACATTGGCTAGTGGGCATTGTATGGAGGTGAAGAAGGTGAAGGGTAAATGTAGGATTGTTCAGTAGCTGGCCTTCCAGTTGGGCAATAAGGATCAGGTAGTCTTTGAGAAGCTTTCGAATAGATGCACATAGCGAGTGGCTAACAGCACCGCACTCCGCGCGGCTTTGAATTTCCACAAAGGCCTCCATCGCGCTATAATGTGTCGCCATCTTTAACATGGACTGCGTGAGATCGCGTAGGGTCGGATCCAGGCCGGGGGCTATTTGGAAGACAGGGCCTGTGAGGCGGTCCTTCTCGATCGATGGGTCGTATGAGCTAGCGTAGTGGATATATTGGCCTTCAAATCCCATGAAAACGAACAGCAAGTCCTCCAAGATTGCGGTTTCTTGTGCATCGGATGAGAGCTCTCGAAGTGGCCGAGGATGGAGGGACTGCGGAGCCGTCGAAGCTAGAGGTGGAACAGATACACGACATGCGAGTGGAGCTGTCGAGTGAGGAATCAATGACGCTTGGGGGTTCCATGGTGCTGCAGAAGCAAACCATATGGTCAGCAAATCTATTGCGGCCTCGAGGCCGAAGTGCGACGCAGGGATCACTTACAACTAGCCATATCGTTCTCCTCGTTCCGGGTATTCAAAGGCGCATTGTCGCCCTGAACTGGTTTCCTAGTCCGAGTCTTATCCCAATCGCCTCTGCTGGCCGCGCTGACAGCTTCCTTGACAGAGGTGATAGGGTTCCTTCGCACTGCTTTTTCCCGTGTTGTGATCATCGCCCGTTCTGATCGCTTCTCAGACATGCTCCTCTGATCCCGGGATGCTCTAGGTTGTTGACTTGATGTGCTGTGGCGCAAGGGGTCCTTATTCTCGACTTGCATCGCCGACGGTCCGCGAGTTTCGGAATCGACGCGATTGGAGACGGCGCGGGGTCGTGGAGCGCTCATATACGCAGCGCGGTCATGGGCAGACATAATCCCACGAGGGCGACGAGTAGATCATTCAGCATAGGGGATCCCCGGGCGCGAAATCGAGGAATCACCAACAATGAAAGCACCAGAGCCAATGTATGGGGAGCAGATGCAAGTATTCAAACAACTCCACTTTGGTTTGGGCAGGACACTGCCTAAGGCACCAAGGCAGCAACCAGGCACTCACCTCTTGCGTACGTCGAGAGCTTCCTTCCCGAGCTTCACTTAGACACCTCTGCTCTTCTTCCGTTCCAACTGATTCTGTCCTCCATCCTGATCCTATATTGCTTTATTGCTTCTTGTCTTGATCATTCCCTCCCATCCCGTCAGATAATCCAACATGTTCATTGCACGATCAGAATATGGTAAGCTTGGCCAATGTCTCCCCTCACTGATGCGGAATCAACTAACAGCTCTGGACAGACCGTGGAATCAAGTACGTTTTCCGAGTTTCATCCGTGTTCGTTAGATGGATTTGAAGTCTGACAATGATGTCTTTGCAGCACCTTCTCCCCCGAAGGTCGTTTGTTCCAGGTCGAATACTCTCTTGAAGCTATCAAACTAGGCTCCACAGCGATCGGAGTATGTCATACCGCACAGTTCCTATATACTCTACAATTCCGCGGAAAGCCTCGAAGCACTACAACGAGCGATCATTGTACTGCTATCGGAGCGCCAAACCAAGGATGATGCGATCATGGGCCGGGTTCCGCTGACACTCAACTAGGTAGCAACATCCGAAGGTGTGATCCTCGGTGTTGAGAAGCGCGTCACATCCACCCTCCTTGAAGCATCGTCTGTCGAGAAGATCGTCGAAATCGACCAGCACATCGGCTGTGCCATGTCCGGACTGCAGGCCGATGCCCGCAACTTGGTTGAACACGCTCGCGTCGAGTGCCAGAACCACGCTTTCCACTATGCCGAGCCTCTGCGAGTTGAGAGCACTACTCAAGCCATTTGCGACTTGGCCCTGCGATTCGGCGAGAGTGGTGATGATGAGGAAAGTGTCATGAGCAGACCGTTCGGTGTTGCACTGTTAATTGCGGGTTATGACGAAGACGGGCCCCAGCTGTAAGTAATGCTGTCTTCTTTGCTCTGATATAATTGCTGATCTGTTTTCCCTGCTAGATACCACGCCGAACCGTCCGGCACATTCTACCGGTATGACGCCAAGGCCATCGGCTCGGGAAGCGAAGGCGCACAAGCAGAGCTGCAGAATGAATACCATCGATCTTTGACTCTAGCAGAGGCTGAGACGCTGGTCCTCAAGACGCTGAAGCAGGTCATGGAGGAGAAGCTGGATTCGAAGAACGTCCAATTGGCTAGTGTGACCAAGGAGAAGGGCTTCCGTATCTACAACGATGAGGAAATGGGCCACGCTGTCACACAGCTTGGCGGCAACCAATGAGTGCGATTAGTGACAAAGATATCTTTTGAAGAGGCTCCTCGGACTTGATTTGGAGGCTAGTATCTATGTCAGGAGCAATAGAAAAATAATGACGATGCCGTCCAACGCTTACACGTTAGCATTTTTATACCGAATTTATGTAGCCAGCAGCCTAAGATGGTTTCAAATATGGAGAGAATGGATGATAAATTCTTTTGGTTATGTGCAAGGAGAAAGGAACAGACGCTTCATAACATCTACCGGATCTTATAAACACAAGGCTTCAACACTTGAGCCTCCTGCTCAGCCGACATGCCAGATTCTGAATCAGGCTTGCGGTCAACAAAACGTTTCTTGGTGCCAGGGGCAGGCGCACTGAGAGCCGAAGCGTGTTTCCCCTTGGTGGGCGCACCACCCTGCTTGACGAAGACCATTCTCACGAACATCTTATTAGACTTGTCCACCGACTCTTGGCGAAGCATGAACCCACGAGACCGGAAGACCTCCACAAACGCCGAGATATCAGTCTCATCGGTGTTATCAGATGGCCGCACATCCTCGGCAAAGATATCAGCCTCATCGGCATCAGAGTCATCATCCTTGCCGGCCTTCTTCTTAGGCTTCTTCTTGTCTGCCTTGCTGCCAGGCTTCTGCGCACCAATTTGAGACTTCTTGCGGACAACCTTGCCAAATCGACTCTTGACCTCGCTGACCCAGCACTCACCCTTACCATCACCGCGCAGGATGCGCCATGCCTCCTCAACGAACGAGACCCAATTGGTTCCCATCAGACTGAGACAGAAAATAGCCACATCTGCCGCGCCGTCTTCCAAGGGGAGGTTGGAAATGTCGGCCTTGGTTATCAGCGCATCGGGCGCTGCCAAATCGTAGCTGTTGAGTTTGATGTTGAGCTTCTTGGCGGAGGGAGTCAATGCGCGTGCGAGCTGCGCATCACCACAGCCAAGATCGGCGAATGTGCATAGTCCGTTAGGACGGCGGGGGAGTGGGTAGCCCTTAGCTGGATTGAGAGGCTTTCCTCTCCTGGGGAGCGGGATTGCACCTCGGGTTCGGATAGTCTTGATGTAGCCGTCGACTGGGTTGGAAGGCCATGACTCCTTAACCTGTCGCGCAAATCCAGCGTGGTATTCGTCGAACAGCTCAGGGTTGGCACTAAACATCTCGAGGGCTTTCGCGGACGGGGTGGTGTAGAGGGTTTCGTTCAGGTGGCGGAAACGAGAGGAGATCAGCTTCTGTCGCATGGCTTGCTGAAGAGGAGTCAGGTTTGTTGTTGGTGGCAGTGCAGGCGCAGCAGGGGCAGGCGCTTCTTTAGCCGGGACAGCAGTAGTAGCATCTGCGTCGGTCTTGTCCTCTGAGGCGTTGTCCTTGTTCTTCTTGTTCTTCCTCTGCTTCTTCTTGGGTGCTTTCTCCTCGGCTTGATCGGCGTCGGCGTCGGCGTCGACATCGGCGGTGTTGATATCTTCATTTGAAGGCTCCTGATTGGAGTCTTTCTCGACTGTCTCCTTGGCCTTCTTGTCCTTCTTTTGCTTCTTCCCTGACTTCACAGAAGCTTCTGCGCCATGCTTTCCACCCTTTGGGGTTCCGCCTTCGATATGTCTGCGGTACATTTCATCCACATTTCCCGCGGTGACACGGTCATTGGCACGCTTGCGCTTGTTATTCTTTCCATTGGGGGTCGAGGCATCCTTCTCGGGTTGGGACTCGTTCTTAGGCTGCGAGGCCGGTTGAGTCTGCGACTTCAGAGCGGAGCTCTCAACGGACCAACCTGGAACAGCAAACATGATTAATGCTGAAGGATTGTTCTACTGCCCAATGCCTTTGAAGAATGCAGACTGGAAGAAGCACTCGGATGGATGCTTTCGCAAAGAAAAAAAAGACAAGCTCAAAATTTCGTTATCGGTACGGTAATCTTACTATCAGATTACATACACATTCCTGCCTCAGGCACCACTATCTAAATGTCGACTCTTATTCGCCTAAAAGCCTATATGAGCACTCGTGTGACTTGTCTTAGCCTGGAAACTAGACAAAGATAGGCGCATAAGGGCGAATAGAAGGGCTTGATTGGCTGCTCAAGAACCTTGCACCCTGTCCCCCATGCGTGTAGCCCCCAAAAGACTGCCTCCTACGGAGTAGATGGACCCCTGCAATGACCCTCTTGTGCTCCCTGAGCCAAGCAGTCTACCGGTGTAAGAGTTAAATCTGAATTATGTAGCTGATCATATGTGGAAACCAATGCACATTCCCCCGACGAACCATAGACAGTGTATCGCGGGTGATCTGCGATCCTCGGCAGCTTTTCCCTCGAGTTCCCCGTTAGCCCTGTTTCTTACTTTCTTGGTTGGCATCCTTCTCTTCCTAAACTGTGTTCTCTTGGTCCCACAATGACTTCTCCCTTGTTCATCCTGACTTCTGCTTGAGAATCAGTCCTTCACTATGGCTGATGATCTTCAGAACCAGCTGGACACTCCAGCGGATCCCATTGATGGCGGCTCTGCGGATGCCTCAACCGCACGGTCATCCGGTCCCCGCAGACTCCCCAAGAAGAGAACCAAGACAGGCTGCTTGAGTATGTTGCAGAATGCTGGAGAGAAGTTTCCCCATTGACCAGGCCTCGTAGCTTGTCGAAAGCGCCGGATCAAGTGCGGCGAAGAGAAGCCAATATGCACCAACTGCGTCAAGTCCAAGCGGATCTGCGAGGGTTATGCCCAGCGGGTCATCTTCAAGAACCCCATAGGCATCTTCGGTTCTTTTAGCGGCGGCCATGGTCAGCATCACCAGATGGAGCAACAGCATATGGGAGTACCGATATACAACGACTATGGCTTTCAACTTCCTCCCCAACAAGCGGCAGCCGCTGCTCAGCATCCAATGCTCGCTCCGCGACCTGTTGATCCGGCAACTATGGGATATCATTCCTTGCCATCACAGATGCCTTCGTCGAGCTACACTCAACCGCTTAATACATTTCCCTTCTACGGTCAAGCAGCTTCGATGCAACCGCCAGGCCATTTGTCAATGGCTCAAAGCGAAAGTGCATCCATCCCCCCAAACCTAACTAACTACTCACAATTGCAGCAGCCAGTGGAATCGAGTCAGATAAACACCATACCGGGGCCACAGACAAACGTGCAGATTGCACCGCGAATCATCGCTCCAATCGAGCAGTCGGCTGGAGAAAATGCCTCCAATCTTTCCCCGATTCCAGCTTTCAATCCCATATCAAGTGGCCAAGAGTTTGATACCAACGTAATACCCCAGGTATGCATTGTCGTTGTCTCTACGGTTTGCAGCTGGTATGCTGAGTATGATTTTCTAGATGATTCAGCATTTGCCTACGATATATCATTATCAACCACCACCGGGACAACCACCGCAGCAGTTACGATCTCATGAACAATTTATACCCCATCAGATTCCTCTTAAATCACAATTAATATACATGGAGGATGAAAGCGAGGACTATTATGACGTGGACTCGGACGATGAAATGGGGGATCAATCACAGACCGAAGGCTTCAATCAACTGAGTCTCATCATGGCCTCTGCCAATCGCGATGAGCGCCAACTGCGTTCTTTCACGACTTATCTCAACGAGCCGAACGTTCTCGCCTCATACCGTCCTACGCTTGGCTCTTCTCCCTTGAATAACCCCAAAACAGCCCGCATCTTCGCTCACTTCATTCACTCAACTGGCCCTTCCTTGTCTATATTTGAAAGACATCCTACCGATTCCTCGATTGTCCTGGGGGCAGCTGTACCATCTGCACAACAGGGTCTATGGGTCTATACCCTTGCGCTCAAGGCTTTGGAGCATCCAGCCCTTCTCCAGGCAATACTAGCTGTCAGTAGCTTGCATATTGCCTACCTACAACAAGTTTCCACAGCAGTATCTTTGAAGCACTACCACTATGCCTTGAAACGAGTTGGTACTGCAGTCGGACTTCCACTTCGACGCAAACAAATCGGTACCTTGGCCGCCACTCTTCTACTAGGCTATTACGAGGTGATATCTGCCGATCATTCGAAATGGAATAACCACTTGGCCGGGTCCACCCATCTTATCCGAGAGATCGATTATGCCAGAACCACCAGAGATCTTCGGGCCCATCGACGCAGAGTTAATTCGCAGCGACGCGAGTCAGACTGGTCAAACTTGGGGTGGGGGATGTCTGGACAGGTCTCTGAGGACGATCCCTTCTTGGAGAAAGAGGATAGCGTCGATGAAGCTCTCATAGGCACCATTATGGGACGAGCTGTCAATTACGATTATTTTGGTGGGATCGATGAAGAACATACGCTGCCTCCCAAGAGACATTTCACTCGTAAGGACATTGAGGTGTTCCGAATTCAGTGTGATCTATATTGGTGGTATTTGAAGCAAGATGTGATCCAGAGTTTCGTGGGTGGAAACAAATTATTGTAAGTCTACACCTGCCATTAATGGAAGGAAAATAATTGCTCATGATACAAACCAGAATGCCCTACTCACAATGGGGTCAATGCCCTCCCCGGGCAGGAATTGGCCGATTAGATGCAATCTACGGTTCGGCTGACCATTTGTGGCTGCTGCTCGCTCGGGTGACAGATTTTGGCTTCCGTGATCGTAAGCGGAAGCTGAGAACCCTGAAGGCAGGTGGCATAGACTGGAAACCAGGGCCTGAGCTGTTCCAATTCATGGGACGCTTCGCTGGCGGCCCTCCTGGTCAAAGACCTGGACCACCTGGCAGCTTTGCTCCGGGGCCTCCCCCTGGTCCTCCTTCAGGCATGCCCAGCATGCAACCTAGAGGTGAACCTAGACGCCCATCAATGGCAGAACCTGCGGCAATGTCCCCTCCAAGCACCGGACCGACAGTGACTGACAGTCCACCCATGTACGGAATGATACCAGCCCAACCACCCGTACGCCTTCCCTCTGGATTCCAAGATAGGCCACGCGAGCCACGTTCGTCGCCGGACTTGGATGACCCAGCTCAAGACATGAGTTACAAGGAGGCCGAACAAGAATGGGAAGAGATCCTGGCCGCCATGGACACGTTTTCCCATGCGCTGGGCCGCGATTTCCAACCTTTGCCAGCGGATGTCGCACCCCCGATCTCAACTCCATTTGGTCCTGCCCTCCAATATCGTACTCATACCATCGCGGTAATTTGGGGATTTTACTATGCTATGCGTCTCCTTTTCAATCGGATTCACCCATCTATGCCGCCGGCTATTATGATGGCTGCTGGGGTAGCGGCTCCAACGACTGCCGGATATGCACAAACTGTCGGCAAAATCCTATCTGGCATCTACTACCCGCAACGCTTCAACCTGGAAGCTGGAAGTCTCAGTCCGAATCTGGGTTCTTCAATGACGGACATGACGGTGCCGTACTTTTTCGCTGCTGTGCAATATACTGATCCCACCCAGCGAACTTGGACGATTTCGAAACTGCGCGACATTTCCCGCCTGACTGGGTGGAAGAGCGCGGACGCTATTGCAGGTGGCTGTGAGAAAGCATGGATAGTCGCTGCAACGCAAGGTCGTGGACCGCCCTATCAACGGTCGTTTGAGACCGATCGGACCCGGGAAGTGGAACGACAGCATGAGGTAAGAATCCTCCTCAGCTACTCATGGATCCTTGGCCTCAAATGGGCCTGCTAATGTTTGCGCCACAGTCGGAGGCTGTGCTCGAGGAGGTTGACGATCGTCGATTCGTCCGAGTCAACCCAGACCGGGCTCATTGGGCTATGGGCATTTTGGAAGAGAACATTGCCAATTTGGAAGTCTAGAATTGGATATAACAAATGTCCTAGCTATTCCCTATCTTAGACATCCCATACCATCACATACAGTAGTGCCCAACATAGAAGCAAAGTTGTGGCGGAGAGTTTTATCTCCCCCACACCCAATATAGTCCGACCCAATGTCATCAGTGATCGGCTTCTGCCTGACGCTTTGTCTTCCATCTTATTTGATTTTGGCTTTCTATTTTCTCCTAAGGCAGATTCTTCGTTTCTCCATTCTGCTTCTTTGCCTTCAGTTTCTCTCTCTCTCGAGTGTGTCTCAGCCGTGGTTCCCTCGAACCCCTCCCCCACTCTCCGAAAGTCAGCCGCCCGCGTCATCCACGGTTCACATTTGTAGGGCATCTGATACTCCTTCCCAAATGTCTCGATATGGTGATTACCGTTCGTCAACAGGGACCCTGGACTCTCGCGACAGATATGACCGATACTCACGGGGTCCCCCGTCGCTGAACGACCCCGCCATGCCGAAGAGCGTTTTGAGGCGCGTCTCCATGATGAAGACCAATATGGCCCCCCTGCGCGTACACCAGGGAGGCTCTATCAAGATGACTATCTAGACCACCCATCATCCCCTGCTGGACCACTTGTGGCGCCTGACCGGCGCCGACGCGGTGACGACAGTCCGTCATTCCGACGTCCGCAGCTTATTAGGCGGCAGTCGTCCTTGGACACTTTCGACCGCATACCCCGGCGCAAGATGGAACAGTTCGAAGTGCGAGACCGCGCTCCCCGTACTCCTCGCGTACCTGTGCTTGCTCCGCCTCCCCGTCACCCGGGCCGTTATCGCGAGCGCGAGGTCTATGAGGATATTAGGATCGCTGAACCCGACTACTATGGCGACGAGGAGTTTAGAGAGATTAGGGATCGAGATATGACTGACCATCGCCGCCGCTCCAGTAGCACTGTCCGCAGACATCACGAGGAGAAACCTTACCCACGCAAAGGAAAGACTCGCGTTCCTCGTCACCTTGCCGATGTGTACGCCATCATGGATCTAGGCTATCCATTCAAGGAGGAGGTTAGTGTTCGGTTCTCCAATGATGCTGTCGTCGGGTGCTGACCTGGTTAGGGGGACGTGATCGTCATTCAGAAGGCGTTGTCAAAGGCTCAGATCGACGAAGTGCTCGCCCGGAGTCGTGAGTTCAGACGGCCTTCACCCGTGGAAAGTGAGTGTGACATCCTCATCCCCCAATTCCACTCAAGAAAGAGAGAACCTTGCTGAATGAGTTTCTAAACAGGCGAATACATCGCCATCCCACCCTCTCCTCCACTCAGGCCGCGTGAGAGGATAACCACGGAACACCTGCTCGTTGAGGCTGCTTCTCCGCGCACCAGCCATGAGGCATTCATCGTCGAAGCAGCACCTTCGCGTCACAGGTCACGATCGCGTCGTCCTGTGGAGCATTATGAAGAGGTTATCGAGCGGCCTGTAGGTCGGCCGGTAGATCGGTCGCGACTGCGGGCGGCTTCACGCGGGGTGTCCCGGCGACGGGCGATATCAGTCCATGACAATGGACCTCGTGTCTCGGCTCCAGTGCAATACATCGGAGCACGAGAAACCGAGAGTGCCCATACCAGCTCAATGGTTCTTGTACGTCCACGAGAGAGCGACCGTGATATCCAGAGTCTGGAAGAGGAGATCAGACGTCTTCGTATGGAGAAGCAGGGTGGAATTGAGATCACTCGCCAACGTGACACGGAGATCATTGACAATAGAGGTAACGAGGAGGAATTTACTGAGATTCGGAGGCAGGATCGCAAAGGTATGCAGCGACAGCTTTCCTATGTCCCTTTAGTGATGCTAATCATATTTAGAACCCAACTCTCGCATCATGCGTGCCATGATGGCAACTCTAACTTGAGCTGCTTTCTGTTCTGCTTTCCTGCTTTTATTACGAAGCGAAGGTTTACGACATTACGATTTTAATCTGATTCTAAGAGTTTATCTGGAAGCGGAATTCCGGGTATTACTATGTATTTTCTTACCCAATTTGCAAATGTCCTTTCGATATACATTTAGGTTCCCTTATACATTGAAGTTTCCACATATATGTTGAAAACGTTAGAAAGATCCTCGGCCTCTGCATGTGTAGGCTATCAAGGCGTATAGCGCTCAGGGGTGGGTTTCAGTTGAAATCAAATCTGTTGCCTGGATATGCCTGACTTTGGACCGCTCTTGACATCGCTCATTACTCTATTGTAACCCATAGTCCCTGTTTAAAGCTATCCCAATTGAGGCCATTCATACATTATAGGTGTACGTATCTTGAGAAGAGAAGAAGATATCCGTGACAAATGGTTGCGAAAAAGGCCTCGAGGAAGGCAGTCAAAAAGACTACTAAAAATGGAATACAGCTTCATACTTTCTATCTAAGCCTAGTGAGAAATAACCTACCAGGGTGCCAAAATCCATACCATGGAAGTATTCCACGGTCCGTATATCAGCGGCACCTCCGGGGCTGGACCCAGCCCCGACACCTTTTAAGGCGGATTTGGTCATCACTTAACACAGAAACCTACGATACATAGTCTTTTGGTAGTCGTCGTCAATACCAGTTGACCTTCTAAAAAAATGATCGGTCAGGAAAACGCGATTCCAAGGTTTGATATCCGCACTGATACAATGTCTTTGCCATCGGTTATAAGCTACCTAGGTGCCTCCTACCACGGGTTGATTTTCGAGATTTTCTCGATTCAGATTTAGCAGCTTCACCCTTCCTAGAGATTACAAGCTAGTCTAAAGTACCAGGTCCTCGCCCCTACCCATAGATTCTTAAGTCATTCGAGATGGCTATGTTTCCAGATACGATAAGGGATCAATATAACCATTTTACCTTCATAGGGAGTGGTATTTTATCCGAAGAATTTCACTATGAAAGATTTATATACCCCTTAGTCTTTATATACTTATTACTAATAGTCTTTTAGGATTCCTAAAGGGGGATAGGAAGTAGACCTATTAGTGGATGAAGTATATTATATCTTTTAGATGCTAACTTATACTCTAGCGAGACGTATACTATTCTTAGAGATATACGATTCTAGCTCGAGCGACAGTTACCTAAAGTTAAATGTTTAAATACCGAGAAGTTAGAATTTCCTCTAGGTTTATTACCCTACCATACGTATAAGGGCCACTAGCGTTCAATTTTCAGGTTCTCTAACTAGGAGAGATATATTAATAAACGACCTTCCTCGATAGAGCTCTTTGCAATCGCTATATTAACCCACTAAGAAATGACCGAGGCTGATTAGAAAAAGTCGAAGAAGAATCGGTTAAACGAGTCCTATTTTACTTTCCCGGTTTATCTTTCCTTCTTAGGGATTAGGGTTTTACTAACCTGCCATTAGCATTTAGTATCTCTGATAGACAAATTCGGCGGATGCCATATGTTCTAATCCTATTTTGATAGCAAGTTTCATATCTAGTTCTCAGAGCTCCTAGATCTAGGATATATGATTGCCGTGCCTGCTTACGGGCAAAGATACTTTGATATAGTTGACAGCGATTTTCTAGAGAAGTTGAACCTGCTTCTGAAATGGGCATGGCCTCTTACGCAAGGAAACACCGTTGCCAATGTTACGAGGATTTGTGGGAAGTGACTTGCCTGGATGATTTTGCTAGATATTCCGGTTTGCTTATTTTCAATTTTGACGTTGCTCTAAGTAAATGAACACCCTATTAAGGATCCGTCTTTCTTGATGGCTTTCACAATATACCTGTCGCCTTAGTACCAGTAATTGAATCAAGGAAAATCAGTCATCAGAGTAGCAAGATCATTGGGCTTGGAAGTTGACCTTGTTCCTTGTTTGGGCTTGAGGGCGCTGGCTACGAAGGTGTATAGCGCTGGAGGTCCGTTTCAACTGAAGTCGAATATGCTGCCTAAACATGCCAGGATTGGACTACTCTTGAGACCTAGGTATCTTAACTAGGCACTTATTATTACACAGTAAGGTCTATATCATAGTAATTCGGCTATTCTCATTTTCTGCCATCTTAAATCTAGGCATATTCAGACAGCACATTCGATTTTGATGGGAATCGACCTCTGAGCGCTATACACATTGGCAGCTGGCGTTCCTCTCAAGCGTTGCTGGTCTCTCCATGAAGCGCAACTACTACCTGTCTGGGCACACCAAGATGATCGCACTTGAGAGGCTGATCTCATAGGGTGGGGAGGTAGCATCTTCATGGTCTGTACTGCGTGGACTTATGCCAGCAAAACACTTGTTTTTAAACGCTCGAACGATCACGCCTTCAAACGAAGTATGGATTATATGCCCAATATGCTCATCCTAACGGCTCCTCAGCTGCACAATGCCTTTTTCATACACCTGTTTCTTTTAAAGTATGATAGAGATATTAAAGAAGCACAGAAAAAAACATACAAAACAAAACAAAGAAGGAAAGAATCAACTTGACGACCTGCCCTATGGATGCCTGATAACAAGTGGCGCAACTGAGGCGGTGCAAGGTCGAGACTGCGTCCCGCCCGCGGAGCACATGTGGTGATGTTCTATCATCATTCCATCCATTATCTCCCATTCCCTTCTTGTTTTCTTTTTCAGTTAAAATTTCCCAAATCCGCCAATCATGGATCGAATGCAGGCATTCGGAAAGAACTTCAGGTGAGTACACATTGTAGACCCCCTATCCTGTGGGCCCGAGTCCACTCATTTTCACTTGTGACCGGTCGCCTTACTAACATTGTGTTTCCTTATGGTTTTTTGGCGAACAGTGCAAGTTTCACGCCTTTTGCGCAGCGTACCCAGCAAATGATCAAGGAGCAGCTGGGCCAAGCCGAAGACAAGACCCAACTCCCCGATGAATACATTGAACTTGAGAAGCGCGTCGACGCGCTCAAGCTCGTCCACCAGAAGCTGTTGCAAGTGACGTGAGTAATCTTTGCTACCCTCTGCGCTTCAATGCGTGTTTCTTTCTACGGGCACTGACTGGTACCCTCTCTTGCGAACAGCTCCCAATACTCCAATGAGGCCTACGACTACCCTCCCAACATCCGCGAGTCCTTCAATGACCTCGGCCGCACCATCAATGAGAAGGTCCAGCTCTTGTCGCAGGCAGGCTCGCCCGCTGAGGCCCAAGCTGCCTTGACTGCCCCGCCTTCCGCAAAGCCCCAACCCAAGACCTTCAACCACGCGATCGCCCGCGCTTCCCTCGCCGGTTCTCAGACACTCGCGCAGAGCACTGAGGGTGAGGACCCTCTTGCTACTGCGTTGGAGAAGTACGCCCTGGCCGAGGAGAAGGTCGGCGAGGCTCGCCTGGCCCAGGATGCCCAGATCCAGTCCCGCTTCCTGGCTGGCTGGAACACCACCCTCAACACCAACTTGATGTTCGCTGCTAAAGCGCGCAAGAATGTTGAGAATGCTCGCTTGATGCTTGACTCGATCAAGGCTAGCAAGAAGGCGTCTGCCCACGGGGATTTGGATAACCTGAGCGAGGATGCCCGTGCGGAGATCGAGCAGGCCGAGGACGAATTTGTTGGCCAGACCGAGGAGGCCGTGAGTGTGATGAAGAACGTACGTATCTCTTGGTTTATATCTTATTTTCTACCCTGTACTTGGGTTCATGTTCAACCCCCGTCACATGGAACTAACATTGTCTGAATCAGGTCCTTGATACCCCTGAACCCCTGCGCAACCTGGCCGATTTGATTGCCGCTCAGCTTGAGTTCCACAAGAAGTCATATGAGATCCTCAGCGAGCTTGCTCCCACCGTGGATGCCTTGCAGGTCGAGCAGGAGGTACGTTCCTAGTTATTCTTGTCCATTAATCTATCGCTTCTAACGAGTTCTTTGTAGGCCAGCTACCGCAAAATTCGTGAAGGCGCATAAATGATTTCCCTTTTTTCGTTTCCTCTGTTTAATTGTTCTGCCTGGCTTCGATTTTGTCTGTTATCCGAGCCATGGCATTGTCTTTTTGTATCTAAGCCTTTTTGCTTCTGCTGTGCCGTCCCAACAGGTAATTCAGTCAGAATCCTTGTGCTTGGAAGGTGATATCTATATCAAAGCCCTTTTAAAAACCCATAATCTATTGGAATTGTAGAGCACATGCCACCCTCATAGATGTAACGATGTCATACCGTTCTCGATCCACCGCCCGCGCGTTCTGCCTCAGGCATCAGCCTCCCGCTAGCTCCAGGAGCTCCGACATCAACGGAGACACTTCGACTCGCCAGGCCGCTATCTCCAGCCCACAACACATTTGACAGCGCCATATCCTTTGAACAAGCCATTCCAATACCCGGCTTACCTCACACTTGCGCAAAGTGTCATCGACCGATCACAATCGTGTCACGCCGCATCGACACATCGATTACTTGTCCACCCACCCGCGCTGTCAAAGGGCCTGGACATTTCGAGGCGTATTCTCAACGTATCCATAACGGACATCAAACGATAAGCTTCGTTTGTGTTCATATTCCCACGTCACCAGCTCTTCGACCATATCGACGTCTGCAAACAACGCCGAGGGACCTCCGCTCCAGGTTGTGCTTTACTCCAACGAACGAATACCATAACCCACCAACGACAAAATGGCGAACGGGTATGTTCCACATTCCCTCGTGACCCTATTCAAGATCTTCTTTCTACATATCGAGCAATGGGTTGAATGTGTATCTGGTAACGGGTGTTTGCATTGTCAATCTACTCCGCAGCGCCTCGACCATCCAATACTCTGCCCGATAAGATTACAAAGGATAGTCGCTGACATTTTATTTTGCAGCTGGAGCTTGGTCATTGGCTTGGTCATCATTGTGGCTCTCTCTACAGCAGCCTGGTTCCTGAGCCCGAAGGGCGATAACCAAACGTGAGTTCAAGCCTTGCTATTTAGATGCTGGGCATCGAACCCAGCAGTCTGTCCCATTTGGACTCTGGAGCAACCGAAAATACTGACTCTGCTATCCTTAGACTCTTCCGCAGCACACTCATCCTTTCCTTCATTTCCTGTTACTTGATGTGGGGTACGTATCATCTCCCGGCTTCTAGATCTGCTTTTATCCATCATTTGACCACTACAAGAAAACAGATGCTAACAAATATGTCCAATCTAGCAATCGTCTTTCTGTCACAGTGGCATCCCCTTATCGCACCCAAGCGGTCAGATATCAGACCTGATCGTGTACCACAATAGAGACATTTCTCGCTTTCTGGTTTCTTCCATTTTTTCTGTCAAACTCCGCCAATCAAAATTTCGGGCAATTCTCGGTTGCGGAGCATGTTTTTGTGTTTTTGTCTTGTCCAGTCATCAGGACATTGTGTGGTGAAGCCAGGCCCGATCTATATCATGCCACTATATCCTTCCGTTGGACAGGAATGAAACCCACTTTTGCCTTTCCTGCGACTTAGGACCAAGTGGCAGGCTACTTATGGAATTGGCCTGCATTGCGAACCCCTGGGTCCGCATATGATTCGCAATTGGTTTATGTTTTTTTGTATACATGTAGCTTTTCCTCTAGATATCTGACTTGTTGTTGGCAGCGTTCTATCTGTATGTTTCGTTTTGATCGGGCACAATGCTTTTTCTTTCTTTTCGAGGGCTCTTGTATGCCTTTCTACCATGGTATTCGGTCTTGACCTAAGGCTTCGCACATATGTAGCAGTCTATACCAGATTTTAGGCCACGGTCGCGGTTCTCCCAATCGCCGCTTTATGTGATGGCGCTCAGTGAGCACTCAGCCTTGCTCGGTGAACCTCGGAACGCTTAGTGTATGATCAGTCAGTACTCAGGCTACAGTCTGGAAATAAAGGCATATACATATACTCGGCAGAGGGACTATGACGGAAATCAAAAAAAAAGTTAGAAAAAAAGAAATAGGATGGTTCCAGAGGGGGTCGAACCCTCGACTTTGGCGTTATTAGCACCACACTCTAACCAACTGAGTTATGGAACCAGATCATGTGATGGCGGCAAGAATTTACATTAATCAATGTGTTTCTATATGCCTAGGTATATAGGCCTCGTTATGTTAAGGTCATACCGGTTGACCGACAGAATTATTTCGGACATCTACTCCTGGAATTCAATGAGCTCTCTCCAACCGTTACAGCAAGGTCCTAGAGCGGTATCTAACTGTGGACATATGGGCAAAGCTTGAGAATAACCCCACGCCTGGTGTAGGACTAGTTGGCGATAGGGGACTATTCTCCCTTGGTGGGTAATTGGATGTCCTGAGATTCACGGGATTTGTCCGCAGTTTTTAACAGGATCTTGGATAGATCACGGTCGATGAATGGCGATATCCAAACAACTGCTGGCATTTACATGCATATTCTCTAGCTCTCGAATGATCCCCAGCATGTCTGCCTGTACGTCGGCCAAGCAAAAGCTTGGAAACAGGATAGCGGCGCAGAATGATAGGTTATGGCGCAGAAAATAACCAGTCTTCATTATCACGTTTGGGATTCGCAAGAAGACATGTGTTCTAAGTTCGTTACACTTACGATATTCAACGGTGAAGGGCCGAAGGGTATAATCTATCTAGATATGAATAACGTCTACTGGATTTATCAGAGATCCAGATGACCTGTTTGTTCGGAACCCTCACTGGCAAAGATCTCGACAGTACCTGCGGACCGTTCATCCGCTGGCCGCAATCTCAAGTTCTCAACGTCGTCCCGCCTATATGGCACAGGTTTCCTGACGAGAATTTACCGGCAAAAAAAGGAGCTTTTGACCGCAGGGTTCGAAGCACTGATGCGCTCAGATGACCCTGCCATTCGATCATAGGTGGGCCAAACCACAACTTCATATAACGATTTCAGGAACCCTCCCGACCCGCGGCTACACCGCTATTAGTTTGAGAAAAATCAGAGGCAGCTCTAGAAACCTTGGAGGCTAATGAAAAGACAGTCATTGATAGGGTGAAATTCTATCAGGCCGAGGACAAAGAGAGAACTATACGTTGTGCTCTAGGCCGCGATCGCGGTTATATCACGCACGGGAGATGTAATATTCCTCTACCTCAGTCGCTTAGTATATCACCTGAGAGTAAGCTTTTTTCCAACTTCATCTCTGTGGGATGACGGCTTCTTACCGCTACGCATCTGAAGCAATACCCTGCGATTCAGGGGGTCGACTTGCGATATTGATCAAAGGCTGCAATTCTTCCGGTAATGAAGTCGCTGAATGGGTTAAAAGCTCTGGGGTTAAGGCCGCTATGAGAATAAACACGCTAGTTGATATACTAGATGGTATCGCCTCTCACCGAGACTCGCTCGTCTTGTCGCCGATGTGAGGAGCAAGGAAAAAGGACCACCGCGGAAGACCAACTACACGAACGAGTAGCGCCAGTATAAAATCATAAAACCAGTAATCACATATGCGCGATTGAAGTGAGCTGCCTGGAATGGCCGTATCATGCTGATGATCTCATGCGGGAGGTTGACAAGGTCATCAGCGGAAGGAGAATGCTTTCAATCGTCGAAGCCGGGGGTTTGAAAATACACAAGCTTAAACGGGACAGACTCGCCCATAGCTGCATGTACATTAGGACCTACCAGCATGAAATCGAGTCACTAGGCTAGTATAATGTGCAGCCTCAGCCCATGCTCTGCCTTACCCTACTACTTTACCAAATAAGAGAATAAGAGGTGAAGTGCCCACTGTCCATCAGATGCGTGAGGATTTGAGGCAGCAATGGCCGAGCGACCTCATCGTATAGCAAGTCGCCGAGATAAGCTCAACATTCTCTCATCACGGTAAATGAGTGGTCGTGGCAGTGACCACATAGGTAGTAGCAAAGAAAAGAGTGCATATAACCACTGGTTAGCCTTTTCGTAGTTGATACTTGGCTACGGATTACAATCATGACCTAATATTTGGTCGCTCTAAATGGAAGATATTTGATTCTTTTTACAGGTATAGTATGCAGAATATTGGAAGTATTCTTAGAATAAGAAATGGCGAAACGAGGGAGCCGGATGCTGACGATAGGATGTATGTTTACACAGAATCTGAACTGTTTTTTAAATGACATTCTATCGCCCTTCGAAATACTATAGTATGGATATGTATTTACTAATTCTTGCTCGTATAAAGGCGGTGCATTTGCCGGAGAGAATGACGGACTTAGCGACAATACCGTAAAGATGTAGTCACCTAGGTAGGTTGTTTTAATAGAGAAATAAATGTACCCCTCATTCTCAAAGTCCGGGAAAGCCCTACCCGACTGCATCAATATGACATGCAGACCAGCTGGAATTGATTTGATTGATCTTTAAGAACGATAAAAAAACTGAGGACTTAAAAAAGAAGTTTGTGTAAGAATGGTGGTTCCAGAGGGGGTCGAACCCTCGACTTTGGCGTTATTAGCACCACACTCTAACCAACTGAGTTATGGAACCGTGTATTGTAAGAATCGAAAATACGGAGAAATACAGACGACTGAATGAACCACCACGACAACCCCATACAAATGGTCTACTGTTTTTCCTACTCCGTACGGAATACCGCATCACAAACCAAGGTTGATACCTTGGTAGGTTTTAAACTTTCACCTCGTAGTATAAGGTTCCTCCCTCTATACTCTGGAGTAAAGGTTCCCATATAGCTTAATTCCGTCCTCAGCTTAGCCGTACAGAGCTGGATTGTACACAGTTTTATCCAATACGTAGCTTTATGCAGCAGGCAGTTTAGTCCAGTACGCATTTTACCTAGGTAGTCTAGTACACACCTGAGCTCTATCCAGTATATAGTTCAACCATATATACAGTTTAGTCGAGTACACTTTAACTCGAGTGCTCATTTTGATTCAGTGCCTCCAACGCCATACTTTGGTCTGAGTAATATAGAAATGTGAAAAAGTCGTGAATACAGCAGCTCACTAATTTTCTGCCAGCTGAAAAAAAGCTCCCCATTATCATGGTGGTTCATTCGGTCTTCCGTACGGAGTACTCCGTGGAGGAACATGAGGTATAAAGAATATAGAGTAGCAAAAAGTGGAGGTGAAGAAGGGACCAAAAAAGAAATCGTGGTTCCAGAGGGGGTCGAACCCTCGACTTTGGCGTTATTAGCACCACACTCTAACCAACTGAGTTATGGAACCAGTTGATATCAAATTCCAGAATATTGTGCACTATGAGCCTAAAGCATTAAAGCCGGATAAAATCCCAGTTTATAGATCGATTTGCAAGTCACCCGGCTTCAATTTGAATAAAACCACAGCTATCCTAGAAGGATCGCCCCAGGCTGTTATTCGGATTCTTTCTCCGCTCGGCATACCTATCAAGGCCTCTTACAGTAATTATATTTCCAATGCATTCTCCGAGTGACAATGCATAAGTCCTTCACGACGTTGGCGCCTAGGAACGATATGTACTTCTGCTACTGTGTAGGCCCTAGCAAGATGAAGTCACTAATGTTTCCGCTACCACATCAGTCTACTCAGTGAGCAAAAAGCGGCACAGGGTGAGCACTGAAGCGGAGAAGGAAAGCCATCTCGGGTGGCCTAAAATCCGGTGTATATGTTCATTGATGGCACTATGCGAAGCGCCCAGCCTTCCTATAGCCATATATATATACACAACTCGGGAGCAAATAAAGCTCGATTTGATTATGATTATGTGTAGAGTATGTACGTACCTAATTGAATCCGTTCATCAACCGACTCCCACGGCCCCTAGGATCACTTTCTGCACCGCCCACCGCGCAATTTGACCCGCAACGGCAACAGCAACAGCGCGTAGATACCCACAACCAAGTAATATGTATAACGCCTCAATATTACTCAACAGGACCAGATGCGTATCGACGACACCCAAGGAAAGCAGCGAAGCGAGCAAGTCAAAAACACCCGTCAAATAACTCGTCGGCGTGGAAGTTCGGAGCGAAGAAGCCGTGGCTGCTAGCCATGATTCCAGGAACGAAGAAGAATGCGCTAAAGCCGGAGCCGAGGCCGACAGTGGAGCGGAGATTGCTGCTTTAGCAGAGAGGAGCGAAGACGTTTGTCGAACTGTCGCGAATAGAGTTTCGTGTACCGTGCTCGGCATCGTAGCTGGCTGCGTCGGTGACTGGATTTGCGCTGCCGTGGGACTGTGTGCCGGGGCGTTGGAGAGGCTGCCGCTGCCGTCTGCGCCCCAGATCACAAGGAGGATGGGGAAGAGCTTTGCGCAGCTGCTGACCAGTAGGGCGGTGCTGATCGCTGCTGGGCTTGCGGCTGTTGGAGGGGGAGGGGTTGGATGTTCTGCAGCGGGGCTGTTGATGTTCGCCGGAGGGGCGGCGCAGGCCGGGGTGGTAATGGTGGTATTGATGTACCTTGTGGTGGTGAGGATAGGTCCGTTGGGGAGGTGACCTCGTTATATGAGTTCGGGTTTGGGGTTGGTTTTGGCGGGCTTGCAAGGGGATTCAAGGGAGTTTGCGTAATCGTGTTGACTGGTGCAGCGGACGGCGAGGGCCGCATTGTCGGCGTCGGGGGACCCGAGGTGGAGGGAGTGGCATCTCCGGCGGTTCTTGTGCTAGCGTTGGTGCTGACATTGTGGGTACCGCTGCGGCTGTCTGGCCTGGTATATCGGCGAGATTTTGGCACTAGAATTGATGCCAGAAGGCGCACAGTGAGGTGATGCGCAAGCGTTGCGATTGCGTTCAAGCTAAGGAAGAAGAGATATTGGATAATGATCGGAGCGCGTGAGAGGAAGGTCGCTGCGAGTGATGGGTTCTTCTCGATGCGGGCCCAGGTGAGATAGACGTCGAAGAGAAGGAGAAGAATTCCGAGGCGAATGATGGACCGCTATAAGGTTATTTCATCAGGTCATCGCTCACGAGTTCTGTCGGATAGTATACCCACATCGAACTGGTTATCGTCTCGCCCGAGTCGATTGAAGAGAAGATGCCGGTATACCTGATTCCAGTTATGTCAGGCTGCAAATATCACATGAGGCGTGGCCAGGCTTACCTGGGGTTTGATGAGCACCAAGTCAATGAAGAGCACAACAAAGTCGTATTCGACGTATTTGTCGGCAAAACGCTGGCATCGCGGGCATTGCGTTAGTCGCACACCCTTGCCTTGGGATCGGTCATCTGCACGGCTATATGCGCTGTACAGATGTGAGACCGGATAGGAACACTCAATGCAAATAGGCATCGTGTTATGTCGGACTCTCGAATATGCAGATTACAGCTATCCTACCGGGGAATCAAAGGCGGTGAACCTACACCTCGTACCTGCACAGCCGAGGACTACAGCGAACAACCAATCCCATTCTTAACCACCGCGGATATCTACTCGTTCAGTCCGTTGTCTCTAACTAGTAGACACTTCGTCTACACAAGGATTCCCAGATCACAGTCTGGGAAGCTTATCGCAAAAACAAAAAAAAGAAACTCCGATAGGGGGAATCGAACCCCCGGCTGCCGTGTGAGAGACGGCGATGTTAGCCACTACACCATATCGGATATTGGATGAAGGGCTGCTCTCTTAAATTTATTTTGAACCCTTGGAGTTAGTACACTTCATCCTATCCGTTTCCTTGCGTGGTTCTATATAATCCCTCCCATCGCCCCTTCAACTTCTCGCTACGTTTCGCCCGCCCGCTTTTCCTTTCTCTTCGTCTTTATCCGTGCTCTATAGGTGAGGCATTTATGCTATTGATCTAGATCACCGAGCTCCTAAGCTCCGCTACCCCCTTATCCCTCGATGTGACTCATCGGCTATTCTGCGATCGTGCGAATGTAATCCAATCTGTTGCCCGCCCTCGTCTAGCCCTATCTTCCTTAGCTCCGACCGGTACGCTCAAGATAAGACCGCCTTTTCCCTTATTACGCGATACAGTAGGCTCACCGTTTTAGATATCAATCGGCCGGTTTATAGTTAACTTCTACGTAAGCAGGCGCAGTCGCCCTATATTCTTCTAAGAAATCGTCCCTATACAGCGGGGCTATAAATCTGCTTCTATACTAATATACTGTGTGAGAGCTATATCGACCTTGCCTAATAGCGCTCGCGTTAATTTAGAACCGAAGATGATAGGGATCGGATTTCTCGGCCGCGATTCATGACTTGCCTAGCGATTAACTTAGGGATAGTTTTTTTTTTACGATGACTATAATATTCACGGCGTTCAGATCTATAACGCCGTAAGGCGACGCCGTTATCCGCGCGGAAACATCTAGTACACTAATCTATTATATAGTCGATTCTAGAGATCTACGCCGTCTTGATCCATATAATCAAGGCGCCTTATGACCGAACCAATTGACTTCATGATCGATTGGCATAGAGGACGAGGTAGAAGGATAAGGAATAGGTCATGCGGACTAGAGATAGAGGTAGCGTATGTCTCTATATTAGTCCGCTTTTCCGCGTTTCGTCTTTTGTCTCGAGTTATAGAACAACTAGTGAGCAGAGCTTAATCAATCTAGTGTAGACTTCCGGTCGGTAAGGTTGGACCCTGACCCTCTGAGGTGCGGGTGGAGGTTCCTAATCTTGGACCCGCGGGGCGGGTGAGTGCCAGGTCTAGCTGTATGTATCGAGAGTCGAATCACGTCAAGTCTCGGGGACTATTTGTTTATGCGGTCCGATTTCGGTCGCAGGCAGAGCTTTCAACTGTCGTACGATGACGATGTGAGAACACTGGAGAATGAGAATGACTGTCAGCGATGTTCTTCAAAAGTCACGCTGATGGAACTTGATGAAATGCGAATCAGTTGATCCGATCTGGATGAAGTGGGCTGCTGCGGGACGGGCCGATGCAGGCCCCCACAAATGCAGTGAAAAAACTGATCTGGGTGCTCGGAGTCTTCGAGCAAGGGCCTCATAACCTGTCAGCGAAGAAGAAGGCTATATAGGAATGAATGTAAATGAATTCTGCACTATGGACTCTGGAGAGGAGAGAAGGAGAGAGAGAGAAGCTCCCTCGACTGGCTATCTGGAAGTCCTGGGGAAAACGGAGTCACGTGTCATACATGTGACATGCATGTGATCGGTCACGTGATTCTCCAACAATAGTGATTTGGTACGTGGTACCACTGTACTGCAAAATCGCTACGTGTAACATGTTAATTTGCTGGCGCTAGAAATATCCTAAATCGCCGTATGTCGGATCTGAGTTTCAAAGTTGTGCAGTTTCCCTGACCAAGAGCTCCTGGGGATCTAGCGTATTATGATATCGCAAAGGCCATTCCGGTTGGTCCGGTTGGTCTGGCTGGTGTGGTTGCAGTAATAGTCGCGATTGTCGCGATTGTCGCGATTGTCGGCATTGCTGACAATGAACAGGCCGTCCTGACGTGGGCTCTTACGATATGTACTGTCCGCTGGAGCTCCATCGATGGTCGTTGAAACCCGTGGAGTCAGAAGGGAGACAGCCGGAATCGCGACGGAGGTGATTCTCAGTGATTCCCATCCTAATTCTTACCCTAACAACCAATCGATCTGGATTCCTAGCACACTATCTTTCTTTTCCACACTTAATCTAACACATACGAGCATAGGGTGTGGAAAACAGGGCTTCCCGTCCGCTCAGCCGTACTTGAGCCACACCGGTGAGTTAATAGTTGGGTGGATGACCACCAGCGAATCCTCACTGTTGTATGTGCTACGATACTGGAGAACTACTAGTGAATGCTGGCATGGGAAAATCGGGAAGAAGAGAGGTGATAGTGAATCTATGGGAGGAAGGCTGTATATGAAGCCTGTACTAACAAAGAAATGGCAAACTAGCAAAGGCTCAGTCTACACAAAGAGACAAAGACACCCCATGTATGTCAACGGTATGTTTTTACTTTTTAGTTCCTTTTTTGCGTCTCACCAGCGGCATTCTAGGATGAGTGCGATATAGCTGTGAATTCTGGAGACCAAGGTGGCAGAGGCGAGACAGGGCGAGGATAAGGGATTTCTACTATGATTCGTACCAGTCAGACCCTCTCCTATAATGGCAGGTACCTAGGTAGTCAGTTACTGCCGCATTTGAGCACCTGCCTGATTAGTGATGGAGCCTTCCTCACCTTTTACTTTGTTTACCTTCTTCCTCTTCCTTTCTTCTTCCTTCCGCCACACTTCATGATCTCGATTGAGCCCCCAACAACATACCTGTCTCGTGCTGTCTCGTAATGTCTCGTGCTTCCTCTGATCTCCCTCAGAACCAGCCCATGACGGGCGGTTCATCGAAACACCCACCAAAAGACCCAACCTACCTATCTCGTGTTTCCTCTGATCTCTCTCAGAGCCAGCCCATGACGGGCGGTTCATCGAAACACCCACTAACAGACCCAACCTACGTGCCTCGGGTTTCCTCTGATCTCCCTCAGAACCAGCCCATGACGGGCGGTTCATTGAAACACCCACCAACAGACCCGACATCCACGCCCAGTATGGATCAGTCCACTGGTCGCAAGCGTCGTCCGTCGTCCCATGCTCTGCGGCCGCCCAAGCCCAGGGAGGATGAGATGGAGTTGGGAGTACCTGCCAAACCCTATGAATGGGAGAGAGAAGCAACCAGGGGAGCAATTACTAAGCCGATCCCCAGCAAACCGCATGGTCGTAGCCTGCCCCTTTGGGAGCAACCGCTGAAAGTTCCATTACGAGAGCTGTCGGGCTGGAATTCGGCTTCGAAAATCGGGAGCCAGTACGGCCATTTCCTCACCACCAGGATCCTCTGGAAGCATTCCCAGGTTGAAGACCTGGCATACATGAATACTGCGGTCTGCGAGGCTCTGGACCTCCCTAATTGGGCAAAAGCGACGGCTCAGGAGTCTCTCTCCGGTTATGGAGATTGGAGTCGGTATATCGATCACATCGCCAAATACCCGATCGCAAAGCCTGAAAACCCCATTCTCATTGGAGCATTCTCGAGTATTCGAGATCAGCAGTCGCGAATAGAAGGAGCTTGTGTTGAGTTGCTTGGAGACAGACCACCCTCCCCGATTGCCAAAAAGTGCAGAAGACTCACCAACATGTCTTCCCCCGGCCAGCTCATGACGAGCGGCACTCCAAACGCCTCCCCCAGCCAGCGCATTACGAGCGGCACTACAACCCCCTTTACCGCGGAAAACCTGGAGCGGATCACAAGGAGGTTGCAAAACCTGACTCTAGAGAGTAGGGAAACGGACAACACTGGAGGTTTCACGGCGCTGGTGACTTCCATTGGAGTAAAGCAGCCGTTTGGCAATTCCGAAGCCAAGAGGCGAACGCATGAAGCGAAAATCAACATGAGCTTCGTCAATTTGCTTTACACAATCTGCTTATTACTGCCGACCGAGTTAAAGTGGGACAGTATCCAGCATCATCTCAACTTACATGTCGGCGAGGCTGCATACACAGCAATTGTCGACGGTGGTCTCGTAGATCCCGATGGGAAAATGCAGGTCTTACTTGAAGTCAAGGCTATGCATCTGTCAGCGAGTTCGGTAAAGGAAGTCCTGATGCAACAGGGACTTGAAATGCTGGCGTGGATCACTACCACGCTCGGTATTCAAGGATCAAAGGGACCAAGAGTTCAAGTACTCGATTCACCCATCAGAAGGTAGGGTTGATCATGATCACTATACCAATGCCCAAGAACATCGCTAATCAGTTGTCTATGGATGGGTGATGTTAGCGCAATACGCGACGCAGATATACTTCGTTGTCGCTGAGCTGCATGAAGAGTATATCGAGTACTTGCTTAAAGGCACGCGCTCCAGGAATCCCTTCGATAGTAACGCATATCTAACAATGCGGCTACTGGGACCTTTCAGCATTTATCCCGCTGAAGAGATGCGGGCCTTTGGTTTTCTTGTTGTCACGCTTACCATTGTCCAGCACCGGGATTGGAAGAAGAGTAAGGAGGATTAGATAGGAAATGAAAGATATATTCTTCCTAACATAGACTCCTGGACCATGAAATCAAAGATACATATTCCCCTAATTTGTGTGAGTAAACCATTGGCTAGCATGCGTGCTTCCGCGGTCCCGGCAAGAAATGCATCGACTCCTGGAGACTCCCGCATATGACGTTATCTGCGTGCAAGTGTTTGAGAACGGAATAGTAGAAGCCGGGCAAGATGTTGTAGCGAGAGCGAGAAAGGGAACTGAAAAGCGAAGGCGCAGTAGGCTCTGTGGATCAAGCTGGCGAAGCTCAACGCGATGTGCTTCGTCGGCTAGAAGACTAGAACAGTTGAAGCTCACGAAAGTAGATGCGGTGTGCTCGACATACAAACACTGCGCGTAAGATAGAGAGCAATATGACCGAGTGAAGAGCTGCTTTCACGTTCACTGTGAGAGATACGGTGCTGACCGCGAGTTGTGCTGCGATGCATAGAAGATGATTTGCGGCGATAAGGCAGTCACAAAACCCACAACCCCGAGACTGTAAGCCCTGTGGAGCCTCGGGGAGTACACAGTATGAATATGTAGGTCATTGGTAGAGCTATAGAGCTGCCGGTATTGTAAGTACGAAGGACGAAGATCTAATCAAGATTGTTGTACGCGTGACGAGTGTCGGATACGTTGTTGATGTACGAATTAAGAGCGTCGTCGATAATGGCGACGAGCGACAGAAGAAGAAGAATATTAGATTGTTATTCCACTTGCTGGTCGAGCTAATATCCACCATGGTGAGACTTTTGGGAACCTTAGCGGAAGGCTTCGCATGAGAGCCGGCAAGCAGATCGAAGAGTTGAGTCCCGCGAGTGTTGAGGGCCTACTTGAGGCTGGTTGACATCGAGTGAAAGTTATCCGCGCCAGCTAGCGCAGGAACGAAAGCAGAGATCGAGGGCTCTTTGAAACTGGAGGACGATGACATTGTAGTGGATATAAAAGAAAAGAAAAAGGCTGACACGGGGTCAACAATGCGAAGAGCACTAAAGTGTGTATCACAGCACGGAAAAGTAGGATTGTATGCGAGGAGCACTCAGGTTGGCTTGGCCAGTAAATGTCCAAATGTCGAAGAGAAACGGTGAATGAAGATCTCAAACAGCCGATATCGTCGAAGGGTTCGTTTTGTCAAGGGCTGGAAATCGGCGGTATGGACGTTAATGGCTTTTGGAGTTCCGGTTGAGCTCGGACTGACTTGTGGTGCTTTGGGGGTCGCAGATGCACCGGAAGTCACTGACGAACGACCGCGCCACGGTTCTAGTACTATTGGGCTCTTCTTGGGACACTAGAAGTGATATTCAATTCCTCTTTCTGCCCAGCATTATCATGGGAGACAGTGGCAACCCATGACCCTTATCTCAGGGACAAAATTGACGGCCTAGCTAAGTCAACGCCTGGGTGACGCATGAGCCACCAAGGAGATCATTAAGTCTTTCAAGACGTGACCACGGCACACCTCCGCTCAGGCGGCTAGTTATTCTCACGGGACAAACTGGCGGTTATCCAACTTCCGCAAAGAAATCACAAACTTATATGTCAACCCGAGAAACTAGTCCGTGGATCTCGCCCACCATCCACCTAGGCAGTTCATAGGCAATTTATCCTCGACACCACTGTATCTTTCTCAGCTACATCACCGACTTTGTTCAATGCAATGACTGGTACTAAGGTGACAGGTATAATATGTTAGCCATCAAGAAAGAAGGATTCTTAACAGCGTGTTCATTTTCTTAGAGTGATCGAGTAATCGTGTATGGATAAGTACAGGTGCAAGAAGATACCGACGATGCATGGGAAAAGAAGGACAAATGCACAAAAGTAAGACTCGTAAACTCTTAGGGAATAGTATACAAGCGGCACCGGGGCTGGACACAGCAGCTCCGACACCAGGACTTTTAAGGTGGATTTGGTAATCACTCAACGCAGCAACGCAGCAATCTACGATACATCTGTTCGTTCCGGGCCAAAACGTCATCAATACCAATTGAACTTTTCAGAAAGGATCGGTCGGGAAAACGTGATTAGATAGCCGAATTTCACATAACCTATTTAGAAGGCGGCAAACATCCATTACTATGTCCATCGTTACATATATCTTCTTACACTCCTCTCTACTCTACTTCTCTTGCACTCCAAGATCTAGTTTCAAACAATGGAACGGATCTGCAACACCCTTCGCGAGAATAGGAAGCTTCCTATGACAGACGAGCAGCTTTCAGACCTCGGAGTCGATTTTCATCAGTTTGATATCCGCACTGGTACAATTTCTTCGCCATCGGTTACAAGCCACTTCCTACCTCGGGTTGATTTTCGAGATGTTCTCGATTCAGATCTAGCAGCTTCACCCTTCCTAGAGGTTGCAAGCTGGTCTGAAGTGCCAGGTCCTCGCTGCTACCCATGGAATCTTGAGTCAATCAAGATGGCTATGTTTCCAGATATGATGACCGAACAATATAACTATTTTACCTTTATAGGGAGTGGTTACTCATTCAAGGAATTTCACCGTGACGGGTTTGTATACGTCCTAATCTTCATAAACTTATTACTAATAGTCTTCTAGGATCCCTAATGGTGGATGGGTAGTAGACCGGTTAGTAGATAAAGTATCTTATCTCTCTCAAATACTAACTTATACTCTAGTGATACGCATTCACTATTATCAGGCCGCCGAGAGTTTCTCGACTTTGAATGTACAAATACCGAGAAGCTGGAGTTTCCTCTAGATTCACTGAGCTGCCATAAGCATAAGGGCCACCAGCGCTCAATAGTCGGGTTCTGCAACCAGGAGAAATGTGGTAATAAACGGCCTTCCTCGATGGAGCTCTTTACGATCGCCGTATTAACCCATAAAGAAATGACCAACGTTGATCGGCAAAGGTCGTATAAGAATCGGTGGGATGAGAGTCGGTCGAATAAGGATCGGTCGGACGAGTGCTACTTTACTTTCCCGGTTTGTCTTTCCTTCTTAGGTATCGTTAGGCTTTTACTAATATATCATTAGCATTTAGTATTTCTGATGGACAAATTTGGCGGATGCCGTATGTTCCAGTCCTATTTTGATGGCAAGCTTCATGTTCAATTCTCGCAGCTCCTAGATCTAGGACATATGATTGCCGTGCCTGCTTACGGGGAAAAGTACTTTGATATGGTTGACAGAAAAGACTTTCTGGAGAAGTTGAACTTGCTTCTAAAATGGGCATGGCCTTTTCCACAAGGAAACACCGTTGCAAATGTTCCAAGGATTTGTGGCAATTGATTTTCTAGATATTTGCTCTCACGATTCCTTCTTTCGGATCCCTCGCTACCCTCGCACATCTTCCATACCATTGTATAATCCTTTATCTGGCTCCACTAGAGACATCATGCAACCAGACAGGTTTTGCCTTTACCTCCGATGGAATTGATGAAACTCTATCTTAACCTCTTCGGCTCCAGGTAACATTATAAATGGTAGAATGTTGTGAATAGAATAAGTATTCAGAGAAGACAAAGGAAGTGAACAGCATCCAAGATGCTATTCACCACCTATTCAGGCATTCTCTCACTTCTCATTCATGACAGGGGATTTTATTCACACCCTATTAGTGGCTGATCTCTATTGAGTTACCTCTCACTTCTCATTTTTAATATTATATTCACTCCCTATGAGAGACTGACCTCTATTAAGTTACCTCTCACTTCTCATTCATGACTTTGTATTCACTCCCCATTGTTCGCAGCCTGCCATTCATCGTTGACAACTTTGGGTGCTTTGGACTCAGTCTATAAAAGCCCCACTCCCACCATCCTTCCTCTCTTCTTCTTCTTCTTCTTCTTCTTCATCAACTCTTCAACTCAACTGACACACCTTGTATGTACATACTCATTCCTTCTTGTCTACCCTGGACTCATGGACACTTCAACTCTTGTGACTCACTTGTCTCCCTGCCTTCGGCGAAGCTGCACAACGACAGCTGCAGTGGAGCGTATCTCAAGGACCACGGCTTCATTCCAGACCATCTCACCCCATATCAATTCCATATTCTCACAACGAGAGTCTGGATCCAGCTCTGACACGTTTCGTCTAGGTTTCAGCTCTTGTCACCTGAGCATCGCAATCCACTCCTCCACCCTCCGTGATCTGCAGTCGTCCGTGAAGGACGACTCTCAACAAACCTCAACACCTCCCATCCTATTTCAATTTCCGTCCAAATAACTCACGATCCAATCTCTTCAACGCAGCTTAAGGGAGCTTGCTTTCATGATGACCACCACATACAACTTTTCTAACAAACTGGAGGGAGATGAGGGTTGGTATGATGGCTTTGAGCCACATAAAGTGGACTTATCTTCCCTCAAACGGAAGAGTATGTTACAGCTTCGAGCTCGTGCCTGGACACTTCACCAGTACCAGACTTTCTCCCAGGATGTTGTCTGTGGACTCATGTTCTGGTGTGCTGGCAGGGAGAAGCCCACCCACATTCATTCTCGTCCCGATGCGCAACTGAACTTTTTTATCTCTGGTGGTGTGGAGATTCCCCATTTGGGACTCAATTTGCGTCTGAGATACAAAGACGATCCGACATCGAAAAAAGATCAGTATCTGAAACTTGCCATCATATGGACCGTGTGGGACGGAAGTGACCTGCATCAGAGAGAGATAACAACCACTCCGGAACGGGCAAGCGGCCCCGGAACAGAGGACCATACCTTCTCCGCCAGACTGCGTCAAGTTAACCTCACACCAATAAGCCTCACGGAAGCGCAGGCCAGCTCTTGCCAAGGAAATGCCGGCGCAGATGGATACCAGGCTCGCTGGGCATCCAAGGTTGTCCCCTACGTCTATGGGTTTGATGTAGCCAAGTCATAACTGGAATGGTTCAATGAGGCACAGAAGAAATCCATCGAACTCTTCATCAACGCTGCATACGGGGATCGTTTCAAGCTATACACGCGGGTCCGCGCTGCTGCTCTTTGTGAAAACTGGAACACCCTTAAGTCTATGCCGAGGCTAACCTACCCGCCGTTTCCACTCTATGATTGCCGTTGGCACATCCAGGCGAAGAGATTTGAGAGAATGGAAGAAATCCCTGACATTGATGACCTCCGTGTCCAAATTCACCATCGAAGACGAGAGCGACAGTGGTCTCACATTACCGCAAAGGGCCATTGCTTCACCGATAAGTTTGAAATACCTGGCCTTGACGCGGATAAACACATCACCTTTATCAATGAACGCGAGTATCAGGCAATCAGATCTATTGGGCTGTTACGGGAAGTTGCTGCAAATGAGCGTCGATATGATCACCAATTCAATCGCGATTACACTTTCGACATGATTCCAGCCTCAGAGGTTGAAAGCGCAGCGACTTCATCATCGACTGAAACATACTAGGTCGCATTTGAAATCCAGCTCCAACAAGGAGACAGTGACGCGGAGCAAACCCTGCAACTCCCAGATGTGGGAACGCCGGTGAGAGTCACACCGAAGGGACGCGACACCGAAGGGACGCGACACAAAGCAAAGCAACAAGCCGATTTGGCCCTGGCCGAAGCCGAAACTCGCAAAGTCATCTGGAGCCCAGCCGTCGGCCAGTGGAGAACGAACTTCGGTTGTCGGTATGAGCCGCAAGCCTCAGCAATCTTATTCATCCGGTGGTTCATCCAGCCAACACACTGCTGTCGCTCGACAGGACCAGTCCTCGCTCGGTAAATCCCATTTTGGAAAAGCATCCACAGCCCCAATTTGGCACGGCTATGTCGTTTCCTCGTCCCTGGCAGACATAAAATCGCTCGGTGCGCCAACCAATCTTGTGTTTGCCAAGATCCACAAGCCTCACGATGAAATGTCTCGAGGTCGCGTTTTGAACATGACGGCCCGTGTTACCTTTGGACAGCCAAATGTCCCGCGAGTGGCAGCCAGGAAAGCAATTCAGAATGTCATGTGGGGCAATGAAGGCCTTGGTATCCCAACGTCTAGCAAGATGAAGGTCTTGCTTTTGGCGCATGAAAACCACGTCATGAAGTTCTTGCCGCCAGATAATGAAAACCTTGATGATACAAGAATTCCCAGCTTTCTCAGTTGGCTGAAGGATAGTCGAAATCCATTGCAAAAGAGAGCAATTCAAGAGGCTCTTTCTCCCCATGGAGGCTTCATGAAACTGATCACGGGGCCGCCAGGAACAGGCAAAACGGCTGTCTCCACAGCCATCATCAGGTATTGCTACGTTACCGAGGCACCAATCCTAGTGATCTGTGGACAGAACCAAGGTCTCGATGTAGTAGCACAACGTTATTCGTCTCTTTACGAAAATGACAATGCCGATATCTCCCAAGTCTATCGATTGGGAACAGAGTTCGCTGAATCAGTTGATATGCATTTCAAAGAGGATCAGGAGCTCACAACGCATCGGGTGTCTGGTCTGCGTGAAAATTTCAAACGAGCTGTTCATGAATTGAGCCGAGCAGACATCGCTGAAAGAATCGTTGGCAGTCTTGAAGCCTCCCTCACCGGTATGGGTGTAAGCCTGCAGCACCTCTCCTTGGGCAGGTTCATCATGTCCCGCGTTAAGAATGAAATTCGTTTGCAGGGTTCGCCAGGGAGGGAAACAAATCAAGAGTCAGAACTGCTCATGGAATTTGCTTGCTGGCAACAAGTCATACGGATGATGGAGAAGCTGCAGGTGGAGCCAATCGATCGAACAAGCACGAGCGCCCACATATTCTCCGCTGAACAACGAGAGCTGCAAGCCGGCTTCCAAAAGCTGTGGGGAAAGCTCCAGAAGTTCTATCTTAAGAAGGCCCGTGTTGTCTTCTGTACCGCGGACACCGCGGGGCGACATATCCTTCGTGGGTTTCGCCCTCGCTTTGTTTTGATTGAGGAGGCTTCGCATATTTCAGAGACAACTTGCTTGGTCCCAATTATGGCTAACTACGTAGGCCTGAAGAGGGTCATTCTGAGTGGAGACACAGCGCAGCTACCACCGACTGTGATCTCCAGGGATGAAAACGAGTGCGGCCAGATCGAACAAGTCTCGCTTTTCGAGAGAATGATTCTCTCCGGACATCCCGACATACAACTGCGAACTCAGTACCGTATGATGGCTGGAATTTGCAAGTTCGTTAGCACGGAATTCTACAACGGTACTCTAGAGACCGTGGAGTCAGCTCCGAATAGAGCGACGTCAAAAACCCTCTCAAATTTCATGTCTACTCGATACAAGTGCTCTGTACATACGACCATAGGGTATGGAAAATAGGGCTTCCCGTCCGCTCAGCCGTAATCAAGCCGCTCCAAAGTTGATGAGCTCTGTGCCGCTGGGGGCTACGGCCCCCTGATCGTTCAAACATACCGTCTCTCCACGCCGAGTAATGTCGCGCCATAATTTAGTTTAAGCCTACACTCACTCTGCCTAAGTGACGTGAAGCCCCAGGCTGATTATTACACTATACGGAAACGCCACGATTCTACCCTGCAAATTCACGCATAATCGTGGTCTTTCCGTTGTGACCTTGACTTACACCATATCGGATTGCTTGATGAATGATTCGATTATATAAAATTAATTCCAGTTTTATGCTGCTTTGCCCTGAAGCATCACCGTGCGTGTTTTTTATGAGTTCCTCTCCCTCCCCTCGGCTTCTTTCCATTCTTTTATCCGCTCTTCCAGCCATCCAGGAGCGGAATTGGACGGGTAAAAGGAAACTCATTTCGCTGAATCGAAATCATTTGGTACCACACGAGCAGCTTCGCATGTACTCCGGCAAACCCACCCGCAGTGTCCCTCCTTTCCATTCCTCGTCGCGAATAAGAGGCATCGGGTAGTCACTGCTAGTTGATAAAACTGGCCTCCTTCAGCGAAACTAACTCAAAGAGCAAACTTTCCTTAACTCGCAATATCCAGAAGCTCGAGACAGGCAGCATTCAGTCTAGTGTGAGAGAGCTTATCATCTCCTCCAAAGAACATATCACATCCCCATAAATAGCAGTTTGCAAGTCCGGCTTTGCCAGATCGGATCCCATACCAAAGTTGCACTGCAAACACTGCAGAATGATTTTCTGATATTTCTGGCCCAAAGGATAACCCGACATAGCCTTTTTCCGAACTGCTACAATAGGGTCTTGGGCGCCACATATTTGTTCCAAAGTCTGGTGATAAGCAAGTTCGAGAAGAGCAACCCCAAGACTGAACAAACTGGTATTGATGATCCCGTACTGGTAGGAAATACTCTCCATGCTGGAATATGTAGAATCTGGTGACATGGCGGATCGCCATCGTATACCATTAAATTCCGGATCTTGGGTACTTTGATTGAAACAGAACGTGAGGTGGAGGGTGCGCAATGATTCATCGGATAACCCTTGGGTGTTGCCAAAGTAGGATAGATCCTTTAGTCGCCAGTCTTCTCGTAACCATGGTGTAGAGTTATATTGGAGAACGGTAGTTGCTATCTTATGCGCAATTTTGAGTTTGGAGGCAGTGTCCACTGAAGCAGGCTCCTCGTTGGTTGACTGAAGTAAATACTCAAGGTTGATCGCTTCCTGGGTAAGGCTTCTTGTACCTGCAGCAGTTTTAGAATCCGCTCGTTTGTTTGAATAGAACATATGCTTGAAAAGTTGAGGAGTTTCAAGATAGCCGATGCATTTTCCGGATTTGCAAGTCTCTGGAGAAAGAGTTGTTTTTTCGATATGCCGACACAGATCTTGAATCTCAGTCGTATCTAGTAATTTTGAAGCTTCGGTAGCATTCGCATAGGGGACTCTTTGAGATAAGGTACAATTGTCAGCAAGTTGTACCTTTCGTCTTTTGCCTGATCACGACTGAGTCACGCGCTGGAAAGTAAGAGATGAATCTGCATCTGTCTGGTTTAAATAAAGAGCTGATGCGAGGCCGTCATAAGGAGAGATAGTGTCGATCAACTTTTCTTGCATCGGTCCCACGGATGTAGTCTGAATTTTGGATGATTGAACGTAAACCCAAACATGATCATCGTATTTTTCATTTCTAGATTACTAGATCAGCAAGAGGTCGATGCCCGAGGAAAGGTTTTACAAACCTCGTATTTGAGTCAGTGTTGTGCTGATACGGCTTGTAAGACAGGGCTAGATCAAGTCGAACCATATCTTGCACCTGAGCTTCGACGCAGAGCCTTCCATAATGGGTCTTATGTCCCGTGTATGGACAAACCCACGCATTGGACAGAGCTTCGTGTAGGGTTTGCGATACTTTTTGGACGGAGGAATACTGATGCGGCAACCTTTTTCGAAGTTGCGATGGACTGGATGTGTTTGACCTTTTCTTCAACAGCTCCTCTGTTTGTATTCGGAGCGTATGTATATCCATGGTGCTTTCGCGCAGCTTTGTCAGGCGCTTTTCATGGCGCTCTTTATCAAAAACAACCGTCACTGAGTTCCGCACTCGATATATTGTCGCTTTTAGTCTTTCATGCTAGCGGGGGAAAAGAATTAGGCGAATAGAGAGAGTGATGGTCGAGGAAGCATGCGGTAACTTACCTTTCTTTTCTCGCTTTTCAGAACACCGAAGGACTTCAGGTCTTCCTCCATCTCATCGAGCTCCATTTCTATGTCCTTGATAATATCCTCACATGTCTGATAGCTTTCATTCACACATTTGTTCACATGTTCTTCCAGAAGAGTGTTTCTCCGAGCCATACGGGTTTCGTCGTTGCATATTGCTTGTAGGCCGTCTTCTCCAGCAATCATATATTGCAACAAGCTACATTCATTCTGAAAATTGTGCTGTTGTATCTTGAACCGGTCCTTGATTCTTTTCACCTCACGAGAGTAGTGCCGAAAGGTATGTAGAGTGTCGTAGATACTGCGATAGCTTTGTAGGACATGAACAAAAACAGGCAGAACGCCAAATACAAGGCCAGGAAGTTCCAAGCCACTCATCATGGGGTAAATTGTATGACTGATGGAGATTGTCACTGGAGTAAAGGGAAGCTGGGCTTTTTGCTCTATTAATGTCACGCATACGGAGTAATTCAATGAGACATGTTTAAAGTCGATGGGACAAGGCAGCCCTGGCTGTGCATCACCCGGGTGTGTCTATATATTAAGTACATACATGTACCTACCTAGGTGTGTACATAAGGTAGTTAAATACACCAGTCTAGGTAACTACATGTAGTTACTCCGCCCCTCTCTGCGCAGCCAGGCTACCGTGACAGACTGTGGCGATGCAATGTGATCAGTCACATCCTCATACTATCACCTCGATTATCGCTTTACTCTGATATTCTTGTCTATCGCACTCATTTTGTCTACCCAATTCTAGGCGATATCAGCGGATTCAAAGGTTTGGTTGGTGACTCTCGAGGGTACCTAGGTATGGATTTCGACGGACGACCATCATTTCAACAGGAGCCACCTGATAAAGATGAAGTCTTTACTTCAGAAACGTCGCTATATAACCGATCAGCAGTCCAATCTTTCAACCCCATTGATTTGGTGCAACAACCTAGTCATCCCGGAGTTATTAAGGATCTTTACAACAGTTGTCTCACTTCATATAAATCGTTGGTGAGATCCGCATGCAGGAAGGACAGAAAAACCGAAATTCAGCTGGGTATCTTTCGAAATGAGTACCAGTTGCTTTTTCTTTGGGGGATTGACGTTGATATCGAGAAAGGCGATCTCGACAGACGGTTAGAGCTATCGCAAGACCTCAGGCTCTTGACACTCTCAACACTAATATCTTTGGCAAACAGTATTTTCCGATGTGCGTGACAAAGCTTATATATAGAAAAAGCTGCTAATAGACGTAGGCTACAAACACAAGATGTTATTCAAACATTCCGGATTATCAGTGAATAGCCTGAAGATGACATTGACCCAGGCGAAAGTCTCCTTGAAAGCAGGCAGATATTCCCTTCGTCAAAACAGCACAAAGAATGAGCAAAGCGACGAAGAAAGCGACGAAGAAAGCGACGAAGAAAGCGACGAAGGCCAAGTCGAGGATTTTGAAGACGTGGTTGAAGATATCAAGACCTACACAGGGGGATTATTGGATTTGACTCTGTCAATTAAATCCCCAGCAAAGAGCTCCCCGCAATGTGGCTTGACAGCGCCGAAAGCTCAAGACCAGCTTTTGCCAGTCCCTCCTTCGGCCAATAAATCTTCACGGACTCTTGGCTCGGTTCCTTTGCCTTTGTCAAGATCAAACCACAATACAGAAGTGCTCAGGGCTATAAAGCCAATTGAAGATGAATTTCCACCCCCAGGCAGCAACATACAGAAATCTTGCCTTCTACCGGACGTGCCTGTTCTTTCCCATGACTCTGGTCATGGTTCAGGTGAGCTTTCTCTTCTGCTTCTTGTGCGGAACCTTGAAATACTTTATGTTTTCCGGGTTTAACCAAGTACTCCCCAAAGAAATTATCTGCAATATTACACCTCGAACTAAATTTGAATACAGGTTTGCAAAAGGCTTTTAAATGCGAATGGAGGGATTGCCAATACACTGGCACATTTTCGAGAAAGGCATCGTTGATGCGGCACATTGAGCGTCAGCATGTCTCTCCAAGGTCGTTTCCTTGTGTGTTCCCCGATTGCAAAAGATCCTTCAATCGAAAAGATAGCCTTCACGCACATTCAAAAACTCGGCATTCAGTTGGCAGCAAGAGAAGTATTGAAAGTCAAGAGCGCGAGCCCGGTCCCTCAGAGCATCCTTCCGGGCAACTCAAGCCAGAACTGCCACAACACCTTGATATGAAAGCATCACCTCCAAAACCGACAATTTCTCAAAAGCAGCACGAAGGTATTCAGCCACCGACATCTGCTCCCGCACTGACACCCTCATCTTCGGGGCCACATCACGTCTCCATACCACTACAACCTCCTGGACATTTCTGGGCTGGATCGATCATTCCAGGTAGCTTCCCGACTACCAACTCAGCTACCAATTCAATTATGCTTGCACCGGTATCCCTCGACAATTTAAGATATTCAGATATGCAGAGAGATTGTCTGGGTCGAGGATAATTTGCTTTTGGGGTTTTGTGACATGTTCTTATACATAGTGACTGAGATTGCTTTGCTTCACCTGTTGGGTCTTTGGGAAAAGCTGTTCCATCCGAGACATTTTTAAGCGAATTTGAAAGGCATTTTAAGCCTTATAATTGATGGAGATCTACGCTGGAAAGACTGGTCAGGGAAAGACACAGTCTCTTGATGATGTGCTATAGAAGAAGGACGACTAGAGAAGGAGGCCAGGGAGCAAACAGAGCATATTCATATGACCAATCCAAACAATACTTTGAAATATTCCCGATGTTTCGCTAATGTTCATCCACCAGCTGCTAATTAAGTATGACATTGACACCAGCGACAGAGTTGGCTAAGATACCTAATGTCCTTTTCATCGTCAGCTCCGCTTACACCGTATCCGAAGCTTCTGTAGATACGCCTTTTCTTTTGAAACCCAATCTTTCGCGTTCATGTCAGAGGTCCCATATACTGCCTGGTTGCCTCTTCCCTTCTGTTGAAATCCAGGCTCCATTTGCTAGCCCTTATCTCTATGGCCAGTCAAGCTCTATCTATTTTGATTTTAGCCGATACATTGCCTTCACGGAACTTCTATAGTGTCTGTTATTTTTACAGCCGCGCTCCCCGACGCCGACAATAAATACGCGATGACCGGGATAGTTATCATGGCACGCTACAATCCATCCGAAATATCATCTGCAACACCCCACCCGACCATCCCGAATGTACCTAGATAATTTGTTTGAATATGCAGGGATCCTCCGGCAATCACCATCTTTGGATAAGAAGGCCCAGTTTGTGCCCTTCCTCTATGATTCATGCTAGGGGTATTGTTGGATCTGTCGGACTCTAAACCTGACATTTACTAAGCCATTGATCATGAAGCAGGATGAGAGTTATGTTCCAAGACACGAGGCTCAAAGTCCTTCATTTATAGCTATATCAGTATGTAAGTATTGGACTTTGGCACCTTTTATGGAAGGAAATGTTCACGACAGTAAGCTCGTCGTGCACAGTACCCCACTCTATGAGATGAGGGAGAAAGACGGAACAGGCTTATAATACCTGATCCAGTGAAGCAACTCACCTTCCTGTCTGATATATTCGGAAACACACGCCTATCTCTTCAATTTGGTCCAATCTCGGAAATGCAGTCCTCTTTGTTGAGCTAGAATAACATCGTATCGATGGCTGTCTATATCCCGGCAATGAAAACCATCAAATATCTTCGATGTGATGCTCCCGGGCCAGTATCCCAAAGATGATAGTGTAAGCTGCAATATATATTTAGCCCCGTTAAAAAAAGATTCAATTCTAAAACTTCGGTAGTGGTGTTTCTCATGACTACCACAAATTTCTGTATATGTTCTTGCGCCAACTCGACTATACTAGTTGTAGGGCAAGCTGTTATATCGAACAAACCTTATATGACGTACTATTTAATCGCCTTTGTCTTTTCGATGAAGATGCAATCCTGTTTACAAATTATTGGGGAATCGATAGATAAAAAGCCCTCCCAGGCCGATATATCTGTCTAAGCCGCCGGAGGATCCATGACCTAGCCGGACAGGTGCACCAGGCAAGTTTTGTTGTTTCAGATCCAAATTCTTTTAGCATTTGAATATTCCATCCTTCGGTTTAATCGCCGGGTCGCTAGCTTGTATTGCTAGGAAATATTGGTTTCGTGTACCCGTACACATACAACGTATATCAACCCAACCCATTCATTTACTTTGGTCTCTGGTCCACGCACTTCACGCAAGCCGGAAAGAAATTGAAGATAATATCATTAAACGCGTGGTGTTCTAGAAGATTTAAATACATCACCTATAGCTTTCGTTTACTCGATATCAGACACATCTTCTCCATAATATATAACGACGAGGATCCGCACGCAAAGCGTTTGTCACTGAGGATGCTCCTGGAGAGCAAAGTTCCGAATGACGACCAATCCGATCATACAGCCAAAATTATTCATCTGCACTTCTGCAGATCAAATAAAATCTCACAATATACTGTTATACGCACTGGCGTTGAGTATACTGGGTTTTTGACAACCGGGGAGCTTAACCTGGCATCCGAGATGCCTATTTTCAGCAACACTACACCATCAATCAGTATTATAGTGTGATATCTAAACTTGTAGGTAAATTCTAGTAATCCGCTAGGGGGGAATTGCTTTTCTGCTCCTATAGAAATACCTAGATGATACCTAGCAAGATTTCTGTCCTATGTTTCACGGAACTTAAGTATAAAATCTCTTAAATGGACTCAACTATCAACCAATTCAGAATATGCATAAAAGGACAAGCAATTACCAATTATATATACTAGGTTTTAAGTTGAACCATCCACTAGCCGGTTTCTTGTCTGTTCCAATCAAGACCATATAAACTCCCTTTTAATCTTTATTCTTCGCCTTTCCCCTTATCATACACCTTTCTTATTCTATGTGGAATTCACTTTCCACAGAACTGGACTATATATTTCTCAACTACAGCAAAGTATATAATGACAATGCGGTATAAGAATAGCGACGACAGCAAGCTTGAACCCGCCGCTCACGGCCGAATCAACAAATTCGCCCATCACTATAAATTACTTATCGAAGCCCATATGATTCGTAACACTGCATGAAAAGCCCAAGGCTGAGTCCACCCGGTCATGTATACAGTGTGGGTCGACAATAACTGATATTAAATGTCAAAGAGCAGAACGCAGCAAGACTATCGCTTATCAGCTAAAAGCTAAATGTCATTAGCACAATCCGCCAGCTGGTTAACAAATCTGATCCGAGATAGTGAGCATCAGATTAGCGATTCTGAATTCCGACCAAGACCCAGTCTGTCAAACCATGTCACCAATGCCACTTGGCACAAAAAGTTCAATCTGTATGGCATTCAGGCGAGCTTCCCGGGACAGAAATGTTCTTTTATTGTGACACAGGATAGTGGTGTCAGATATATACTGTACAACAAGGCCGATAGGTATTCGCATCAATCCGAGAGCCCGCTGTATGTACTTTGAGCGTATATGAGATATCAATTTGACCAAATATCAGCTTTCTGGTGCCATGGTCTAGTGGTATGACGACACATTGTGGTTATAATCATTTGTATGGTTGTGAACATTTTCTGTGTTAGCCCCGGTTCGATTCCGGGTGGCGCCATCTTTTTGCTCTTTTGCTCTTTTGCCCTTCTGCTTTTGTTTTACTTCTGCTTCGATATCAAGTAACTATAATGCTTAGTAAGATATAGAAGCGATGCCACAGTCTAGTAGTATGAATGACCATATCTTGTGGTTGCAAACATTTCTAGTATTAGCCCTAGTTTTTCCGGCGCTAATATACTTTTGGTATTCCGCTTTTATCTTGTTATCACTTCTACCTAATTGCAAATAGCGGCTTAGTCAACATAGAAACGGTGCCATGGTCTAGTGGTATGACGACACATTGTGGTTATTACCAGGTTCCTGGTTGTAAACATCTTCTGTGTTAGCCCCGGTTCGATTCCGGGTGGCGCCATATTTTTATGCTTTTGGCAATTTGCCCTTGTTTTTTCTTGCTTGTATTGTTGAAGACTACGCTTAGTAAATATAGAAAAGGAAATATTGCCTAATGGTATGACGATACATTATGGATTGTTCTAAATAAACATTCCCTGTCTTAGCCTTAGTCATTCTAGGTGGTGCTAAGTTTTTAAACGTTTATTCCTGTTTTGTACTTTCTCATTGTCAGTATTCTAGTGATTAAGAGCTGCTTACGATATCAATACGGTGCCATGGTCTAGTGGTATGACGACACATTGTGGTTATCACCAGGTTTCTGGTTGTAAACATTTTCTGTGTTAGCCCCGGTTCGATTCCGGGTGGCGCCATTTTTTATGCTTTTGGCTTCGCTCTCATCCTTTATTGATCTTAGGGTAATTACTGCGCTTAGTCAACATAGAAACGGTGCCATGGTCTAGTGGTATGACGACACATTGTGGTTATCGCCAGGTCCCTGGTTATGAACCTCTTCTGTGTTAGCCCCGGTTCGATTCCGGGTGGCGCCATATTTTTGCACATTTTTGCTCCTTGCCCTCCTTATTCGCTATCAAAGTGATCTAGTATCATGGCAGGCCTGATAATAATAGAGAGATACTACCGACCGTTCCATGCTAAATATATGTAGGTTTGTGTTACCTGCTAGGTCTTGAACTAATAAAAGAGTGGACTTCAAACAGGATACGATGTATGTATAAAGAAGAAAAATAAATCAAACGAGAGGGAAGACTGGATAGATGGTGTCACAAGCCCACCTGGGATTGAAGGTGCGTCTTATCCTGTATTTTGTGTGTCTGGGGTATTTAAGTTGGAAAGTTAGAAACCTGACATGACCCGTTTGGTTGTCATAATGGCTCTTTTGGTAAATGCGCTACCATTATTTTTCGTAGTTTTGTGGAAGTGGTATTAGGCCCACTTGCCCTTACAGATGGTAAGCGTTTCTTATAGGCCCTAGGGGATGATTGATGGTCGTGATAAAAAAGCCCTTTTAATGATCAGTGTAAAAAAAACCTGGTAGACGTAGAGGCCATTTGGTTTAACCAGCCATACATAGGCTAGACTAAAAAGTAGGACAAAGAATCAAGGGTGTAAAAATATGGCGCCACCCGGAATCGAACCGGGGCTAACACAGAAGATGTTCATAACCAGGAACCTGGCGATAACCACAATGTGTCGTCATACCACTAGACCATGGCACCGTTACTATGTGTTCTTATAACAAAAAGTGCATAACAAGTAAGAACAAATGTTTCTTTCAAAACTATCCCCAAGCATTTCAGAACTGTCATATCTTCCTTCATCGATAACCGAAGCACTCTCACAACTCTACAATAAACAACTCTGACATGTCAAGTTTGTCGGATAATGACCTCTTGTTGATAATCTTCCCCGAGTGCCGCCTGGGTGTAGCCATCTACAATGTCCACATGAAACCATGTTTGTTTCGGTTTGGAGCGAGGCCACGTCAAATCATGGGCAACCTAGAAATATTAGATGAAAACATAGGATGACCTATAATCCGACCTTACATATTACTGCATGTTTAGAGAGCCTTAGTGCTCAAGCTGCAACCCAGAGTAATCCTACCTAGTTTCCAGAGATAGGCTCTCCCCTAATCAATCTATACCACTCGTTTCCCTCAATTCATACGTCCCATCACCAATGAATCTCTCAATAGACTGTCCGTGTTATCATTTTATCCATAATTCTATCTGTAGCCGCCGCTGTGAATGTACTTGCCGATGTCAATAGCTTTGATCAACGCTTCACGGCATTGATCGATTCCTCGCCCTATCTAGTCGCACTTTACGCACGTCAGTTTTCAGATGCCAAGGTTTTTTAATTTTGCTTCGAGTTGCTCAGTGCCAGTCAAACTGTGCATTTCTGTGTGACGGCCTGGGTTGATGCCCTTCTGTAAAATATGGAGTACTCTCCAGCACGAGACCGGCCATGTTGATCTTCGTTGTTCGCAGAAACACCCTCGCAAATTACTGTCTAGTACTGCTCATCATAAGATATAAGCAGGCTTCTATCGTACGTGCTTCAATACCTGTTCTTTCTTCCCCGCAGGTCCTTTTGGGAATGGCTTTAGCGTCACTACGATAATATAGCTACTAGCCCACCAGATACCCACGGTAACGATGACGGTGCCCCATTCGCGAATGGTCTTTTACAAAGTTGTATAGCGCTCAGGGGTCAATTTCAGTTAGAATTCAAGCTGGCAGAAAACTGAGAACTAGAATATCTGGATTACTGACAGAGACCTTGATAGGTGCATTTGTGCCATACTCAGAGTCACATCCACGACGTACCCACACTGAACACCGTTGACTGCGCTAATTCTTTTTCGATTTCAAATCATCTTGATACTCTTGATCTGAACGGCGGGGTTGATTCAATTGAATGTTTGCCAAGTGTGTTTCAGGCCATTCTACTATATTGTATATGTGAGATATCTTGTATGGTAATATTAAGCGAGGTTAGAGGGCTATATAGCCCCTTAATAACGTAAAAGTAACCCCTTAATGCAAGCACGATCCTTCAGGCTCCTTCGGGGCCTACGGAGATAGCCTTTAAACCAGCACCGAGCTTAATAAACAAAGGGTTTTCCGCCCCCATTCTACTCCGTATTGGTAATCAAACTGGCATACCTCCACCTGGCTCCATACCTCCATGGTTTAGATAAGGTAGTTTCTGGTTGCTTCTCTATGAAACTGACTGAACTATAAAATGAAATAATATCTCTTAGCTGTATCATAAACAAACGCAATTCCTCCAACTTTATTAGCCGAGATGTCCATTTACGTTATCACTGGGGTGTCCAAGGGACTAGGGGTATGTATACCTTCTACGCGACACACTTTTCTTTACCTAATGAAGTCTAGTTCGAATTCCTTAGGCAGATCTCCGAGGATCAGAAGAACGTGGTTATCGGTCTGGTCCGCGATACAGCTGCCACCGAGAAGAAGATAGCTGCGGAATTAGGTGACCGCCCTAACATCCACATCTTGCACGGAGACCTCACCAAATACGCCAGCCTAAAGCAAGCCGCTGCCGACACAACCAAGATTGTTGGCGAGCGTGGCATCGACTACCTGGTGGCTAATGCAGGTTTGGTGTCTTCCTTGGACGGGTTTGGACCCATCGGCGCATTGTGGGTCTACTTTCCTCTGGATAATGCCGGACGCAGTCCGTTGCTAACGCGTTGTGTTTAACAGGAGTGAAAAGGTCGAGGAAGTAGATGCTGTTTCATCGCAGCTCTTTGACACCAATGTCATCGGCAATATCCACCTCTTCCACCTCTTCCTCCCTCTTGTCCTGAAAGGCACGGTCAAGAAGATTATTACCATTTCCACCGGTATGGCCGACCTCAACCTAACCAACGATTGCGAGGTGGATCTTGGTGCTTTGTACTCTGCCTCCAAGGCCGCCATGAACATCATTGTGGCTAAGTTCAACGCGCAATACAAGAAAGACGGTGTGCTTTTCATGAGCATCAGTCCAGGGCTAGTGGAAGTGGGCCGCCACACGGATCGTAAGTATCTCTTCTTATCATCAAGATTGTGATATCTGAACGTTTTATTAATGCATATCCACAGCCACTCCAGAAGAGATAGAGGGCTTGACAGAATTCATGGGCAAGCTCGTGAAATATGCGCCTCACTTCAAGGGCCCGATCACCCCGGAAGAATCTATCCGACATGTCAGGTCAACCTGGGAGAAGGCTAGCATTGAGGATGGGTTCGGTGGTGCATTTGTCTCACATCTTGGAAATAAGCAGTGGTTATAAGCCCGGGGCTCCATCATCCAAACCCACCGGATCCGCGTATTTCAGGCTTAGTGGCATCGTGTAGATGCCGAGAAACCAGACAGGTCTCATCAAGTTTCTCAATGAGAGAAAAAGATAGACTGAGATCAGCTAGTGATCTGCCCATTCCAGCTAAGTGGGATCATCTTTGCAGCTGTGAGGAAGCGGATTAGACAGTTTAATCACCTCTTTGAAGAGTAGTTCTGGCGTATAGCTACATAGATATGCGGAATTAATTATATTTGAATGAAAATTCCCGAAAATTCTTACTAGTCTGTAGTTGCTCATTTGGATCGAGTTATTTTCGCCCAGATTATAGTGAAAGCAAGAATCTGATAGCCTAGAATCTGTTAAAATCTCCGTAAGCCCCACATGTAAGAGAAACAATAATGCCTCAGTGAATGTGAAAAATGAACGAACGACGAATGGCTAGTTTCTGACCAACTCATTCGCATGAATCATCCGGGGGGTTCTTTCCGATGTTGCAATTACTTCTTGCGTGCTCTTCTCCAACACCTGTTATTGTAGTGTTAAAAGAACCAACGGTCAAATTTGTCCAATTTCCCTTCTCACGATGACGAGGCTAAATTTGCCTCTAAAGATTTTGACAGATTCCGAGCCACCAAAAAGGCCATATCGGACTTTCTGCCGAGATATTGGAGCGCACGAATTGAGAACTCACAATTCTGCCGTAGACACTCAGTATACACATTTTGATCTGCAGAGATGTCCAAATTTTCTAGCAAGATGTATCCTGCCTTGGCAAAAGAATGAACTAGTACCGCTGTCCACGGCTCGACTAGGAAAGCCACTTCACTGAGAGAATCATGGAAATGACGATTCATGAACGAGTCATGCCCTTGTATTGACGCCCGGGCAAGTCCACCGACTGCCAATGCATTTTCCGTTCTGAGAGTAGAAATCAAGTGCGTAACTCGCCGCGCCTCACGCGCAGCATCAGAACCGAGTCTGCATTTGTCGATGTTCTCTAGCACGTCTGCAAACAGCATCACGGCGAGGTGCCAGTGGCCGTCGAGGATGACATACCATGACTGTATGCGAGAAGGAAGCAGTTCATGATTGGTGACGCAATCGAACATGAACCCCTGGTATGTGGAATCCCAGTGTTGGTAGACCAGGAGGGTCTTCTGGATGACACCTTCCAGATGATCAGGACTTGCCCCTCGGTAGACAAGGGTTTGGAGCTGTGTGACTCGACGGTAGAGTAGAACCTTGACAGGCGTTGCCTCTGAAAGTATGGATGCAGCTTCTTCGTAGGAGCATGGCCACCTCAGCGGAATTTGGTTCGATTCATGACGTGCTATCGAGGAGCGAAGGAAGAAATCACCCCACACGTCCGGTTTCTCGTGTCGGTTGATTTTATCCCAGTCACTAATACAAACTTGATCTGCGGGTTGGGCTATTGGGGGTGACGACGAAGAAATTTGGCTATCCTCATCCGACACAACCAAAGGGCGCTGATACATCGCAGCGCTTAGGCTATCGAACATAACACCCAACCAGAACATGAGACTTAGTGTGGTGCGGTGCTCTTGGCTAGTCAGAAGTGGCTCGAGTTGTAGAGGTTCTGACGGTTGTGGCATCCCCCGAGCGTTCGCCGTGGTTGGGTCTATGGGACTTCTTCCAAGCTCCCTCGTTTTGGAAGTAGCTTCTCGCTGCATTCTCGTGAACTTGTGCCAAAAAGTGAATATTTGACGGTTGGCTGTTTCCAGAAATATTGGTGCACGATCATTTTCCAAAAGCTCATTCAAGCCTGCATCCTGTTCTTTGTCCAGCGGGCTTTGCGTCAAAGAAAAGATTACATTTGCAAAAGCAATACGAAAAGATGGAATGCTGCTCGAGTTGTCCAAAGCGTGTCGTGCTTCATTCCAGACTTTCCGTCGGATTGATCTCTCATCCTGGTCGATTGCCGAGGGAACCGATGCACCAGCGCCCCTTTGTGCATGTTGCGTCCACTGCGATGCAAATGACATAATTGCCAAATGAAGCGCTCGGGCGGCTTTCATGTCTTCTTCTGCACTTAAGGCTCTGCCTCGTAATGAAGAAGATACGCGATCCAGCTGACAGACGCGAATACACATCCTATTTGACCAATTCGGACCCCATTCTTTCATCTCTCGGCGAGGAACCACTTGGCTGATCGAGTCGCTGTAAGGGCAATTGTGCTCTGTCAGCCAGCATGACAAAGCATTCTCCAAGCTGTCGTGGTATATGCGGATCAAGTTGCGTGACATGGTCGCACGGGCATTCTGCTTAGCTGCGTTTTCGGAAGCAATGCAAAAGCTCCATGGTGGAGTTGTCTTTGAGCTCTGATCAGACGCGGAATCGGAGGGATCTTTTTGTTGGGTCTGTTTCCACGCCGGAACCGTTGATATGAGATTGGGGGTAGGTGCATATCCGCGTTGTGGGAGCAAGCTGTACGAGGTCTCGACCGAAGTTGCTGGCAGGTCAAAAAGTCCACTCTGGGCATCGGATTCCACAGAGGAATCCGGAGATCCATGAGGCATTGAGCTAGTTGTTGGCAAACCACATGGAATGCTCACTGTCCAAGGGAATGGTTGGGTTTGGCTAACTCTTGCATTATGGACGGGAAATGCCACAGGAATGTGATTTTCCTGGTGCGACGAGGGCGAGGATGAGGCGTAATCTGAGGTCTCGGGGGGCTGAGCAATTCTCCCAGGTTCGTAAGATAGCCTTGTGAAGAGTGCAGTAAATTATCAAGGGCTTCACCACTAGAGTGCACGCTTGTTGTGTTTAGGTTGTGGGATTTTATTCGCCTGCGAATCTCTCTTGAGTCTACTCGCTTCGAGTTGATCCAATTGAATGTGCACTCTTTTTTCCATCGCATGCAGTTCGAACAAGAACTGAATGTGGTTCTTTGTCGGTCTTTCTGAGCATAGGAGTCAGCCTTCGCCATCAATGTCATAGATATCTGTTAACAAACAGGTGCGTCGCAGCCTCTTTTGCCCTTGCGACATGGATCACAGCTATGCAGCTGGCGTCGGCGGGGGTCTTCCATGGGGAATTATTGGATGTAGTATTGGGGGTTAGTGAGTGGTGACGAGGGAGAAATGCTTCGACACCAATATGCAGGGGAGTCACGAAAAGTACCATGATCTCCCCAGATCAACATTCCCAGTCCCTGGGGGTTTCACGTGAACTCTGCGGAGGTGGGGTAAGCCGGGGTAAGCTGGCGCCCGGCACCGGCACGACTCCTTTTCGGCCCAGTGGAACTATAATTGGTTCACCAACCGAGATGGCATGCTACATCTAGCTATATACGGAGTACGGAGGTGTGTAATTCAGATCATACGAGGCCGGTTCTATACCAAAATAACTGTGGTGACTTGAACAAACAGGTACGAAAAGTGCATGACGGGATATTAACGGCTAATCTTACGCTACAGCGCACAACGTGGTATCTTTTTGAGACGATGTGCCTCGAATCCTGAGAAAATTGTCGGTGAATTGTTGTACCGAGCCAATCATACACGACTTCCCACGGTTGTGTGTGCCGGATGTGGATACGACGTAGGAAAAAAGAAGCGAGCAGGCGCTACATGCTATTGATTGAAACGTACGGAGTAAAAACAATTGAAATCCTTCCAGCTATTTCAGGCTTACGCCCGGGACAGGTGCACACGGACGGTCTTCACCTCAGTGTAGTTGTCTAGAGCATATGATCCAAGCTCTCGGCCCAATCCCGATTCTTTGAAGCCACCAAATGGCATTTGGTAGTGAAGGGTGTTGTAATTGTTGACCCACACAGTTCTATCGCGAGAGATACGTCAGCCGATCCATGAGACCTACTTTGGTGTTGAAATTGACTCACCCTGCTTTGATGGCGTTTGATACTCTGATGGCAGTGTTGATATTCGTGGTATGGACAGCGGCGGCCAAGCCTATGTTTGATCAATCAAGTCAGATCGCGGGAACCAGATTGAAAGTGAGCCAGCGTAGTAGTTACCGTAGTTTGTGGTATTGGCCACCTGAATAGCCTCCTCTTCACTGTGGACCTTCTGTACCGTGCACACAGGTCCGAAGACCTCTTCCTTCACAATTGTCATGTGCTCGTGTACATCAGCAAAGATTGTGGGTTGGATGTAGTATCCTTCGGTGCCATGACGGTCGCCACCTGTGACTACCTTGGCTCCTGCACCCTTTGCCTCCTCGATATAGGTCATGATCCGGTCATATTGGACCTGCGACACCTGCGGTCCCTGGAAGGTCTCTGCATGGAACGGGTCTCCGACCTTATTTTGCTCTGCTCGCTTCTTGAAAAGCTGTAGGAACTCGTCATAAATAGCTTCGTGAACAAGAATGCGCGAGCCTGCACAGCAGCACTGTCCATGATTGAAGAAAATGCCTAGGTTGACCCATTCGATAGCTTCCTCCAAGTTTGCATCTGGAAGAATGATGTTTGGTGACTTGCCACCTAGTTCCAGGGTTACCTTCTTCAAATTGCTGTCTGCCGCTGCTTTCATGATCTGACGACCAACCAGGGTCGACCCAGTGAAAGCGACCTTATCAATATCCATATGCGAGGCAATCGCCGCGCCTGCAGTTCTTCCGAATCCTGAAATAACATTCACCACGCCAGGGGGGAATCCCACTTCTTTGATAAGCTTAGCCACATAAAGCGCCGAAAGAGGTGTCTGCTCAGCCGTTTTCATAACGATGGTATTTCCCGTAGCAAGAGCAGGGCCAATTTTCCAGGCAAACATCAGAAGCGGGAAGTTCCACGGAATAATTTGGCCACAGACGCCCACTGGTTCATGGCGGGTATAGGTCAAGCTATTGGTATCGGTGTCAATCGTTTGGCCAAAAATCTTGTCTGACCAGCCACCATAGTAGCGTATGCACCCCGCGGAGGCGTTAACATCGTTTTTAGCCATTGTCACACCCTTGCCATTATCGAGGGCTTCGATAGCGGCCAAGATTTCGATATCGCGTTCCAGTAAGTCTGCTAGACGAGTGAGGAGACGATCACGCTCAGATGGTGTGACTTGCTTCCACTCTCCGTTCAGTGCATCGCGAGCAACTTTCACAGCAATATCGACATCCTTTGCTGTCCCCTCGTGTACGGCTACAATAGACTTCTCGTTATGAGGGTTGATAGTCTCGAAGGTTTTCCCTTCCACGCCCTTGACGAACTCATTGTTGATAAACCTGATGGGTTTTGTCAGATCATTGCCTAGATAAGATGATATTTCTTATTGTCTGGACGAACTTACAGTCCCAAAGGCTGCTCATATGTGATAACAGGGGTTTCGATGTGCTGGAAGAGTGACATGATTGCAGAATGAGAGTTTGTTGATGATATAGAATGATGAGAAGAGGAGATATAATCGGGACTGTTATATAGCTTCTGGGAAGGGGCCGCGCGGTTCTCATCGGCGGTGCGGAATGCGGGGGAAGCCCCAGGTCGATAAAGACCGGCCCGTTGTTTTTCGCTGTCTGGGGTAGCAGCGCATTTTCCCCGGTGGTGTCCTTCGATTTAGAGTTCCTTTCGTCCGAAAGATCAGCACTAGTCGGGATCTGAAAGCGTGAAATAAATAAAGTGCGGATTTAGTGGTTTGCGGTGGGGATTTGACGTGGTAGATTGGCTACAGACGGAGTGAGGCGTCCTGTTCAGTCATCTTTATTTCGTGTCGCCACTTCTCCTGAACAATTGGATCTCAACATATCTCTGCAGAGGTATATATGCTGAAGTTGAAGATCTTATTGGGGTTTACAGTTCATGTGCATTTTGTACTTGCGCAATGCTTCGAATATAACTGGTATCTCCCATCTAGCCAAATTGTACAAAGTGAATCATGAAGCGTCACGCCTCTGATGAAATTGGTAGTTTTGATATGACGCATGGTAGGCATTCTAGGTATCTTTGATCGAACTGCTGGCTTCCCCAGTGGAACACTGCAGTTCACAAACTCGGGTTTCGCGAGCCGTGGAAGCCCGGTGGAGACCGCCAAAATGCGGAGTCCAGCTCTAAAAACCCAAAACCAACATCCTTCTTATTTTCAATGGCAGGAAAAGGAGGCACATTGTCAAAAGCCAATCAAATTCAGTATCTCAATTCATACATCACATTAATTCGCAAAAAGGTATTCCCAACTATGTCCAGCATATCCTTAGTTTATAACCTGTGCCCATAACACTATGTATCCATGATGAAGCGTAATTTACTCCGGCAACTCGAGCACATAGCGACCGGCAATTTTGCCTTGTTCTATCTGAAGTTAGCTTTGAGTCTAGCAGCAGAGGAGAGTGTATGACGAACCCATAAGCTCGAAGATCTTGGGAAGATCCTCCAGAGGAGCCAGCTTGAATGGAGCCTTGATCAAGCCTCGGGCAAAGAAGTCCAGAGCCTCGACACCATCCTGTTGGTTTCCAACGTAGCTTCCCTTAATAGTGATCATACGAACGACCGTGTTAATGACTGGGGCCTTGAGGTACGCACCGGGGGGCAATCCAATTGCAACAATTGTGCCCCGAGAGCGAACATATTCTGAGGCTTGCTGGAAAGGCTTCTCCGAGACAGCCAACAAGATAACGGCATGAGCGCCAAGGCCACCCGGAGTTGCGGCCTTCACGTCAGCAACAAGGTCTGTGGACTTAGTAAAGTCGATAAAAGTCTGGTTTTGTGGTTTTGTCAGTTTCAATGTTCGACGTAGAGAGATGAAAGAGTATTGTAGGGTTCACGCTCGTACCTCAGTGCCGAGTTCTTCGCACATAGCTCTCTTCTCGTCACCTCCATCAATAGCAATAATTCTAAGACCCATAGCCTTTGCGTACTGCTGTGCAAGGGATCCAAGACCTCCACCTGCCCCGACAATAGCAACCGTCTGGCCGGGACGAACGCCGGATTCCTTCAAACCTTTATAAACAGTGATACCGGCGCACAATACTGGAGCTGCTGCATCAAGAGGGACACCTTCTGAGATCTTAGCAGCGTGGGTGGCCTTTGCGACGGCATATTGCTGGAAAGTACCATCGACGGTGTATCCAGAAAGTTGTGCATCAGCGCACAGAGGAGTGTCGGATTGTCTGCAGAATTCGCACTCCGAGCACGAGCCATTAATCCACTTAATTCCAGCGTGGTCACCAATCTCAAAGGTATTGACAAGATTGCCCTTAGCCACGACCACACCGGCTCCCTCGTGGCCACCGACAAGAGGCATCTTAACTGGGATGGGCCAGTGACCCATCATCGCATGGAAGTCGGTGTGGCATACTCCTGAAAAGCGGATCTTGACAAGAATTTGATCAGGTCCTGGCTTGGGAACAGGGATCTGTTTGAGGACAAGTGGTCCTCCGATCTTCTCGGCAACCTGTGCCCACTGGGTCTCTGGGATAGACATGTTGATATTTGAGATGAGTGAAAATGAGTAAGAATGAGAGAATTAATTTTTGATGAGTGGATAGTCCCTGACTGGGCGTGAGTTGGGCCTTTATATCTCATTATGTTGAGAATAGGTGTTGATGTTCAAGCTAAAAATGGCGAGGTGGGACCTGTCGCTTCAATTGCCATATTGGTTGTTATCTGAGGCAATTAGGTCGTATGACCGGAATGCATTAACTTTAGTCGATGATCTAGGATACCGCTGTAGATTTGGCGATCATTGTGTTCGATCCAGGAACCGTCATGCATCTGGACTTCCGAAGCTGGGGCGGAGCAAAGTTAACGCGGGGAAGGTTTGCGGAGATCGCGCACGGCCCGCCATGCGGAGCCGCACGGGCAACTAAGGCGATTGGATGCAATTTTCTGACTTCCCCACTTTCATATCCGATTTCGGGAAGTTCTCACTTTCGGAAACGCTGTTGGAGCTAGGCACTACTCTGAATGAATCGAATTTTGATATGGCTCTGATAGATCATACGATGAAAGAAGGATATCAAGGGAGATTACTGTGTCTAGATACCAATGGAAGGATTGAAGCTAAGGTGCGCGAAATCAGGGAGGACGGACACATGATTCAGTCTAATAATATCGCGGGGGTTAAAATATCTCAAGTCTTGGAGCCAGAAAATTTTTTCTGGTAATTCAGAAACTATGGGTATATCGATAATTGAAGGCTCAAATTAGTAGTGATACAGCAACCAAAAAAAGGGGAGAAAAACGACGTGGGAAAAGCAGGCGGATGGCGATGTGCAAAATTCAACAAGGGAGAGATTTCTGGAAATTAAGGATAAAAGAAACCTCTATTCCCCTCAGTCATCTCATTGTATTAAAGGTATTGGCGTGTTAGAACTGCTATATTCAGAAAACTCGGGATTATCTCTCGTCTCCATGCGGAAAGAATGTGCTCGACCAGCCACTGCTAATAGAAAATCCGAAATAAAGTTCATCCCTTGTATACTCATTTAGGTGTGCCAAGCTGTTTTCTAGGCTGTTCTCTTGAGCTTGGTATGGGGTCCCTACTTCACTATCTCCAGATGAGCTGGAAGATATGTCTGTCCACGTCGAGTGTTCAGCGTTTGGGAAGGGAGAGACGCAAGAATCGTTTTCTGCGACGATAAGATCCCCGGGATCTTGGTCTGTACACTTGAAACTCAACCTCTCGGTATGGAAAAAGTTCGAATCAATCATCTGATCAAATAGTTCCTCAAATGGGTCAGTTCTGTGGCCTTGGAAGTGTTCATTATTGCTAGCTTCATGCTCAATGGCCCCGCTGTACTCAATATTAACAAAAAGTATCGAGGGCTCTGAATAGGAATCAAACTGACCCATAATCTGCAGCATTCAGAAGATCTCCTTGTTGATGTTGGGTTTGGTGCAGAGCAGGAACCCCACGACCCAAACCCACCTTGGCTGTTTTGTTTGTGCTTTCACGGAGATATTTAAGTGGTTGGCGATTGCCATCAACACATTGTGATGCCATATTACGTCTCACACATTGCCCACAAGGACGTTCGTTTCCTAGTGCCTTCGGTCAGTATGTCTCGGAAGAAACGTGGTCGGCACAATAGGGAAAGGCCGGTGTCTGAGCTCACCGCAGGTTTTGTGGGCCTTTCGGCAATACAAGCAAGACCTCCTGGCCTTTCTGCGGGTTCGCTGGATTTGAATTTCGGTGCAAGATGCCATGCTCAGACTAGTCATCTTGAGATTCCGCAACGCCCGATCTGCAAGGTAGAAAAATAACACAGTCTCAGGTTTATATTTGCGAGCAACCTGGGATCGATGTTTATGTTCGTTTAGATCAAGTGCGCGTTGTGAAGATAAATAACGCAAATGGGTTTCAGATCCTCATTAGTGAGATCGGCTAAGGTATAGGCACTAAGAACTTCATAATAATGAATACAAGTTCATCAAATGGCCTTGCGTTTGGAACGTCGATCCGAGCGGCTCCGCATATGGTAATCCTAGCGATTGGGATCCCAAATGGTTAGGCTCCTCCCCAGTCCCCAGATCCAAATACGCGGGGCGATCTCCAGCAGAATGCGGGGGAAATCCACCAGAATGGCCTGATCGCACTCACCTGTTTCACCCGAGCGGCTCCGCATGAGTTTCGGATCCGCATGGCTCCTTTCACACCCGTCGGCTATTTTGGAATAGTCGCTTTCTTTTTCTCATCCCTACGCCTCCAAAACCCCGATGTGATTTCTTTGGCAAGTTGACCAGCCGGGATGCGGGACCCAGCGCATTGATTTGATCCATTGGTCAATCTTTGCTCAGCCAGCTAGGGAATTCACAGTCCATTTCCAGCAGTCATTGATTTCATGGTTCTAGAATTACTCAAATTTGCAATGTGCTACGAGTCAGCAAAGCTCGTCAATGAACGGTTGGACGCGGTGAAAAGTAATCTGCTTATGCGCGGGCCTTTTTACAACGCCGTGAACAACCATCAATCACCCCATAGTAAATGCCGACCACGAAAATGTAGAGAATGATTAAAACCCCACAGTCTCCTGAGTCTCCTGATTCTGATGGCCTTTAAAATTCGGTCCAAGGAGCCTTCCTTCACTTGAATTGACTGATATAGTATAATCTTTTGTTCTTGACCCTAGAGGCAGCCAGCTCATCCCAAAACAATGGACAGTGACATCAGTCAGAATGGCGAGTCGAAGGTGACTATCCAAGACAAGGAGAACACACTACATCTTACTACAGTCCCAACTTCGGTGACACTGTCGTCTGAGCAATTTGAAAGACTTTATTTGAGCCGCATGACGGTTCAACAATCGTCACTAGCCAAGAAGGTTGGCAATCCGACGCCATTGTGAGTCTTCACATAACATGGTCCATGTATGTCATTTTGATCTAATTGCATACATCGTTCAATATACAGAGCACTAGGAGCTTTTGTTATTACCGCCATTCCCCTTGCGTGCTCTTTGATGTCCTGGGGAGGGGCTAGTGGAAATGGAGTTGCCCTCATGTAAGAGACCATATAATCCTAGGATCAAGGCTCGTCTAACATATTAAAAAGCGGACCTATTATGTTCCTTGGTGGTCTTTTGTTGCTTATCACAAGTATTCTTGAGTGGATAATCGGAAACACATTTCCCTGCGTCGTGTTTGGTACTATTGGTAAGTATTTATATCTCATGGGCGATGATTTAACTGTTAGTCTGCGACACTAATACTTTATCAAGGCGGATTTTGGTTTGCATTTGCAGCCACTATGATTCCGGCCTTCAATGCAGCCGGTCAGTTGTTTCAATCCGATATCCCATTCCATCCCAGCCCAGATGCCAGATTGCTCATATTCTACAGCTCCATATTCCGAGTCCACCACCGATACAACAGCTGGGTTAGCCAGCGAAGGATTCATGAACTCCTATGGTAAGTGCAGCCAAGCTCTCTCACACTCCAAAAAACGACTCTAATGATACCAGCGTTTTTATTCATAACTATGGCCGTTCTGATGTTAGTATACATGATCTGTGCGATACGCATCAATGTGGTATACATATTCCTTTTCCTCTTCCTATTCCTGGTCTTCGTGCTTCTCTCTGCGGCCTATTGGCAACTAGGCCACGAGAATGCAGTTGTTGGTAATCGATGTGTGAAAGTGAGTATGCTGCCATGTTCGATGATTTTGTTACTATTTTGACTGGAATCTGACCCCATTGTCTTTTCTCAGGGCGCCGGAGCTTCACTTTTTGTTGCTACTTTACTTGGCCTCTATCTGTTAATTGTTCAATTATTCGAATCTTTGGACTTCCCATTCGATTTGCCAATTGGTGACTTGTCGAAAGCTTGGACTCGCAATAAAAATAAGTAAGTCTTCTGGAAGGCATTGAAGATTTTGTTCTAATCAAATCTAATCAAACGGAAGGGGAGAGCGAGCCGATATTGAACAGCCAACGAGCGATCGCTACAGTTGAAACGATTTATAATACATCCGTTGGTGATTGGTGGTATATGAAGCTAATGTTATGCCTCCTCCATCGTCAACCCCGTGTGTGCCATATCGGATATTGGATTGAAGTGCTCGGTTGGGAAGACGCCACAACAAGTATGGTTGCATTTATTCCCATCTATCGCCGAGCAATATGTATTTTATTGAAATGAACCGCAAGTCGAGGATTAAAACTTAAAACATTGAATGCATCAAGCCATCTGGATCTTTTCAATGTCTCTCTCTACTCATAACAACGGAGACCCGGGAATACTTCCAAGGTTGTAGAAATTCCTTCGTTGCCAATATCAATCCCGTCAAGGGCCTCCATGTCTCCACTCGCGAGTCTTTTCAACTGCAGATTCACTCGCTGTCGGTGTGCGGATTTGCTTCGGAAGACTGGAATAGTCCCTCTCTGAACAGCCCAACTTAGCAGGACCTGACCAGTATTCAAACCACTTCTTTTGGCCATACTTTATACCTTGGGATCATTCACTAAGGTTGTTCTGCGGGGGCTCAATGGAGTGTAGTCAACCACGGCGCCCTTCGTTTCCCACTTGAGAGGGGCAAAGGGGCTATACACCATTCCCAAAATCCCACGCCGATGTAAAAATTCTAGCGTCTCTTGATTCCTATACCAGGGATGTGCTTCAATCTGGTTGCAGGTCAAGGGGATTTCGCCACCGTCGGAGGGATCACTCAAGAACTCTTCCATTTGTTCGATGGTGAAATTAGATACGCCGATTGCCCGGACCTTTCCCGAATACACGTCTGGTGTGGTGACTTGAGTGAACACCAACTCAGTTTGCCATTATCGGCCCGTGAGCAGCTAGTTGGCCGAGCCCCCAAGTCCGATAACATTCATGCTGTCATTCACTGCGGTGCGCTAGTACAATATAACTACGATTACAGGTCATTGAAAGGCATTAATGTGAATCCGACGGCATATCTCCCAAAGATAACTGCGCAATCCTCGACTATCGGAAAATTCCTGTATGTTTCAGGTGGTATTACCCCAAATTTCCATCAGCGAGATGCCTCCACTGATGGCGAGCCGGCATTGACAAATGGGTATACTCAATCAAAGCTTGTTTCCGAAATAGTTGTTCGTGGATGCGCGGACTGTCCTGCGTTTCAGGGACGACGAATCCGTATCATTAGACCTGGTTATATGATCGGATCAGCTGCGAACCCAACGCCGGTACAAACCGATTTCATCTGGCGACTGGTAGCCGCGTACCTGAGAATGGGATTCTACAATGCTGATGCCAACTCCCAATGGCTTTACATCTCCGACGTAGAACGCGTTGCTAGGGTGGTCGTTACTGCCATCTTTGAAGGATCACATTCCAGAATCATGGATGCGGTGTGGGACGGCCTCCCATTAGGGAGTTTTTGGGGTTCATTGACCGCAGATTTTGGATACAATTTACGACCTCTGAGGGAGTCTCATTGGCTTGGAAACCTCAGATCTACCATCGCCCGCGAAGCAGAATCGAATCCTCTCTTTCCCTTCTTTCATGTCCTCGAGAAGGAGCTGAAGTCGGTTGGCTCAACAGCAAATTCCGATATGGACAGCGCCTCTGTCTTGGATGCCATTCGTGGCAATATCCAAAATCTCATCGAGGCAGGATTTCTACCTCCGCCCCCTTCCTCGTCTGGGCAGAATGGTGGCCGCGCTGTTGAAAACGGTCCCAATTCGGCCGAAGCTTTCACTGAGCTGTAACGGATATTGAGAAACCCCATAATCAACTCTCTGGGCGGGACCTTCCTCTGGGGCAACGAGATTATTCAGGCCTCAGTCTACCTCTTGAATACATTCAGAATTCAATGAACACGAATCCCGAAACTGAAACATATACAAACCTTTGAGCCGCGGAGCGTATACAGAGGTAGTTGGGTTTATAATTGCGTCTATACTCCCAGAAAGTCTCTTAGATTCTGTTTCGGTTCAATGTATTGCATGAGATGGGGGAAAACGTGTCTAGTTCACCAGTAGGAAAAGTGTTTCGAGATGGGATAAAGGACTTGTGAGGCTACCCATGGGTACCCGGGTGGTCAGGCCCCCACCACCTCTTATAGCCAGGCCAGATAGCGGGATAATCAGCCATCTTACACGTCCCAAAGGGATTGATAAATACACCATTCACGCCCGTGCTGCTGCTTGCGGCTCTATAGTATCTACACGCTCTCGATCGAAGCTTCGAAGAAGTATCTATGTATGGGTAGTCCTCTCATTAGACCTTTTAACCATTCTATCATCAAACAGGTGCAGTTCTGAGTAAGTTCATAGGAATGCCCGGGGATTTTCCAATTCATCAAGAGATAATCTCATGATAATTCAGCTGGAAGATTAGCCAACTTTTCTGATATCTGCTGGACATCAGATGCATTTGCCTTTGCTTCAAGGTCATGTGCTCCATCCATTTTGCCTTCATCTGATGTGAGGTCCTCTTTCTGAACTTCTTCCTCGACCCCCTCGACTTTCTCGGCATCTTTCTCAGCAGTAGTCTGCGCAATGTCTATATGCGCCAGAGTGTACTCATCCGGGTCCCACGCCAAAACCCTGCTTTCCATCTCTTTCACTTTTTGTGCCACAAGTCTTTCCATCTCGTATTTTTGCTCGTCGCTCAGGAGGTCAAGCCTCTGTCTCCACGCATCCTCAACATCCCCCACAGGGCCAAAAAAGCGCTGGTCAATTTTACGCCAATAAATAGAGTCAAAAGCAAAGCTGTTCCTCGCTGCGTACATGACCCAAAAGTCTCCACTCTCCCAGCTTTCTCGCATTGGACCAGACAATCGCTGTTCTTCTTTTATCATAGCGGCATCTTCGCGATCAATCATTGCCTTTAAAAATGTTTGAAGACGGCGATCAAACTCTTGAGTCCAGTCTTCAAGACCTTTGGACCAGTATTCAGGTCTTTCGATGAGAAGCCACCAAGGCGGCGCATAGGAAAACTCGACTGGGGCCGCGTATGTAAACTCCCAATCCACGACGCCCGCAATCTTCAAATCCTTAGTGACGAGAACGTTGGCCGGTCGGAAATCATCACACCAAATTTTGAACGGGCCTTGATCGAATTCGGACCACCGCTTGGTGAGCTTTCGCTCGCGGGCTAGTTTGCGAAAAAGATGCCTTCCGACGAACTTTCGTCGACAGTCATCCGCAGACTCGATTGAGTCGTTACGTTGAAATGTGAGATGAGCAATATGAGTCTCCGCTAGAGCTTCAAAGTACGAGGAAGCTGAGATAAAGGTTGTCTTCTGACTTGGAAGTTTCGACTGAGGTAGGGATCCTAATCGGACGAGTTCGTTGGCATATATTGATAACGGACGACTAGAGACTTCCCAGGTAAAGTCATCAACCTGACTGAAAGACCCGATCTGCGAGAAGGATGGCTGGGAGAGTTGCAGAAGAACGGTAGCCAACTCTCCATATAAAGTTTGGAGAAGATTTTCATCGATACTGGGGTTGAGCCTTCCTCTCTCCTTGCCTGGGCAATTTGGAATATTCAGTAGGTCGTACATATTCGAGTTATGTTCGATATACTCCATGATAATGAAGGGACCCAGCTCCAAAGGACTGTCTTTCTTAGGGCCGCAGTGAAGAACAAAGGGTACCGGGACTGGAGTCTCGTCATGAATGTACCGCATAATGGCGACCTCGGATCGAAGCTTCTCTTCCGGGAACATAGTGGCACCGGGCAAAGGGAAGCGTATGATGGCGGCACCGGTTTTGTATGTCATCCGAAGGGAGATGTTGAATGTACCCTTGTCCAAGATATCAAACCGGACTGGATTATCTGGCTTATGGTGCTTGAGTAGAAAGTTTCCGACCGGCCTTGAGATGCTGGGATCAAAGAACTGATCAACCCAGGTATCGGCGATTTCCTCACTCTTTTCCCAGGCAACATCATCATAGCATATGTGTGGTTGCATAGTTGGTGTTTTCGAAAGTAGAACGATATGTACGTCAAAATTGGACCCAGAAGGTAAATTGTACCATCGGAAACAGTGGAACAGAAGCTTGAATAGGGGTACTCAGAGGCGCTGGGGCTGGGGTTAAATATAAAATCACATGACCGTAAATGACCCTGAAGGAAACACATCACTTCCTCGCTTTATCGACCAGTGTGTTCTTATGGGGTAAGATACGAAATAAGAATACAATGGGGGAAAAAGGCAGAAACAGAAACAATAAACAGTAGAGAAAATGGCGATCTTTTTCAGCTTTGGTTTTTTCTTCCCCCGGTCACACTTATTACAGGAAATTACCCACCTACAAGGTACCTATGGAGGACTCCGTACAGGTACGTACAGATATGTACTCTGTACGGAGTACGATCAGTCCCATAAAAGTGGTAACATCCCTTATTCTGCTCAGCAAATTTCCACCACTTTAAACCCTAAGGATAGCGGGCGGTATAGTTTCTTAGGAAGGCGGTAGCAGAAGAGTTTCAAAAAACATTTGCGGAATCACCAGACCTCGACAGTACAGTGACTGCACGTAAGGGTATTTGCACCCCTCTTGGCCCTACATTGTTCACCGCCCATACCGCCTTCTCGACACGGGTACATATTGTTTATGACCAGAACACCTTTAAACTGTACACGAAACTGCTTCTTCGGGATAGAAAGCCTATATTATTATATTTTACCTCCCAGCACCATTCCCGGCACATATATCTCATCATTAGGGGCAATAACGATACATGGGATAGTTTTTATGCCGGCAGAATATTATGTAAAATTAGGGGTGTGGTGTGGGGCGGGGGTGCACACCTTGGGATACTGGGCACTTATGTCTACATGTACCTACCTACATAGGTACATGCTGACTGTACGGAGTACCTACGGATGTACTCCGTACATATGTTCCAATTTGTATCATACCAGAAAAGCTAAATTTTGCCTTCTTTTTCTTCCCTAATGACAATATGGACTTCACATATATACTATATATAATTTGATAAATTTCTCCGAAGACCACATAGAAATTTCATTTGATAGTGCAATGGCTATGGAGAATATTCGCATTTTATCTACGGAAAAGAATTTTCTTGACTCAACATAATTTACCCTGAAACTAGAGGCCTCATTTTCTAAGGCTTTTAGATCCTTGGTACTCCGAATAGATTTCTCCTACAGTTATCCTTTGCTAATTAATAAATAGAGAGTGTCTGTACTCCGAAAGTCTCCGCATTAATATACATAGACTACTCCGTACTCTGTACGGAGTAAAATTTATCAAAATAAATAGTTTCTTGTGGTCTCTAGTGGGGATATTGTGGTCCTGTGAGAAATCATACAGAATTTACGGAATACACGTTTTCCACTTTGTACCTATGTACTGAGACAAACATAGGCTCATTGGCTATGTACCTAGCCACCTCATGCATCAGGGAACATGTGATTCGTGTGATTCACATGGCTTATGTACTTGTAGCGAATCTTTGGGCGTGATAGCTTGTGATGAGATTATATCCCTGAATACGGCACTTGTTACCCTAGCAAAGTAGGTACTTCCCTATTAAATGGTATTCCGAGACAATAAACTTCCCCATGTATTGGATTGGTTAACAAAATCATCTTCTTCATTCCTTGGTAAGAAGTTCTTGGACACATACGTGGGTCAATGTTAGCAAATCATTTACACCTCGTACTTAGACTTAGTGATAGGGGTATGTTTCCATTAGCGCTTCTGATGTTGTTCATGCCATAAGCGCGTAAGTTCTCCAATCAATTGGCTCTAGGGGATGAACGCCGAAGGTAGTCACAAGCCTACATACCAATGGTTTGTTTCACTTCTCTTGATTTATTTTTAATTTTTAACCTCAAGTCGGTAATTGATTCCCGTTGTGACTGCCTTTCCGGTTGATCTAATTGTATGTTCAAAACAAGAGTGGTTTAATCACTACTCTTCCTACATCAGGTATAAATAGATGGACCAAAATCCATCTTTTCGTGATCAGGTTTCAGTGAACGCTTAACTACTATTCAAAATTCCTTGAACTTGTTACTCTGGTAGATATTCAGAATACCGATCACCTCTTATTCAACCCAAGACAAGCTTAAAAAGCCTCAAGATCTTCCCTCACTTAGATCATTGATGTATGCTCTTCTTGTCATTTCTTCTCTAATCTCACATTTTATACTTTTCTGATACATTTCTTGCAGCTCAGCCACGGCTCAAAACATGACGAGCAACACCGATCGTGACTCGGCGTCTTACCAGCTAGACATCTCGAAAAAACAGGCAGCCGAACTGAATAAAACGGGCAGTTCTTCTGCGGGAAAGCGCGGCCATATATTCAACGATGAGCAAAATAGTACATTTGCCAATCCCACAGAGCGCAACTTGATGGAAAGTGCCGGCAGAGCGTCTGAAAAGAGGCGGATCCATGCCACGGAACAAATTGCCAACGAATATACCACAAAGTGAAGCTGGTGCCTTTTGAATGTACACGTCGTCAACATACGAAGCTGAGATATCTCATTTTCGAATCGTACCTATTTCTTTGAAACCACACGTGTATGCTCTTTAGCCTTTTTCATGTTTCACTCTCATGTTAGAGATCAGTATAGCCGTTTGCTTTTTCGTCATTGTTGTATCGTCAGTATGTACATACACATGTATCAATCCTCGCATAACTAAGAATTGATATCTTCTTGCGAACCTTGATGCACCGGCGATTGAATATCTATACATACAAGATCGTGACAAGCGTCTAACGCTAGCGCGCCTCGGCACTTGATTGTTAAGAAATCCAGTTGACCAAGAGGCCAAATTTGTCAGGTTTCCCAAACCAGCAATGAAGGCTATTGAGAGAGAGGACCAGACTCTACGCTACGAAGAGAGAGAGAGAGACTAGAAATCCTGTATTCGTCTAAAGAAGAGAAGAAGGGAAGGAAACTATCTAGAAGAAAGAGCTTCTTATAGCACGGCGAGGAAGGAGGAGTCACCTGACTCCAAACAGCTATCTATAAACTGCTGATGTAGTATCATGCATTCCTACAAAAGAGACTTTTTTGACTGTATCGGATAAAGTTGTGAGGTAACATCAATCTGATATTGAATTGGTGTATCATGTGTGCCCGAGCACCCTGTACTTGTGGTATACAACCGAAGTGAATATATCATCCGAAATTAATATGAGAACATAGTATGAGGATGTTATAACCATTTGGGCTGTAAGTATAGGGGGTTTCTTGCCACACTTCTAAGTATGAAGTGACTGAACAGTTTTTTGTTGTGATCGGACATGACTGCATTCGCTGTGTGTCATACCCAGCCCTCAACACTTGATTGATAATTCCAATGGGCGGAACGAATGTCCGTTCATTTCCCCTTGTAACTGATTTCAATACCACATTATCACTCGTGTATAGGCTAAAATCTTGCTATGATCTGAATTCGGTGACTCGGTGACTCGGTGTCTCGTTCGAGCGCTTTCCCTCTCGTGTCGTGCTAAATCAGGGACCAGTTGTGCTTGAAGATACGTTCTCTATCTTGGTACTCGAACAATTCAAGAAACAAACCTCCGACGTTCGTTTTATCAGAAGAGATTGAACAGGTGGAAGGGATCAATCAACCTGAAATACTCATATGAAGTGAAGTGTGCTTCTGATCTGTATGCTATCATCACACGGGCGTGTTTTCTTGTTTTCTCGCGCGGCACTCATGTTAAAGCAAATTTGCGATGTCAATGCTGAGCTTTGAAATGAGGCTCCAATACTCTTTTGTAGTCAAGAGCATATTCAGTCCGTTAGTATTCTTCCGCGGTCGAGATGCTTTGTGATTTACGCATCGTTGATAAATAAGATGAAAGGACTTGTCAACTTGAACATTTCCCACAACTGAAGGACCTCTAAAGAGTCGGCAAAGTTCGTCTAAAAATATCGTTCACAGCCTTCAATTGAATAGGTCTTGTAGCCGAAAAGTTCCAAATGACGGTAGGTAGAGTGGAAATATCGGCCTTTGGGGATCATACTCTATCAAACACGTGGGTAGTTTCCTAGCTCGTACTGGTTTCGTCTCTTCAGACGCACTCCTATGCTCGTTTGGTGGAATTCTTGCAGATGAGATGGGTCTTAGAAATCCACTGACGACCTTTGCGACAATGATTAACACTCCTCAAAGTACGGAAGCAGCTCTAGCTACGATATCGACAACTGGATCTTCCACTTTATTTAGACAACAGTCGAAATCAACCTTGATTATCGTCGCTTCCGATGATATTTCCTTATCCAAGTTCTATTGATTGCTGATAGTAGAAGCACTCATGGATCAATGGCTTGATGAGATATGAGATACACAAGAAATAACTATCAATCGCTTTCTATTGATTTCAATAAATGGTATTTATGAAGGAGGGTTGATTCAGGGATTCTCATAGTATGCAGATATCGTGGCCAGTCATGTAATTCCCACTTCTTGACCCTGGAGTTGACCCTGGAGCAGAAATATGTGGTCTCGACACTGTATAGCATATTCAAATCGGAGTTTTATTGTGGTAATGGTCTTTCGCACCGCATAGACCTTTTCTAAGTTGTTGTTCTAGATGGTGGTATAAAGCTCTTGCATTCCTCTTAGTTTCCATTGCATAAAGAACTGATCCCCGACATCTAGCACATGATATACGCACAAATTTCACCTAAAAATCCGCTGCTGTCAATGCAATATCAGCAAACAGACGTTGGTTCATAACTGCTACTCCGGTTTAGAATCAACGGGAAGATCTAGAAACCCTTCTCACATTCATTCATATCCCATATCTTAGTGAGCTAGATAATTTCCGGACCCATATGAGCAACCGAATATATCACGATGACTTCGGACAATTTGACAGTCTAAGGCTCTTGTTGGCATGCGTTTGCTTCCGCAGAACAGGCTTCGAGTGTTGCAATTCCTCCCACGGTGTTGATCGGCGAATATAGATTCTCGGAGTAAGTGAGTCGAATTTTCTGTCAAGATAATAGCGCTTATATACTGGAAAGGATAAAATTCAACCGATCAGTTGAACATTAGTGGCGTCATCTGGAGCGTCGTGTATCACTAGGCGTAAGGGAAAATTATTCTTGTCATTCTATCCTACCATTAACTAGTAACAATTAATAAATACATAGGGCTTTGTTCATAGGCTCAGTTTTAGTTCTTTAAAATCCCACTACTCTTCTCATCGCTTATGTATAACATCACCCAAGGGAGAACGCCAGACATGTCTATATGGCCCTTCACGGGTTGACTTTCTTTACATTTTCTTTTGTCTTCTTTGTACTGCCAGCGGGTTTGTGACGTTATCCTTCAAGTGGAAAGTCCTATAGTATCCATGGGGATCCCCCATGGACGACACGAGGACTAGTCTGCAGGATGAATTTGTATACTGGGGATGCACCACTATCATCAATTGTTGCCAAAACAGGCTTTAGGACGCTATCCAAATAACAGTACGTGTGCAAAGTCAGCCATATTGGGCAAATAAACTCATCGTCCTTATCATCATCACCTGTACCTAAAACCCTGAGAGAAGGAGAATTGGCATAGATCATCAGATTCGTCTTCACATTGCACTCTGCAGTTTTCATTCCTGTGATTTTAATTCCACGGGTAGATTCTCATCACGCCTGGCTTTTCTTCCTTCTTTTTTTCCCGTCACTACCTGAGTCACATTGTGGACGTTCTTGGTTACTAGCATCATCACGGTATGGACGAACGAGTCAATGAACTGATGCACAGTGACGACGATTCTCCACACTTATTTACCAACAGCCTTGAATAATACGTCTAAAGCATGATATATTGACCACAATCAAAGGGAAATAAACACGGAAATTTTTCAATTACTGTGGCCTGAAGTATGACCACTCAACCCTAACCGCTCTTCGATGATCTTGACTATCTCCGTCCATTCCAGCATAGCACCACTCCCTACATCTCCACAAGCCAAGATCTTTGACGACTGCGGGTGTAAAACCTCAAACCAACCAGTCTCCTCACCAGTCTTTTCATCTTTCTTCACGCCCCAGTCCTGCTCTAGCACCCGGATGTGCTGAGCCGTTACCGGATGCCGCCACATAGCCGTATTCATGGCCGGAGCAACCACAATCCGTTTCTTTTTACCGTCAACCTGACCATCTGTATCCCAAGCCCGACACACCGACGTCAATAGGTTATCGCTGATCCCGTTGGCGAGCTTGGCGAGAGTGTTCGCAGAAAGAGGAGCAATGACGAGGATATCAGCCCAGCGTCGGAGAGAAATATGCAAAATGTCAACACCACGGCGCCAGGGCTCTGGTCCCCACTCGGCGTCATCGTCATAGACGGCTTCCACGCCGGGCAGGGAGAGTAGGGAAGAGACGGTGGGCTGCTCGGCGGACTGGCCAGCTAGAAATTGTTGGGCTTTGGTCGTGAGTATGACTCTTATTGAGAGCTTGGGAATGTGAGGGGTGAGAGCGGTGATGATGTTGGATATTTTGATTGTCGCGACTGAGCCTGTTGCAGCAAGCAGGAGGTGAACGCGGTCTCCAGTGGGTGTTGGTTCGGTGCTTAGGGCGTCATCAATGCCGCCGGATTCGGTCATTTGAGGCATCATTGGTATGTGGGCAGCTTTGCTGGGCGAAGCTTAGCTGTACGAGGTCATTCACAGGTCGTCATAGACACTACGTCGAAGCTCTCGAGGTTGGATTGTTGAGATCGTGAGAAGCGGGGTGTACGATAAGATAAGGATTCTGCCCTTGACGCTACTCCCCAAGGCTCAGTGTGCACAAGGTCAGTACATTCCCAAGTGAGGAATGTACCTATCGGGCAGGATTGACCATTTAGAGTATCCTTCTAGAGAAAGAAAATCAGTTGCATGTTCAGCAACTGGGGAAGATGACTGAGGGATCGATGGTTGTCTTGTTGAGAAGAGCCTTGATTTTATAACAAGCATCCGGCAAGTTTGTGTTCCAAAACTATACCATGTTGTATGCCATGTTGACCATGAATGAGCTAGAACACGAGATGAGCTTTTCTTATGGCGCAATGGATCATGATTACTGTGGGTCATATGGATGCGATAATCATGAGCGCTCTATGTTGTTAGGGACGTCGAATTATTAAACAAGGCCAGGCTGCAGGGGGTGCCCATGTTCGGGCTGCATTTAGCCGTCGTTGCCCACGCGCCATTTCGATAGATGCACATGTGCATACATGTACGTCAGAAACTTGTACGTGCGGCAAGTGAGCACGTATGACGCTTTCTCAGACGCAGACAATGCAGACAGTGTACAATTGGGGGATTGAATCAATGATCTGTGGCCATCAATGCTAATGGTCTTATCAAACAAACCTCAAATAAACAGTTCAGGTTATAATTGTCATTTTTTCTTGTATTAATAGCCGGTAGTACATTTCCCATTCCAATCCATCATACATTTCGAATAATACATCAATCACCCCCGAGGAGAAAAGAACAGCCCTCGGAGCATGTTCCCTGTGCTCCACATAGCGGCGAATCGAGCAATTTAAGTGCTTTTCTTGGCATTCTCACGCTCAGCCTTGCGCAGAGCGCGCTTGCGGATGCTCTCGTGCATAGACTTGTTCTGTCCGAGAACGAACTCGCCCATGGTTCCGACAACAGAAGTCAAGAACCAAGCCATAATACCATGGCTCCAGTAAGGGGACGAGCTGTAAGCGTAGGAAGGCGAGCCACCACTGCGACCGATCTTCGAGAGAACAGAGCGAACGAAAGCGCGAGGAGTGGGGATAGAGGCGGAGGCACGACGGATCTTGGACATGGCAGAGGTAATCAGGTAGGCTTGAACAAGTTCAACATCAATGCCATAGGGGGCTAGCTCGCCGCCAAGAGCGGTGGACCAGTGCTGCAGGAAAGCCTTGCTGCCGGAGTAAGTGGCAAGGAAGGGAGTGGGGAGGAGACCGCCGAAGGAGCCCATAGTCAGAATCAAACCGCGACGGCGCTGCATCATGCCAGGAACGATAAGCTGGGTGACACGCAGGGTACCGGTGCAGTTGATTGTGACGATATCGGCCATCTCTGCGGCGGGGGTCTGCGCGAATGGAACGGGAATGGAGTGGCTCAGGCCAACATTGTTGACCAGCACCGAGACGTCGAGCTGGGAGACAAGTTCGTTCAGGGCCTCGTAGTCGGCATCGGCATTGCGCGAGAAATCCATTGCCAGCGTCTTGGTCTGTACCTGGGGGAACTGCTTGGCGATGTCCTCCGACAGAGCTGCGAGCTTCGAAGCTGTGCGGGATACGAGAACGACGTTGAACTTTGACTTTGCCAATTGCAGCGCGAATTCCTTGCCCAGGCCATCCGAGGCGCCTGTCACCACGGCCCAGCTACCAGGGGGACCGAACGAGCGGAGCTATTGAATCCTTCTTGTTAGCATCAATTCCATTGATGAAATTGCTATATTTCAATTTGCTTACCGGTTTGCCGGGAAGCACGAACAGGCTAAGAAGCACCCGCACGAACGTCCAGACCTTGTAGGCAATAACCAGCCCACCAGTCGCCAGGAGGAACAGCGCTCCATAAGTAGGCAGGCCTGGGGCGATATGGGCTGGCCATTGCGAGAGGCATCCAATATGCTTTGACAAATCCATATCGAATAGAAAACGCCTGTACGGAAAAGCCTGTGACAGGAAGAAAAAAAAAGTAGACCAGCGACTCTTGTTGGGGAGGCTCAACGCCAGTTCAAAACATCCTCGGCTACGGGCGGCCTAGTCCTTTATCTCATTGGTCAATGGCCTTACCGCCCTCCTCTCCGCCTCCCAAATTAGTATCTATGGTCTGTCCTTGCTCTTCTGTGTATACAATGATCTCTCTATATACTATGTATTTCATTACATGCTATTTTGGATATTTCCATGTAAAATCCTCGGATTATCACTGAGAAGAGCAGTCTTTGTAGCACAATTTTCATCTAAACACAACATGGGCAGGTGGAGGTACATCGTCCAGTACACTAGTTTTCTGCCAGATAATAAGGCAACCCATTCCATAAATCCATAACCCGTGCCTGGCCTCCCTCAAGTCAGCGCAACCATTTCCTTCAGATCAAGAACACAAGATCTTCCCAAAATGTCTCAACTCCTTACCTATCTCCCCCAATACGAGGGCATCTTGCCCAAATGGCTCGTCTTCGTAAGTCTATGCCCGCTCCACCCCGGAGGCCAACAACACGCCCACTCCGCACCCCTAGCTACTACATCTTCCCATTCTACAACCTAACTAACCATAAACCTCTTGTTTTAGGTCTCGGTAGTCTCCGCTCTTAACAGCGTGCAAGCCTATGTCTCGCCAGAATACACTTCCCAACTCTACAGCAATGGCAAAGTCCCCGCAAGCCCGCTTTCCGGCCGCGTCTTCGGAACCTGGACCTTCCTCTCTGCGGTCATTCGCATGACTGCCGCTTACAACATGGACAACCCTGTCGCATACGACCTTGCCATGTGGACCTACGCCATTGCGCTGACACACTTCGTTGGCGAGCTCATCTTCGGCAATGCCTCGCTCAAGGGCCGCTTTGTGAGCCCCCTGATTGTTGCCTCATGCTCGATCGCTATGATGTTCAACCAGCGTGACGCGTACTTGGGTTAAATATACCGACCTGCAAGGAAGGATAGCTCGAGGCTTTTCTACCAATTAAACTCAATAAAATCACGGGGGTCGCTGCCAATGGAGGAATTGGACATTGCATATTAACCCTCGAATATAACTTATCACTTCTGGAAAATATAATTTATACGTGTGGATTTCAATGCTGTTTCAAATTCTGGTAGAACTATAACCGTAGTCCAACCTGGTATATAAATTTTTGTTTGTTTACTCCTTGATTTGGTGATCCTTCATGAATCAATCTTCTTCCTGTACAGCTCACCACCACAAGCCCGCAGCTTGGCAGCAGCTTGCTCGGGAGTGATATCACGCTGAGGCTCAGCCATGAGCTCATAACCAACCAAGAACTTGCGCACAGTCGCGCTGCGCAGCAGAGGCGGGTAGAAGTGCAAGTGCAAGTAAGAAGCCTCAATCTCCTCGGGAGTTCCATCAAGAGGAGCCTGGTGAATACCCATACTGTAAGGGAAGTGCGTCTCGAAGAGATTATCATAGCGACGGGTCGTCTCCGCAATCGCCTCGGCGAGCAACATCTTATCGGCTTCAGACAAATCAACCAGCGCACGCTTATGAGTACGGCTGACAATCATCGTCTCAAACGGCCACGTCGCCCACCACGGGCACACGACCAGGAACGCCTCATTCTCGAACACCACACGCTCCTGCTTGCGGCTTTCCAGCGCAGCGTAGTCCTCCAGCATGTGGCTGCCGCCGTGCTGCTGTCGGTACTTGGTCAGCTGCACCATTTCGGCCGCAGGCTCTTCGGGCATCGAGCTTGTCGTCCACACTTGTCCGTGTGGGTGAGGGTTCGAGCATCCCATAGCTGCACCCTTGTTCTCGAAGATCTGCATGTAGCGGTACTGCTCCTTAGGCTTGGTCACGTTGGTTGAGTGCGAGCTTGGCTGCAATGTTGTTGCCGGTGCGTTCTTCACGAGCGGGGATGTGGGGGACAGGTGCGCGGTGTAGATCTCTGTCCAGGCGTCGATCACGGGCACGATCTCGCGCGGCGCAAGGTCGGCGAGGGTAAGGTTGTGCGCGGATGAGAAGGTCAGTACGTAGCACTTGCCAGTTACGGGTTCGGCTTTGAGGAAGCGCGATTCAAGTTCTAAGAATTGTGAGCGTGGTGCGAATGCGCTTGGTGAATCACACATACCATCCTGATTTGAGGGCTCATATGCCGCTTGTTCTTCTTTCACAGCGCTGTAATCGTTCACGAATACGAAAGTGCTGTCATATTTGGGGTTGGTATCGCCCTGGGCGCGCTCGTTTCCGGGACAGAGGTAGCATTTAGGGTCGTAGTCGGGCAGGGTAGTCTTGGAGGGGCTCTCCTGCGCTCCTCTGATTGATTGTTTAATTAGCTATTGTGTTGCGCAACATTTTCCGATCTTGGCGGTACTCACTGCCAGGGACGCTTAGTTCGGTGGGGAGAAACCAAGATCGAGGAGCCACGGAGTGGGTTATATCTCCTGTGGGAGATGTCGTCGAGTACGTTTTCCATGATTAACGATTGCAATGATCACAGGAAAGAGTACCTTGGAGGAGAAAGGGAAGGTCAAAAAAGAGAAGGAAAAAAACTTCAGGCCATGGGTAAATAGCCAAGGGTGGGGAGGGGCGCGGGGTTTCCGGAGGACGATGCGCCAGGTTACAACTCCCCGTTAAGCGAGACCCAGGTAATATAAGATATTAATTTGTTGATGTGCCCATGTTGCCTGGTTCATATCTAGGCTAATATCGGGAACTCATTCAGCAGTATATCGATATAGAACATCTTGGCGCTGTCATCTCCGTCTTTTCTCGGTGAGCCGTACGGGCATCGGTCGGCATCCCGCAGTCAGTTTTCCGGGGAAACGCGCGCTGCCGGGATATTTGGCCTGTCGTCAGCCGAGAGAGGCAGTTCAAAGCCGCAATTAGCCGGTAGGCGGCCACTCAGAAACCCCGTGTCCCACATTGTGGACTCCCACTCCCAAAGAGGGAATTTATGCCCGCAGCCATGTGACGTCACTTATCGCTCTATCTGCCAGGGACCAACACAGTACAACTTACAGGCACTACTTGTTATTGTCTCATGTTACATTCTCTGGTCATCGCAATATACTAGTTACCATCCATAGTCCCATCTTACATCGCAATTGGTGCATTGAATCATTAATCACCATGAGCCCCGCCAAACCCGCAGTATCCCTGGACTCCCTCCCCAACGAGGTACGACCACCCAACTCAGTCTTGCCAAGCAGAGCATACCCCAGGTTTATATCGTATGCTGTATGGATCTAAAGTTCCCAATAGGTATTTGTCGAAACTCTATCAGACTTCTCAACCCGAGAACTTCTCCCACTCATATCCGTCAACCACCGATTCCACGCACTAGTCCTAAGAATACTCCATTACCGTCTACTCCTGAGCACTCCACTCAAGGAGTACACTCTATTATTGGAATGCTTTCATCCTAGCTCCAAGCTTACAGAGCCACACGTCTTCTGCAAATACCTTGGAACAGATGGACTAACTGACCGTCATGATGGAGCGGGTTCGTTATATGAGGATGTCAACACCGCCCAACAACTGGGTAGAGTAACGGGATTATACTCACGCTTTCGACCGGAGGCAAGCAGAGATGAAGAAGATGAGCAGCGGGGGGATAATGCACATTTAGGATTGTCGCAAGGTAGGATGCTTCTATTGCCGGGGGTGGTGGGGTTCATACGTGCTGACATGAATGGGAACCGAGGCGCTGAGAAAGAAAGCGCAGTCATCCGTGAATTCACAATAGATGGATATGAGGATTTCTCGCAGCTGTGTGTGGTTGCCAATCTAGTGCAGGTCAGGCCAGGGACCTCATTATTGTTGTCTGCGTCAACTATTGAAGATGGGTTTGTTCGATTGTGGAGAGACTGGCTGCATCGTCAAAGTAGGAAGATGGAGAAGGCTACCGAGACTGCCCGGGAAGAGGGCTCTGCGAATGTTTCGGTGTCGTCATCATCGGATGATATACTATGGGTGGACACTGGCAAGACCGTTGGGTTGAAAATGCGCGTGCGACCCAAGGCGTGGAATCCATCTTTCCCTATATTGATACATCAAGATGACCGGGATGATAATGCTTGGGTGGGATATGAAGTGATTCTGGAAGGTGAGTCTCCACTCTTGCGAAGGGGATCGCGTGTTGACTCAATAGAACTCCACATCCGCTCCACGCGCTTGCTGCTAGTTGTTGAGCAGGCAAAGGAGGAACAGGAAATGCATCAAAGCAATGCAATTGTAATTGGGGCTCCAACTCCAGCTCTACTAGCTTGAGTATTCTCATAAATTCTATCCCTGGTGGCATATACTGATACATAGTCGATGGTATATTTTTACATATCTGAGAGAAGCAAGATTAGAACAATAGACACACCAAGCACTGCTCTATCTTTCTGCTTCAATGGCCACGTCAAAGTCTCGAAGAAAAGCCCAGAGAGTTTCCCTGCGCCAATCCTTCTCCTTCCAAGAATTTGCCGGCAGTGGGAATACATCGACACGTCCAAGCAAGCTCGCATCATGTGCATGAATAAACCAGATATTACTCTCTGCGTCCGCCTCTTGTGCTTTCTCAATCGTCCGAATAGTTTCCTCAGTAATGGAGCCAACCATAGGACTTGGAGAAAAGAACGGTTTATCAACAGAGCCGCTCCGACGGACCAACAGCTGCTCATAGGCTTGGACCCCAGGGCAAGGTAGGATAGCAGCTGGAATTGCAGCGGGAATATCAGAAGGAAGATGCATATGTTTTGAGGGTCTAATTTCACCACCATGGTGGCACAAATCACCTCCCATGAAGATAAAAGTATCCGGGTTGGTAGTCGTGCGTGCCAGCGCACTCAAATGGCCCACGGCATGACCTGGTGTGTCCATCAAATAGAAAGAGCCATCGCCGAAAAAGTCAAAGGCGCGGAACTGGCCCGTCTTCCGTGCGTTTGTAAAGTCGATCTCGCGCAAGTTCCTACCACTATTCATAGTGTTAGCTCTGCGTATTAGCAGATTGGCTGTGGTATTTTGGAACTTACGCAAAATCACTCTCGCGCACTGGGGAATCAGGGATTGACGGGTAGCCCGGACCAAACTCATTCTTGAAACCAGGACCGACGATTAACTCAGTTGAGGACGGGAAGCGTGAGGGATCGCCAATATGATCCCAATGCCAATGGCTACCGAGCATGTCGGTTAATCCCCATTGCACACTCTCACGTTTGACAGGGATCACAACTTACCTCCAAATTATACCCGAGATTTGATCTGCTGCAATTCCATTTTTCTCCAGAATATCGATGACCTCTTCTTCGACTGAGATTTCTGCCTTTACTTGCTCAAGTATCTGCTGCACAAATGGCGAAAATGCGAGCAAGTCCCGTGGCAACCCGAGATCAAAGAGGAGCTTTTGACCTGAGTGGTGCTCAATTAGGAAAGACCATGCTGGAATCTCAGGCATATATGTCATTCCTTCCATTGGGGGCTCCATGAGGAATTTCAACGGGAACCTGTTCATTCTCACCGTGGTATCTATAATGCGGACCTGGACACTTTGGGTGCCCCGGGGCACGTCGAAGATAGGACCTGCCATGGTTGTATCTAGCGTGTTCGCTTACTCCAGCTATTTGAAAATTTCGGATAAACACTGATGGGACTGCAGTCATGACAGACGATGGCCATCGTGATTTTCATGTTCGCGGGGTGCGGGGTTGTGGGATTTCACCATTCTCGTGATTCGTGAGCTTGAAAGGCGTAACTGGCTCGCAATAGACTGAAGGTCTAGCCTTGTTATGGTCCATATATTATGTAGCTATACGAGTGCGCGCAAGACAAGCATTAGCATCCAAAATATCCATCATAATCTCATTTTGTGCACAACTCTATTGCAATGAATTAAATGATTCTCATCAACTTAATTTACACCGCAGACAGGTCAATATAAGAGTCGATGAGACCGAATGTTGACATATCGAGGAAAAAAAGGGAATGATCACTCATCATCGGGGCCTCGGTCCATCTCCACCTCGGCCTTCCCCAGCCTCCACGCTGCCTATATACGACTTGATCAACTCATCTTCGAGCGCTGATTGCGCACACTTTACTGGTACGATTACAATATTTTCCCATTAATCTGCGATAGATATTCGTTATGTCTGGCAAGATTGACGCCTACCTCGACTGCGGTATGTAAGCCTCCAGTTTCCACCCCTTTAACCGCCCCGTGGATCCCATTCGCTGACCACCACGGCGATAGTATCGCCATACTCGTACTATGCGGCGCTTTACCTAAGGAAGAATCGCAAAGCACTAGAGTCGCATGACGTCGAGATTGAGTACGCATATTCCTTGGTTTAACACCGGGCGTGCACTAATTGCCAAACAGATTCCACCCGGTCTTCTTGGGCGGTATCAATGTGGCTTCAGGTACAAACTACATACTCGTGGATTTTGTTAAATCAATTTATGTCGCGATGGCTGATAATGTGAATAGGAAACAAGCCTCCTTGGACACTTCCCGCCAAAGCAGCGTATGGCAAATTCGACTCGGAGCGCGCATGTAAGTACTTCGGAGTTCCACAGATCACAACGCCAGATTTCTTCCCGATTCTGTCAATCTTGGTGAGTATCTTTCTATTTCTTTATTTTTTTCTACACCGAGCTATTATTGACCAAGTAGCCTCAACGATGCATGATCTACATCAAAAGTACCTTCCCACGCGAGAAGTATGAAACAACCTTCCTCTCGCTGTGGGAGTCCATGTACTACAAGGGCATCGACGTCAGCAAGCCTGAGAAACTAGCCGAGGTACTCCAGAGTAATGGGTACACTGATTCGGAAATTAAGGAGGTCCTTGCCGCGGCGTCGAGCCCGGAAATCAAGCAGGCTTTGACAGCAAACACGCAGATCGCACTTGACAAAGGTGCCTATGGGGCGCCTTGGTTCTGGGTGCGAAACGCCGAAGGCAAAGAAGAGCCATTCTTTGGTAGTGATCGGTGAGTCTGGTGTGGTATTTTGCAGGATGAATGGATGCTGATTATTTGTGGCAGGTTCGCGTACATGTGGATGTACCTCGGTTTGCCATTCCAAGATGTTGCTATTATTGAGAAGGAGAAGGCGAAACTTTAGATTGTGTAGAATAGTTCGAGGTGCCAGCTCGGCTTGATGGTTCAAGGTTGTGGGTTCACCTTACATAGCTCGCGCACCATATTCAGGAATATTCCTAGATCTATCATTTCCGCGTATTTCTTCAATAACTCTGTCATATGCAACAATATCACAATTTCTTGGCCATGGTCGACTCCAATTGTATAATTGTGGCCATAGTGACGATGGCAAGATGCCAAGAGAATAAGTGTCACGATTTCAACGCACAGTCTTAACAGGATACACTAATACATACCGACAGCAGCGGGGCTTGATGTTCGCCCATCTTGCTTCTTTGATTTATTCTGATTCATCCGATAGGCTAGCTTAATTGTTTTATCCGCATATGCTGCAAGCCCCTGACGCTTTACCGCGTTTGGAGCGAATTTCTCAAGTTCCGGCCCCCAAACGCTGCCCCGTGACGACCTAGCCACTAGTGTCGAGGCACATCCCATGCGTTCCGCGTGTTAGCGTGACATTTCAAACTCTTCCAATGCCCACATTCACCTATAGCCACTCCTGCCTCCCCACGAAACGGCCTCGAGACATCTGGGGCAGATGGCTCGTACGGTAGGATGTCGAATAGGAGGGCCTTGCAGAGTGAAATTGAGTTACTGCCAGTCTCCCATGGGTCCCAGAGCGCAGATTCACTTATAACCATCCCGCATGTTTGGGACGAAGATTCAGCAACAGATTCAGAGCAAAGGTCCTTCAATGCCCGGGCTTCACTGAAATCCGCGCGACGCGCGCCAGCTCGCCGAGGCAATGCACGACTCGAAGGCTGGAAGTTCACCATTCTTATGGCCTTCTTGGCAAGCTTGGTCGTGTTATTCTTCAATGTGGGCTTCCTGATCTACACTGCTGCGAATCCCCAGAAAAAGGATATTGAGCGTTACTCTCATCAATATCAGGTGGAGTATAATGAGCTTGGCAAACATCACGGCCGAAACACAGTTTTATATGAAGGCGACTGCGAGAAAGTACATCATTTGGGCGTTGGGCTTCATCTACTGATTAACTTGTTGAGTACTTCTCTGCTTAGTGCCAGCAACTATGGAATGGTATGAGATGGTTATGTATAGTCCATATGCTTGAGTCGCAAGCTAACATATTTTACTAGCAATGTCTGGCTGCCCCAACAAGACAAGTGATTGACAAAGCACATAAAGCTGGACGATGGCTAGACATCGGAGTGCCTAGTGTGCGAAATCTGTTTCGGGTCTCCAAAGGACGCTCAGTATTGTGGCTATGTCTAGCGTTTTCCTCGCTTCCCTTCCATTTGATGTAGGGAATTCCTTTTCTTGTGCTTATCTTCATGGTGTCTTCCTAACTGACGGTATAGTTACAATTCTGCAATATACCAAACAACCGCAGTTTCTGCCTACGATGTCTTTGCTGGCAGTGGATCATTGGCAGAAAAGGACTGGCCAGATTTGAACTTGACAGGAACAGACATAACGCCACGCAAAAATCACTCACTGCAAGGCCTTTTTTACGCAGCACAAAACGGGTCTAAGGCAGTGACGCCCCTGAGTAACAACGACTGCCTCAATGCGTTCGGGAAGACCTACCAATCCACATACAACAAACTACTCTTAATAAACTCAGCTATGGAAAACAACAACACATACACCTTTGTCGATACCCAACACGTGTTCAATCCCCTAGAAAACGAGCATGGTCCAGATGGTGGCCCGTACGAGTGGATATGTACCTACGCTTGGAAATCCGAGAACTTCTGCACAAGCTCTTACATTCCTCTGGCACGAGACCGCATCGAAAATGGCGATTGGATGGTTGACGATGTCCCCTACAAGGTGGATTCTTGTCTTGCTCAGAAAGCGCCCCAGTACTGTAAGCTACAGTATTCGCTGCCTCTGACGCTGATAGTTGTCGGCTTCAATGTCGTCAAATCTGCCATCTTGCTGTATATGTGGCTCATGATAGCCGACACGCCTCTATTGACCATTGGCGATGCTATTGCTTCTTTCCTCCGCCGTCCAGATCCACACTCTCAAGGGTACTGTCTTCTCACCCATCGAGAAGTAAAATATTGGGACTCAATGTTACTCAAAGACTCTATGCCAGAGGTCTTCCCGAAAAGGCGAAGGCGATGGGGCTCGGCAGTCTCCAATACCCGGTGGACATCCAGTATCTCGCTGTAAGTCAGACGCTTTGTACTAGCTTCATTCTTTTTCCTTTTCCTTTTCCTTTTCCTTTTCCTTTTCCTTTTCTTTTTCTTTTTCTTTTTCTTTTGATTACATGCACTAAGTACCCTTACCAGCTTGGTCGTTTCCATTACTACATCTATTTGCCTCTTAGTATTCGCATTGGCAAATATAGAAGAAGGAATCGATATCTGGAAACAAGAACTGGGCGCCATCCTCGCCGACACCCTAATAAAAGGCAACCACTGGCCAAACACACTCCTACCAAACGTGATCATCGCCAATGCCCCACAACTTATTTTCTCCTTCATCTACTTCGCCTTCAACTCCGTATTAACCGCAATGACCCTCGCCGCCGAATGGAGCACCTACGCCATCCGCCACAAGGGCCTCCGCGTCTCAAACAACCGCCAACGATCCCAGCAAAGCAAGAAATTCCTCTCCATCCCTTACCGCTATTCAGCGCCTCTTTTGGTATTCTCAGGCGTGCTCCACTGGCTCATTTCACAAAGCATTTTCATGGTCGGGATTGAGGCCTTTGATGCCGATATGGTGCGTGATCCGGGGCGGGACCTGACCACCTGTGGCTTCTCGCCTCTTGCAATGATGATCTCGATCATCGTCGGAGGCGTCATGTTCTTCTACCTTGTAGGGCTTGGTTTCCGCCGGTTTAAGTCGGCTATGCCAGTGGCGGGGAGTTGTAGCTTGGCCATTGCTGCTGCTTGTCATCCGAGGTTCGATCCTAATTGTCCCGGGAAGCATCGGGATGATGAACTGGAATCGGAAAACGAGAATACAGACATGTCTCGTTTGCCTGTGAGGTGGGGTGCGGTTGTGGTCGATGGTCCTATAGGGCACTGTAGCTTCACGTCGGAACATGTTGATGAGGCTGAACAGTGGAGGGAATACCAGTAAATACTTACATGTACTTTTGTTAGATAGATCCCTCGATGTGTCGATAGCTTGTTCAATATTATTCTGTACAAACATGGATTCAATCAGGTCACGCAAGAAACAGCTCGTAGCATCCTCCGAAGTCTCAACGCTCGGGGATAAGAATCTCGACCTTCGGACATAATGACTCACTACATGTACGTACGCAGGCGATGAGGCAATTACCAGACAGTATTGACAACCCCGCCGAACAGTAAGCTCTACACAAATCGAACCTCCCAAACCGATTCACTCCGAACATCCCCACGCCCCGGCTAAGTCCTAATCCTTCCCCACGTCTACCCCACAAAATCCAAGTCCCACTGACAACTCCCATACTCATTCTCTACATTTCTACATCTCACAATTGCACCCCAACTCCTCCGAACAGCAATCCAAAGCAACAATGTCCAAACCCCGCGTCGCCTGGATCGGCCTCGGCAACATCGGCCGAGTAAGTCACCAACCCCCAATGCAATCACAACTAACAACCGCCCAGGGCATGAGTCTCAACATCGCCAAAAAAGGGCCCCAGCGCGGCCCGATCCTGCTGTACAACCGCACAGCCGCACGCGCAACGACCCACGCCGCAAAACTCCCCAACGCGCAAGTCGCAGGCACAATCCCCGAAGCCGTAACCAAGTCCGACGTGATCTTCACCTGCGTCGGGGACGACGCAGCCCTCGACGCCATCGTCTCCGCCATCCTAGACACACCCGCCGATCTCAGCGGTAAGACCTTCGTGGACTGCTCGACCGTGCACCCGGACACATCGCGGCGAGTCGAGAAAGCGCTCGAGGCGCGGGGGGCAGGGTTCGTGGCGTGTCCGGTATTCGGGGCGCCGAATATGGCGGATGCGGGGCAGATGATAGTGGTTCCGGCGGGGAAGCGGGAAGCGATTGAGAAGGTGGCGGGGTTCTTTGATGGGGTTGTTGCGAAGAAGACGATTGATTTGGCTGGGGGGAGTGGAGCGGATATTGATGTGGGGAAGGCGGCTACGCTGAAGGTCCTAGGGAACACGTTTATTCTGAATACGGTTGGGGTGTTGGCGGAGTCGCTTGTTGCAGCTGAGGCGTCGGGGCTTGGGGTTGGGCCGTTGAAGGAATGGTTGGGGCTTTTTGCGCCGGGTCCGTTTGCCAATTATGCGGAGCGGATGACGAGTGGGGATTATTATCAGAGGGAGGAGCCGCTTTTTGCGGTCGATCTGGCGAGGAAGGATTTGCGACATGCTTCTGGGATTGCGAGGGAGGGGGGATTGCGGATGCGGAATGTTGAGGTTACGGATGAGCTGTTGCGGGATGTTAAAGCTGAGAAGGGAGAGAAGGGAGATATCGCTGCTGTTTATGGAGCTGTGAGGAAGGGAGCCGGGATGGAGTTTGAGAACCAGTGAGTCTCTCCACCGAATTTTGTTTAATTAATGGAGCGAGGATCCATCAAATAGAGTCTTGTAATGAGACTAGCAAAGACGATCTACAAACGTTTGGACAAGAGAATATTGACAAAGCAATGCATGCTTTGATGCTATTAAATCATGGTCTCCTTAAGGATATCGTGGAGACGCAACTAATCAGGTAAAGTAGCCCTCAGGTAATTATGAACACAGAAATTTTTGAAAAACGCAGGGGAAAAAGCGATACGCCAATCGGCGCTATCCTTTGAGCCATTATTACATTACTCGCGAATCTCGCTGGACTCGTCATGGTGCTGGTGCTGGCTAGCACCGGCCTCGCCCTCCTTGGCAGCTCCAATGGAACCCCGGTGCAGGTCGTCCACAAGACCGGGGGAAGGAGTCCAGCTGGAGGACTTCCAGGGCTTGACGTGGAGAACGTACATGGTGTCGACCTCCTCGAGGGTACGACCCTGAGTCTCGTTGACGAAGAAGAAGACAACCAGGACGGCGGCGAAGCAGCAGGCGGCGAAGACATAGCCGTAGCGGAAGTCGATAGCACCGTCAATGAAGGGGGTGAAGAACGAGATCAGGAAGTTCCAGGTCCAGTTGGCAGCAGTAGCAATACCCATGCAGACAGCGCGGTACTTGAAGGGATACATCTCACCACAGATGGCCCAGACGATGGGACCCCAGGTGGTGGCGAATCCGACAATGAAGAAACAAGTGAAGACGATCATAGCAATACCGGCAGAGTGCGAAGCAGGGTTGACGTTGATGATCTCGTGACCAACGGAGGCCCAGATCATGAAGCAGATGAACATCCAGCCAGCACCGTACATCAAACACTTGCGGCGACCGTAGTGCTCGACAATGTACAGACCGGGGAGGGTCATACCGAAGTTGACAGCGCCCAGAATGATGGAAGTGACGTAGGAGTTGTCCAGACCGATACCATCGAAAATGCTAGTTCCGTAGTAGAAGATGAAGTTGGCACCAGTCAGCTGCTGCAAGGACTGGAGAGCGATACCGAGCATGATACGGTGGAACATGCGGGGACCGGTGAAAACCTCTTGCCAGGGAGCCTCGCCGCTGGCCATTTCTTCCTCAAGCTTTTGCTTCATATCGGCCATCTCTTGGGCAACAACGCGGTGGTTGTGGGGAACACCATAGAGCTTGCACATGACATCGTGGGCCTCTTCGGTACGACCGTGGCGGTAGGCGAAGCGAGGAGACTCGGGCAGGAAGAGAGTACCGATACCGAGGATCAGGGGCCAGGCAAATCCAATGCCCATGGTGATGCGCCACGAGGCATCAGTCTTGAGTCTCTCGGTGCCGAAGTTGACAATGTAGGAGATGAAGATACCGAAGGCGACGAAGAGCTGGAAAGCACTGACCATGGCACCACGGACCTGGCGGGGAGCGGACTCAGACTGGTACATGGGGACGACGCTGGAAAGCGCACCGACACCCAGACCGGCGACCCAACGGCCGATGGCAATCTGGTACCACTTGTCGGTGGTAGCAATCTGCACAATGATACCGACGATGTGAATCAGGGCCCAGAAAGAGATGGAGAACTTGCGGCCAATGCGGTCCGCAATGGGGGCAGCAACCAGGGCACCAATCATGGTTCCGATAGACAGCTGGAGGATTTATAGTTAGCATGTGGATATGACGGCATGGGGGATAATGCATCAACATTGGACATACCAGGCCAACAATTAAACCGTTGCGAACGTTACTGAAGACATATTGATCAGTGGCGGCATTGTGCTCCGCGAAACGCTGCTTGAAGTCCTCCATGGTAGTGAAACCCGCGATTTGACCTAGAGTCATTAGCGTTACATTCATAGTGGCAAGGCTGTGCGACACATACCTGTAGCATATCCGAAAATGAAACCACCCATGGAGACACACAGACCCAGGATGAAGGATCGCCAGGTCAGGTACTTGACAGGGCTGTCATCGAGCGTAAGGTTATCTTTCTCGGCAGAGGTAGAGTCCGCACGAGCAGGCGTCGCAGCCTGGGAAGAGAAAACAGATTCGGCCTTTCCAGGCTTCATCTTGTCCATAAAGGAAGAGACACCCATGATCGATTGATCCACGAATGTAACCAGAAGTGACAAAGAATATGTGAAGATGTGATGGGGAAAGAAAAAAAAAGCAGGGAAAGGAATGGGTCTAAATAGTCAAATGGATTCCGTTGTGGTTGCCGTCTCGTCCCCTTGGGGTACCATGGCCTGAAAAAACGGGGGCCCGGATCTAGTGTCCCACGTTTTCTAGTTTCCTCGCTGAAATGGGGTTGTAAATTTCAGTACTCCATGGGCAATTGGCTCTAGCGCCATGTACTCCGTGTTTAGAGGGTTCCTTTTAGTGGAGCAAGGGGGGAGACACCGATCTACCCAGGTACGGTATTCGGAATGTGTCCACGCGAAACCGTCCATGACATTGCTTATTGTTGATCTATACTCTCTTGGAATTCTTGCATGCATACACAGAATACCTAGGGACCTGTGTGCAGCATAGTCATGATGCTCAGGATAAACCGGCAACTATACAATGCATGCAGTGTACGATCGAAGCATGTAACCAAAAAGCTGGCTGATCACCCGACCTTCTTGCCACCTTCTAGAAAAGTTCGAGAGTCAGTGAGCTGGGTCCTAGGTACGGAGTACAAATGTACGAATGAGAGTGCAGTGCCTGGCCAAGGATGGCGTGGGTACTAGAATCGGCTGGTTTGATGGCGGATAAACGGATACTTCTACGTAATGGTGACCATGATATGAACTGTAGCTCTGCAAGCTACGGAGTACACGAATAATCACTCAGACAAAAGAACGTGACATAATAAACTAGGTGATGGGACGGGTTTCTGTGCCGACGGTGTTTTCGTGAAGAGGATCCAGGTACAGGGTATAGATTGGACAATTATGCAGAGATTTCGGATTAATTTCGCGACTCTACACGTACACGAAAATGGCAACTGAAACCAGGTGGATTCCAAAAAAAGAAGGCGCAAACAAGTTAAAAAAGAGAGACAAAAAATAAAAGGCAGTCAATCAAAATACTGAGAATTCTGTTTAACAAGTGGGTCAGAGGCGTGGACTATGCACTCTACCCGAACCGGTCATAGAGCGCTGATCATATACCAAAAAGCTTGGCTTGGAATATCAAAATGGCTGATTGCAACTTTAGACCAAGTGATGGGCAAAAGGGGCCATGAAAACGCTGGAGGGATGCAGTCCCATTTTATATCCTCATGGAGCTGATGCCAGCGACACGGAAGATGCTGATAAGCATGAAGCTGGACTGTCAGCCCTGATCAGACCCACTGCCGGTGAGGCTTCGGTCGACTCCCGCGCAGAGATTTATGATCGGTTGGGCTGTCTACGGGATCCACACCTTCTCAATCGGCACACCGAGTGCCTGTTGCGCTTTGTCAATCCCGATACCTGACCGAGCCGATTGCGATCCCGAGTCGGGATCCTCGGTCAAAGCCGACTGCAATGCCGAAAACATCTTGGCATGTATAACCTCTGGAATGTACGGAGTATCCATGTTAACCTTAGGATCAGAATGCTCCATTCTAGAAGCATTCCTATGTTTCTATGTTTGTTTGTTTTGCCACCCATTGGTATGTCTGTTATCGGCCACATGTCCGCTATCCCTGTTGCAAGCATCCTTCCAAGAGTCAGGCCCACTATTATTAAGCTCTTTCGACGGTGAACCTCCTGGGAAAAACTCTGACTTTAAGGGCTAATGATAATGACTAAAAGGTCAGACCACCTAAGCGCTCTAGAGCTGTACAAAAAAATCCAAAGAAGGTAGGTCTTATGTGGATCATAGCCCTAAACCTCCTTGGGCTAGCCCAAACTGAAAAATAGGGAGGAGGCAAAAGATAGACAATGGGCCAATCAGCGTCGGGTTTCCGTTATCACTGGCACCTCTGCCTGTGTGAGCTGAGTTTTCTTATGCTACACTGAATCGGTCCAGGTTCGTCGGGCAGCCCCGGGTAGGAGACGTGCGGGTTGTATGATGAACAGCCTATCCGGCAAATCTGTCGATGAAATCGACCGGGTGTAACAATCTCCACCTGTCTTCTGAATGGGTGTACTTCGCAATGGGTGTCTAGGAAGCAACCAAATTGGACCCTGAGACAGAGAAATTGCCCTTTGATAACCGTGTACACTGCCCATGTGCATCTTATACACCGATACCTTTTCAACAAAATCCTGCGTGAGGGGTTAGGTATGCCATAGACCTTACGTCAGAATATCAGATCTTCATCACAGCACACGTAGCTCCATGCAAGCCTAGTATGTATATCACTATCATTAGGGGGGGATGAGGAAAAGGTCAATGAAATACATAATAGCTTTTGGTAATAGTAGATTGAATCAACATTGACCACTAATCCACATGCAGGGTATACGGAGTAGTTAGTATATAATAGTGCGAAAGTGGCCCTGCAGACAACCACAATGACGTCTATCAGATACAATACATGTTGTAGTTATGTACAACATACAACATAACGTACTATGTATCCAGCATACAACATCCTAAATAGGGAACCCCGTCTTCTCCCCTCCACTATGGAATGCAACGACTCCATTATGCGGGTGACAATACTCAGCGTCCCCATCCTTCTCCTTCATCGGGAATCGGCTCGGAAAATCGCGCTTTCCCCATTGATATATGCAACATACCATGGTTCTTCTGCACATGTATCCGGGTGTGCGGTTGGTAGCCGACATATGGCTGTCACACCGCTATAAGGGAGATTGTAAGGGGTCTGTCTTCACCCTTATTTGTTTGCGATGCTTGTCTTATGGGGCTGGATGTCAACCCCTAAGTCTGCGCTTAAAGGCCACTTACTACTGAATACTGGATCTCAGTCTGCTGAGTTCGATCTATACTATGGTTATTATACATGTTCGCCTCGGAACTCTATATGCTGTTCATACCTATCAACCTAGAGTGGGAGCCTCTATGTCGTATATTCATCCCAGAACATGGCATTGAGTTTGATTGTATGCTTAAAAGTTTGATTTGATGGTACTGCCTACCCTTCCGAAGGGTTTCCTTCTTTCGGACAAACCAGGTACAAACATGTGCCAACTCCAAATGATTGCTTGTTCTTTCGCATGCTGCGCGTGTATTGATTCAGTCTTTTGGTTTCCGAGGTTGTCCTATGTTGTACACAGAAACCGGGCTATCCTGGAACGGACAAGAGGAGAAATCTTATGACTGGCGAAACATTCTTTCGCTTTTATCAACTGTCAGGCCACCGGTCTGGAGACTTTTGTGAAGACCACCAGGGCATCCAGACCTCTAGGGACTGGTGAGACATTACAGGGATCCACCTCAGTCTCTGTCTGTTGCCAGGGGATGATGTTTCAAGGTTAAGGTTACTGTTTATAATGCTACACCTGCCTGAAGAATTGCATACGAGAAGGCTTATTAATAATGCAGAAGACACTGAAGAGACAAAAGGTTCCTCCATGCATGACATGTACAGACCCAAGTCCCGAATGTGATACTAAATAAAAACCAAAGATCATCATCTGTATTGGCGGTATATGCGAGATCATCAAGTCAAGAACTTTTCTGTCCTATTGACCAGGAGGACAAACTCCCACAAATCGTTACTGTATCAAATAAAACTTGAAATCGTCCACAGTGAACAGTCATGGAAACCAAAAATGCGCGTCAAATGAACATTTGGACGAAAGAAACTCGGAAAATGAAAAAAATAAACGCCCAACACCATTTTGCACCCGGTATCGAAACCAATGGACAATGATTAAGAATGGGTCTCGTTTCATCCGCATCCGCTTCAGCATCAGAGGGGCTTTTAACGACGGTCTGTCTTGCCCATACCACGCTTTCCGGAGTACTAAAGAGAGAAGGGTTAGTATATACACACAATAATAGATTGGGTTGGAAAGAACATACCAAGTGCTTGGCGAGAGACGCGGTGGTGTGACGATCAGCCTCACCAGCACGAGCCATACGGTTCATCTTCTTCTGGCCCAGCTTAGCCAGACGCTCAGCCTTGTCACGGTTGCTGAAGGTGGTGACACCGTCGTGACGACGATCAGTCGCCGGTGTGGTGCGGGCGCGGCTCTTAGCGCGAGCAAGGGCCTTGTGTGGGTTATCGTCGACGTCCATGGCGTCGGGGTCTTCAGTAGCCTCGCGGGTGCTAGGACGGCCGCGGACCAGGTTGTTAGCGCGGGCACGAGAGCCAGCGGCAGAGTTGTCGTAACCAGCAGAGTTGAGACCCTTGGTCATCTCGGACAGCTTCTTGGCCTTGGCGCTGCGGGGGATGGGTGCGCGGTTCTTGAGAGACTTGCGCATGTTGGCATCGTTGCGCATGAGAATACGCTTCTCGCGGATAAGATCCGCCTTCAAACGGTTGTCGGCATCTTCGGCATCTTCCACGCTCTCGTCCGACTCGTAGTAACCATCTGCCTCGAGCTTGTCCTCTTCCTCCTCGAGGGCAGCGAGCTTGCTCTCGATATCCGGATCCACAAAGTCGTAGATGTTCTTGCCCTTCCAGACCTCGGGAATCTTGTCGTGGTTCCACTCCGAGTCGGCGAGGGTGTAGTCGCGCTGCATATCGAAGTTGTAGACACCGGCACCGCCGTTCTCCTCTTCGATATCGCGCTCCAATTTGCGGCGGTTGGGGTCGTTCTTATCGTACTTCTTGAGGTCCTTGACGCCCTCGGGAATGAAGGTCTCACGCACACCACCCATAGGCTGAGCAACGTGGATACGGGACAGAACATCGTTGAGACGGCCACTGGGGGTGGCAGAGGTGGAGCCAGACTTGAGCTTCTGGGAAACACGCTCAGCGAGGAGCTTGTCACATGCAGCGTTCTTGACGGCGGTCACACCTTCGGTGGTAGTGCAAGAAGCCTGCAGCAACTCAACATCCTCTGCCTTCAGGATCTGCTGAAGCTGCTCCTGGTACTCGGGCTCCAAATCCTCGGGACGGCGCACATCAATCTTGTTAACGACAATGAACACAATCTTGTTGGCAAACAAGGGCTTGATGCTGTGGAAAAGCTTAATCTGATCGCCAACAGAGTAACCACACTGCTCGGAAAGATCCATGAAGTAAAGGATGGCGGACCGCAAGTGAGCAACGGCGGTGATAGACTGCATTTCAATGGTGTTCATCTCCTCCAGAGGGTGGTCCAAAATTCCGGGGGTATCAATAGCCTGGAAACGGAGATACTTGTAATCGAAATGGCCGACGAACAAACTCTTGGTGGTGAAAGCGTAGGGTTGAACATCGACATCCGCGCGGGTGATGTTGCGCAGGAAGCTGGACTTTCCGACGTTGGGGTAACCACAGATCAGGAGAGTACGGGTGTTGGGGTCAATCGCAGGAAGACGACCCAAGTGCTGACGGACCTGTTCCAGGTAAACGAGGGGATCCTTCAGGCGACGAGTGATAGTAGCCATGCGACCGAGAGCAGCGCGCTTGAGCTGCTTGCACTGGAACAGAGACTGCGCATACTTGATAAGACGGACGTAATCGCGAGAGACGGTTTCAATCAGGTGCTTAGCGGTCGAAACTTGACCAAGGGCGATACGGAAGTGGTCGGCATCGTAGAGGGTGTTCATCAGATCCTTGTCTGGTGGATATTAGACCCCACTCAAATAGCCATGATCGCCACAGGAGGAAAACTTACGGAAAGGATGAATATCCTGTAGGCGAGGGAATCCATCGAGAATGTGCTGGAACTTCTCGCCGAAAGTCTCCTGGGTATATTTGACCTTTCTGGTGTAGAATCCTGATGGGTAAAAAAAATTCGATCAGCGATTGTGCTTTATCGATAACCGCGATAACTTTTTTTCTGCATTTTGCCGTCTCTATCTCGAATCAAACAGAATGACTAGAATCATACCTCTGATACGGCTGATCTTGAAGCCGGCACGAATCTGTGTGGGAAGCTGTCTCTGAGTCCGACTAAGGACAATATCGAGAAACTCTTGATGGCTTGGAACCGGAGCAATCTGTCAAGCGGTGAAAATAGATTAGCAATCTCCTCAGCCAGAAATGGCGGGAAACGACCAGTCGGCATTAACTCACATCCTTCCAAGTCGTCTTCATGATGGGCAGTCAGGAGTCAAATCAGACTCTTGAAGTAATCCCGTGAGTGAATGGGTGTTGATAGAGTGGGTTTTTCTCCGCGAAAAAATTGTTGGCAGTCCTTTTTTTCTGCCGGGCGGAAGATAAATGCGGGGACCAGGATTGGATGGATTCTGATAGGCGAGTCACGTGATTTGCACCGGAACACAAGATGCACGAGTCTGCGCAGACTGGGGAATTTATATATCTTATTTTGTCTATGTCTGTTCATAATTCAACGCCATGCTCATATACATCGCATTGTCGTCAACTATGGTACACAAAGCCTTTGTGTCCGATTCGGGATGCCCAATCCGTTTCCGCCCAGATTCGTAAAAGTGAATGGTTATCAATCCCGCCACCCGAAGAAACTCCGTTGTTTTTCCTCTTTAAAAAGCCCGTATGACCAAACCTCGACATAGGACAAAAGCATGAATGTGCGTAAGAGAGGGGATGATAAACCCAGGAACATTCAGCAGCCTAGCACAGTCCACGCCGAAAAGATGCAAAAGAAAAAGAATACCCAGAAAGGTCTTACTCCTCAAGAGGCTCGGGGCCAAACTCTAGGACCTAAATTCGGTCAGTACACAGACTGCTTTCTATGTTCAGAAGAGGACATACCATATCAAACCATCCACCACCGCCAAACTGGCACTTGCTGGGTCCACGGGACTCGAAGCCAAATGACTCGTAGAAGGGAATCAGGTGATCGTGTGCAATGATGGCAATGCGCTCAGCAATCTGGGCCTCACGAATGCGGTGGATATATGACTTCATCAGCGTGCTGCCGACCTGCTTGCCTTGATGCTCAGGGTCCACAGCAAGCGAATGAATAGCAATCGTGCTGCCACCTTCTTCGTGGCCAACGGCCTCCCCATTCTCGAGAGTCCAACGCTCATTTTGCCAATTGGCAGGAAGTCGCATTGATCGGTCTGTCACAAGAGGCTCTGAGGTACGAGTAGAAACGATGTGCCCAACAAGCGTGGGGCGGGGTTTGGGTTCTCCTTCTGCGAGGAGAGGAAGAGTGAAGAGACCCAGGCTGAGTTCAGGGCACTTAGTGAGACGGTAAATGAACTATAAAATAAAATGTCAGCGATTGTGTTTCCGCATAGGTCCGCTGAAGCGACCATACCTTGTCGTGGGAACAACGCTCTGGCTCTGGGAAAGCTGCCTCGACCTTCACGCAGTCTTCGACATTTGATGTGGAGAGCAATTGGACGAAAGGGTGCAGTTCATCCAACTTTGTGCGATTGTGAGTGGGTTGGCGACGGAACCAATATGGGAAATCATTCGCGTCGTCCTGGTCAACCGCGACATAGTCCTCATCTACCTCGTCGTCATCGTCATCTTCATCGTCGTCAAGTGGGAAACCGTTGGCCATTGCAATACCAGCACGGCTCATGATACGAGACAAGTCGCTGTTATTGGGGTTTCCCAGAGACAATTCGTCTACATTGGAAAGCGGCCTCAGCCCGTTGTCTTGGCCAGGCATGGACTCGGAGGAATAATCGGTGTGATCAGACATGACGAGCAATTGAGAGATAAACTGATCGGTCGAGGATTAGGGTAGTTGGGTTCGAGATCTCTGGGAGTTAGACAGAGCTAGGGTGCCACGATCGATCGGAGTGCAGGGGGGACCCGGCTTGGTGGCGTGGAGAGACGAATCTAGAACGGTGGGGATTAATCTCATGAAATCGATTGGGACTAATATCAAATGGAAGAAACAGTGACAGTTTCCAGGATAGACGGTGGATTAGGCTCAGTTGTTCCTTGAAGGTATTTTCGAGCCAATGTTGGCAATTCACAGATTAAGAATCTGCGACACTGTGCGCAAGGAGGGGTGTTGCGACCGAAGGTGAAGATGGAAGGAAAGAGCCCTAGAGCAACATAGGCAGTGCTTACATTCAATGTTGGTTTAGACAATTTTTTCAAGGTGCAATTTGGGAAGAACGCAAAATAGGTATTTTTGTTTTTTTTGGACGTGAAGAACGAGTCGGAGAATGAGGAACTTTTGGAGGGGGGTTCAGCCGATAAAGTACAGGAACCTATCAGTACCCTATTCTCGCCGGGTGCTTCGTCATTTCCGATGTATCCTTGCGTACCGCGACCCTTGCCCCAAAGCGGTCTACACGGTAAAAAGTCGATTTCCGGCTTCTAGAACACTTGCACAATCAGCCCCATAGCGTTATGTCTACATCGTCTTTGGAGTATGTATCTGAATACGGAGTAGTTAGACGCCTCTTCTTGGCTTGGTCCTTGGGATTGGTTGACCTACGTAATACACCAAGACTTTGACGAATGCTACCGCAAATACGGGGTAGATGATCACTACATACATTTGCCCCTACTTGAGTATGTAGGTATAAGTCAGGGCTATCTAAAGAAAATCTGACTCCAACATCATGGTTCTGTAACGAGGCTTGCGACGCTGCCTAGATACGGAGCACATGAAGAGACGATTGCCATGCAACATGAAGAATAATTACCAAGAATCCGTGGATAATTCATTTTTATTTTTCTTATACCTTACAACGTTGGCATAGTACCTACATACCTGGTATCTAGGAGGTATGTTTGAGATGTATCATTGGTCTGGTATCCAATGTATCCTACATACATGTACGTTTTCATATGTTCTGCTGCTATTATTATCATCACCACACAAAACTCATAATAATTCTTTTGGCCAATTGTATCTTGATTTCACATTCTCCACTCATTCAATAGCAACTTTGGCCGAGCGGTTAAGGCGCCAGACTCAAGAAACATCTTTCTTCACTGAGCAAATCAGTGAGCATTCTGGTCACGAAAGTGGCGTGGGTTCGATTCCCACAGGTTGCATATCTTTTTGTCCCTTGTATAGTTGAGACAAATCCTGTACAATATCTTTTTTACGTTCTTTCTTTCTTTTTATTTAAATTGGAAAGAACATTAACTCATCTGTGAATTCTCTGTCTGAATTTTTCTACTCATGAACAAATTTGTGGTGTTGCTGGAAATATATATATCACCATCCATGCATTGAATCTAGCACGATACGGGATCTCCGGTGTCGGCTCGAGCTGCATTTGACGTATGCACTTGAGCTAGCCAGAACCACTCAGAACGCTGCAAAGGCAAGCTCCAATATTACAAACCTTACGCAGGCACATGCGTGGATGATTTGCTGGGCAATATAATTGGACCGATGGAAAGGCCATATGCAGTACGGAGTAAATTAGATGCATACATATACACTCGGATTGGGTTGGTAAAATACCCTGTAAAGGAGCCTGTCCCCACAAAAGATACCTAAATATATTCTAGCAGCACACAGAATGGACTTGGATATCCTGGTAGACTTAGGCACAATATCTACATGTAGTTGTAGGTAGTGCAGGATAACGAACCATCCTAGTTTTTCCAACCAAGACAGATGATCAAAAGTACCCACGAGAAAACCTTTGGTTTTGTTACACAGAAATACATACCGTCTAGTAAAAGTTGTATAGTAGTAACCTAGAGAATATTTGAAGTACAGTAGTGGACACCATAAATGCCTCTCTTATCAATCTCGGTGATCCACAGGCGGTGAACGGCTACCGAGGATGCGTCATTCCATGTTATTTTCTTTTTTTTGGTCTTGACTCACTCTAGCCTTTCTATCCTGCTGTGCTCTCGATTGATCAGTGGTGAGATTGCTCCTCCGAGGCTCTTGCATTCACATCAATTGCTGGGACGGAGCAAAAAGCCCTGAACCATGAGCTCCCGAACACTGAAATGGACCCGAACGGCTAAATCATCGTTGGTGAAGGTGATCAATCCCGGCAGGCAGCCTTAATAGTCTTCATTCATTGACTAAAGGATTGCAGCAACATGTCGCCCGTCCTAGTGACCCCGCCACGGCGCGCCCGGTACAGGCGTTGAATGTCCAAGCCCAGCAATTCGCCGAGTTCTCGGGCAGCAGTGAAAGCCAAGATCGCCTTGGCCATCGAGCAAAGGAGAAACTACTCGATAAGGTATGTAAGGTACGGAAATTGCTCTGTGACATATGCTAACAGCTTTTTATTGGTTTTAGGAATTTTTTCTTAGTTTACTGAGCTCTGCGTCAACTAAGCGCGAAGCTAAGTCGTACCTAGCTCGGCTTAAGGCCAACCCCGCTAGATCGAGCCTAGAATCTATATCCGAGCCCCCGAAAGAGTCCGCATCAGTATGTGTACCTCCTGGTGTTAACCTGGGCTCATTCTACGGTGCATCCAGGGCAGTGTACGACAGTCCTGTTTTCCGACAAGATACGACTCCTACCCCGGAAGCGCAATACATCTCCGAAAGGTTACACTTGGCAGTGATAAAAATCACCAGGCCGCAATTTCTCGATGATTCAGTTATCAATGGAGTGGCGAAGACTTTATCGCAGCTCGTCCGCTTGGGCATGGGGTGCTGCGTCGTAGTCGATCCCGGGAAGATGGACGACGCTGCTATGCGGCATATGGCCATCGAACAGGCAAATCGGATATCAGCGGCCGTCGATTGGCAGCCCGACTCAAAATCATTCCGTCTCGACTCAGCGTTGTCTTTACCCGAGCGGGGCTCAGGTCAACCCATAATTCTATCTCGGAAAGTGATTTTGAGCGCCCTTCGGGAAGGCAATGTTGTTCTTATCACGCCGATTGCTTATACAGAGGACAGCCCACGAGCTGTCTCAGTCTCAGCAAATGATGCGGTCCTTACATTGATAAAAGAGTTAGCTGGATTATCAACATTTCCAGACCCAGACGAAGATCCATCAATCACCGCCGAGAGAATCAATACTCTACAGAGGGAGGTATCGGTGGACCGTGTCATTGTTCTCGATGCGCTTGGTGGTATTCCGGCGTTCAAAGGCCCACAGTCGTCGCACGTCTTCATTAACATGGAGCAAGAGTTTGATCAAATCAAAGATGAGCTCTGCCAGGCACGAGATTCTGTTTCCGGAAACAACAACGCTGCAAAGCAGGTCAACACTGAAGCCACTTACCCAATTTTGGAAAGCAATCCTTTCTCGAAACTTGTCAATCGTGAAGTCGTCTCACCTGGACAACCAGATGAGCCTGGCCAATCACCGGCCGGCAAGGTAATGGGAAAATTGCTAGATGGCCATCTAGAGAATCTCCGACTATCCCAACAAGCATTAGCCATGCTACCATCAGCCTCTTCAGGAATTATCACCTCCCCACAAGAGGTTTCCTACTCAGCTCGCGCACCTCAAGCGGCCGATTCAGACCTGTCAGCCGTCGGAACCCGTCGACAGCGCAACCCACTGATTCATCACCTCCTCACCGACAAGCCTCTACTCTCATCTTCTCTTCCCCCGGGTCGACGGGGCGCTTTCAACAGCGGATCATTCAGTATATCTAGCCCTCTTACATCACACACGACCTTCATAAAACGCGGCATGCCCCTCACGATTCTCCCAAATCCCTGGACAAAACCCTGGTCAGCCCATATCCAACCGCGACTCGGACTGAACGACCCCAGCATCGACCTTCCCCGCTTAGTCACCCTAATCGAAGACTCCTTCGACCGCAAACTCGACGTTCAAAATTACCTCGACCGCGTGAACAGTCGCATCGCCGGTGTCATCGTCGCCGGCGAGTACGAAGGTGGCGCCATCCTGACCTGGGAGATGCCGCCAGGTGTTCCCGACGATGGAAGCGAAGCCAGTGCTGCTCGCATGGTGCCCTATCTGGATAAATTTGCCGTACTGAAGCGGAGCCAGGGTGCGGGCGGCGTCGCAGACATTGTGTTCAATGCGATGGTGCGCACCTGTTTCCCCAACGGAGTCTGCTGGCGCAGCCGCATGGACAACCCCGTGAATAAATGGTACTTCGAGCGCTCGTCGGGTACTTGGAAGCTGGCTGATAGTAACTGGACGATGTTCTGGACGACGCCTGGGCTTGTGGAGAATTCCCAGCGCTTCCAGGATTATGAGGCTGTTTGTCGGGCTATTCAGCCTAGTTGGGCGGATACGAAAAGTGTTGTTGATTGATGTGTCTGTAGATAGAAAGGGACACTGATGTTGGTTAGTACCGATCGTTCTGGAGTTTGTGGTTGGTTTGCAGAGGAGCAGATGGTTGCCATAATCAGTGATGTCTGTAATGTCTTTTGTTATACTCGAGACACGAGTGAGAACCGGAAAAGTACATATGAAGGGATACTAAACATAGAAAACTATAGCGAAATTATAAACGTCTATTGGTCTACTATTATGATGAGTACTATGTTATTTGCTAGGACGCCCAACTACCGTTGTAGGAAGGCGAGAGAGAACAAATGATCCTCCGGTTAGCATGCTTTATACAAACATGGGACCACCACAATAGCATTTGCCACTCGATACGGAGTACGGAGTAGGTGAATCGCTTAAAAGCGATTCACGTGACCTATTGTATGTGTCGCTATACCTAGGTAGGCTATGAGCTTCGCATACGACGTCTTGAGCATCTATGGCATTATGAGCAGGGGAGGCTCTTCAAGGACAGGCGATAACATCCGAGGTAAAAGGCGGCCCAAGGAAAACAATAGGATGCTGGTCAGAGAACGCTAATTTGACTGAGATTATTAGGTCTCCGTGCTCTATACGGATTTCTCCGTGTCAAGACGCAGATACCCCAGGTAGATCAGGCACGAGATCACGAACCGCAGACCCACCAGTAAGGCCGCCCCATTCTAGCCTCAATAATCAGCAAGAGTACATATCCCGTACGGAGTACTCCGTAATGTTCTCGGATTTTCTCGAGTGAGACATCCCCTGGGTGCCAAGCCTCGGAAGTGCGCCCGACCAAGGCCGTTGACAGCCCGGCTCCAATCACCAGCTCTAACGGCTCTCGGACTCCAGCGGCGCCATAGAAGCGATGTCACGTTCCGCTTTTTTAGGCCGCTTGGCTGCAGGGGCGAAAACAAATAAGAGACGGGGTTCGCCGCATGTTCCTGGTTAGGGGTCAAAACTGAATTTACTACTCCATACCGAGTAGGATGCCTAGCTGAAGTTGGTTTTTGGCTTTGATCTACAACCTGTTAACTCTTCCATCTGCAATATGTTCCGATTTAGCTCCTCCTTGATCGTGGGGCTGCTAGCTGCCTCGCTTCCCTGCTCTAGTGAGTGAAAGACCGGGTTTGGGGAAGAGTTTGGCATTGGCGTGATGTCTGTCCTAACGCTGCTAATAGGGGCATTGGAGGTCGATTGCGATGGTTCATTCAGAATCACCTCTGAAGATATGGCAGAAGCCCTCCGTCACGTCTGTCCCGAAGTCGGAGGCTCCCTTGTTATCGGTCCATTCACGGACAATAATACGATACATCATCTCAATTTGGACGGGATAGTGTCGATCGGAGAGTCTTTAATGGAAGATCGATATGCGCGGGAAGGTTATCCCCCATATACCGTGTCAAGCTCAACCTTGAACAAAGCAGGGGGAGTCTCGTTTGGAACTTGGGGCCTGGATGGCCTGATGTCTCTCAGTCTTCCCAATCTCACATATGTGGAAGACCGCTTCGCCATAGGTGAATATAACACAAAACTCACCTATCTAGACATCACAAATTTGGAATCCGTATCCACCTTGTCGCTCACGCTGCCTAATGTCACCACTTTTCGTCACAAAGAACTACGCAATGTGAAAACCATGTATCTTACATCGATGAATGTCGACACGCTGGATAGTTTGTCTGGGAGGCCACTCAATTTAACCTCTGCCACTTTCATGGGCGATTTTCCAAACATCGACTTTATTCCTATTGGGTTCAAAGCCGTCGATGATCTCCGGGTCTTCACTAATTTATCCGTGACTTTGGGTGGCCCTTCAACGACTGATATGAAAATCGGAAGTTTTACTCTCGGAGGCAATACAGACATCAAGTATAGTGATGATTTACAGTCACTCGAGGTTGATAGTCTGGAGTTGACTTTAGAAGCTTCCATCGAGCACCTGGATATCAGGTTTGATAATCTTCGCTCTCTAAAGGTGTCTGAATACGTCTCGTCTAGCGCTCTCAAAGATATCACCCTGCCCCCTAAAGCCGTCAACTGGACAGGGGGCTTTGACCTTAACATCGGTGCTGCCACGGCTTTGAATCTGACCTCAATGTACCGTGATAATGAGCAAGGCAAGCGCGTTCAGACCTGGTACTGGCCAACAAATATCTCCTCGATCTACATTGGCCCAGCTAATGTAGGAAACCCATTCTTGTAAGTGTTGCCCTCTCGCTTGTAGTGGATATGATCGCTCACCTGTAGACAAAGCGATACTTTTGTCGCTCAACAAAAGGCCCCATTGGACAGTACACCTCCTCCATCGGTGTTAAAGACATTCACGGTCGTTCCAACAGCAAATACCACGAACTTTACTTGCGTGCCCTTCCTCGAGCTCATGGATATGGGTCGTTTGCCCAACAATCGGGCGTGGGATTTTTGTCAGAACTCCACAGACGTCAACGGTGCTATTTCTCTTCATATGCCAAGCCTACCCATTTTTGTCGGAGCAGTGTTTGGGGCAACCATGTGGATGCTGTGAAGAGGCACTTCAATCGATGATAGCCCCGAAGATTCCCCCAAGACCAGTGTTTTATTTTATCTTCTTTCATGTATATAATTTCTCACTTTGAAGTCCTGGCTTCACATTGCGATCATACCCAGGTAGTCTAATGCCTCCAACAACTAACAAATACGTCTTAAAACCATCGCTCAATCGTATGTGTACTCTCCTTATGCCTCGATATCAGCCTATTTCTTGCTAGGAAAAGCATTCCGTACACTACAATCCAACCCAGTGCAACCAATTTCTCTATCTCCTCACCTTCCTAGGCCCTAAAACAAATTGGCCAATCTTAGCCAATCTCCGGTAAAAACCTTTGTAACCCCGGTTTTTCGGAGTCACATTTTGAAAAGCTGCAGCTAGCCCACTTCAGACTTAGTGTCAGCAAGACTGTTCTGGGCGCCCCATACTAGTCGAAAAAGTATTCCTTTCACCTTGATCAATAGGATCTGTTTGCGCAACTATCCACGATCTCTAATCACTATGTAACGACACCCTAGCTTGGCCCCTAAGCTTTTTCGCGGTATTCTCCCGCCACCGATGGCTGACCCTGGACTGTTTTGCATTTTAACTACATACTCCGTAGAGCTCCCCCCTTATCTTTGTAGCTCCAAAACCGATTTAGTTTCCTTGTCCTACTCTCTTCACTTCACTTGAGAGAAAAAAAACTCATTTTCGATTCATATCACCCTCGCAACCATGCCTAGCATCACGGTGACCGACGGATATACTGTATACCTTCAATAACTGGGGGCCGATAACCACCACCTTCACCGCGCCAGCCAGCCGTGCCACTGCCACAGGGAAATACAGGATTGGACATAACCAAACATATGCTTTCTTTGATTATGGGGTGCAATGCTCCACAGACGGCGTTGGTGACTGTATCCCGATAGGCACTACTTCCCGATCCACTACCCTGGGTCCCAACCCTATGACAACATACGATCAAGCATACTACTCCCCAGGATTGCACTTTCCATCTGGATGGGAAATCGTAGGAATTGTCTCCCGCGATGGCGACAAATCCTTAGCCTTTTCGGGTACTCTCAGTACCACACGTTCCACCCGGACGAATTCGTGGGCTACCGACATCGCCACCTGGGCCAACCCGGTTACGCTGTTAGCAGAGCTTCTGGATCAAAGCGAGGCTCTAGTGATGTGCTGCCCGAGGTTTGTGTGGCAGGAAATCTCGTCCCTTGAATAAGACCGATATTCGCCATGTCTTTGAAACCGAAACTACATTTGTCCATTCTGGTGCAACTTTATTTTTATGTAACCTCCTTTTCCCTGCGCTTTGATCGCACTGACCTCGGTTTATCACTAGTAAGATGCGTACTGATTTACTATGTCGGTTGATGGAAATTAGTAGCTGCATCGAGATACATGGCTAGCACCAGCCGCTGGAGAGACCGAATCAGTGATAAAGCTACTACATATAGCTTGAGTCATGCTGCATAAAGTAATTTACCCAATGAGGTCGATTGCATAAATATAGGGGATTGTTAATGAGACAGCCCTCCTTGGCTAATGGGACAGCCCCTACCTGAATTTGGCCTGATTCCTGCCTGGTTTCTGCCTGATTCCTGCCTGATATCATATGACCTTAGCAGAATTATTTTCCGCTAGCTAGGTTTCTAGATATGAATATAAATTCCGATGAGATTTACTATTTGTATACCCCTAATATCCACTTTTTTACTATCTACACACCTATTTAAACCCACATTTCTTATATAATATCGACTCCCTTATAATACTATGATTTTACTATCGTAAAATGATAAGTAGAACTTAGTAGGAAGAAACGTAGGTTAAAAGGCGTAATTAAGAATCGAAATTGCTCTTTATAAAGTCTACTTTTTACAAGTGGTACTTAATTTTGTTAAGGATTTACATAATAAGTTAAGGTACTATTAGTGATATTATGATTAACCAGCGAAAGCGGTGATCATGAGAAAAAGGCGGTTAGGGATTACTACTAGGATATCCATGATTGAGGCAGAAATCAGGCAGGAATCAGGCCAAATTCAGGTAGGGGCTGTCCCATTAGCCAAGAGGGCTGTCTCATTAACAATCCCCTAAATATAAACTAGGAGCCGCAGGACTATCCACTCAGGTTGATGATCAGCGCAGCTTCGGCATGTACCTTAGCTCGGAGATATTAAGCTTAAAAACTAGCATTTTAGTTGCATTTGAACTATTATTTCTATCAAAATATGCTTAATGTAATATTGGGGATGATCGCAAAGTAAAAAATCCGGCATTAACATCCACTTGGCTGTTGATATCCATTTGATTGGCCTTCTCTTGTTCCTAAAGACCTAGTGCACTTCCATTATCATGTCGAATATGCAAGTTTACCAAGCATTTGTTAATGAAGTACTATGTGGATAACCTTTTTAGAGCCAGTTCCAATATGATACCCATCGTGGTTGTCGATCTTCCAAGGTTCAACCGGACTCCCGAGGTCAGATTCTATGTTTCATGTCAGCTAGTCCAAATGCAATAGACTGGAAAAAGAGTTCATTAAACACCCGTCGGTCTCGCATGCTCCGATAGCTCTATAGATTCGTCTCGCACGCTTAAATGTACAGTCTTCATAATTTGCAACCCTCGAACACCCTCAGATGCTTCGATGATCGGGTCTTCTTCTCGCTCCCAGCCCTCTACTCCTCGCTCAATCCTCAGATTACGAGAGAGCCTGTGAGACGATATATTCCTAGACGCAGCAGCTCTCGACCGGGAGTCAGACTTCGGCGGTGCGCGATACGCAAATTTTATCCCCGTATCATCCTCCCAGACTGTAACCAAGGACTTGAGAAAGGCCGTCAAGAGGCAGACGGCACTTAGCCCTATATATATCTCCGTTGAGACCGTGGCGTAGGACCCACGCAGAGTTGGATCTTCCGAGGAGATTTGGGATAGGATGAAGTATAGACGAACTGCCGCGATGGGGACGAGTCTATCCAATCATAAATGTGTTAATAAAAGGATTTCCCAAATGGTTTGGTGAAGAGACGTACAGTATCCGACTCTCGAGACAACAAAACACGACAATCTTTTTCTCGGTCGAGATCTTGACTTTATGGATTGCAAGTGCCGCATACACGAAAAGTACAATCTCGGTGGAAATATCGAGGGCTGTAATGGCTTCCCAGCGGGGACCCTATATTCTGGTCAGTGCTTGGGCTTATTTGCGGAAGGGGCGATCATACCAATGCACTGCATTCAGCAGCACTGATTTCGGACCAGGGATTAGATGAACACCTAATCCCCAACAGTAAGACGGATAATACTGTCCACGCGACCATCACCAGAAGCATGACATAGGAAATCCGATGATGAATCTGGGAGAACAGGCCCTCATAGAATATGCAGGCTGTGATTTTTGAAAGACCGAGCACAATAATGGAGAAGATATCGCCAGTATACACTATCTTCGTAATGTTAGATAATGTCGAAGATCCAAACTCCAGAATGACTTACCTTCAACATGTGCTCTTTGCTCGTGGTATCCATATCCTCGATCGGAGTTCCCCACCCATAGTGAACCTGGCAAAACACGATCACAATCTGGAAAATCGCTGCAAGCTATTAATCTATTAGCTCACAGACAAGACGCTCGAACATTGTCAGCTTCCAATGAGGGTAGATAATACCGTACCACGAAAGTATAAAAAATGTAATTATCTCGCTGCAGGCTATTCCTATGGTATGGATTGAGAGTGCGCGCTGCAAGCGATAACAAAACCAGACACAAGTTAACCGCGGTGATGACCACAACCAGTCCACTATGGTTATACTCGTTATCCGTCGTAAGAGGAGGGCTCACGCCCGAAGGCAATGTCGTCAAAGTGGCCGACATAGCAAGCTAAGATCGGTTTACAAACCGTCAAAAAAAAGAATTGGGATCGGAAAATGTTCACATTTACAATATGAGAGAGAGAGAATTCAGAGAACATTTTTAATTATTGAATCAGGAGAGAAACAGTAATTTGTGAAATAGAAAGTACTTGGGGCCGAATGGCAAAAACGACACATGCGGCCATCAACCCTTGTTCGGAAATGCAGGGTCATCAAGTTGGCTCCTAATGGGCTACGGAGTACTCCGTACGAAGTGCTCCGTACAGTACCTAGTACCGAACATGACCAGGGTGTTGAAGACAAAAGTGCTCCGCACGGAGTCCCGAATATGCCGTGCTCCGTAGAGTGGACATAGGGCGTACGGAGTCAACTAGAGAAGGGACTGCAGAAGGACTGCAGAATTGCAGGGATTATAATCCATTGTCGAGTCAAATCAAAGCTAAGGGAAGCGAGATGTACTAACTAGGTTCAGGCCGTGGATTAGGATTTAATTTCCTCATATTAAATTACGCGTCGCCCCAATCCTCAGAGCTCCAGCTTCTGATTTTGGGTTGGAGAGTTCCCCGAGTTTTCCGACCTGTGCCATTCCTGTCGATGAACTATGTAAAATGAAGGTAGAATGCATAAGTTATAACGAAGTGTAGACGCACGGTTCCCAGGAGAAAAACCAAGACGGAAGAAGATTTCTGTACCCGTGGGACCCTCCCGCTCCCGTGGCAATCCGTCCAATCAGAGGCCCGCCAATGGCGCACGAGCGAAGCCAATAAGACAATTTGGCCCCCATGTGGAGAGCCTCCAGGCTTATATCGACAAGACTTTTGATTGTCTTCTAAGACAGCGAACATTGTTATATTATGGCCATACTCCGTATATTATCCCCACTTAGTAAATGCACGCAGGAATTGGTGCATGCAGCCCTGGTCTAGTGCTGAAAAATCAGACTTTCTCGGTAACGAATGTCGCTCTAGGCTCCGATAACAAATTCACATTATGTTATGATTTTAAGGCGAAACACACCAACTGAACGTTCATTAGCCGGCATGCAAGCTTTTGGTAAGGCGTGGTACACTGCAAGGAAGTTTCCGCCCCTCGGTCGATGTTGTAGAATTTAGTACTTTATCCCCATGGCCCCTCCATCCTTGTGAATCCAATTCTTTTTCTGTCACTCGTCTGCTTGAATCGGTATTCATTGAATTATGGGACCTTCAGCCAAAGCGACCGCGTTGGAGACGCTGGATATGGGTTCAGATCCTAGCTCAGGGTCCTTCCAAGAAGGCGGAACAGCACGAGACGAGGATGAAATGCATCGCATGGGAAAGATTCAAGAGTTCAAGGTTTGTTCACTCACTTTTCGCCGGAATGACATCTATCGCTAATGCTACGCGACTTCAACTAGAGAAACATGCGACCTCTTGCAGCATTGAGCTTTGCATCCGTCCTGCAAGCCACTTGGGAATATCTCATCATGTGAGTTAATTAAAATATGCTTTCTTCAAGCGAAAGACGTTCAGAATATTCACGCTAACTGCTTTCAGCTCTGACTACCAGGGATTGGAGAATGGAGGTCTGTCAGGCATGTTCTGGTCATACATATGGACATTTATCGGATTCGGATTCATCATTGCGTCGTTGTCGGAAATGGCTTCGATGGCACCTACGGATGGAGGTCAATATCATTGGGTATCGGAGTTTGCGTCGCCTCGACACCAGAAGTTTCTGAGCTACGTCACTGGCTGGATGTCCACACTGGCATGGCAAGCTGGAACAGCTTCTGGGTCCTTCCTCACCGGCACTATTATCCAGGGATTGATCACTATTCGCAACCCGGATTACGATCCCCAAGGCTGGCAGGGCACTCTCCTTGTGTTCTCAATGGTTCTTGTATCATACGTTTTCAATGTGTATGCGTCAGATCTGATGCCAGTCTTGAGTAACATCCTGATGATTCTTCACATCCTTTGCTGGGCAGTGATCTTGATCGTCCTGTGGGCCATGTCTCCTCACCGATCCGCCGAAGATGTCTTTGTCGCAGATTGGCAAAACCTTGGAGGATTGCCTACAATGGGAGTGAGTGTGATGGTGGGACAAATCTCAGCTATCTACGGTTGTCTGAGTAAGTTGTCACAGTTGTTCATATAGAGAGAAGTGCGTGGAAAAGAGACTAACTAGCCCTTAGGTTCCGATGCGTGTGCCCATATGTCGGAAGAAATCAAGGACGCCGGCTCAAACGTACCACGGGCTATGGCCTGGGGATATTTCATTAATGGAATTATGGCTGCTATCTTGCTCATTGCCTACCTCTTTGCCACCCCATCCGTACAGGATTCTCTTGATGACCCAACCGGATTCCCATTCCTCTACGTGTTCAAGCAGGCTACCAACATGGCAGGAGTCAATGGGTTGACAGCTGTCATCTTGATTCCTGTTATTTTCAGTAACATTATGTTCAATGCCTCCACCTCTCGCCAAACTTGGGCTTTTGCTCGTGATAAGGGTCTTCCATGCTCCAAATGGATCTCCAAAATGGACCCCAAGCGCAAAATCCCCGTTAATGCTATTGCCCTCAGTTGCGTGATTAGTTGTCTGCTTTCTCTGATCAACATCGGCTCTGATACTGCCTTTAACGCTATCATCTCTCTCAACACCGCTGCCTTGATGTACACCTATGTGGTCTCGATCACCTGTATGATCTGGCGAAAGATCTGGCATCCCAATACCCTCCCCGTTGGTCGGTGGGCTCTGAACGGAAAATGGGGATTGACTGTGAACATCATTGGCCTGTGCTACTCCATTTTCGCAATGTTCTGGTCATTCTGGCCAGGTGAGCTGCCCGTCACTCCTGAAAATTTCAACTGGAGTGTCGTGATCTTTGGTGCAGTTTTCATCATCAGTCTCATCATGTATTTCATCAAGGGACGGAAAGAGTATTCTGGTCCAGCTGTGGATGTCAAACGTGAGGACTAGATTGGTGTATAGCTGGCGCTTATTATGACCTGGCCCTTTTTTCCTTTTCTTCGTGTACCTAGTTACTTTTATCCATGTCCAAGGCGCAGTTTTCAAAAGCCGTGAGATCACTCCATTCGGTGTTCGTGAGGCATACCTTAGATATATTTAAGCAAATTATAATACACCCTTCTACTTGAACATCCTCCACGTACTTTTTTCTCCCGAGAAGATAACTTTCGTGCCTTAACACACTCACTTAAAAACACTGTGGGTTGAGCTTGTCTTGAATCTAGCCGCGGCATTAAAACGCTGCCTTTCGCCTGATGAGATAGCTAGTTTAGGGGCGCGCAGAGGGAAGGAAAGCCATTTCCATCTTCATCCTGGTTCATTCTCGAATTGCATCTCCCAGACCAAAGTTGCGAACTCGATGAGCTCTTGAGTCGGCAAAAGTACGTCACCCTCTCTGGGCTCCTTTACTTCCCGCCGGAATAGGAATTCAAAGGGAATAAGGAGGTGTGGTGCAGGTTGGTTGGGATCAAAGAGAATATTGCTTTCGGATTTAGATATAGTCGAGTGGGCATGTTGGATGGCTCGGGAGCTCTGGAAACTCCACTCCCAGGAATCTATGTTGATCTGGGGCTTGGTGGGGTGGATTTTGACGGTGATAGCCATGTTTGCTTGCCCTTTTCCTGGATCTACCCAGTAGTGAGCATCCCGACGAAGTTTTGCAGAATTTTGCGACGATCCAACTTCCAAAACAATCGAAGGCCTCTTTGGAGCTCTGGGTGGAGGCCTTCGTGGACTCCATCCCCCGTCTGCCTCCTTGGTTGTGCCATCTGCACCGGTCAATGTTGTAGATCCCCAACAATAAATTGCTCTATCTAGGGCCATTGGTTGAAGAGCCGATTTGAGCATATTTTCAAAAGCCCGTGTCGCTTGCTCGTGGGCTGGTCTAGGCATCTTCACAACAAGGAGGTTTGTTTCCGGACTGTAAGATATCTTGCTGCGAAAAGGAAGATCTGCTAACGGGTTGAGGAAGTCGTGTGCAAAAGTTGAAGGTTCAATGATGAAGATAGTGTGGTCGCTTTGCGTGCATTCCGTCTGTGGTAGCATAGTAAGATGCCCTTGCCGTCCTTCGCAACTTCTATCAGTGGCCTGTGCTCGTGTATTTCCTGCAGCACGGAAAGGACCATTGAGGCGATAACGCTCAAGTGACATGACCTGGCAAAAGTCATTCATATCCTTGTAGCGATATACATTAACCGAAGGAGGCAGCCCTTCGATATCCTGCGCGCCATGTTGGGTGGCGCTGTCATCAAGCTCGACCATCGTTGTTTTTGGGAAAAAGAGAGGTGTATGTATAGAGGAAGCGATGCAAAGAAAAGAGGGGATTTATTATAGCACTGTGAGGGGGACACCAAACTTCCCAGGTTGTCTAATGTAAGATGAGCTTAGATGTATAGAGAGCCGCGAATCATCTTCCTTTAGGGACTTTTTCTAGAGGTTCATGTTCATGTAGGTAGAGACTTCGGAAGATTACCTCATTATGACTGTGCCTGGGCATCAGGCTCACCCTAAAAGCTCTTCTAATATGAGCGGAAGCATTGTATTAATTCGGCAGTTGATAATTGTGGGCTGTACTATTGAAGGTATAATCTTTATAGATAGTAGACTGATATAGGGACCCTGTCAGGACCCCAGCATGTTCGTGCAACCAACAATCTTATATTGAGGAGTCCGGTCCCTTTACCTATTGTGTCGTGATTGCTAACGACCCACGTTCGCTGTGAATGTTCAAAATGTTATTAGATTGAGGCTGAATCCGACGTCTCCCCCAACAGATCAGCCCCATACCCCCGCTTCTTCCGGTGCTAAGCTATACCACTTGGACAACCTCCGACGGCAAATGCACCGGCGCTGTAAACCACTGCGAGTATCGATGATCAACACTGTATCGTAAATTGGTTGTTTGCAAATGGGAAACCCCTAGGTTCGGCAGGATTTGGGTGGTAAAGGACGCGGGAACGCGATTTGGGACGGATTATTCGTACCATCCTTGCCTATGGTTGCAGCATTATATACAGGCGGCTATTGTGAGACTGCGATCACGGGCTTAGACCACCAAGGGCGCCTGGCGAAACAGTTTCAGACCATCAACTAACTGGTTACCAATCTCCTGGGTCGGTTCTCTATTGGGGTTTCGGAAACACGAATTATATAGCCGTCAACCTGGGAAGTCAACCTAGGAAGCGCTTCGCTCAATATGATACTTTAACTGGCAATCAAATTTCGAGGGCGCTACACAGCCCCGGGCTTGTTCGTGGGGTCTGAGTATATATTCGACCTCTATACTCTCTCGACCTTCTCCTTTCTCGCTACAAACAGAGAGATATACCAGCCTGCCTTAGAGGAAGCCCTCTTGTTAAAGCCCTCTCTCTTCATTCATGAAAATAAAAAGATACTCCTACGATAATTACTCTTCCAAGTTTTCTTATCTTCGCTTTTCGTATTCCTGAACCAGTCTTCGAAATCGCGATAATATGGCTCTCACTATTCCTCTTTCAGTAGCCATCTATGATAACCCTGGCATTATGCACTGGAGCCTCTACCTTGAAGCCGACAATGATGACGACAAGACGATCATTCACGTCCTCGTTGCCCGTCAGAAGTATTTCCCTGATATAAGGACACCGTCGGACGCACGCATTTCGAGTTCCCTTATCGAGCTTCTGTGCCTTTGTCAAGTTGATGCGAGCAAAATCGAGATCATCAAAAACATCGCACGCGCTACCCCTATCCGCAATGAGTTGGCAGATTGGAGCTGCCAGGATTATGTCCTCGATATCTTGAAAAGGCTCGAGCGTGCATTGATCATTGATGCAACGGACGGTGAGTACATCATGAACAGCGAGGCGATCGCTGCCAAACGGGAGTCGTGGGCGTGAAGTTTGGGTGCGAACAAATATTGTTACGAGATCTCGGAGAGTAGAGGGAACGGAAGGAGGTTTGCAAGGTTTCTCAGATGATTGTCGCATATTTTCATTAAGGTTCTGTATTGTGATCGATTGAGACAGGGGTCCCCCAGTTTTATCGCACTATGTCAGTCCTCCAGCTCCATAAAAGGTTGCCCCAAAGTCGGTCAACTAGCCAACGTACAGGGAACCGTAAGGCCGAGATGCAGTGTGGCGCATACAGATACCAATCGTCGTCAGACATGATGCTCTGTCCATTCGACAGTGTCGTGGACTCGTAGTACTCAGGATAGAAGCCGCCGTCCTCCCAGTCAATGATCCCGGTGACCACGAAAAAGTCAGGATTTCCTGGATCTTCCTGCACCATGATGTTGGATTTCTTCAAATCGCCATGCGTAAATACGGACCCTTGCAGGGTTTTGTTGTCCTCATCCAAGAAAGACCGAAGTAACTGTACGTAGGAAGGACTGGCGCGATGCTTTGCCGAGAACTGTAGCTCCTCAAAACCCCTGGCTGTAGTTATGCCTTTGTACGCGAGGGTTTCCATAATGCGGTAGTCTTTGACTCCTTCTCCGCGTACGCCCCCAAGTTCAGTTCCGTCCTCCTGACGTAGGTCCCTAAGACGAGAGAATATATCGTCCAGCTGTTTCTGTATGGATAATTTCCCTTCGTGGGATAAGCGTGACCATACCTTGTTCAAGGCGGTCCCCGGAACATATGACATGAACATGGCACCAATACTACCAAGCATGATAAGACCATGGGGCTTAGGGATTGGTAGGTCGGGGACATTTTCACCGAGATACTGGAGATTGTGGTATTCAGTAAGATCCCGACTGCTGGGAAAGGTCTTGATGACAAGGTCGTCACTGCACCTGACGACAGCACCACGTCTAATACTAAGTTCGAAAATTATGTCGGAGTTCAAGACTAGGTCTTTCAAAGCGGCCGTCATGGATGATTCCTCGGAGAAATCATCCGTCGTACGGTGCTGATTGAGAAGCGCTGACGCCTGGGGAGATAGTGGGTAGATGATGCTAGAGGTGTTGACAGGTTCAATTATTTTGCGAAGCCAGTCGAGGGGCTGTTTTAGTTGCCGCGCTGGCGAGGAATTTTCTAGGGATGTGGCCTTTTCTTCTTTCTTGGGCTTGGCCCATCTGTATTGGCGATCGTAGTCCGTAGGGAAAATATCGCGCAAGTTGATTTCGGGCCGGGAAAGTGCCCGATCCTGAAGACGATCAATGGTTTCGAAGTTTAGCCGAGCCGCCTCAGATAGACCGGCGTATTGACCAGCACGATGTGCAGCGACATATCTCTTCCCGACAACGGATAGAAGGTCTGTTGCGGGGTCCTTCTCCAGCGCCTGGCGGAAGGCCTCCATCAGGTCACGATTCCATGTTTCAGCATCGGGTCTATCCATGGGAAGGGACTTTTGCTTCTCTATCGCCGCTGCCATTATCGGAGATGAGATACTGGTCTGATGAATGAAGGGTGACCAATATAAAAAAGTTGAGGACTTGACGAACACAGGCGGTGTGAAAGTCACGGGCCACGAAGGTATTCTTCTTTCTTTCTTTCAACTCTATCCATGTCTTTCACTTTATTTATGCCAGTGGACTCTACAATAACAATAACAAAAAAAACATACAACAGTGAGGATTCGCTGGTGGTCACCCACCCAACTACTAACTCACCGGCGTGTGGCTTGAGTACGGCTGAGCGGACGGGAAGCCCTATTTTCCACACCCTATGGTCGTATGTATTTTTCGTTTTGTTTGCAAAGATCATATTGTAAGGGTATAGAAGAGGTTATAGGGTGAAAATTATCCGGAAACCGTATCACAGCCCGAGCCATCTACTAGGGCTACGATTGGCCACCTAATACAGCTAAATTGACTGACTACGCCGTAGGTTTTACACATACTTCCTTTCATAACATATTCGACACGGCCAAAAAACAAAAAAATACAACAGTCAGGAATCGCAGCTATCCGAAATGAGTTCACTAGCAGGTTCCCCGCCCTTATTGCCCTTCCAAGGCCTGAAACTCGTCGATAATATTATAATTCCAGATCTTCCGCTTGACAAAGCAGTGATGGAGTATGCCGACTGGCAGATATCACGGGTGGACACGCAGATATATAAAGATAACATCAAGAAGGGCATGTGATATCGCCCTGACAAATGGCCTGGATCTCAAGCAAATACACAAGGACCAAGACCCGAACTTCTTTATCAACCAGGGCGTGATAATTAGTGTAGCTCGTCGTTTTGTTGAAGAACGGCTACGAGTCTATAAGGTGAATTATAGATCCTAGAAAAGGTCCTCATGGTGCGCATGTATATTTTTGTTAGTGATATTTAAATTAAGCATAGTTTAACCTTCAATTGTTTCCTTTCATCTAGCTTAAATGCACTAATACCACTTGGTATTCTTACAGAGACCCTGTCTTTGGTCTGCTCGCTAGATAATCAAGTAGTTAGTTTCATCCACATGACAAGCCAGAGCTGGACAAACCAAAAGTTCCCCGAACTCTGCAACAAGCGTATCTTCTTCTTCACTCAACCGCTGTTCATCTGGCCCCTCAATCGAAAACGTAGTTGCGACATCGAAATCGACCCATATCATCCGCCTTTGAACGTCTGGAACAACGAGTATATTTCTGGGGTATATATCTCGGTGGTGAACGTGAGCAGCGTGTATCTGCTTCATGCCCTCTATTGCTCTGTGATAACACGGCTCAGAATAGTTTTCGCAATTCAAACTTTCGGCATTCGGAAGATACTCGAGTAGTATCGCTTTAGGGTGATATTTATCGTGCGCAAAGTGTTGAAAAGCTGGATAGAACGCGGTAGGGTCGATTCGATCAATGTGGCCGTAGAAGTATGGGACGAATCCCCTCTCGCAGACACCGTGTTCCCGAAGATTCATATAGGCGTTTAGTTCGCAGCGGAATCGATTTAGGTCTCGACCATTCTCGGCAAATCCTAGATCCCCGTTGTTGTGAAACTGAATCGTTAGTAACAAGCAAAGAGCAAGTAGCTGAGACGACTTACAAGTTTCATAGCATATTTCCGCTCTTCGAGTTCTATCTCAAACACTGAAGACGCATCGGAACGATCTATTTCTCTAACAATCCGTATGTCGGCAGGTACAACGTCCAGCGAGCCTTGATTGCTGGGGCGCATTGTTGTTTTAAGAATCTACCGAGGTGTGGTCGACTTCGGCCAGCTCCCTGACTGATTACGAACAAATTCACGTGAGTGAACCAGAACGAGCGGGATAGCGGAAGAACTATCTAACCGAAATTTACCCCGCATCTTCCGGACGGGATCTCAACCATGGATTCTGAATGACATACATCGACCAAAACGTGAATGTGTTCTTACAGGCCAATTCTAAAAACCATTGGAGGATTGGCGGGTTCCTGGAGAGTTTAGCTACTTTTGCCGCTAGGCAAGGCCTACGATCGCCGTTCGGCCGAAGCGATCATGGACATCCAACCAGAGCGCCGTGTGTTGTATGTGACTCCGCTAGCGTTCTATTAAGGGGTAGACGGCGCCGGCGCGTGTCCGAAGAATCGAGAGAGGAGGGGTCAAAAACATTACGCACAAAACTCAAGAGGATTAGCTTTATTATTTTAATGTCTCTCATATATTAATGCACATTTCCTCTTTTCCCACTTTATTCCTTCGACTCGAATATTATATAAAGCACATACGTTGAAATGGTACTCCAAACTCTGCTGAATTACCTTTCCGTTGGCCTTCCACCAATTCCCGTAGGTGGTACTGCACCATCTCGCAATACGACAAATCCTCGCTATGGTGCAGCGGATATCACCCAGGTGGTTTCTTGGCCTGAATTCAACTACTCCGCAATCATCCAGCAATATGGTGTTCCGTTGCGATCGAAACAGATTCAGCCCGATCCCATCGCATCCCCACCTGCGGCAATAAGAGACGAGTCTCAGTTTCAGCTACGCTTTGCTGAACTTATTTTACCTCGTATAAGGCGGTCACTTCGGGCTGCTTTCGAGCAACTTGCATCCGAACTTACGACGCGACGACTCTCGCCAGTCACGTTCGATGGAGGAAGTGCGGCGTATATAATTGATTTGTTTCGACCCGATACTGCTTTCATAGCAGTCGGCGCTACTTCGAGTTCCAACCGAGCTCCAGGGGACTTGAAGGTATCCTGGAAATGGCAGTCTTCATGGCGGTATTCCCAGACTTTTGCAGAACAGCGTGAATACAAGCAAGTCTTGGCTCAGGTTAATTTCTACATGCGCCAGCATAATGCCCGGTACGGCTATATTCTGACGAATACAGAGCTTGTTGCTGTCAAGCGTTTAGAGGGAGGTGGTCGCCTGGCGGTCTCCACCCCTGTGCCCTGGAGAGGTGGAGGTGTAGGAGAATTATCGGTACTCCTAGCTTTATGGTACCTCGGAATGCTTGCTGCAGAAGATGCGACTTGGTTTCTAAATGCATAGCAGATCTCTACAGGATGTTTGCTTAGCCTTCGAAGTGATTTACTCCATATATATGATTATCTCTATGAATACTAGCGCTTACCTCTACCAAATTCCGAACTCCTTTGCGCATGTTCTCTAAGAAGATACCCACCACCCTTCGACTAGAATAGGAAATACAGCGCAGACAACGCGGTTTCAAAGTTATAGCAGTCTGTACTATCCACTGGAACAGGCACTAGTGGAAAGCTTTGTTAAGGCTACGATCGAAGAAGAAACAGACGCTGGTTTTTCTACGTGGGGCGAATCACTGAGGTCTTAGGTATCTCTAATGTTACGACCCTCTACTAGAGAGTGCCTCACAGGCTGAATCCCGCCTAGTCCTATGACCTAGGACCCGTGACCTAGTAGGGGTAGTATAACCCCCCGCTAGAGAGTGTATTATGAAGACTAAGTCCTACCGGGTCAGGTGACCTAGTCCTATGACCCGCTAGAGGTTATCCCTATAGAGACTATTAGGGGAACTTAGCTCTTTAGCGATTAGTTTATAAATATACTAGTACCCTACTATTCCTTTACTCTAGTTCTATATTACCTACTAGGACCCGTTAGTACGCTAGTCCTAATATTCTAATCACTAAATCTTAATTAAATTAGACCGTTAGTGTTACGACCCTCTGCTAGGAGAGTGCCTCATAGGCTAGATCCCGCCTAGTCCTGCGACCTAGAACCCGTGACCCAGTAGGGGTAGCACGACCCCCCGCTAGAGACTGCACTAGGAAGACTAAGTCCTGCCGGGTCAGGTGACCTAGTCCCGTGACCCGCCAAAGGTCATCTATACAGAGACTGCTAGGGGAACTTAGCTCTTTAGCGATTAGTTTATAAATATACTAGCACCCTGCTATTCCTTTACTCTAGTTCTATATTACCTACTAGGACCCGCTAGTACGCCGGCCCTAACATTCTAATCGCTAAATCTTAATTAAACTAGACCGTTAGAATACGTAATATCGACGACTCGACGTACGAGCGACCGCCTAAGGGGAGCCTTAGCCCCGATCGCGGAAATAAACGATATCCCGGGACCCCTATAACCCCTACTAGAAGAGGTAGAGATATAGGGAGTCGACGATAATCCTTAGGGAGGAAACCCGCCGGATCCGATAACCCCGACTGAGGTAGACGAGGAGACGGAACTCCGAGAGTTAGAGACCCTTAAAAGATATCTAGCTCTAGTAAAGGAGAAAAATAGGATCCGCGCGGAGCTATAGGACGAAGAAGAAAACGTAGTAATCCTATAGGCGAGAATATAAGGATCTAAGATCTATTAGGGTTCGCTAGGTAGTACTACTAACTAAACTATCTACTAACTACCTAATACTATCTATACGAACTTAATTATATTATAAAGAAGTACTAGAGGCTACCTATCTTATTAGAAGGAAGTAAGAAAACTATATATACTCTATAATATAATAATATATAGAGCTAAAAGTTTAGGCGAATATAATCTTTTTAAGTCGAATTAGGAAGCCTTCTAGAATAGATACCCTAATTAGTTCGCTAGTAATATATATAAGATAGACTAAGTAACTAAGTTTTTAGCGCTAAAAGTTAATATAATATAGATAGAATACTATAGGAATAACCTAAGTATAATATTTACCTAGTTAGTCTTTAAAATATAGACGCTCGCTTAGATTACTAACCCTATTAAGATATAGCGAGAAGCTAAATATAACTAATAGTAGATAATATAAGTTAAGTATTAAGATATATACTAATATATCTTAAAGCTTATTAGGCTCTATAACTACCTAAAAGATACGCTAATTAAATAGATAAGAATTAACTATTTAGAGACGGGTATTATTAAGGAGATATAAGATAAAGTAAAGAGATTTATAGCTCCCGCTATAGATTAATAGGATAACTAGGTAGCCTTCTATAACTAAATTAAGAAAGTAATACTAAGTAGGATATTATATTTTAAGGAGGCTAAGAAGATAATACTAAGAAATACTATAGACTTATAAAGATCTAATAAAAGACCTTTTAAGGGAAATAGCGCCTTACCTATATAATAAGCTATAACTACTATAGAGGGTAGAAAAGCTACTATAAAGTCTAAATAAGACTAAAGCGGAGATAGTAAATTCTATAACTTCTATAGTAAGCCGGGCTACTATATAAAGGACTACTATAAGAAAGCTATAGTAAACGCTATAGCCGTAGAAGAGTTAAAAAAATAGACGACCTTATACTATAGACTCTTATAGTATTAAGGATAGTTCTCTTCGGAGAACGTAAGGGAGTATACTAAGTACTTATCTATAACGTACTAATATTAGACGTTAAGACTAGAGCCCTAACGGGGGTAGCTAAAACGCTAATAGATAATAGCGTAATCTAGAGCTTTATAAGCTAGAAATAGGTAAAAGAGAACCTAGAAGAGATATATATAATAAGTACCCGCTTAGTAGAAGCTATAGATAGGCGTAAGATTCCTTTATATAAAAGCTAAGAAGTATAGCTTAGTCTAATAGACCGGAATAGAACCTATAGAGTTATTAAAATAACCTATAAAGCTATAGATATAATAATCTATAATATAATCCTAAAAATAGATTAGTTTAGACTAGTAAATCTAGATATTAATTAGGTAACTAGTAAGTAGGTATATAAAAATATAGCCCCGCTAGAGATTAAAACTCTTCTACTAGAAGACTTCGAGGAAGAAATAAGACTATAAGATATACTTAAAGAATTATATTTAGATATTAATAAGATTACTAGGGAGTTTATAGTAATACTAAGGGTAATATAAAGCTTAGATAGGACCTCCTATCTAGTATAACCCCTAACTAAACTCCCGCTAGAGTACTAAGATCTAGCTATTATAGTAAGTAAAGAAGATACTATAGTCTTTTTAATCTACGTAGAGTATAATTATATAATTAAGCTAATACTAGATAAGATACCCCCTTAGAGGCTAATATATATACTATCCGCTAAAGAGTTAGAAGTCCTCTATTAGTATATTAAAGAGAATCTCGAGAAAGACTAAATCCGATACTTAAAGAGTTAATTAGATATACCTATTCTCTTTATACTAAAGAAAGATAGTAAGCTTAGACTCTATATAGACTATAAAGGGTTAAATACGATTACTATTAAGAACTACTACTCTCTACTACTAATTAATAAGTCCCTAATAAGATTATTAGGAGTATAGATCTATACTAAACTAGATCTATAAGATACTTACTATAGGATCCGTATAAAATAGGGAGATAAGTAGAAAATAACGTTTAGATACCGCTACGGATATTTTAAATATATAGTAATACTATTTAGACTCGCTAATACTCCCGCTATTTTTTAAGTGTATATTAATAAAGCCTTAGTAGGACTTATTAATATCTATCTAGTAGTATATCTTAATAATATACTAATCTTCTTAAAAGATAAGGAGACCTATATATACTATATCTAAGAAGTATTAGAATACCTAATTAAGTAGAGGTTATTTATTAAACTTAGTAAGTATATATTCTATATAAAGAGGATTAACTTCTTAGGCTTTATTATCTCCTATTATAGAGTTACTATAGACCCTACCTAAGTAGAGATAATAAGCTAGTAGCTAGAGCTAACCTATATCTTTAATATATAGTAGTTTATAAGCTTCGCTAACTTCTACTAACGTTTTATTAGGAAATAGTTAATAATTAGCGCCCCTTTTAATAATCTAATTAAAAGGCTAAATATATAAAAGAAAGGAAGAAATAAGCGCTAGGAAGGGTTTATCTTTATAGAAGAAGCGCGAGAAGCTTTTAAAAGGACTAAGACTACTTTCTAGACTACGCCGATACTTATATACTTCGATACTATATTAAAAACTATAATAGAAACGGATACGTTAAGAGCCGCTATCTATATAATTATATTATAGCTCTATAAAGATAGATACTAATACCCTATCACCTTTTATTCCCGGAAGATACTAATAGTAGAGAGAAATTATTAGGTCGGTAACTAGGAAATACTAATAATCTTTATAGGGTTTAAGGAATAACGCTACTTCTTTAAAAGAAATAAGTACCTAATTATAGTAATAATAGATTACGCTAATCTTATCTAATTTATAACGACTAAAGAGCTTACGAGATATTAAGTACGCTAGGTAGAATACTTTATAAGATTTAACTTCGTTATTATATTCTACCTAGGGAAAACGAACTTTATAGACGCTCTTAGTAGACGACCTAACTATATAATAGATAAGCCTTTAGACGCTATAAATTATAATATTTTTATATAGAGACTTAAGGAAACTATCGGTAAAAGCGTTATTTACTAAAGGGATCTATAGGATACGATATACCTAGGCGCTATAATAACTATAATATATATAGAGATCTTTATTAAACCTACGATAAATAGACTACTAAGTTAAAAGGAGGTATATAAAGTAGCTAAAGGAGAAACTATATATATTTATAAGCCGCTAGAAACTATAGTAGAACTTATACTTAAGATATAGGCGAAGAATAAGTTCTATAGGAATATACTTAGAAGGGTATAGGAAACCGGTAACTTTAAATAACCCCTAAAGATACGATAGAGTGTAAGAAGCTAAGATAGACTACTAAGACTACTAAGATATAATAACTATATCTATATTCCTAAAGGCGAACCTATAATCTACTAAGAAATTATAAGGATCTATTATAATAATCTATAGATAGGCTATTATATAAGGAAAAGAACGCTATAGGTTATTAGATATAAATACTAATAGAAAACCTTTATTAAAGATATATAAGACTATATCCTTATATACTAGATTTATTAGTCTAATACTATTAAATACTATAAGCTATATAGACTACTCGAACTACTACTAATATTAGAGAGACTAGGCTAATAGATAAGTATAGACTTTATTATAGGCCTACTACCCTTAAAATAAGAGGGGAAGGCCTATAACGCGATTATAGTCGTAGTCGATCTATTCT